CCACATTAATACACTGCTTAAGATATCAACAATAAGATATTCGGTTAAACATTATAGCACACACGTATGAACACTACGGCATTTCGGCTAAACACTATTGAATAAAATCTCTCACTCAGATGATCCACCTTACGTGAACAGGACAATGAACATATCAACAGGTACCTCGGCCATTACATCAGCTAACGCCGGTTTCAAAGATGTGCCCGATTAACATAGCGACTTCAATAGAAGTTCTGATACGTCCTTGATCCATCCTCTATCACATAGCTTATCCATTAGTCGGATGAATTGATATCGCCGTCTTAATAGCTAGAATATAATAGAGCTTTATCTTTTGTTGGAATAAAACATCATCTCAAAGATACTTAATCTTGTCCCTTATTATCTTTATTAAAGCTCTAACATCACAAAGTGACATATTTGGAATGTAAACGTTAAAGAAAGACTACCCACGGAGTGGGTGATATAGCAAAGATCAGATACAGAAGTTAAATGAGAAATGGGCAGGATCGAAAAGCCTCACTGCCTCGACGGTGCTGTGTCTACTTCCACAGCCTTGCATCGCTCAACTACTGATCCTTCTATTCGATACCTACGCTGAACATTGTATTCGATGGCGTAATTAATACGAGCAAAAGCAGAGAGAAACGGACGGAGAGATAGAAGTACTCGGTAACACTCCTAGTTACATATCATTCCAGCAACAGCAGGAGCCGCATGAGTTCATCCATTTCATCATCCAAAATTAATGAAATGCAAGGCGTATCTGAAGCGGCTACTGAATATGATACACTTGTGGGATCGGCACATAGACAAAGATGTATTTAGAAAAGGATGGGGTCAATTCAAGTGAGAAGTACAAGTATAGGGTAAAAGATGGACAGAAAATGTGAAAAGTTTTTGGTACAGCGTCAAAGATGGAAATATAATGCAGTGAAAAGAGCATGTTAAAGATGGGCGGAAATGTGGATGCGTATTTGTCAGAAAAGGTTTGGAGTGATTGTGGGTAGGTGAATGCGTGCTTATTTTTCTTGCGTATGTGAACACTCAGAGTCGTCGGCCTTTCTTTTTTGTGGGGTTATTTTGACAGGTCCGTTCAATGCTGATGGGATGATGACTGTGCTTGGCTCTGTTACGCTCGATACGAAATCTGACCTGTTTTTCTTTGGCTTGGCAACTACATCCATGGTCGATTTTACGATTCCCTGTTGTTTTCTCGTGAGCGGAAGTTGTGAATGCACTGCAGAGGAAATGAATAACGATGTTACCTTAATCTTAAGCACAGCTTCTAAATACGGGATGTAGGTTTCATAAAAGTCGAACAATGTTTCTGGAATTTGCTGTTGTTTGATTTCCCGGATACGGCACACGCATCCATCTGGAACGTCCATCACATATGTTTTCATACGCAGATCTGGTAGAAAATACGAGTGGTCTTTAGTCAAACAAGAGCGAAACGGATTGGTTGTCCCAGTGGAACTGAAGACTTACGTGTATGGACCATGCCTACCACTCGCAACGAACGGACACTCTCTTCATCGTGCTCGACCTTGAGGGTCCTTTGATAAGTAGAAGTCGCAAATGATTGCTAACCTTCATCAACTCCTGCCGTGGGGCTTGAGACAAGTCCACAGCAAGCGTTGATGAAAGCTAGCATCCACTCACTCGAATACCTACTGTGGGGCATGAGTTCATGATGCACAGAGGTACCCTAAAATGAAGGGAAATTCTTAAAAACAGAGAGAAATCGCAAATGATTGCTAACCTTCATCAACTCCTGCCGTGGGGCTTGAGACAAGTCCACAGCAAGCGTTGATGAAAGCTAGCGTCCACTCACTCGAATGCCTACTGTGGGGCATGAGTTCTTGATGCACAGAGGAATTCTTTTGAAAAAAGAACGGGAGAAAAAGGCTGCTGTGAGCAGTTTTGGGATTGGTTGCTTATGAAGTTGCTAAGGAGCGGAATTGAAAAAGTATGTAGCCAGGTAACCAACCGTCACTGATGTACATAGGGATCCCACTAAAAATCGTGTCGTGTGCAGAACAATCACTGTGATACAAAATTACCAAAAACAGCATTTTCCGTGAAAATGGGTGTCTTTTCATGGGCAAAAGTTCATTTCCAAAAAGAACGCTGGCCTGGACCGTGCTCAACAAAGCGCAGAACAATGACAGACGACAGTAACACGATCACAACGCGCTTTATCACACTTTGGTACGCCTTTTCCATCTTTTTTCTTTTTATTTTACCTTCTGTGTTCGCGTAGTTCTGTTCGCGAAAATAATGGAAAGGAAAGAAATTTGTTGGGAGGGTATGCACACCAGCAACAACGGCGCTAAGGCAAGCTGTTCTAAGCTGAGAGAACCAGTTTAATGGTATGTTTCGCTTGCTACGCCCCTTTCAACCCTTGACTAACCGAAAACATCGTTGGCACAACTTTCATGTGCTCAGAAGCAAGGCTAAGATTATGCATGTATGACTCTCGTACGAGCCGACCATCCTCCTTTCTTTTGTATTTTGTTTTTTTCCCACATACATCATACATCACCCACACATACGCCGACCACGTCTGATTGACTTTGAATCGCTACTGCTGAGGGAGGTGGTTGATAAAGCGAGCAAACCAAACAACAGTATCAACCTGAAGAAGCAGCCTGTATGGATATTAGTAGCTCTAGGATGACGCGCATACTATGCTGAAAACAGCCATGCTGCTCTTTACAATTTATTTTAAGCTGCCCACATCCATCATTGCGGGCTTGGAGGATCGGTAATCGCTGATTGCCGTGGGCATATACTCGTATGAGAGAGCGGTTTTTATTTTCGTTACACACACCACCACAGTTGATACAACAATGGCCGAGACTTTCTACAATGTCTCACTGATCCCATGAAGACGCTGGCTGCGGCGTTCAGCACATGTTTGTTCCAAACATAACCCAAACAAACAATTTATTGTTCAATATAAACAACATTGACCCGAACCCTGTACAGAGACCCTTTGATCATTGGCTTGGCCTTTGCGCTATCCCAATCTAATACACGCCCAGTCATCCTGCTGATAAGATATCACTATCTGCTATCATCCCCCGTCCCCCTCCGTTCCAGATACTTTTCCTCTTATGGATTTCTATTTACCAATGTAACTAGTAGTGACAAGACACCCATTCTAAGCATCATCAGCCATAAATAATCATCAAGAGCTCACAAACGACGTCATATCACGTCAGCCCATTCGGGTTATAGCCGTTCATTGCTCTACGGATGTTGTTTACATGAACTGGATCATTCGAGTATAATGTTTCCGTGCTATATGGTGGATACTGTCTACTCCCTTTGAAACCTTTGACCGGTCTTTCTTTTCCATCCACAAATCAATAGCTTATGCCTGGCAAAAGAAAGGATCTTTCCAATCAATCGGCATCAATACAAGCAAGAAAACAACGCGCCATATCGAGCGACATTTAATGCAAGTTACGAGTTTGCATCTGCACTTTTATACTAACGGTAACTGTCAAAACCTGCTTAAATCAATTCTAATAGACACAATTGTAACAGCGGCTCGAAATGAAGTTGGATTCTACGCGTGATGGATATCAGCGACGATGTATGCGTGAAATTGGCTCGGATCATCGGCAATGTGGATGCAGATATCGAGCTTCTGGTACTCGGAAAAAACATGTGCCCCCTTGGACGATCTTTGGTGCCCATGCTGGAGGTAGGAGCGATTTTGATGTCTATCGCTTTAAATAATTCTACATTTAAGCTGATATTTGTGAATAGAAAGAAGCAGATTCTATCATTGCTTATGGTTTCGAAGCCATTAAGCGTCTTAGAACCGCAATTGAAAGGCTGGAAAACGCGTTTGAACCGGAGAAGCTTGGTGAAAAGGCTTTGCTTAAGCTTAAAATGAAAGATGCCGAATTTTGTCTATATGAACAGCGCTATCAGCTGCGTCATATACGATTGGCATCTCAGTAGCGTAAGGTCATTATCGATTAGTAGTTCGTGAAAGCCTGTGCCAAAACTGAACAATTTTTATAGGATGCGCCGCTTGCCGCTCGTTGCCATTAAAAACAAGCAAACTATTGAAGAATGTGAGCTTTTCACCAAGTACTTTGATCCCATCTTGGCATCGCTATTCTCTGATCCTGACAGAAAAGTGCTCCTTCGCTGGTCCAACGTCATGTCTGATGAAAATGACAAGATCCGCCCTGACGCCACAATTTCCAAGCTACGGCAGCGCGACTTTGGGCCCAGTCTTGGATATGGAGAGGTCAAAGTTGCACGTCCCACCATCGATAACCACGCGCTATGCCACGGTCTTATGCGTTTGGCAACTCTAGCAAAGGATACCATTGATACCAATGCATTGGAAGCCGCTCTGACCTTCCAGGTGCATGGTTTTCATATCACTTTTTTTCTGACGCGCCTCCGCCACGATGGAATCTATGTGATGCAAGAAGTTGCGCAGCTTACATTTCCCCGGTTTTTAGAAGAGCTAGCAACATTTGTGGCCTTGAAAAATATGCGCACATTGATGACCCACCTTCTGGCATTTGTGTCAACCTGTCCGTGCCGCTTCTTCGTGGCAAGAAAAACGGCGCCCCACTCATCCCTCCATTTATTCTTTGATTGATTCAACCAAGAATTGCCACCGCTTCTGCGCCCTGCGCTTTGAATAAATGCATCCATTCATATATATCTCTACATACTGCTGCCATCAATTCATTCGTGTGAAGAATCCGAGCTTAATTGTTCAGATAAAATAAGAAAAAGTGAAAAAATCAAATTTGTAACTTTCTAGAAATGACCAGGTTGTAGGTTGTGAATTGATTGCATTATAAATATTTTTATACTGAGTTGCTATAGCAGGAGTGTCAGCGCTTGTAGTCTATGTGATTATCCGAGTTAAGATATCCATGTCGCCGCAGTAATTGACAAATAAACTGAGGTAAATTTCCGCATCAATCATGACAAAGCCGTATATGCACAACGTTGTGTCTACTTACTTGGCCACTGTGTATCCACCGAAGGTGTATCACTGGATAAACGCAAAGTATGCAACATCCAAAATATCCCTACACCTACAACTGGCAAAGCTATAGCTGCCTTCTGTGGTACTATCAATTACATGCGCTCTTACCTACCAAAAGTCTCTGAAGTTATGGCACCTTTAGACCGACTTCGCAATGCCAAATCTTTAAAAGGTTTATGGACACAAACAGAACAACACAGTTTTGACACGTTAAAGAAAATTCTACTTGAAGCTCCCATCCTGCGCTTTCCCGATTTATCACACCCTTTTCAGGTTGCAACTGACGCTTCAAATACCGGAATCGCTGCAGCACTTTTCCAAGTCATAGATGGTGAAACACGTCATATTGCTTTCATGGCTAGAGCACTCTCCAAGTCAGAAAGATCTTATAGCACTACACGACGTGAGCTCAGAGCTATTATATTTGCACTTGACAAATTCCACAAATATTTATATGGCAAACCGTTAAATTATACATGGATCACAAAGCATTGACCTTCCTCCATACACAAAAAATAGCCAACGCTATGATGATCAGTTGGTTTGACACCATCTTACAATACGACTTGAAATTATTCACCTACCAGGATTAGATAACATCCTTCCTGATCAATTATCTCGCCTTTTTCACATCGATGAAAAAGAGCTGGAAGGGGGTATGTATATTGGCTACCCACGCCAGTGTTGATTGAGCGGTCTGTATACTTCAAAAGTACGGTACAGCATTCCTTTGATGGATGATGAGGGGTAACAAATTGATTCTTTGTCTTTTGTCAATCTTCTAGAAGACGGTCGTCAACTGCTAGCGGGGGGAGCTCACCAAACGGGCAAGCCTCAGTGGACATGGCCATATCTTGCCCTCGTGTACCAGTGATCTCACATGAAAACGTCGCGAAAAGGCCAATTGGGACGATATCGCGAGAGTTCATTCCAACGCTGCGAAATGGGTAACGAGCTCGGATCATCCAATTTTGGGTAACCATTGCCTACCTATAGCAAGAGACGTAAACCCGTTTCTGTTTCTTGGAGGGAAACTGATATACAGACTTACAACAAAAAAACAAGCTTATAGATCGCGGTCTTGTCATCGGTTTTAACGAATTATATATCTCAGTCTCGCTAAATGGTCGACTACACACTCCCATGGCTTTTCACTCCGCGTGGTCATCGACGCCTGTGCTTGTCTCGAGAGCTGTGCGGTGCTTCAACGAACTCAAAACGTTGGAAATATATTAGTGTTTCAACGTGCCTGATAAAGCTTTGGCAACTGTTTTATCGGATCTCAAGTCGTTAAAAGAAGTCAGGTTTCACCGGGTGGCCGCAGTAAGCGAACAAGTGGCTCTATCCTTGGACTCTGTCAGCATGGTGCAACTGTTGTCATCAAGTATCGTTAGCGATGGCTGGAAGCTGATTGATATTTGGAGATTTTCATTAACTCTGTCGTCACTAAGGCGACAACCAGTCGCTCAAATCGTGTGACAAAGTGTCCACGACACTAAAAAACTATAGAGGCCACCGTCATCACCATCACAACAACAGCAGTTATGGAAGCAGCCATGTCAACAACAACAACAATAACGGTAGCAGCAACACTGGTGACCAAGAACAAGTTCAAGAAGAGCGAGCAGCAGCAGGAGCAACATTAACATCCGCATATCACACGCTTGTAGAGATCTCACAACATAGTGGCGAGCCTTTCGATGTGGCTGTCTGATTAACAGACATTTTCGGCGGTTCGTCATTTTTATTTGTTAATAGTGTCTAAAAAATTAACTGTCTTTTTCAATGGTCAAAGTAAGAGTATTGCGCTATTTGTTGTATCATAATGGAGAGATTATCAACAGAGTTGAGCAACCCCTCAGCAGCACTGTATCCTGACACCAGCTGGACTACCATCCGCAGGCAATCGTAGTTGTGTACAGTGGTCACCTGTTAATATTAAAGATAAGATCACCGATTAGTGAAGAGGTGTGAAAAATAACGGATCCTGCATACGTATATCGTTAAGTCATATATAACATTAGTTTTTAGCCTCCTCTAAAGATGGTGTCAGTTGTGAGGATGGTGAACTGCCAGTGTCCATTTGTTGAACAAGAAAAATATTCCTTACCAAAATGAAAATGGTGTTAGCTCTATGTACGATACGCTGCTGGTTTCCTTGTCCTGGTCATAGTATGAATGTGTGCACGTGTACTTACTTTTCGTCCTGCCATGTCACGAAAAGGTTCCTGTGTCAGTATCGCGCGTAGCAAGGTTTCTAGCGCTAAAGATGACACTCTAAATGCATGACATCCGATATGCTACTCCTTTACGGCAAAAACCTTATGGAGAGATCAACTGGTGAGCTGGCTAACGCATCCCGTATGTCTACAGATACTCTGCGTTCGTTTTTAATTCTCAGAAAACAAAAATGTTGAAGAACAGATATACATCGTTTAAATAAAAGTTGCTCAGCGTGTCGAGTACATTTGTTTCTATGGACATTGTGGTTACTTTGGTGATGCTTTGTTCATCATTCTTTGATCATCATAGCATATATTTATTAAGGCATATTTTTTTCATTTTCTGTTTATCGGTGCATATACGTACTATATCTATCTCAACACATTAGGTAGTTACAACATCCTGCGGCTGTCATATGATATGAAGCATTATGGACAACGCGAGGTTGGTTTTTCGAATGAAAGCGTCTGTTGCTTAACAAAAGATCTCTTCCGCGCTATCTTTCATATTCTCTCGTCCTTCTCATCATAGAGCCTTCTTTTACGCACACACCCACGGTTTCCAAAGACGTCTACATCATCGCCCAAGCTGGCTTGTCTGTGAACGTTCACAATCACCCGGTGGCACCAGCAGCAGAAGCATCTGGAAGTCAAGAAGATTCAGAAACGGCAACGCTATTATCACGTAGCATTGCGAATACAGTAAGCCGCAATATTTAGCACGTCTACTTGTACGCTCATTACGGTCATGACAGGGAGACGAGCAGTGACGAATCAAGTATGTGAGATACCAAGACATCTGAGCTGTTAAATTCGCGATGCCGTTGTAACCTCTCACTGGGAGTCATTTCACTGCGAATATTTGTAGTGGCTCGTCTGCGACTGGGACGTCCTGACACTTCTGCAGAAATATCGCGGCATAATGTTTACATAGACTTTAATGGGCATAGCTCACTCTCGTTTGTGGTTTGTTATCGCTGAAAGCCAAATGCGTACTATCAAAAGTACAAGCATCCCTTCGCCAGAAGGTGATGGTCGCGGCTCTTCATTCAGCACTCCCCCCTCACCACTGATTGTGATGATAACACTTGAGTTGGATGCAAGGATGTCTTTGAAACCATGCTTACTGCAAACACCCTAGTAAGTGGAAAAGGTGATTAAAAGCATACAGCCGCTTAGCAAAACAGCAAGGGGGGATAGCTATCTGAACATTTTCAACAAAGCATCGGCGCCGACATCATCAATGCAGAGAACGCAAATAGCTACCAGTGAACCAATGAAATCATAAACTGAATCACGACAAAAAAACGTGGGAACGTTACAATGCGCAAGGCTCGCTGCAACCATCCAGAGGCAGGCCGTGGGTGTTAGACCAGACGAACGGCGTTCCCATTTCGTTGAAAGTTGTGTCGTTCGAAACAATCCCATAAAGGGATATCCTTACCGTGACAGTGCAAAGCTGACGAGTGCGTGCGAAAAGATTTCAGGAGACCAAATGGCTGTAGTGGAAGAGTTCTGTGCAGCACAAAAACGTGTCCGCTTCGGCTTCGAGATAGTTGCGGATTTACAGGCACTTTCAAAACCCACACAAGATGCTGCATGAGTCCAAAGTGTACGTTTCGCGTTCTTGACTGCACATCGATGAAAAAGGACTCCGTTGGCTCTGCAAACATCATGATCATCGGTACAAGAAGCCTTCTTATTGCTAAAGATGCCTCCTCTTGTCTTCCTACCGTTGAGGCTACACGAAACCAACACGTATAACTATTTAGTAAGCAACAACAAAACCGCTGCAAGCTAGTTGCTATGTCACTATCTTTTAAAATATCTTCTAGTGTGTTATTTCGGTATTGAAGAGCCGTGTATCTATAAATGGTAGTTTGTGGCTTTTTTTGCTGACTTGTAGTTTGCGGCGGGGGCGGTCGCCAGCAAGGGGTGGTCGCTTCTTTCAAGCACAAACCTAATATATAACCCTCCTAAATTGTGTGTGTGTGCTTTTAAATCCAAAAATAATCATGTTTCGACACGCCATTCGCAATGCAGCTGCCGGTACAGCACGACGCTCCTATGCAACCAAAAGCAAGACAACCAATCTGACGACCACACCACGAGTGCCAATTACAGAAACAGCCTTGTCCGATGGCAGTATTTTCGTTACCCGCGAATCACCCGTTGCACCCAAAGTCCAGGCCACTGCACCACCCCTTCGTGCCAACGCAAACAAACCGCAATTAACCGCCGAACAAATTAATGAGATGCGTCAATTACGGCAACAGGATCCTGCCACATGGACTCGAAAGAAATTAGCAGACAAGTTTGGCTGCTCAGAATTGTTTGTCAGTATCTCTGCTCCGACCGTCAAGCGTGCTGTCAAGGTCGAATTGGAGGCATCCAGCAAAGCTGGTTACAGACGTCAATTGATTAGAAAGAACCGCGAGAGAAGACGAGAGCTGTGGTAGACGAAGGTACCGATTGTTTCTGCTCTCTTTATCTTTTATTTTGTATACATACACTTTTCGTCCTTTGTACATCCTTCCCTTCACCTTAAAAAACGCAAACACACAATACACGCATATACACACCACATCTCTCGGCTCTTGTCACAAACACGTCTTTTAAAATATCACCATTCCAAAAATCGCATTTAAATAACAAAAATTAAAGAGTACTATGCTTAGCATATCTTGACCAGAAGCCGTTGTAATATCATCCCTAAAGTGACTCATATCATTCCAGTACGTTCAGTGTTACAGTACTACCTAAAGTCTTATCAAGAAACGATATGTCTAGATTTTGACTTTCTACGATACATTTAAAATAAATCACACATAGTCGGTACACCTTGGTACGTGTGAAATATAGAGAATGGAAGGGTTGTGGCGTAGAGAACACGTTGAAGATGTTCAATTGAAAAAGTATGTAGAAAAGACATAGCGTAAGGCAATACCTTTGCTTACATCTTGTTTGAAACTCGCTTTGCTTTCTTGAGCACATCATCACTAACAATAGTATGTCACTGACTTTGCCAGACCGGGGAGCAGCACGTCAGTAAAAGCGCATGGACCGCGCAATAAGTGATCCTCCAGGTTACATGCTCTCTGGGGTTATGTGGCGGTTTCTGTAAGTCTATTTGTCGGTCGTGTAGTATTAGCACTTTTGCGGATGTGTGCGAATCATAAAGAGAAAAGGGATCAACGATGAGTGAGACGGAGCCATTAGCTGACCCATATAGATTTGCAAGCTGCAAATGACGTTTAGTTGCACATGCTGGTGCGTACAAGACATCCAATAGCGCAAAGGAAGGGAAACGTGCATTGCATCAGTATATCTGTATAGACATGTATAGGATGATGATATTGCAATGTCGTCATTGTCGGGATGGAGATTATCGGATGATATTACAGCCATTGATTTTTGATGGTTACACACCGCTTATGTGCAATCAGAAAGTCTGCATGACTATATGGGGGCTCTTCAGCGTAGTCAGCCATCATCATTACCGTCAACTGCAGTTCGAACGCCATACTATCGTACAGCCTGTTCACTGATTGCGGCAGAAGAGAAGAATGCTTCTCTATGCTGATTCGGATACCCGAGTGCGAGCTGCACCCAAGGCTACATGTTATATGCGAAAGAAAAGATAAACGGTTTTGATTGCATGAGCGTCACGAGCCAGATATGAGTTTCTCACTTTGGGCAATTTTCATCTCAACTTATTTCCCTCTCTCTTTCTTTCTCTCTCTCTCCCACTCGCTCTTTTCACCTCTTTCTTGTTTTCACATACACAATAAGCAAAACAACACAGCAACAATGAAGGACCAGGATCAAACCACAAAGAATGGCGATTGCAGAGACACACCGATACCACCTCCCATCCCTCCACCTGCTCCACCACAGTCATCGTCACGGAATCCCTCATCACTACTTTCGCCCTGGTGGTCAGCTGAACCACTTCCAGAACGACCGGCAGAACAAAACAAAAAAGGCCGACGCACATTCATCAACTTTACACGGATCGCCAATGCAATAGAGTACGGTGCCGATGGACAAAAGACGGGCAAGTCGACACAGCTTTTTTCAGAGCGATGCTATTTGTCGACCAGAAAAGATCTTGGCGATCAGTCCAACGATGGGATTCCTGCACGGGCACCTTCCGAATGCCGAATGGTGTGTTTTCTGCGCGAAAACGAACAGCGGAGGAAAGAACGGCAGGAAAAGGCCAAATCATTTTGGAACCCTTTCCATGGTCTGTGGATCGTAGTTGCTACAACGCATGCCCGGTGTCTGGAACATACGGCTGGTAATGTTCTTTCACTCTTCTTTCCTATTGCTATGTGATGTTGCGAATGTTTCGTTTTGGTATATCGAGCAGCGAGTGGGATGTTATCGGTGGAGACACACACACACACACACACACACACAGCAAACACCTAAAAAAGATTTTTTTCTCACGTGTCGTTGTTGGGTCGATGTTATAATGCATATTTTAGAGAAAGACATTACCAAAAAGTCCCAGTAAGTTGCCAGCACTAATCATGTGGTGTTTATCAATGGTGTCGCTGATTTGCTCACGATAATCTTTTTTGTATAAACAGTTCTGATTACTATACGATCGAGTTCGGTGAGAGGTTCAGCGGATCAGGAGACGATGGTAAGTTCTTTCTGCTCTCTTTCTTCTTCGATGCGTCGACTCGAGTTTGATGCGTCGAAGCACACGCCCTTCCGTCTACTCCCCTTGCTCCCCTTCTTCCAACGATCAGGCTATTCTAAATGGAGTTCATTATTTGCTTTTTGCTCCTCCGCGCTGACAGCAAAGCGAGTGGTGACCAAAACCTTTGCGCCTCTGCAGGAGTTAACGAGACGCTACGTCCAGTCATGGCAGGACGGAACCCAGGCACTCTTTTTCCAGAGATTCTGGGAGAGCACAAAGCGCGGCGATGCGTTCCATCTCGTACGAGACAACACCAAGAAGCTGTTACAATCTGTTACCGGAGCTGACAAGAAGGGTCAAGACGACGACTCCAAAAAGGGCTCCAATCAGTAAAAAAGAAAACCTTATCTTGGAAAAAAGTCACCTCAGCTCTCACTCTTACACAGCCATAGCAACAACAGCATCGCCATAGCACACAAAGCAACAGCCATACCTCCTCTCTTACTAGTCTTCCTTTTTTTCTGCTTTTTCTTTTCTTCCAGTCTTACCCTCACAAAAACAAAAGCATACCCTACACGACTTTTATTCATATACACACTCTCTCTTTTCTTCGTTTCTATGAATTGGAATATACACAGTATACACATATATATATATATATACATATATCAAGCTGCAGGCCAATATAATGACCCGTCTGCACTCAAAGGATCAGTGAATGAATACAACAACCAGTAGAACAGGAATGCGCCCATCACGAACGAGCACATGATCACTAAATGATAGAGGTTATTCTACAGAATTTCACTCGAATACGTGTTCTATGAAATATAAAATTACCTGCGCGCTTTGCCGGAGCTTGGAGTTGGATCTCGCTGATATCAGGGAACCCCATTATGTTACAGAACGTATGACACACTATAGGAGGCCAGATGCTGCCTAGGCGCAGAAACACAAAGCTGACATACCACCCAAATACGGTGGTATAACAGAATTGGAACACTAAACGTACATAGAGCACATTGCAGATTAAATATACGAACCACGTCTCGTCGATGCTAAGAAAAAAGCAAGTTCTTACGCGATGAGATTACTACGAGTTTGAGTGCTTTGGCACCCGCACCCCATTGGTGATACTTTTCCCAAGCATGATGCAGATGTGCTAAGACGTATATATAGATATGTCAATCAACAGTACCTGACTCTATGCAATCCCTCCAGCTTCTTACCTAGACCAAAGAACATTGGCGAGATATATACAAGGGAGGTCAAGGACCAACCTGCATGGTACAAGATCGCAATCATACATGCACGGAATACGAACTCTTCTGTCATCGGTGCCTGTATATTCATATCCATACGGATCAATAGCGTGAAAACCTAGCTAAGCACGGATTCAACCGCGACAGTAACAGCAGTGCACGAAAAGAAAAGCGTTACCACGACATAATTTCGTTGACCAAGCAACGACAAGAACACATTCTTGACATCGCGTCCAAAGTCGAAATTGGATTGGAATGGAAGACTTTGCTCAAAAAAGAGCTGGACAAGTGGTCCGAGAAATAGTATTGTTGTCAGCACTACAGGGCCCGTCAATGCAACCAGTTCGGGAACCGAGCTTGGCAAGGATAGCCCGAGAGCTTGAAAAATCGAGTACTGTTTTTATATCGATTTTAGTCGTATTCGTAACATGTGCTAATACTTCTTACTTTATAACATCTCAGCTTACATTGAGCGACGCGAACGGCACAATGAGCCATACAAGAATAGCTGCAACGATGGAAGCAAGCGTAACAGACTTGATCCGATTCCGTATAATGACGGGATGGTTTCTCGATAGTTTTGCATTTTTCTCGTCTAGGAATAGATAGAATCCCGCTACATAAATGAAGGGAAGTGTAATACATGCAACATTGGCTACAGTTGCAGAGACATGCTGCTGTTGTGATGCTGGTACCATGGAGCGATCGTTGGCGAAAGTTATTTTTTTTTCCACAACCACCCCGCTTACCGCTTTGGGAAAATCTTGTAGAGTCGATGCATCCCTTAACACACAATGTGTACTATCTACTCTTTTCAGAAAGTTTCTTTTTCTTTATTTTTGGCTTGACTGGTGGGCAAGTTTTTTTGTAGCACTGGTCGGTTAATGTCATCTTCTCTAAATCTATGCGAATATATTCAACGGCGGTAAAGCATATCGTAGAGCTTCACTGAAATTAATGCAATTTTTCGAAAAATATATTATGCATGCACTAAAAATCCTGTTATGGAGAAACCGGAAAAGATTGCCGTTTTCTTCGAAATATGATGGTGCTTCTTCTGCTTCAGATAGAACATTCATTTTGTCGAGATGGCAGCAGCATAAGCACTGAATAGTCGCTGACTTGACATCAAGCTCGCGTATGCAATGCTTTTTGACGTGCCATGCTGTATTTTTTTTACAGTCAAAGAAAATGAGACCAGATAGGGCAAAATGAAAACGAGTCAAGCTTGCAAAAATGATACTGACCCCTTGGAAATGAGCCTGTCGCAAAAATACGCATCTTCATAAGATTCTTCATAAGCACCATCGAAACCGGTTAGTCAAGAGTTTGCGTGACAATTAGTGCAGTTTTCGCAACTCACTTTTTTTATCCCTCTCGTGATACCGTCATATCCTACTATATAGTCCCTTCCTATCTCCTTTTGTGGTTTTTTCGTACGTCTTTCACGAATTCATATTGTGGCACCCGAAGAAGTATGTATCTCAGTTATAGCTTTCTTTATCATTACCGTGTTACTGAATGAAAACCATATAGCTGCCATAAACCCATAAAAAGAATCGTCAAGTATATCACCCCATAAACATCTTCATAAGCATTCTTTTCGAATCGTCGCCATGGTAAACTTGTGTCGAAAACATTGCTGTCGTATTTGTCATGGCAACGATCTACGCCAGAAACAAAATTTGCGGAACCCTACTGAGCAAAAGCTCATGATATTCAACTTGAAGCTGGTGTGAAAGGCAACATTTTGAAACCGAAAGATCATTTGTTTGTTCTAAATGAAGACAATGCTGATAAGACTGTGTTCGTTTGCCCTTCCTGTCCCAACTATTACTCGAAACTCGAGGACTTAGGCTGCCATGTTCCTGAACATATTGAACAGTAAGTCATTATACTTTGTGTTCTTTACCTTGATCTGAAAAGCTTTTGTTCTTTTGTTACAGTTGTACCCCGGCTTTTGCAACTGAGGGTTTTCTGATTCTTTTTTGCAAAAAGTGAGGATTTGCAGGTAATGGGGTAAACAATTCTGCTTCAAATAGACACTGGATAAGTCATCCTATAAACACCAGCCCATTGTTTATCTGTTAGAGATGATGTACGATACGTTCTGTGGGGATTTCACACAGCTCTAAATGTTACTACTTGCATATATAGGACCGTTCTTTTATTGAAGCTGTCTAGTGCAGTAACCGTATCATTTTATTCCTCGATAATATGCAACAGATGCTTCTTTCAGTTGATATACCCCGATAACGTGCAAATCGTATAAACTCATTTGCAAGTTGCAAATTTGCGAAACTACTAAGTTTTTTCGGATTTTTCAAAAAAATGTTGCAGATATACAAGGAATTGCAAACCCATGGGTTGCAAAAACCGGGGTGCAACTGTATTGTTTCTCAGACTCGATAAAAATTCTGGTGCTGTGAGTGAATACAACGAGGATGAAGATGAAGCAGAAGATGTAGACGTGACCCTGCCAATTGACGAACTTATGCCCAGCAAACCACCATTACCCTTCGAATTAACAGCTATAACAGAATGAAACGTGAACATATTCAGACGTGACGCTTTCCGCAATGGGTGCAATCGATTTATCAGTTGATGAAAAGCAGAAGAAATTGCTGATTGCAGAACTTAGCGATTTGCACCTATTGGCGATATTTGATAAAAACAATAGGGAACACAATGTGCTTGGTCATTCTACAGCCATTTCTAGCCTCTTGGCTTCACAATTTGGTCACTAGGCTCTTCGTTCAAAGCAATTACACCGATGAAGCACAGTTATTCACAAATGTTGGATGCAGGCGACCAATGACCTGCTGCATCCATTCTATCACATCTAGTCGCTACCAGCCATCTGACATGTATAGGTATTAATTCTAAACAGTAATTTAAAAAAGGTTCTATTAATGAAAAATATATAATTGTTTAAAAATTTATAGGAAAAAATAAAAAATTAGGTTATAATTTTTTTATTTTTGAAACATTTAAGACATTTTAAAAAAAAATTTAATTCGGAAATGATTTTTTAATTCTTATAAATGTATTTAATCTATGAAAATTATAATGTTTTCTAATGATTAATTCAAACAGGCTAGGAGGAATGACGACGCCCAGTTCAATAAAAAAATCAATGAAGTTAGATTTTTCATTAGAACGCTTAATACTGAAAGACATAACTAAAATTAATTAGCAATTTATTGCTAAATTAATTGTTATGAATTGAAACTCTATCTCTGCAACAGATTACACGGAAATGGATGAAATATCGCCACCATATTGAGCACTGATTGACACGGCATCTGTGGATGTGTGTAATTTGTGCTCATGTAATGAGCAACGTTGGATACTATCCTTTTTTAATTTATTTCATTATACATTTGAAGTTATTATATATAGTTATATATTATATTGTTTTTTATATGTTGTAAGTTGCAAAAAAAAACTTACAGATGTGCTTGTTTTAATCAATTTTTTGAAAGAAGAAAAATATTAAATCCAATAACTGAAATAAAATAAGGGTATTGTAGAAGACTCAAAATAAAAATATATATTCTATAAGTATAGAGTTTAAACTATTAATATAGTTATTCTAATTTCATATTTTATATTAATTACAGAAAAAATTAATAACAAAATTAAATTTATCATTTTAAAAAACTAATATATTTATAGAACATATAGCAGTTATCCCAAGATAATTCACAGATTTGTAAAATACATAAAAAGATTTAAAAATTGTATTTCGGATATATAATAAAATAGTATGATATACTTTAAATAACATAATGAAGTAATACATTTTTCAAAATATAAAAATAACATTTGATATAAATGAAGTGATGATATATAATTCAACAAATAAAATAAAAAATGTTAATAACTATTTAATTGATAAAGAAATTAGATATGTTTATGTTTTTTTGTATTATAAATAAAATATGGTGCCCGCCACCTAGAAACGTAAATTTTTGGACCAATTTTCAATGTTTTATTTCAACTTTTTTCACTTATACAACCCACTTTTTTGGCTTCATAGAACGATAGAGAAAGGCTCAAAGAATAATTCTATGAAACGTTTTTGTATCTATACGAGCAAAAAAAAATGAGAAATAAAGTGTTGAAGTTGGTGTCGATTTCAAAATTTAGCAGAGGATTTTGTCAGAATGTCTACCCTACTATACACTATAGTATATGACATTGAATCGGCGATTTCCATATTAAGAAGGTAGTGTAACATTAGTGGTAAGCATTTGTGCAATATATACCTCAGCCTTCCAATCAACATTGACTGTAATGGTGCCAGGTAAATTATAAGTAGGATGACAGTTTTATTGTTCCTTCTTTTTCCAAAACATTCTATACAATGGGGAGACTCAACAAGTACCAGAAGAACCTTAAAATTGTGCAAGAGTCAAAGAACACAATTAAGTAAATTTCTTATGCGTTCAAAGAGAACTGTTAGTTTCTAATAATCATGTAAGAAGAATTATGCGAGAGTAGTTTGTTTATTTAAGTCATCCTCTGAGAAAGGACTCACTGGATGAAAAGCAGAAAAAATATAAGTCCCACTAGCAAATTTTCGATGAATAAATATCACTTAACTAAAAATGGAAATTTATAAAGGCGGAATCTTAAATTTTTGAAATGTCCACTTGTTGTTTCTAGGTGGCAGGCACCATATATAAAAAAGACAAAAAAAATTATTAAAAGTGATGAAAAAGATTTTGATGGAAAGTTAAATAAAAATAGTAGTAATAAAGTATTAGGATATTTAAATAAATATATAAGAAGTGTCAACTATATTATAGTTTCTTTAGATATAATTTTTAAAATTGTAAAAATGAATTCTTTTCCTTTTGATATTTTAAATAAGGATGTTAGGAGAAATAAGTATATTAATATAGTACATGATAAAAAAAGAAGAATTTATAAATATATTAAAATCAAATAACTATAAAGTTCATAACAAATTGTTTTTATTCATCTTCAGAAATACAATTAATCTAAAGAATATTATGAGTAAAACATTGGTGTCAAACATCTGTAAACGATCTTCTGAATTGACTGAACAACATATATCTTAAATTTATAGTTTATTTTAAAATTTTATATTTTTCATTATTACTTAATAGAGGGATTGATTCTTACCAATAGGCGTGAAGGTCTACTTGTGAATTGTGCAGAGGTATACAGTCGCTATCCAACATTAGATACTCATCATGAACAAACGAAAATCAAGTGCCATCAGTCCCTGAATACAACCTTACTGCACCTAGCTATGAAGTAATCAAATGTAGAGCTATTCATTGTCAAACAGGACAACAGCCTCAAATTGAACTTGATACAAAAACCATGAATGTCCTCATCAAATCATCCATCCGTATTGACAGAAATCAGCCCCCAGCTATTGGTCCATGTAGCACAAATGGGCTCAGTGTCAGCAAAGATACCATGATCTTTATCCGACAATCATTTAGTGAATGGTATGACAATCTATGAGAATGAGGGTTCAACAATCTGTCCATCTGTGAATTATATCTATTTAACGAGAATGCGCAATTATGATAAGGGCAGTCCAATATCCATAGGACTAGGGAGGGAATTAATCTATAACAATTAAATATAAGAGATAATTATTAATTATCCTTATATTATAGTTTATAGTTAATTCTTTAGGGTGAAAGAATATAAAAAATTATAATAGTTTAAAAAACTCAAGAATTTTAATTCTTAGATTTTTCAATTATTATAAATGTTTTTATCCTACGCTTCAAAATTTTTTAATTTTTGATTTAAAAAATAAAGGCGAAGCATTACTTGACTAGATAAAAATTTTTTTTTTAAATTCCCAGAGCAAAGGTGAACCTTTGCCTTAGAAAAATGGTACATTTTACTTATTAAACCAGATAGAAAGAATTTTCTTTTCTCTAAATATAATAAATATATTCGTATAATATAAGGAAGGCATAATACAGAGGATTTGTATCGCCTTCCTGATAAGAAGAAAAAATGGCATAGTCAGGGCTTATTATAATAGAGATATCAATTATATAGATAATAGCCCCGTTTATTATTTTGGATAACTAGTTTATTTAATTTGTGAGTTTAGTAATTATTTTCCAAAAATCTATTTCACCTGCATTACAAATAAAAAGTTTTTTTATTTTTCTTTTTTTAATTCTTTTGATATCATTTTTATTCCTTTCTATTATTTTTATTGTATATTTGTTTTTTTTCTCTTTTTCTTGGGATAAGATTGGGATTATGTTTTGTACATACAGATCTCTTTTTATTACCATTTTCTGTTATTTTTTTTGGACACATTCTTCTCTTTTTCCTCTTTTATATATATATAAACATATATTACTACTACTATTTTCATACCAAAAATAATTCTTATTAACTTTTCCTATGTTTTCTTTTATAATTTTATCAAATAATTTCTTTTTATTTCTTGAGTCAGATAATATTTCATTTTCAAAATATTTTTCTTTAACCTCGTGCATAATGTTTTCAAAAGATTTAATTAAAGATGACTTATAAATAAGAATATTTTTATTGAAGAGAACCTTTTTTCAAATAAACTTTTAGATTTATTTTTTTTTTGAATCTTCTGAAGTTTATCTTTTTTATAAAATAAAAATTCAATTTTTATTTTATTTTTAAGTTGGTATAATTTCTTTCAATCATTACTTTTTTCACAATTTTTAATATAACAACCAGTCTCCTATATTTCAGCTGAAATGGATTATCTTGATTATAACTAGGGTCATAATCTGACCTGTGGGTCAAAACCAACCTACAGGTTGAGGACAGGTCAACCGGTTGGGTTGATGCTTTTCTGACCCACATGTCGACCCGTCTAACCATTGACCTAACCCATTAACCCGTTGTGACTCGTGTATACATATAATATGTATAAGGTACTTGTATTCAAGTAATCAATCTTCTTATTGGGAAGCATCATTATCTTAAAGATGAGGTTGTCAATATGTCTGCTATAGAACTATAATATAGAATGTACTTATACTCTTTTTATTGTGGGATTATATTTTATATTTAAGAGTAGAGGGTAAGTAAGCTATAAGCAATATACGTAATAGGAGTAGAGAAGTAGCAATAGTACAATGAGAACGGACAATAGAGGGTGGTAGTAAGAGACGAGATTTGACAAAAGACTGAGAAGGAATTGAGAAAAGAAAAACGAAGGAAGAAGGAAGAAGTGATAAGTAAAGGGAAGAGAGAAAGGATTAGGGGCATATAGGGAAGTCGATTTTCAAACACACTTTTATGGTGCAGGTCATCTTAAACCATATATTTTTAAAAAACAGCCAATTTTTGAATAGCGAATTCCGCTAATGTATATGCACTTTATTCCATTATTCATTTACTTTCACTCGACGATGTGATTTGTATTTTTTTACTATATAGAGCGCTTCTTGTCCCTGAAATCCCTGATAATAAGCATCTATAAATCTCCATGCTTTTCGTTCAAAGTTCAAAGTTATATATCATTTTAATGGAACCTCGTCAAGGACTTTTGAAACAGTTACTTGTAGGCTTTTTAGGCTAAGTCACACCGATAGGAAAAGAAAGGAGTTGTTTCTTACAACAGTTTCTTTCATTGATACACCTGATGTTTATTTGTGTCATATGCATATAACGGTGCGGCTATATCTTTTGCCGATATAATGACAATTTTTAATTGGCTGCAGGGCTGTGTAGGGACGGCCAATTTTAGGGCGAACTTATAAACTATTATCCATAACTTTGAACCACTATTCTCTCACAAATATCACTCTGAATAAAATCTGGCGCGTTAGAACTATTCTCTAACATCTAAAAAAGAGTTTAGTGACTAGTAGCATTTCGAAAATAATGCCTCAGCATATACGGTTTAAGATGACCTGCACCATATTATGCTTTCTTTAATACATGTGCGCCCAAGCGAATTCTTTTGTGATGGCATAAAACCTTTACCTTTAAAAGTAGATGTTGCGAGCACTGCTAGGAATTTGCGTTCCATCATCTTGGAGAGCTATGTATATATATGTGGAGTTTGCACTTCTAGTGCTCAAGTTCAGGTTGATAAAGACTTCCTTCATCATCATATCGAAATCAGTCTTGACCCGTCAACCCGAGTTTTGACCCGTCGAGTTGAACGGGTCGGGTCGGGTCAGTGTTTTCTTGACCCGACCCGACCCGACCCGTCTAATTGCGACCCCTAGTTATAACGATCTATATTAAAATCCGGAAATTTATAAAAACTAATACTGTAAATATGAGCACTTACCAGTTAGACCTTATAGACAAGGATTTAGATGCAAAAATAGCACCCCAAATGTTTCAAGCAGTTGTAGCATCTGATTAGGAACAAGGTGAAAGCGCTATCCTTAGCTAACATTGTGTTTATGATCAACAAAAAAGCTGCAAGACAAACAGCAAAATATGGAATATTAATGAGATTCTCAGGCTGTTCAATAACAGCTCAACTGTCGACATCATTGGTTATGAACAACTCAATCGTCCTTTGACCAATTTGGCGAATGAAATATCGCCCTCTCTCATAACTGCAAATACCGAAGTGACGCGCACCCTTTGCCAAATTTTCACCATATTAATGAACACTTTTTCTCATAGAGCAGCAAATCAAAGTGAATATTATTGTCAACAAAAAATGACATACAAATCTCTCCTGTATGCGATGAACTCTGAATATTCATGTGTTCTGCCGTGGGATATAGTATAAGACTTTCTGCAGACGTGTGAGCACATTGCAGCCAAACTGTCAATAGATACACTGTGTGTGGAGGGACACATCACAAGCTAAAAAACAGGGTGATATCCAGGTGATAACAAGGGTAGCAGGTTTATAATATCACCCTGATTTTGGGAAAGGTGATATTTATGCGAAAACCGCGTAATTTGCAGCTATCACGTTGTTAAAAGAGTGTAGAATATAGCTCATGCATGCACGTGTTAATGGGCGTCGATCGTATTATATATGTAGCATATCAATACAATAAGCATGTCAATAAGCATGTCCAATAAGCATGTCGATAAGTACATGTCACTTATAAATATCATGCATAAGCATTCATAATAAGCATCTCAATAAGCATATCACAAGCGGCTTGTGTGATGCTTATTGGGATGCTAATGCGTGATGCTTATTGAGCTGCTTATTTTTGCGACAGCCTCATTTCCGTGGGGCAGTGTCATGTTTGAAACCATTTTGACTCGTTTGCATTTTGCCCTATTCTGGTCTCATTTTCTTTGACTGTAAAAAAACAATACAGCATGGCACGTCAAAAAACATTGCATATGCGAGCTTGATGTCAAGTCAGCGACTATTCAATGCTTATGCTGCTGCCATCTCGACAAGGATGCTCCATATGTAGCGCAAAAGCACCATCATATTTCGAAGAAAACGACAATCTTTTCCGGTTTCTCCATATCAGGATTTTTAGGGCATGCATAATATATAGTTCGAAAAATGCACCAATTTTAATGATGCTCTAAGATATGTTTACCGCCTTTGAATATTATATTCGCATAGATTTAGAGAAGATGGCATTAACTGACCAGAGCTACAAAAAAAATTGCTCACCAGTCAAACAAAAAAAGAAAGAAGATTTACCCTCGTTCGAAGTTACACTCTCTTATGGCATTTTTCCAAACAATTCTGTTTTGTTAGACAAGCACGAAAAAACTCTCCCCATTTTTTTACCTGTTCTCGAGGACTCCCTCCCTCATTTACTCTGTGGTTTCAATTCAATACGTTTTTTCTATCACAATCGCCCTTGCTTCCGTGGAATAAACACTTCTTCAGAGCGCTTGCCCATTACGACACTTGTCCAAGCATTTATGAGTATGTCTAACAATCCGTTTAAAATCACCTAATTTCAAGCTAATAGAACTTCACTGATCTAGGTCATCAAACGTCTTCTCGAGAGACTCATTGCGCTTCACTTTGCTTTTGACCACTGACCAGAAATTGCTCAATTGGATTGAGCTCAGGAGAATATGAAGGCAAATAAGCGCAGCAGTAACCGCGAGCTTCTGCGTATTTGGCTATATTGTCTGATGTATAAATAGGAGCATTGTCCATCACGAGGTAAATGACCTTTCATGTGCGGATAGCGGTCCATTTCATCCAATCGTAGCTTTTACAAAGCTATTATAGTGTACCGTAACCGTTCCTTTGCTCATTTGCTCAACGCCATCTCCCCGCTTTCTCTTTTTATTAGATGGAGGTTGAGGAAGTCTAAGGCTGTATTTGATTAGACCATCAGCGGAAATCGCGCCCAAAATGGTTGTAGTTGTCGCTCGTGTTTTAGGAATTGTGACCACTGCTGGTGCACCTTTCTTTGACCACGGCATACTAAGTTCTCAAATTAATATGGAAAGCAAGATCGTCAAGAAAGACACAGTTTCCAGTAAAATCCAAGTCTGTTTTTTTCCCATGTACGAGCCCAACTCAAGCGCTCTTGAATCTTTTCTTCACTATTCGGGTCTATGGGTTGAAGCTGAGCTTTCTTAAGAGATAAATTGCATATTGTTTTACAAAATCGTACAAGGTAGTTTTAGATACTTTAAAGTCGGCAAATATTTTCTTTACCTTTTTCATTACTCCCTCTAGAACGATGGAAAGATTCTCAACAATGCACTCGAGAATAGCGTTTCTGTGTTCGGCATGGAGAATCCGTGGACGGCCAGTCTTTCTCCGTTTCTCAAAAATGCTGTCAGAATCTTTCTCTCATTGCGCAGCCCAATTTTGTGCTGTACGAACATGAATCCCAAGTTGTTTTGCAGAAGCGACCGCACTCAAACAACAGTTTGCAGAACCTCACTTTGTCCTGATCAGAATAGCGTGTATAATATTGCTTCACTGAAATTTCCGTCATAATGACATCATCGTTAGGCTTTGCCTTCTTTTCTACCTGCATTGCATCTATCCTTTTCTCGCTCTCCAGAGGCAATTGAGCTACATATTGTGTATGAGAAGTCAACGTTCAATACGAAACTGTTCCTCATCAACAATATAATTCGTTGGTTCAGATCTGCCACACTCGTCGACGACAGATCCTTTCCCATTTTCTAACAAGAATTTGTAAATCTGAAAAAGAAATGATGCACAGAGAAACACTAGGCGTGCTCTTTTATATTCAAAGATGCCAAGACTTGTTCTACAAAACAATCTTGGGAACAAGACATATAATATATATGCCAAGACGAATATATATTTCGTTCCTGTCATCAAGTGAATTGATTTTCCTTCGGGGCGAATTCGTTTTCGACATTGGGCGAATTTACTTTCTGGGAAGAGTGTATAGCAGTATGGTTGAAAATGTCCGCTTATAGTTAACATAGAACGCTGCCCTTGTAGGATAGGTTGTTAAAGATGACAGATTTAGGAGCAAACTTTTGCTTCATATCCAAAACTAGTATACGCTGCACTGTTGTCCTTATACACACACACACATATATATATATGTATTTATATATATAGTTGGCTCCTTCATGCAATTCCCTTGTCTACGGCATCGTTGTCTGCTCGTATCTAACTGCTGAAATTAACTTGCCTATTTCAACGTACTGCTTTACTTTATGCTTACTACGCATGCGCATTAGAGCAAAACAGGAATCGAAATTGGGATTATCGTTACACGATAAAATGATATTTTCAAAACTAAAGAATGTACATGAAGAAATTGATAAATGGGAAGGGAATATATATTTATTCGAGGCAATCGGGCTGCATCTTGGTAATCATTTGGAAAAGTGGTTGGAACTGCATGTATCCTGCCTGGTGGTCTCCAGTATTTTGGAAAACGCCGCGGGCTACCTTATCATCGATAAGCTTCAGATCCTTGTAGCCGTTAGGATGCGCAGACTCTGCGAGAATCTGGGACTCGCAACATCGTTCCATGGCAAGGAACCACCAGATGGCCTCATCAACCGTCTTGCCCGTGGTCAACAGTCCATGATTTTGCAAGATGAGTGCCTTGTTGGTGGGGCCCAGCGCTTTGACCAGATTTTCTCCTTCCTCGGGTGTATACACGACACCACCGAAATCCGGATAGACGCCGTGGGCACCATAGAATGCGCATGCATCTTGTGAGATAGGGAGCAATTCGCGGCCGAATGTTGAGAATGTTCGGCCGTAAATGGAGTGCCTATAATCATTTTGGATCATAGGTCATTAGAAAAAGCTCTAATTCCTCGCGTGATGAGGCTTTTGATGCAATGAGTGAAATGAAAAAAACGAACGTGTGGACGGCGCAAATAACATCTGAGCGTGCATTATGGATGGCTCCGTGGATCATGAATGCTGCCTTGTTGACGGTGGTATTCCCGCGAACAATCTTTCCATGATGATCGATTAAGACAAGATCACTCGCCTTGATGTGTCCAAAATATTTAGCAAGAGGGTTAACCCTGATTATTTACAGATGATATGGCGTGAGTCAGTTGGTATATATAGCTAAATGCGCATGCTGAACGCCATCCCCAATTACCGTCACTTCAACAAGATTCGTAAATACATACCAAAACAGATCGGGGTACTCTGGATCTCTGAAGGTCATATGGCCAGCAACGCCTTCATCGTACCGATACAATGCCATCAATCTAAAATATGCACGAATGATGCAATGCTGGTTGTAAATATAGCCGCATGTGGCAAATTTTACTGCTAATCTGCTTCTTCACAAAACGGAGCCTGTTCCTTACCTAAAGCCTGCTGCCAACTTCTGCTTCATATGAGTTCGTTGTTCATGGAAGCTCATGAACGTTGGAAGGCCGGGAATCTGCACCGGCTCTTTCTCAGCTGCGCGTGCTTCTTCCTCTGTCTCCGAGCCCGTCAAGACAATTCGTCGCTTTGAACGCAAAAAAACGGCGTATCGATCAGGCGTGCGTTGAGCTTCGATAGGAGCACGTGGTTGTTCGGTAGACGATGCTTCACTAACAATTGTAGTGGTGGTGATAATTGTCAGAGTCATAGTTCGGCGCTCTCACTCCTTTTGAAAGGTATTTCATTCTCTCTAACCATCCCCTCCGTAGCTAATGTTACTTTGTATTTACGTACGCTGACATTCTTAAAAAGGTGAGGAAGGGTGAGGAAAAGTAAAGAGAATTATGCAAAGAAAAAAGAAAAAGAAGAGGGCGCATAGATTCTTTTTATATGTGATAGAATTCGTTCTTCCGGCGGAAAATAAAATACGCGTTGGTCGACCCTCCCAAACAACCTTCTCACGATCTCTTGTAAACATTCTCACAGAATAAAGTTTCTTGGTAAGCTCTGCATGGTATCGGTTCGTTGTCGTTCTCCACTACTACCCTTTGGCTGCTACTAATCTATTGTGTTCTTTAAGACAAGTACATGGTTGTGATGATTGTATGGTTCAACTACATCTTCCCCCGTCAACTTATACGTTACAATAAAGAGGGCAAGTTCGTCTACCACTGTCAAGGATGCGCTACTTTTTTGAACAAAATAAGCGATGAGATAATGCTGCTCGTCTCAAGCTCTACTGCATATAATAATAAACGTCTCTTCTTGTTATCTTTATTACGCCAAAACAATTGTACGTGGGAAGTAACGATGTTCTGAATCTATCCATACTCTTGACGATGATAAACCATACACAATCGTAGCATATATCATTCGGCGCGGGGCGATGTTTGATCACAGGGATATATAATACACGAATACACAACTAGAGCTATCGGAAGGAATGACCCTGTGGTTTATCTAAATGAACTAAAATCTATTGTTGTGTAGTGCTTCCGCGGGAAAGCTCCAACGTAAGGCTCGCGTGGATCAATCCGCATTGTTTTTGACGAAACCGTTCTATGCGCAGCGTTTGGAAAATGGTGGTAATAGCAAAGAAAGCTATAACAGCGTGAGCCAAGACAGATAATTTTGACAGCCTGCTGAAAGATTCAATTATGTCATATATTTAGCAAGCCTAAAATTACGGAAAAGACTTGGCTGGCAAAGCTGGTTTGTTTTTTACCACCGATGATGCGTAATTCTCACAGCACACAAAACAGTACTATTTCCGGGCTTCGGAGAAGGATCGTGTTACCATAACAGCAGTCGACGCCTCCCGGTGTACATAAACGTTGTCTTAAACACGATGTACAGGCAAGATACTCACACGATTATCATTAAGCATATCCACCAAGAAGCCAAGCATTGCGAATGTATTTTTACAAGTAAAGGCTACAAACCATGCTGAGCAGGTATTAGTGCTGGGCTTATTTCGGTAACAGCATCAGTGAGAAGAAAATGGACATGGATCTTCTTTCAATCAAACTTACAGAAAGTAAGGGGCAGGAGAAACAAATACTTTTGTACATCACGCAATTTATTTTGGATTAAGGTGATATACTAGATTGGAAAAAACAAAAAATATGTATTCTAAATGATTGAATTCTATATAAAGTGAATGTACATCGATAAATGGGATAGCTTCTGCAGGTCTACAATAAATAGGAAAGTTGAAAGGATAAGTCTAATCAAAGTGGAGGATATGGGGCAAAATAGACTAATATATCTATGTCATAATGGCAGCATCTGCTTGATAAATGGCTGTGATGCAACGAAGGATTTGCTACTGATAGATGGTCCAGCCTCGAACGTCGAGGAATTTGGTGCTGTTGGTGCTGAGGATGAAGAGGAAGGTGACTCTATGATTTCCTCTAATACCTCATCCACGTCCACCTGGACCTCGGCATCGAGATTAGAATAAGTTCGACAAAGCGGACAAGAGAAAGCAGGAAAGTTTTGCTCCACCAACGGCCGCAAACACTTGAAGTGACAAACATGGGTGCATGGGGCAACAAACAGAGCTTGTGAAGGTGCGATGGCATAGAGACAAATGCAGCATTCTTGCATATCTCCACGGTTCTTTGGCTGTTGTTGTTGGGTAGGCTTGTTTGCTGTTATTCGACAGCACAGCTGTTGAAAGACAGTCTTGCTAGATGATGGCACTTTGTTCTTGTCATTGAACTCATGATGGCTATGGTTGTTATGGCAACGGCTTCCGTTGCTGCTGTTGTTGTTGTTGTTGTTAGTAGTGTGGCGGAGGTGACTGACTTGAAGTCGCATGCGAACTGCACGAAACACAGGCTCAACTCCCTGTTGATAATTGACACCAAGCTGGATAATGTCACCATCACAAACTTCTCGAATCGAATCGTCATCCTCTTTTACAGAAGATAGTCGCATACGATTGACAAATGTACCGCTCGATGATCCCGTATCTCGGATAAAGACCTAGTTACATTTTGCGTTATTTTGTGAGTAAAAGCAGCTATTGATTTTTGCAAGCTGAGAGAAAGCATGCTGTATCAACCTTCCCATCCTCCGACCAAAGTTCGGCATGACTACGGCTCACAACCTTGCTCTTGAATGACAGACGGTTTAAATCGTGTTGCCAACTATTGTTATATCGACCAAACTTTAGCACTGCCCCTTGCTGTAAGCTCCGCTCAATCACATCAAAGACAAAGCATTGCGAATTGTACGTGACATGAGGAACCAGTCGGACGCATATCTCGTCATCGTCGCAAGGTTCACTGCTGGCCGCGTGTAGATGAGTTGCTTTGCATGCTGTACTTGCAGTAGAGCCGGATCGAGTGATAGGAATGCGAGACTGTGATGGCATTGTTTTGTGCGTGTATTAGATGACTTGTGTATGTGATGAAGTTGAAGAATTGGGGTTGATGTAGCAACTCGTTGTTTGTGGGTATGGTATGTTCGTATATTGGAACAGATAATACAGGAAAATGAATTGCAAAGCAAGTTTTGTAAATGAGGCACACAAAAGACAAAAGCAATGTTATTTTGTGAAATATTTTATCATCTTTATATATAGCGAAATCCACAGGCGCTAAGTCGGTCGATTGCACGTTTATTGACATTCGAAATATGACCAGATCATTGTGCGTGCACGCTTAAAAACCTAAATTACCACGCAGACATAGGCATACGTATGACACAACGTATGTTTCAAAGAAAGAACAATGGTGAGCATTTCATGCGGGATGGACAACACTTGGGCGTCAAACATTTCATGATCCTCACCATATTTTCTTCTGGCTTCGTTTCTTGTTGCGCGACCTGATGCAAACTGCTCGTCCAAACGGTCCTGCATACTCTGAGCTTGTGCAGCCAACGCCATGATATTGTTCTTTTTCTTTTGGAGTCCACTAGCTTGGAGCTAATTGATTGGCAAAAAACGAAAATGAATTGGCAAGCAGAAAAAAACAAAAAGGTCTAATCTAGGGCCTAGAATGCATATCTTCTTTACTCTCCTATGAAAATTGAACTTACCGTGGCGCCTTTACTAACAAATTTCGGGGCTGGTATGTGTTGTGCATGAGACCGCCATTCTTCAGATGGTAGTATATCCTGTTGGTTGACTGTCTTAAATTGCACCTCCGAGTCGCGACCTTTCCTTTTGCCCGTCAACCTCGTAATCTGTTTATGCATGTTCAAGCCAGTTAGTAAGCCGAGTTACAGAATTCTATTCTTTACCTCGCTCTCTGTATCTATTCAACCTTTTTTTAACCCACTCCGTTTTACTGATGTTCCCTTACCGCTGTCTCATCTAGATCGCCAAAAGCGTTACCCTGGCTCTCACTTGCATTTGAAACCTGTCCAGCATCATATTCTTGTTGCTGCTGATAATAGTACTGATAATAGCTAGATGGGTCTGTACCATATGCATACATGGCGTTGGGATCCACATTAGGATAGGCGTATGCGTCTACAGCAGTAGGTCCATCGTCTATTTGTTGTTGTCCCGATAATTGCTGTGATGCTGATGATGATGATGATGATGATGATTCTTGGTGTTGCTGTGAGGATGAAGCCACGTCGGTCGTTTTGTCTACAACATTCGATTGCTGTCGGGTGGGTATTTTGTATGATGATGTTGTTGGTGTCACTGATTTCAGCTCGGCTCCTGCGGGGCACAGGTTAGTTTAACGCCACGTTTTTTAAAGAAGCATATATCCACGTTTTTACACGTGGCTTGATACATTTAAACTTTCGCTGTAGTTAGTCAATACACTTGCCTAATCTGAAGAATGGTCCTGCATGACTAGCATCCATATTGTCTTCTTCATCCTCCTCTTGGTCTCCTGCTACTAACGCATCTGCATCGACGGCGATATTCGATTCCAATTCTCGGCCATCCTGTTCTTTTTCGTTACTTTTTGGCTCGGCTTTCGTTTCGGTAAATCTCTTTGCATTAAAACTGCTGGTGCTCCCTGTTGCAGTGGATGATGAAGAAGATGATGATGCAGGTGCTGCTGTACTATTCCCAGAATTCGCTGCTTTGGGCTTTGTAAAGTTAAATGATCGTTTTGGTGGCGGTAGAAGCGCCGCAAGGCCCTTAGCACCTGATCCAGAAGAAGAAGCCAATTTTTGTCGTTTTGCCCGCTTTTTCTCTTCGTCTTCGTCATCGGAATCCTGCGTTAAAGTAGGTAGATCTACATAAACGACCGCCCTTGATGACGACGAGGACGACGAAGCTTGGTTGTTTTTGGGTTGTGGTAATAGCGATCCGAGCCCTGATCCGCTCGGTGTTGCGCTTTTTCGTGTTTGTTGAGGCTTTGGTGTTGGAGCTTCGACGTCTGACGATTCTGATTCGGAACTGCTGCCGTAGTAGTTACCAACAAGTGACATTGTATGTGTATGTTTGAAAAGAAAAGAAAGATGGTTTAGTTCGGGATTGAGACTCAGCCGTCTCTTTTCCCATTCAACCCGCTGCTGTCTCTCTGTTCTTAAAAAACCATATATTAAAGCGAACACAAGGCCTGAATACAGTGTTTTGAAAAAGAAATGGCATCAGCAGGTACTGTAGCTTACGCCCAACATGTTGTGGCCTATTTAGTGCGCTTTTCATGAGCTAATGATAACCGCAATTACTTCATCGTCCTTTGTTAGTCTTCATTTTGGACCTAAAGGGAAAGGTCCTTATATCTCGAAACTACCGAGGCGACATTCCAATGAGTGCCGTCGAGAAGTTCATGCCCCTGGTATATAACATACAGCGATATATAGGAAATACACGCACGCGTTCTTGCGTTGAACATGACGCGAGAAAAGATACAGAAGTTGACCACCGTTCGCCTGTTACATTGTCGCGTCCTAATTCCTATCTTTGTAGATATCCGAAGCTGAAGATGAGCAAGTGCCACTACCTTGTTTTACCCATGACGGCATCAATTACTTATACTTGAAGCATAGCAACCTTTACCGTACGTCGATTCAACCCCTTCACAGCCAAGATGAGAGTCATGGGAGGAAAACACAGATATATTGACAAAAAGACTCTTGTCCTTTTTTTCTAGTGCTCGCGATCACTCGAAAGAACACCAACGCAGCTTCGATCATGCTATACCTACACAAACTTACCCAAGTGTTTTCAGAATACTTTAAAGAACTCGAGGAAGAATCAATCCGAGACAATTTTGTTATCGTTTACGAACTTTTGGATGAGATGATGGACTTTGGATATCCCCAGACTACCGAAACCAAGATTTTACAAGAGTAAGCTATAGAGGCAGCCAAGCAGAGAGGAAGAACGTTTCTTGTTTACTGATATCTGACTTGTTGATAGATATATCACCCAAGATGCATACAAACTCGAGGTTCAAGTGCGTCCACCCATGGCTGTCACTAATGCTGTGTCATGGCGTTCTGAAGGAATTAAATACAAGAAGAATGAAGTGTTTTTGGATGTCATTGAGAGTGTGAACTTGTTGGTACGTAGCATCATCCGCGAGATACTGCTATGACGGCACGTGCTAACAAATCAGTTGTTTTGATCAAAAAGGTAAATGCAAATGGCAATGTGCTGCGAAGTGAAGTACTTGGCGCCGTTAAGATGCGCTGTTACCTTTCTGGCATGCCAGAATTGCGCTTGGGCTTGAACGATAAAGTGATGTTTGAGGCCACAGGACGAGGTAATACGTTGTATACGAGTTATCGAATGGAGAGAAAGAGAAATGGAGGTGTCATACAAGTACTAATATATATGCTCTCCTTTTGATAACTATGATCACTTAACAAACCATAGGAGCCAACTCGACCAAGGCCATCGAGATGGAAGACGTCAAGTTCCACCAATGTGTTCGTTTGTCACGATTCGAAAACGACCGCACTATCAGCTTTATCCCGCCAGATGGAGATTTTGAGTTGATGAGTTATCGATTGCAAACAAGCGTCAAGCCTTTAGTTTGGGTTGAAGCTGTGGTAGAAACATACTCGGGTTCTCGAGTCGAGTATTTGGTCAAGGCACGGGCACAGTTTAAGCGGAAGAGCACTGCCAACAATGTCGAGATTGAAGTTCCTGTCCCCGATGACGCAGATACACCCAAATTCAAGGTATAATCTCTTTAAAAGAAAGAGGAGCCAACAATCAAGCAAGGTGTACAAACTAACATGCCATTTTATTTTACGATTCTTTTTGTCTTATAGAGCAGTAACGGCTCTGTATCGTACAAACCAGAAAGATCTTGCCTTGTATGGAAAATCAAACAATTCCAGGGTGGCAAGGAATTTATTATGCGCGCTCATTTCGGATTGCCTTCCGTGCAAGCCGGTAAATTTTCCATTGTATTTACGCAAGGGCGGTTTTTTTTAATCGATCACTATGGTCTTGAAAGCTAAACACATGCGACATGTTTTTGTTCTTTTTTTTTTCATGTATAACTAGCTGAAGAGACGGAAAAACGGCCACCGATAAACATCAAGTTTGAAATCCCTTACTTTACAGTGTCTGGTATCCAAGTAAGATACCTCAAAATCGTAGAGAAGAGTGGTTATCAGGCCCTTCCATGGGTGCGGTACATCACGCAAAACGGAGGTAAGAGAACGATATTTAGTTTTATTTCAGCGCAAAGTGGCGACGAGAGCGCTCTGCTCACCATCTCTACTGGTTCTGCACAGATTACCAAATGCGTATGCCTGAAAGCATCAAAGCAAACAAACAAGTTAGCTATTATTAACACCATTATATACACAAGAAAATGTCCGCCATCCACTCTCCTTCTTCCTCTCTGCACAACCCACACACACAACGAATCTCCACCACACTATTTGTACCTCAGCCGCCTTTTTGCTGATATATAAAAACACAAATTATATATAAAGTATCCTGTACCCTCAACCCCTGGTTACTAAGATATCCCAGGGTTTTAAGTGTTCCGAAACAGCAACATTTAAGTGACACATATCCCACTGCCAAGTAAAGCATGAACATAAATAGCACGCACACTATGCTCAGCTCTGTGTAATTTTCTTTTACTTTCAACAAATCACAAAGCCAAAGATGTCAAATCCGGTATGGGCACCTGAACGCAATCGTCGCAGAAAAAGATGCCTTTGGCTTTGCTGTTGCCTAGCACTCCTCGCCATCATAGTGATAGTTGTCGTAGTACCATCTGTCGTCGTCACACGCAACAACCGAAACAGCGATGACCGATTACAACAAGGAAACAGCACCGACAATGGCGGCAATACTGCTGGAGATACTAGCGACGATCCATCGACGCAAAACACTCCTACACAACCACCACCATCCTATGCCAAAGCCGTTTCTTCCTACGCCAACTTGACACGTGTCCGTACCTATAGTCACCTGGACCAGAAAGAGCGGATTTTCATCATTGGCGATGTTCATGGCTGCGCCGACGAATTGAAGCAGCTTGTAAACCGCATTAATTACAATCCGGATAAAGATCAGATTATTCTTGCAGGCGACCTCGTCTATCGGGGACCCGATAATGTGGGTGTCATCCGGTATGCTAAAGAAATTAACGCACTGTGTGTCCGCGGTAACCACGACGATATTACGGTTCGATTCAAGACATACGAGCTGCAACATGGTCTGGAAGCGATGCAAGACGAGAAAGAAATCATGCCTGAAGGCGATGTGGAAGATCCGCTCAAATTTGGGGACGACCATATGGATATTGTAAAGTAAGCATTCAATGATAGCGTATATGTGCCTTAAAAAGAAGCTCTAACAGTCCCACACTTTTTATTATTCTGGAAAAGAAACATGACTCAGGAAGATTATGATTATCTGGTCAATTGTCCACTGGTCATCGATCTACCAACGCTCAACAACTCGCGCATTGTCCACGGAGGTCTTGATCCAGCCATCGAAAAGGCAGTGAATAACGACCCTTACTCGGTATTGAACATGCGTAATCTGGACGACGGTGAGCCAGAACGGACAAAGAGTGATGGAAAACATTGGACAAAGTACTGGTCAGAAGCTCAACACGACAACAATACCGATCATGCAATCAATGTGTACTACGGCCATGATGCTGGGCGGGGCTTGGACCTCGAGTCAGAGACGTTTGGAACGGATAGTGGCTGTGTATACGGTGGACAGCTAACTGCCTTGGAAATGAAATCGCATGCGTTGTCGCAGGTAGATTGTCCAGAGTATTCTTCGTAACAATCGAATGTAGAACGTGATTATCGATCGAATATAATATAAGGTTATTTACAGATGTATTCAGGAGCGACGATGTGTGTGTATGTGTAATGCATATGTTTTGAGCCTTTTTTGTTTGTTTGCGGCAGTGGTATATTTTTTCGTTTTCTCTATTCATTGATCGCGGTCGTCGTTTTTGCCGGGTCTTCTTCTGGATTGAAAGGCGCCAGCTCCATATATTTTTTAAGCTGCTCTTTCTTGGTCTCCAAAATCGTCGTCTCGCGTTTCAGAATAGCGTCTTGTTCTTCTTCCACGTATTGCAATCCGGGCAGTTCTTGCAGTATACGCCGTGCATTGCCGAATCGTTCGTCCATTTGTGCGACTGCTTTGCCGATCTCTTCTTGATTGGCTCCATCCAACATTAATTCGACAATGCGATGGAAGTCACGCATGAATGCAAATTCGTCTTTATGAAACACGGTGGATCCACTATCAGCTGCTGTTTTGTCCTTGTTATCTGAAAGCAATGTAGGAGATGCACGTGTTGATGAAGGGATGGAAGACGACATTGTACGTAAAGACGGCTAAAAGAAAGAAGGAAACGTTTGTTTATACTGAGACTGAATATTGCGCCTATAATAATCACGCCGTATGCGTAAGTACTCACGAAGCATCATATATTTAAAGCTGACCTAATGGTCTTTCTTTATTCGGTTCCTTTTGTTCATTCCACGTCATTTATCTCTCACTCTCTTTTCTTGCACTTGTAATGGCAATACTGAGTATTCTCCGTGACATTCGTGCACTTTTCACAAAAAATGACGCAGTGAACGATCTCTGGTACATTCTGGCTGTGAGTACTACTTTTTCCCTTTCTCACTGTGATTGTTGCCCTTTCCCACCTACATATTCTGGGGTAACATGGGGCTTAAATTGGCAGTATGATCTCATGGATATTGCTTAATACATATAAAAAGGCTTCTGCCATCACTTCGCTTAATCATCCTGAAGATATCGAACCTGTATATGCACTCGTCGAACAATCAATTGATGAATCGGTCAAGCTCAGCCAGTCTGAAAAGGAAGAAGCTAAAATACATGCGGTGTTGCGTTTGCGTGAAGGCATTCTCAAAAGCTTCATCGCGTCTGGTTTTCCCAAGGTAGGTTTTGGTAAATCCATCCTGTCACCGCGACCATATCAACCAAATTTGATTTCTGCTGTATACAGACGATCAACGGTTTAAAGCATCTCAACATTGCTACGCCTGAGCCTATCAATGCAAAGCTGCCGAAGACACCGTTCCGGTAAAGTAGAACGAGCACCCCGACACTTGTATATATCGAAGGGTTCATCTATATATTAAGCTAACTCTAATTTATAGCAAAGAGGATTCGTGGGAAGCCATACTTCGAGGGCGTGAGCGGGGGAAAGCATTGTTTGCGAAAATCTATGACAAGCATACTGAACGTGTACTCACTGACATGCACACATTTTACCCGGATCTTGGCCAAGTTGCGATCCATCAGCTCTATGGACCTGTGATCTCTAATACCTCCCTTTTATCGGGCAAAGAATCGAGTCTGGTTCTGGTGACAGGGCTCAAAGCCCAAGACATCGCTGCTCAATTACGCGGCCATACCTACGGTGCCCTTCATCAAGGCGCCACTCGAGAAGACTTGAGCAACATCAACGCAATGGTCAATATGCTTTGCAAGCACTACGGTGTGTCTCTACCCAAAGCCAAGCTGTAACGTCTTTTTGCATGATAGAAGAAGAAGAAAAATAAAATATTGTTTTGTCGCATAAAAGGTCGCATGGGTTCAGTTTCAAAATGCAAAATTGATTTTTTTTCTTTTTTTGGCAATCTGTCCCAAGCCTGATCTCCCCACGTCAAACCTGTTTATTCTTGTCTGCTTTCTTCTTTTCCCTTCACCTATGTTACCAGATGAGTGGTCTGAAAATTTGACCTTTCGATACTCCACTCCTCAATTTAGTATTTTAAACCACATAACCATTGCTGTGTCGTCCGTCTCTTTACTCTTGTCGCTTGTGGTTGTCATCTTTTATGCCGTTTTCTGGTACTACGAGCGAAAGAAGGCCGATCGAGTGTCGTTGCGATGCGTTGCGCTCGGCAGTATAAGCAACGTAATCGATACCGTGTTGGACATTGCCTCCAGTGTTCGACGTACAGACCAAACATATTGCCGTGTATTGGGACTTATTGTTGATTTTCTCGACGTCATCAACGCCGGTTTCCTGGCAGTAATCGGTGTCAACCTGTTTCTTATCTTTGTCTTCAAGATAAAGCGATCAGAACGACTCGAGCGTTTCTACTATCCAGCAATATTTGTCTACAGCATCACAACCATGATTGTGCCTGTCATCGAGGAATCACAATTAGTAATACCGCGAGATCCCGATCTAAGCTGCTGGTAAGTGCACAGATAATGCATAGACAAAGCTTGTTCTTTGTTGAACCTTCAACTGACATCATCAAAAAAGGTATTACAACCACATTGGTGACCGGGAAAGTCATTTCGTTTCTTGGGTAAGCAATTTAAAGAAAAAGGGAAGAACAGATTCAGCAGCTGTTTGAACATGATTTTGACAGTTCTTTTTATACAATAGATGTATTATTATGCACTCATATTCTTTATTGCGCTCCTTGGGTTATTTTGCTCTATGACCGCCGTCGTCAAATTGTTTCGCCAAGAAGCCGCAAACTTTCGGGGAATGCGTCGGTTCTCTCCATCGGGGCTAGCAAATATGTCTAGCACAGCAAAGCCTCGTCATGACCAGAGCCAAGACCGTCAGCGTCCACGTTCAAGCTTTCCCAGAGTTGTTATGCGTTGTATTACATACACGTTAGGTAAAAAATACATTTAGTGATTCGCATGAGTGATAAAGCATTTGCGCTTGTCTTTTCACGTCACTGATCCAAAAAACCTACTAGTCCCATTTCTCATCCATATTTGGGGCTTTGCAATACAGATACGTGTTTCCACCAAAAGGCGTGCGCCATATGGACTCACAGTCGTCAGTACAATCATGTCTTCAGCGGAAGGTTAGCTGCAATAATACAATCAACGTGTCTACAGAAAAGCACTGATACAACACACGTTTACTTATATGCCGTATTACTCTTGTCGTATAGGTTTGTTAACAGGCATGGTCTTCTTTAGCGAGCCAGTAGTCGTCTCCCACATTAAGGAGAAAATGTCTGACTTTTACCGTGCCTATGGCGAAGAGTTCAGTGTGCTTGAAGAATACGGTCATGGTGCAAGTCTTAGAAGACGTCGAAGAGGTAGCCGCGTCACTTCGGGAGCTGCCGAGAGCATACATAGCACGCGTACAGCACATAGTACTTGTTCGCAGTATGTATCCAACCTGCTTGATAAACGAAATTTGGTACCACGCCCTGCGATCGTCGAAAAAGAATACCACCCACAGGTTGATCTAGGAGATGGCCAAACACTTGCTCCACCGATACTTACAGGAGCAACACCTCCTAGTTCGATTGTAACTTCTGTCGATGACGAATACGCTGACGAGAGTGAAGTGCGTACAATCCCGATGCGTCGTGTCAGTGTGTCTTCATCGGTGTACAGTCGTATTAGAAACGAGTATGAACGACGACTGTCTGATGAAACTAACACATCCACCTTGGTTAATGACGCGCAATACTACCGAAACCTGGTACCGTCACCTGATGCCCCCGACGAAGTCTTTATACCTTATCGATCCCCCGCTTTGGCGAGAGCGGCGCATTGGATGTTTGTGAAGATCGATCGTCTTCGAGGTCGTCGTAATAACAGCAGCAACTCAAACATCAACGCCATAAGTAACCAACGACAACAGCAGGAGCAAAGCCCAGGACCGTATGGGAGTGATGGTGATAGTAGCATATGGGCCACTGGCAGCAATCGCCGTACTGCACACAGTGCTCCTGAAGTAGTTGTGCAGGCTCCCTCGATGCCATCTGTGCGATCAGCACCATCCGACTCGTCATGTTGAAAAACGCAGTGGCATTGACTTGTTGTGCTGTACATAGTGCATAGTGTACCACTATTATTGAATACAAAAATAGCAACACTTTTGTGTAATTTAAACTGCAGTACTGCGCTATCTCCGTCTGTCGTTGTTGAACCGCCCTTCTTTCTTTATATTTCTGGGTTCGAGCTGACATGAATGACCTTAAACCTGACGATCCTACGGTAGCCGTGGGCGATGAACACCCTTTAACTTCGTCTTCGCACGACGAAGAACAGCAACAGCAACAACAGCGCCATGCCCAAGAACGTGACGCCACTACGGATGAAAAGGACTCTGATCCGTTTTTCGTCATTCTAGACAAAAAAGGTGATAGTGACAACGATGATCACGAAGAAACGAAGCCATCGAAAGATAACAAGGTCGATAAATTCGACCGTGATAACGACACGAGTAGCAGTGATAGTGGTAGCGATAGCGACGATGAAAAGAGCGAGATTAGACCAGCTGCAAACCATCCTTTACAGAGCTCGCAGCTTGATGTCAGCGCTTACAGCAACGATCAGCAGTGGGCTCAACAAGAAAACTCTTTGCTTGACGACCAGGGCCAGCCTAATCTCGTAGGCAGTAATACACACTCACTGTCAACGACACCCACTCAAGAACGACAAGTTCAGCTCGATTCTGACACGTCTCATACTAAGGTATCGAAAGGAAAAAATTAAGGCAAAACGGGAGGAAAAGACTGAAAGGAGATATGAAGAAAAAAGAGAGAATACGAGCTGGATATAATTAGTGGAATATGATACTAAACACAAAACGCGTATATCTACAGGGCTTCTATAACGCTGGAGATTCGAGCGAGATCGTCGACCTCGAAGTCAACGGCCAGCTTCCGGAATGGCTTGTTGGTGAGCACTATACCATTGGCCCGGGTACCTACGATGTTCGATATATGCGCAAAATCGAGATTGATGGATATCTTCAAAGCGCCACTTCCACCTTTTCATTTGGACATTGGTTTGATGCGTGAGTGCTGATTTATTTTTGGTACATGTGCTGTGATGATAAGACGCGCAGTAATAGCATCTGTGAAGGGGGTGGTAGGAGGGGAATTTCGTTTTTTTTTCTTTTTTTTTGGTTTTACTCACAAGATTCTAGACTCCCGTTGGCCAATCGATTCGATATGAATGGCAAACGTAACACAATCACCTACCGCAACCGACTCACTTCCCGCCGTCTTATTGAAAAGATTCGGGATCATCATGGCTACGCTTCTCGTCACCCAGCCGGCTTGTTCAAGACCGACTCCAATCAGACCATTTTTACAAAGTTCTTAAAGTCGGCTCCTAAAACGAACAAAGCAGACGGTGAACCTTGTGCTGCCCGAATTCTGGCCGGCATTCCTGGCGTGGACGGCCGTTTATTTGCCCAGAATCATGCCAATCATGTACGTGTGTACGAAAGTGGGAAAGGATAGTTTTCAAAAGGCATGAAATGGCTAATACGGATATGGTGGTGTTGGTTAGATCCAAGAGCTGGATCCGTTTGACATGAAGCCGACTCGGGTGCTTTGCTGGGACGAAGTAAATCCTGCATTCAAGGGTTACAGCTCCTGCCCGAACGGACAATATGATCCGCAGACGGGCGAATATATTAACTTTACCATGGAAATCGGATACCAAACAACTAGCTACCACTTCTTCTCGATCAGTGATCGGGACCCCAAGGGCAAAATTATTGCCTCAGTTACTGCACCCACTGGATACGTGCACAGCTTTTCGATAACACCGAAATACATCGTTTTGGTAGGTGAAAAAACCGGGAGAGATGATTGGATGAGGATGTGCGTATGTTGTTGGGGTTGGTCTCGAGTACAACCGCACCCATCCTTTCAAGGATAAAAAAAAGACTTAGACTTAGTAAATTTTTGTCTTCTGTTTGGACCAGGTGATCTTCCCATTATTAGCCAATTCCGCCGCTGTGAAATATGCCTGGAACGAAAGCGTCTTGGACTCGTTCTCATTTTATCCGAATGAACCCACCTTGTTCCATGTCATTTCTAGAGAAAAGGGACAGCACCTGGTTACGTACCGTTCGGATGCCTGCTTTGCGTACGTAGGATCGACCACTTTTACTTGTTAAAATTATATAAGACGGAAGAGAGCTAATTATTTCATTAACTTTAATTTTGATTAGCTTCAACCATGTTAACGCATTCGAGGACGGACGAGACAACATCAATGTTGATATCGTATGCTATCGCGATGACACTATTGCACACCAGCTGACGACCCACAATTTGCGGAACCCGGGGGAGATGAAGCCTTCGCGACTGGCACCGTCAGAAGTCCGACGATATGTACTTAGCAGTATTGATGAAGAGACCATCAGCTTTATGGCAAATAACTCCATGCTTCCATCCACTGCAAGCATCACATCACGTATTTCGTCAATGTGGGGATACGTACGCGGCTCAAATGCTCAGGCAAACGACGTTGAGAGCTCAGCGGGTCCATCAGCAGCTGCTGCTGGCTGGTATGCTACACTTCCCGTAACATCATACGGCAAGCTTGTCCAGCCGTCCATCGAGTTACCTCAAGTGCACCCATTGTACAAAATGCACAAGTACAAGTACCTTTACGGTCTTGGATTCTCGGCAGCTAGCTCTATTGGTGATGGTAAAATTTGGGACGCCATTGTCAAAGCAGTAAGTAATGTTTGCTATATGCGTCACATACAAAAACGAGAAAGTATGGCAAACTGATATTGTATGCGCTATTTGTTTTTTTTTTATGAAAAGGATGTTGAAACCAAGACAGTAGTTGCATCATGGCATGAAGAAAATTGCTATCCAAGCGAAGCAGTATTTATTCCACGACCTCCACAAGACGTAAATGACGAGCTTCGAGAAGATGACGGTGTGTTGGTCAGTGCTGTGATGGATTCCGCGCGCGCCACGTCGTTCTTGTTGATCTTGGACTCTTCGTCCTTGGAAGTACTTGTCAAGGCAGATTTAGGCATGCTGGTGCCCATCAGCTTTGCTCGAGGATCATATAAACTTCGCAGCTAGAGTAGTGCCTGTATTGCTGTAGCTACGTTACCCACTAGCAGCCATAGTATGGGTATATGGCGATTACATATAAATATAAAATGTTCATGTATGTCTGTATGTTTTTGTTGCATGTAGTATGTACACTATTGATAATTATTAATGCTTTGCTTGTTGGTGGAAGAAGAGGATGTTGAGGGTATCGTTGTTATGGGTGAGAAGACGCTCTTGACAATCTCGTTCCTTTATCAAGTTAAAAAGTCAGAACAAGTATATGTGTAAAGGAATGATGGTCTGTGATGTACCTGAGCTTGAAATTGATAAGGGTTTCCTTTAGATTATCGAGATTCCTGACAGGCTGTAAACTTTCAATCGCTTCGCTTCTACTCATATAGAGGTAAAATACAAAACATATTTGAGTGAGTCCACGTGGAAACATACGTAGAGGACGCAGACATTATAGAACAGAAGAGAAAAAGTCCATTTACGCTCGAGGTGCAGATACACCCTCAATCGTCATGAGACCCGATCCGTCGTGATCTCCTTCAAACTGGTCGTATACAGTACTGTTGTGATCGAGCCGACAGTTGGTTACTTGGAAATGTGGACTGTAGCTCTCAACTTTACCAAGTTGTGCATTTTCGTCCAGGTCGACCATGATGAGGTTATCCTTGGGAACCTCAGGAAACGGCTCATCTTCAAAAACGTAATGAACGATAGGGTGCTTGTAAGTGCTATGTACTTGATCACGAATGACAACGAACTGCGGAATCTCGTTGCTGATGCTGTGATTACTGTTATTGTTGCTGTTGCTCATATGTGTGTGTGGGTTTGGAGAAAACATAGTGTGCACGGTCTGCTGAATTTCAATAAAATGCATGACGCTGACTCGTTGCGGTTCCTGCAACGCTGCTTTCGTACACGTGCTGCTACAAAGTAGGCTACTGCTGTAGCATCCCAACAATAATATGCTAGTAAGCCATCTATGGAGTCTTTCTGTGGCACAGCTCCACATTCGCGGTGCTAAGCATCTTAAATATTGCTACAGCAAAACTTCCTTTGCCATGATAAAAACGTATTGTGGTATGCCTAGTATGCACTGTTGTAATTAAAACGTAGCATTCTTTCACATACCATTTACGGTCACTTTGCTTTCTTGCTACATTTTCGACTGTAGCTAAGCCTTTACTGCTGCTCTAGGTAAACAATGGTAAAGATAAAAGAAATATGTAGGTCTCAGCCTCACTTAATAGAATACTGTACCATCACCATTTAATATAATGTTGATAACAAGGTTAATATCAAGGAGTAAAAGAGATCAGGTAGTTTATGATTGATCTGATGTCCTTCATCAAGCTCGATATGGGTCTTGCTAGAAAGAATATCGTCAAACAAAATGAAAGAAACGAGTAAAAGGTACCAGAAGAAATTCTTGCCTTCTATACTCATATATTCCATATCCTTTTTTTGTCATTGGATTACTTGTGATGATTCTTGTGCCACAGTGTACAGCGTCCCCACCATCAAATCATACTCCATCTAAGCCCGTGGTATATACACACAAGCTATACCATATCACAAAGCCATTTTCCTTGGTCCATTCTTATTTTCTATCAATCACACTCTGTTTGTTTCCTTTATCTTTTCATCTTTTTCTCTCTTTCTCTCCCTTTAAGTACCAAACTCATACACACACATACTATACCAAAACACACGTAATGGGACGACGATGAAGCGTATTCTCAACAGTAGTAGTGGCAGCAACAGTAACAGCAGCAGCAATAACAAGCGATCCAAAATCACTTTTGACATTCAACTCGATCAACGAAAGTACTATTTTCGCGGGGATGTCGTTGAAGGCCGGATATATCTCGAATCACCCAAGCCAATCAAGGTGAAAAACATTCGGGTGCAATGGTTCGGACGAGTACGTGTTCAACTTGAGCCGTCTCTACGCGACGAACGAGAATTATTTCGGGAAACAGCGTACCTGGATCTTCCTGAAACAGAAAATGCAACAGAAACGGCTCGTCGAGAAGCGCTTAAAAAGGCAGCTACAACTACAACAGCGTATGGAATAATGATTCCACCTTCACCCTCTAAAGGAAGCCATTATGTCGAGGTAGATAAGCTTTACACGTATCCGTTCTCATTAGTTATTCCACAAAATACAATTTTGCCAAGTTGTACCGAGGTAAATGGATGCTTCAGTAGGGAGTATGAATTTAAAAAGGTTGAATATAAACGGTGTTCTCAGATCGTTCCCGCTGCCTCACAGAATCTAATCTTTTATTATTGTGTTATTTTATTATATAATCGCTTTTTAATAGAGTGAGACAAGTGTTGGCGGAATCGTAGAATATATCATTGAAGCATGCCTGGAACGACCTACATCAGACTTCGCTGCATCTATCAAGACGCAGATCCTGGTACCAGTGCTCCAACGCATCGAGACGACGCGACCTGAGCAAGTAGTTCCACAATCAGTCCAGGTGGAGTCCCAGGGACCGTTTTCACAATGCAGGGGCGAGGGCACGGCTACGTTGACGGCATCCGTACCGAAAGAGGCGTTTGTTCGAAGTAAGTGACCAATGTGTTGCCTACTTAGGCGCACTATTATCTGTTGCTATGGTTGTTGTCATGCTAACTAAAAGACACATTGTTATTATACAGACCTACCAGTCCCTGTTACCATTGAAATTAAGCATTTTGAACCATTTCAGCGTAAACAGGGCTTGATGATTGCACTTATTCGCACTTGTCGAATCGTCTGTAAAGGAGCGTAAGTATCTTGGTAACGGCAGTTACAATGCGGCTCCCGCAATTGCATCGGGTATGGAAAGGGCGAAGAAGTGTGGGATAAAATAAGAAATACAAAAGGATACAGAACATAAATAAGCTCATGTCCTTATCTTCCATCTATGTACGGCTATATAATATATATAGATCTTACATTCTTCCTGACTCGGTGATACACAATGTTAAGGCAGACATTGATTTGTCCCACGAGAACGGTCTTTCTCAGAGCATTGTACGATCCATACTGATTCCCCAATCCATTTCACCTACTGTTGGTGTAAACGGACGACTCTTTGAAATCAGCTACAAAATACGAGCGCGAGCACAGGTACAAGACGACAATTCAATTGGAGCCGAGTACAACATGTCTATGGTCAACTTTCCTGCCGATTTCCAAATCCTCTCGTATCTAACTGCTGAAATACCCATCGACATCGGCACACTTCCTATACCAGAGAATCATATACCCCCGATACCGCTAAAACCGCAGTTTGCCAGTTTTCTCGACACATATAGTGCATCTAATAGTACGACACCAGCAGCAAGCAATAATTCGGAAGAAGCAACGGCCGAGAAGACGCATATGCTAAAAAAGATGCAAAGAATGTTACGACGATCGTCGGGCCCGGTGCCAAAGAAAGGGGAATCGACAGATCAACCAGGCGAGCAGTTGCCTATGAACAAAAACGAGCTATTGGCATTGTTTGCAGACAACGCCAGCCTAAAGGGGAGGAGCAGCTTAAACAGTAGTAGTGATGACAGTGCAATCAGTCGAGCATCTATTCGAGGTGGTGGTGGTGTACACTCATCCATGTCGACGACAGATTCTGTTGGCAGCGAAATACTGACTCAGCTTCAAAAGGGATTGCCACCTCCACCGCCAAGCTTGCCTCCTCCAAAACAACCCAACACTGACGCTTTCGCCACTTTACCATCATCGTTCCGACTCTCTCTTGGTCCCGAGTTTAGCGCAGCAGTATTGAGCTCAGAGCTCGCAAAACAGCGACAACAACGGCATGAGAAAAGCCCCACACCTTCAGCATCATCATCTACAAGTCTCGAACATTACAAATCTACACCAAAAGCATCAGTTGCCGATAATCTGCATTTTCATCACCTTCATCGACGTCGAATCAACAGTGACTCGATCGTACTAGACAAACCTAGTAGTAGTATGAAAGACCACATCAGTAACAATGATCTACAGAAACAGCAACGACCGCATCCCTTAACATCATCGAATTCCGCCGCAGCCGTTGGAGGTGTACACTACTTTTACCCTTTTGACGATTCATCATCTGACGAAGAAGTTGAAGAACAACAGCAGCAAAGTAATAATAGTAATAGATCAGCAGCAGTGGCATTACAACAAAGAAGACGACGGAAATCAAGCCGAAGATGTCGTGCAACAACGACTGCAGCTGGCTATGAAAAACCAAACAGTGTTTCGAACAACTTGGACGCAAGCGAGGCACAGGTCGAACGATTGGAAGTACACTATAACAAGAACAGTGACACTGCGTCAACTTCATCGCCGTCGCGACCATCGTATCCAGTTACCCATGTTGACAAACCTGACGAGCTGACAGCGAGTGACACAGACGCATCATCGAATGAAGAGGATCTTTTAGATATCCTGTCACGGCGCGATCGGAGGATAGCCAGCCGAATGACCACACACCAACAACAATAAAGTTTCTCATATTTGCCAAACAAAGTGCAACTTTTTTTTGTGGCGATGGAGTGTGAGGGCGAGGCTCCAAAACACGCAACACATACTGCAAACCACTGGAAGCCACGGATGTTGAACTCGACCATTCTGACGAGAGCGGCATGATTACTTTGTTGGCGGGAAGTGCGGATGAATTGACCGGGGCGTTGACCCGTGCTCAAGCATTGCCGTGGCGATAGTAATCTGAAAATGACGTATTGATCCAGCAAGATGAAACACACCGTGTGTCTCTTGCTGGCAGTGGGGACAGTCCCTGATGCGAATGATGTCTTCTTCCCTATTTGTTTAGCTGGTCCTGGTTGAGTGCACGATGAAGAGGTGGTGGCCGACGCTTTCGTTCGCAGTACATCACGGGCAGAATCATAATGTACCAATAATCATTTATGCGAACCGGGACAAAACGTTCGGCAGCCTTTGTTTTTTGCTCGGACCAATATCGTCGGGCTAGCTTGCCATTCGTGGCTGATAGTAGACTCATTGGATGAGCTCCAGCTGTAAAGGCGTCCAGTCCAAAGTCGAGCGAGACAGGTCGCGGGGACACCCAGTGATACTTATTCCTGTAGCGCTTGTCCTGTCGGCTTCGTTTCCGCTGCGCTTTATATAAAAGAGTATCCCAGGACTTTTAGCAAAGCACCAGCAGAGGATTACTCTGTGCGTTGTACGTTTGGCAGCTCGGCGATTATCTAATAAACCGTTTTCTGCAGCAGTAGCTCCGTAAGCCATTGTTGAGAACCGACATATTTCCGTTGGTCGGTATTAATGTCAGAGGAAGACTATTGGTATAGCGCACGGCAAGGCTGATTATATGTAACGTGATGTTTCTACAGAGCGCCTCCCGCTGTAAAAATACCAGAAACCCGTGCTTCAAATTTTTGTTCTGGGAGGAGGTGCCGATGTTGCTGTCTGCGGACGACTGCGGGTAGTTGGGAGGAATGTGACCCCGTATTTCATGTCGCTCTGTACAGCTGTAAGAACGTTTGTTCTTCCCCTGCTGTTTGATTGACCGATTCGACACAGCTTAAACTGCCCTCCACCGCGTGTACCTGCCGATTGACTTTTGCCCTTGCTTGCTTATTGCGCCGTTTTGACCTTGGCCTTTTTCTGTGTGTTATGGGAGATCGCCTGTGTATTCAGCGATACTTTTATCTGCTGTTATGCGTCGTACGTTTCCTAGAAAGGTGTACCTCGATCCTCGTTGGATAATTTTTCGTTGTTGTTGTTGTTGTTGTTGAGCTTATAACTGTGTTGGGACAATAAAACAGTAACCGAGCTCGAGCTCTTCCTGCGAGGATGCGGTATGTTGCTCGGGGAGGAGCATTGGCGACAAACAAACTCGATATACTGAACGAAGTCTTTGCTGCTTAATAAAGGACATCGAGGGATAGCAAGTTTCCCAGTACCTGATCGGGTCTTGCTGCTAAAGCTTCTGCATCACTGGCAAGAGCTGCCAGCGTCTAAGATCGCAGTGACGAACGCAGAGTTCCGCAATTGCGACGTGTAGTCGTTTCCTCCAGCTGCGACGAGCACGACCATATGTCTTTCGGTCATCTAATAGTTCACTTTCGTAACCAGTACTGAGAGAGGAATGAATACTGTAGGGCAGAACGCGGGGCTTCCTCACATGAGCCCACACCAGGTTGGGATAATCTAATCAACCATATTGATCGTGGAAAACTATTCGACAGTAAAATCATCTGTGTATCATGCAGCAACAAATGATCTATCCTGTGGCTGGGCGATATTTTTTTTCCTATGCATGTCCCGTGGGTTGCACCTATTATACGGACGAAAGAGAACAGCGCCAACTTATTTTGGTGCAACACACACGTTGTGTATGCGACCTCAAGTTTCTGAATCTTCTCTATACGTGTGTAGTGCATATACGGTGGTACTGATGCGGCTGCTGCTGCTGCTGCGAGGATGGCTCTGTGTGTGCGTGTGCGTCTGTTGTCCTTGGCCTTCTCTATTACTACACCGAACACACATACCACTCAATAATTACACTAAAGCTCCGCTAATTGTTAAGAGTGGGGAAACAAGCCAAACTTCGTCATGCACCCAAAAACAACAAAGCGACCTTTTGCTCTTCTTTTCCTCTTTTTAACCTCACACGCAAAAAGAAGAACAGCCTTTCACTTTCTACTACTTTCTGTTCCTCTTGTGCTCTACTCCCTCATGTCACAATCGCTCACCAACATTACTGATCACGGCGTTAAACGAAAGCGTAAAAAAGTCTCGCTAGGTCGGTCCTTGTTTCTTATTGCCTCTTCGGGTCGCTCTCTCTCTCTTTCAAACAGCATTTCCTCCCGTCTTTTGCTCCAGCACAATCCGTCGTATTACTAGTAGAAGAAAAATGATGTTTCTCACCTTGACTTACATTTTTTGTATACTATAGCATGTGTATTCTGCAGACGGTCCCACATGACGTGCGACGAAGGTAATATAATAGCAGTAGCAACTGCAACAACAGGGAGCGTTTCAAAATCAGACAGATAGTCAAAGGATTACATTGGAGAGAGAGCCAGAAGAGCTACGCTAACAAACAGTGTGCTTATACGGCGAATTCATCTCTTTTGTAGGTCGTCCGTGCCAACGATGTATCAAACGAAGCATTGGCCATATGTGTCACGATGAACCTCGACCCGATGCGAAAAAAGCGGCATTGAATGCTGGAGAGAACAAACGGCCAAGGGGTAAATGAGTTTTTATTATTTGCTGCCGTGTATACAAACGATACGCACACGCAGCATGGCTCTTCTGGTGCTGCCGGCGTGGGAATACGTTTCCAGTAATTGACCCTTCTTTTCTGTCCCTTATAATTATAACTCTATTTTACAACAATTGTATATAATAGAGCCCAGCAACCACGACCATAGTCACCATCTCCATAGCAGTCAGTACAACAACGGAAAGCTCGCCTTGACGTTTGCAAGCGATTCGATGGGAGACGAGCTGACAGTCATCAAGTAATGTATTTTTTATATTTGGAACCAGTGACTCTATAGTGGGTGGGTGTGATCGCATCTTTGTTTATTCCATTATATAACCAGTAGTAGCTAAAAGAATTTGCGCCTGGGATTGGTTCTCTCTTTACCTCTTTCTTTCTTCATTTCATCATCATGATGTATGTATACTGCAGTGATTTTCTGGACGATATGTCATCGCATAAAACAACCACCAGTAACATATCAACAATGACGAGTAGCTCATCAGCGACAGTAGTAGCATCAGCAGCAGCAAAGATTACTCCAGCAACCTCCAGTAAAGACAAGTTTTTTCTCACAGCAGCTGATCCACAAGACGGCAAACTTGAAGATCGGCTGAACGAGGTCATTAATGCCAAATACGAGGCCGGATTCCTCAAACCATACAATTATGTGAGCGGTTATGCTCGGCTCCAGCGTTACATGGATCAACAGTAGGTATCAGTAGCGTGATGTTTTCTCTTTCTTTATCTTACGCAATAAGGAAACAAGCATTACATGACAAAAAAGGGATTTCATTTTTTCACGATGCATTTCGGTTCTCCTTAAAATATACTCTTGTTGTTGTCTTTGTTGCGCAGCATGTCTTCGAGCAGTCGTCAGCGAATCTTAAATGTCATGGGGACTTTCCGACCTACATTTCGGGATGTGGCACAAGCACTTACTGATGTCGACTTAATATTGGTGGAAGAAGCATTTGAGCGGTTATTATTGGTAAGAACACGTTACACTAAAACCCGTATACGTTTTACATATATAACTGATTTCCATGTCGTGAACTTATCAGGATTATGACAGAGTGTTCAGCGCAATGGCTGTACCTGCATGTCTATGGCGAAGGACGGGCGAGATTTATAAGGGTAACAAGGAATTTGCGTCGTTGATCGACGTCCCTGTTGAGAAACTGCGAGATGTAAGTGGGTTATTCTACACTGCACGACATGTTCAAATATGGTTCACAAGAAGCATAATACCACTGGTATGCATGACGCTGACAGAGTTGCATCATCCGATCATATATGTTGTTGAATATATTTAGGGTAAACTTTGCATCTATGAAATCATGGCTGAGGACTCGACAGTAAACTATTGGGAGGTAAGCACCCTATCTAACCCCATTGCCAACCTCCCTTATAAAAAACCTTGTCATTTGCACCCGAAATTAATTTCTATGTGTGTGCTTGCATTTTTCGATCGGCTATATAGAAATATGGCAATATTGCATTTGACTCACGGCAAAAAGCTGTATTGACCTCATGTTTACTAAAACATCGATCCAAAGGCGTCTTGATGCCTTGCTGCTTCTCCTTTACCATCCGGCGTGACAAATATAACATGCAAGTATCGCAATATCTACTCGAAATGATGTGTACAGTATAAAGTGTAGATAGGTTATGCTAACTTTGAGAAAACCATCAAACTCTAAACTATTCTAGACCGGTAAGTCAAGTGAAGAAACAATAGGAGAGAAAGGACTGAGCGACTAAGTCAAATTTCTTTTTTCCGAATAGACGATCATTGTCGGCAACTTTCTTCCGATAGAAATCCAGCCATGAAGCTGGTTTTCTTTGCTATGTGATACATACCACCCTTTCTAACTGATTTTTTCTTTGAAAGAATATCCTTTCCCCTTAACACACCCTCATTCATTCTTCCTCTCATACATGTACAGCCAACGATATTTCACAGACGAAAGCGAACCCCTCTCCCTCTTTCCATTCAATTTTCAGCACAACAACAGTAAATTTTATAACTCGGACATCACGCCACAAAAACATTCTGTACATAATCCTAGTGATAGATCGGCTGCGTTGCTACATCGGCTTCCGCTGCGTAATATGTGGCGATAAACATTACGCACATAGACAGTTTGTTCATAAGCTTGCCACTTAGTAAGTGGGACCTAAAAGAATAGACGGTGGAATTATACTAGTTATCTTAAGAATACTGTACGTAGATCGCGTAAAAGCAGAATGCAGTGTGCTCGTCACGTCCAGTTTAAAAAAGGCAAATCCCTTCTAGCAGTAAGATCCTATGCGTAGCGTATTACCTTTTACACCAAAACGGTTACAGCTTATTCGAGCGAAAAGAAGCCATCCTGATAAAAGGATCGGCTTTTACAGTAGTAACGAGTAATGAATGATGATCTGTGTCTTGTTTGGCGGGCTCAATGGCTATCATATGTATGGTAGAAATGTGCGAACTTTTAAACGCAAAAAAAGATGTTGGTGACAAAGACATTTAATGATAATAATACATGAAGAGAAGCTTTTAGACCCACACGAGCATAATGAAGATACATGCAATAAAAAATTGTGACGACAGGTGTTGGGAATGTTCACAATTATTTCATGATATCACTTTTATTTTATTGTTGTTTCAGTCCAGAGCAAAGTCCTTCTAAAAGTGCAGCAAGACCCCATGCTCCAGCATCGGGTAGTGAGGCTTCTTTTACGTCTTGTGTAGCAATGTAAGATGCTCGTCCCATATGAGCTTCGAGTGTCCGTGTCGACTCGGCCCCTTTTCTTGCAGCCTTTGCAGCTTCTTCCATACTGCCTGTGTCACTGAGCACTTGAACAAATGGAATCAAACTATCCATCAGAGTCCGGTCACCGACGCGTGCCTCGGTGTATGACTGCAAGGCATCGAGTGCATGAGATGATGCTATTAGATTGGTAAGCATTATAGGATTAATTACTGATGTTTAGAGCTCCTTTACTTTAAATCGTGCTGTACTACCTTTGGCCCATTGTTCAACGTCGCTACTGCCATACTTGGACAAACCACCGCCGAGCGCGCTCAGGTAAATGCAGTAAATGGCAGATGACGTTCCACCGACGGTGCCCTCGATAATATCAGCTAACGCAAGCATGGTCTGAGGTGCGGAAAACAATGGGAGCCTCGGCAGAGCCTCAGTAATGGCTATTTTGCACATAAAAGAACAATTGTTATCATTTTGATGTTGCGTTATATTATATGAAGCTTTATATGCTGCACACAGGTCCCTGCTTATCTTTCGTCCCTAAATCCATCGCTCACCTGTTGCCGCAGACTTCAAGGTGGTACCACAGTCACCATCACCGAGAATAGTATCAAACGATGTAACCTCTGGCTCAGCCTCAATAACGCTTTTGGCTGCATTTTGAATTGCATTTTCCAGAACCTGAGAATTGTCTACACATGACAATGCATCCCAATTTGATCAGAGAGTGAGTCATAAGTTCTACTGCATAAAATACCTTTTTGGTCATTTGCTTTCTCATCCGCTTCAGATGCTGCGATTGTTTCTTTTTGCTTCTTATCGTCAGCACCAACAACGGTTGTCATAGCGATATCTGTGCTGAAAGGTAAGAATGCCGATGAGGTGCGTGGCCATCCGGGTACCATCACGTTTTGGTCGAGCAAATCCAGTAACTGCTGTCGCTGCTGGTCATCATCCTGCAGTCGCAACAGGGTGATTGAGAAGCCTGGCATATTCAAACTGCTGAGGAATGTGCCGGCGAGAACACGTTCGATTGACAGATTAGCAGGCGTTCCTTCCACAACAGATTCGACGGCTTCTTTGACAACAAGATTCAATTCAAGGGCTGATATACTGCCGAGATTGTTCACCATCAAAACGACCGGGCTGTTTTGGCTTAGCTTCAAATAGGCTCTCTCCTGATCCTCCTGGTCCGTCAACATGGTGACCATCTTGCGAACGAGTTCCTTTGCAGGCAACGTACCCAGCTTGGAAATACCAGGCTCATTGTGGATACCCATACCCAGCTCAATCTGGTCCTCGGGCAGCTTTTGTACAGTGGTGGAACCAGGTACGTGGCAGTGATCAAGAGCTACACCCAATGTGGCAGAATGTTGATTGACGTATTCGGCAGCTTGACGAACTTGTTCCAGTGTGGATCTAAAAATTTCGCAAGTGTGAGTACTCATTGTAACCTCTCCAGCTTCTTTAGACACAATACCCTTTCTGAGCCGCCAACGCACCGGCCACCTTGACGGCCATAAGAGTGGCAGCCAAACCGCGACGTCCGACTCTGCTTTTCGTTCCGATAGCCGCGTCGTCGCCGACAATCACCATATCAACGAGAATCCCACGCGCTTTCGCACGTTCCACCGCCAAACCGAAATTCAAACAATCGCCCGTGTAATTCATCACAATCACCAATGTGCCATGCGGCGATTGAGCCTGTTCAATGGCGGCCAAGATTTGACTGGAAGAAGGAGATGCAAAGACATGGCCACACACGGCCGCTGCCAGCATACCGTCACCCACAAAACCAGCATACCCGGGCTCATGTCCAGATCCACCACCGGCAATGAGAGTAACTTGATTTTGGGCTACGGTTTTAATGTCGGCCCTGCAGACGACTTTGTGTAGTAGTATATATCGTGTGTTAGATAAAGTGGTTGAGTATCATTAGTACCGATATCCGTCAAGTAACAGCTTACCGCGCTCGGTTGGGATCCATCGCAAGTGCGGGTTCGCATAACATAATCCTTTGATACTTTCGGCAACAAGCTACAACGCAACATTATATTCAGAAACAGCTTATATTTTTTAAATTATGTCCTTCGCCTTGACCTACGTTTTCCGGATCGTTGGTAATATGCTTGGCTATGAGAAATGGAGTATGCGGAGAAAATAGCTCTTTTAGAATATGATATTTGCATGGAAAACAATGAGTTGTCTTTGACACCTCACCTATCGTTCCAGTAGTCATAATAAGGGCTTGTGTCTCTGTTTTGGCTCGTGTGAAATAGATAAAGAAACACTCCTGCAGACCTTAACTTTGTTTAACATTTTATACAGGTGTAAAAACTTAAAGTAAACTCTGTTCAAACCACATGCGGGTTTTTAAAAAAATAGTTCCTTTTACACAGTATCATACATGATACAAAAAATCACAGGTTGGCGTATAATTTTCTATGCAAACAAGAGCTTCACCATTTTCTTTCGGATTATCCATGGACTCCTGCTCTACCGCGATCTTCCAATGCTTCGACGAATTTGATGGAACAAGGTCAACCTTAAAGACTCTTCTTAGTTCCGACCATCTTTATCCTTGGCATCTAGCGCGTCTACAGAATGTCCGAATAACCCTGACTAATTTTCCAAAACTCAAATGCAAGCACTAATGCTAGTACTAATGTATGCACATACACAAATCTGCACGGTAAAAACGTATACCAATTAAAAGACTGCTTCAATATATGTATGCATTGGTTTCCCAGTAATATCGAACTAGGCACGATCTACGGACGTATAATAACATGTGCCGAATAGCTCCTATAAAATGGCTCAGTTGCAGATAAGAGTGTTTATGCTTCATAGACATCATCTGGGTCTATTATGAGCTGTTGCTCTGTTCGATGGATAGATGTCCGTATCCGTATCTTGTACACGTATGTATGCGTGACTCGAACATCATTATCTCCCCACATTTCAAATGATTGAGGCTTTTACTGGAGTTTAACTACTATACTACATGATACAAAGTTGCTCAGGTCTGCTAGATCAGGTTCTCTGCTGACAGCTTGTCCAAATGGTTGCCTTTTTTTCTTTTCGTACGGTAAACTCGAATCACATTTTCAAAAACTTCATAACACTGAAAGCGACGTATGTTTGCTACTGTTTTTGTAACGGTGGCAGTGACGAGGATTTCAAAATAATACAGGGCTAGACACTATCAGTTGAATGTTACGGCATGAGTGGTTGAATGTACTCAGTTTGGAAGTCGGTAAGCAGAAAATATATAGTCCATGACAGCGCTGTATCTAGGTCATGATCGAAAGATTTCCTTATAAACTGTAATCCTAATTTAAAACATAAGCGTTTTTATGTCGAGAATTGTCGATACTGTGGCCGAATAAGTAAGATTTCGTAGACGAATAGTACTGGCGATGACGGTATGGTCGACTACTCATCGGATAAATGTCTGAATGCCTTATATCAATCGAAGGTGTGGAGGAGATTCATCTTGATCCGCCTTTTATGCTTTCGTTGCCTTATCAACCTACAAAAGAAAATGCGCCATAAGTATAATATCTAAACACGTACTAAAAATGTTGATAACCAGTATGTCAGAGCTTTTGTTCGTTACTTATTATATACAGTACTAATTTTTTGTCACTCCTATTGTATAAGATCAATTTAGTCATACTATTAAGTCATGGCAATGCAAAATACACCATCAATTACGTGTATATATAAAATTTAAGGCGACGATCTACAGAAACGCAGCATCAACAGTTTATACAAACCAAGTGTGATTAATCCCAAGTTTATGCACCCAAGAGCACGTGCAATTTGCCACAAGCGCTGACGGCAAAACAAGAAAGTACTGTACATACAGTACGTTCTGACTATACTGAAAATTAATTAACGAACGTGCCTAAATTCCTTTGACGATATTGGACTTTCTGATAAAAGTTCAACGCATCTTGGAGAAAGTGAATATCAGTGATTATTCTCCAGAACAAGTTTGGATGCCCATTTACTTGACTCCCTTTAATTTATTCCGTCAGGGCTGGAACGCTTTGTTGAGCAGCCATGGAGAAACATTTTGTTCATGTTGAGTACATTGTGCTACATCCTAGCGCTTGCTGCCAAAACCAGGAAGCTTTTCCTAATATCCACTTGAGCTGCAATCCATCAGTATGTAGCGTTGATATGTACGATCACGGTTTAAAGACTCCTCATCGGTACGATACATCGATGCACTGGGAGAATTGTCGTCGTTGACTGGTGATACAGTAGTTGTTTATCCTTGAGCCTTGAGCGTGAATGTTCGTTGCTTAGGAAAATAAAAGCTATCAAAAGACATCTGATGATGTATTTTGTTGCAAGCGTGATAATGTGTTGCTACGTGGCCAACGCTGGATGCTTTCGCTTTGTTTTACAGTATAGCTTTATTCTGTAATATCCATTTGATGTTCTGTAAAACACATATCAGCTCTTCGGAAGACCATGAAAACAGTTCATAAATGAAATATATCATTATACACTAATCTACATACTTTGTAATTTCTTTTATAAAAACCGCGTCTTGCTGTTTGGATTCCAATGTAAAGTTAAACTAATACCAACCCGTCTTTATATACAGACTAGGTTTTTTGGTGGAAGTAAATCTACTTATTACTTGGCTGTTCTCATATTGTATACACTTCTCCATTGAGTCACAATCAAGTGCGTTTATTGCTGGTAGCAGATATTTTGAAACAGAAAAAAGATCTTGCTACATACGCAACCTTCTTACCTTGCAGAAGCTTCAAATCTTGAAAAAATGCTACGTACACTTTTGAGACTCCCATCTATCATTCTGGGAGTTCTTGGTGAAAGAAAGATGATGATGCGGAACTACTAGTTTAAGCACTTGAACACGCAAGCGTTTCTGACTAAATGGGATATTGTATAACAACGTTGAATGTGTAAATTAAAGAGGAGATACGTAGCAACTGCAGGAGCATAAAGTATATGAAACTGCATTAGGATGTACGTTAATACAGTGTATGTACAGGATGCTACATGGTACCGTCGACATAGCATATCATCACACTTTGTCTTTGAATTTTTCTTTATAGAGATCAAACAGCATGACGGCTATGTATATTCGTCTCTTTCTTTCAATTTATTGAATTCGCCATATTTTGAAAATGATTAGGGCTTTATATTTTAAATTATTCACAGTGTCGCTGACTAATGCAAGCGACTTGTGCTGTACCTCTAGCTGATGATCAAAAAGGAAATGTATGAGGTGTACATTTACTACCATACCAAGAGTGCATAAACAACAAGTTACAGTATAGCCTCTTTTTGATGATACCGATTGATCAGTAAAGCAAAGCCGTTATAGTAGGCTCGCAAGAATGACTTCATTTTTCCAGCTATCTATGATAATTAGAGTGGGACATTCACCTTTCTTGCGACAATGATGGCACAAACATGGTTTTAACTACATCACAAAACGTATTGGGGAACACCTGCGTCAAACATTCAGCGAATGATAACTTGCAAGTTAATCCTTTGCAAGTTAATCCTTTGCAAGTTAATCCTTTGCAAGTTAATCCTTTGCAAGTTAATCCTTTGCAAGTTTTGAAGGATGTGGTCAAGCTTTGAAACAAGTGAGAGTGTTAAACCTTTCCAAATTATTAACTAGTATATGTGATTTGTCAAGGCTGTGCTGCCTGCAGCAATTAGACAAAATATCTGACAAGAATTATGTAGAGCTTTTTTTTCTGATAACTCGCAGCAACTGTTATGGTGGTGATTACTAAAACACAAAACACCGTAGGCATTTCCGTAGCAGTGTACAGCAGCTATAATCACCGCAACCCATATCCCAACCAGTATCATTACAAAAAGACATCTAATGCGGTGTCGCCTGTTTGTTGTTTACTAGAAATATGTATATGCTACTGCAGCCAAATTACAGATGATCACGATAAAAAAGCAAGGAACTGGTTATGTTAGTAGTAGCACACTACACAAACTGATTTCTGAAGCAATCAAATCAAGGAGGCAAAAGCCGCAACAAGAGCAACAATGGTGCGCAAAGATATTAGGCTACCTTTTTTATACCAAGTAACAATTAGGCCTCTCAACACAGCCACCATCATCATCATCATCAGCAGCGCATCAAAACTGGTTTACGATGAGAAAGAAGTGGCCTTATCGAAAAGTAGGTAAACGTGAGACTTGAAAGATGCTGTTGCTCTCGCTCTCAGCTCCTTTCTCTAATCCACCCCTCCTGCATACAACGCAGTAAGTTCTAGTAAGATCTATCTAATTAATGTGGGAACACTAAGCATACCTATCCCCTTTCTTTTGAGTCGTTAAACATTAAAAAAGCGAACCTCATTTATAATTATTGTTTCATACACCAGAATATAAGACAGGCTACTATACTTTCTTGTTAATACTACTGAGCAGCCATGTTTCCTATCGAGATACCAAGTCAGAAGAAAAAGATGAGTGGATATCGTAACCCCCACTACTAAGCATACCAGATCTACAGCGCATCGTCATAGCAACACAGAAGTATAAAGAAACTTCTCAGCGATAGAGCAAAGAGACGTCTGGATATACTCGTTTTCACTAGACCTCATGGTTAGTTCATCAGTAACAGTCACAGGCATCCACTTTAATATTTCACTATTCCATGTTTCTGTTCTTCTGATGACTATCAGTCAAGAGGACTGCATAAGTTTAGACAGCAGGCAGAAAGATGGTAAGGGGGTGGGGGTGGGGCGCACCAACAAAACGCTCGGGCGGCTGACTTGATCTTATATCCGAACACCCACCCATCCGGTGCGAAACAAGAACGACTCGTCGTGTAACAATGTCGTGCTTTCTGTGATACATCACCCTCCTTCCTTGTTGAACAGCAAGTGCAACCATACACAGTGCATCTGCGCAGGACCATGGCGTCCTTCTTTGCAAGATAGAAAAAAAACGGGTTGCAAATAGCCAGTACGTCATCATGGGGCTGGTCACGTTTATACTCTGGTTGATGCTGCTGTTGTAGTTGTTGTTGTTGTTCTTGGTTGGTTGGTGGGTGGTGAGTTGTGGTTGTGTTGCTCGTCGCGAGTCATCCCGTCTTTGTGTCCGGCACGCTCAAAAGCGAAACGTGTGAACCTGGAAGCAACAAGGTGTGTTGAGAAAAGGGCTGAGACCCCCAGCAACGCCGGTTGGGTTTGTTGTTGCGCAGCAGCATGTGCAAAGACATAAGCCACAGTGTGTGTTTCCAAATCGGGCGTCTCTCTTTACCCCCCCCCCACTATCGCTCTCTCACTCAACCCAACCATACCCTGCCCCCCAAAATATAACGAAAAGGAAAAAAGTCCGCAGCACTTTTCCATATAAAACACAATTCCAAGTGGGCGTTTCTTTCTTTTTCCCTGATTTTCTCTTCTTGCTTATCTTTCTCGTTATTACTCGACTGCGGCTTCCGCTTCACGACACTCACCTCTTTGCCAATCACCCGCAACACTAACCAGCAACACAGCTCTCATTCACCACCAGCCAGCCAGCCCCTTTCCAGGTGTACCAACAAGACCAAAAGCAACAACAACAACAACAACAACAACCGTTCGACAACCGTGGACATGATTACCATTGCTTCAATCTTTTAAAAAGTAATACTCCAACAACCACTGTAAACACACTCCATCGATCGACTTTTCTACTCTTTCTGTTCATCTCCCATTCTCCCTTATCTTTGCCCCAATGTTTCAATAATTCTACCCTCTCTCTTCTACCCCCAGTCTAGTATAAAAAGAATATATTCCAGCGTAAAGAAGTAAGATATATATTTTTTAGCCTTTAACACAAAGCTTCCTCCCCTCTCCTCCCCCCTTTTTTTTTCACAGAGCCCAAACTCATCTTCCTTCCCCTTTCCCCTAACAAATGGTTGAATTTGATGTCCATGTTCCATCGACCACCACCTTTGAGCCCGCTCCGGCCCCCACCGGACCCGACGTGAGGGGCACTGCTCCCGCTCCACTATCGTTCTATGCCCACCCTTGTACTTTCGATTATTACAACTCTACCGATCCGAATCTGTATTCGCTCAGCAACCCTCGCGCATACTCTTCCGCCCTGCGACCATGTACATACGCCATTTCTGCTACGACTACGACAAATACGACGATGATGACCGACGACAATGCTTATCCTCGACCGCAACAACAACAACAACAACAGCAGTATCACTATACGTCCGGTTTCAACAGTTCAAGAATACCATCAGCCACCCCCGCCACCGCCAGTAGTATCAGCAGTGTTAGCAGTACGTCCAGTAGCATCTTTAGCGCAGCCAGCAACACCAGCCTCGGCAGTGCCAGCAGTGCAGCTAGCAACCCTGCGAATACTTGCGAATTGTCATCGACCGATGAAGAACCCTGTGAAAAGTACAGACAGTTTTTGCACTCATCACGACAGGAACGAACGGTGGTGATAGGCAAACTAGTGGGTGAGTACTGTGCAATAAACACGAGTTGAACGAGTGAGGAAGAGTGTAGCAGCGGATGAAGTAGATGTGAAGATGGGAGTAATGCTAGCCAAGTCAAGTGGCGGAAAAGAAAAGGAGATTGTGTACACACATACACACGCACTTGCATACGTACTGCACCAGAGCACACACACACATTGTATACATACGCGAGCGAGCAAACGTGCGCCATTCTAGACGAGCGACACCCGCTTTGCTGCTGCTCCCTTTTTCTCTCTCTCTCTCTCTCTCTCCATATTACTTCTCGCCACATAACACACAAGGACATAACTGTATGATGTCTTGGTTGATCAGTCATCTCGATGGATAGTATTCTAAATAATCTCTTGACTGTTTGTAGACATTTCGGCCGAAATCATCGATTCGATATGGCATCCAAGATTCCTACAAGATAGCCAACGCCAGGCCAAAATTATGTCTACCCGCAACTTTATTCACGAGATCCTGAAACGCTCCAAAACCACCTACTCGACACTCCAAATAAGTCTTTTCTACCTGTTTCGAGTAAAGAAAGTTGTCCATGAACGTCTTGTCCGCCGTAACAACAATGCAACAGCTACTGCTGCTTCCGCCGCAACGGTCGTCCTACCTCCTACTCCACCTTCATCACAAGCTTCAGATGACGACGACGACGACGACGACGAAAAACAGCTTCAGCAGGACCAGCTCCCAGAGCCTCCGCGTAAAAAGCAGAAACGACAGGTATCTGAACGGCTGGACGACATCGTGTGCTGTGGCCGGCGCATGTTTCTAGCGTCCCTCATGGTCGCATCAAAGTATCTGCATGACAAGAACTATCGCAACCGCGCCTGGGCCAAGATCTCTGGATTGGACATTGATGAAATCAATGCGGCCGAGTTGGCTTTTTTGCGTTTGATCGATTACAAGTTGTATGTCAGCAAGCCCACATTCGACAAGTGGTATACTTTGTTGCATGGTTATGTGCAGAAACAGCAGGATGGTATTGCCGCTACTGCTGCTGTTGCTGTTGCTCCTTCGAATAACAGTTTGGGCTGTAGTGACAGTGATAGTAGCACTACTGCTGGTACGAGTACCTCTTGTATTGCCGCTGATTCTTCCTCAACAATAAAAACGGATATCTGATCGGAATGCACTGTTCTTTTTTTTTTTGCATACTTTTGACTACTATTGCTTCTCTTGCTCTTTCTCTCTCCCACGCAAAACACACACGCACGTACATAAACGGAAGTAAACAAACGTTCAATAAGGCATGCTGCCTTATTCTCCCTTCCTCACCCCGCAAAAGTATCATCCCCTTTCTCTCTCAGGCGCAGTCCCTCCTCTCATTTCACAGGATTTTACCAACATGTTGGCGTTGGAGAGGTCTTTTATTGGCGGTAACTGGCATGAAAGATGGCAGTAGCAGAATTACGAAAGTCAAATGGCAGTTGGGAACTGTTATCAATGATTGAAAGTACGTTAACAATGCATGTGTATAACAAATAAAACGAACAGTCTGCAAAAGTATACGTGAAGATGATGACAATCTTGTTATACCTTACCCGGTTCACTACTGATGTCTCCGCCAAGTTCTATTATCATTCGTGTGGAATATACGATAGATGGTGCTACCTGTATCAAATCAAACTCCAAAGATGTTTCTTAACATGTGCATGTATATACAATGTGTACTACCAATGAAGCATTTAACGTCTTGCTGTGCCATTAATCAAAAGCAAGATTTTCATAGATATAGCGTATGTTTTAAAAAAAATCAGTTTATGACTATGCCTCAAGTATCAGCGCCATTACTACAGGTGTTGCATATGTGTAGCAGTGACACATGCATTTGCAGATGTAGGCACTCGTCGAACAGCCTTTTTTACTATGATACAATCTTCGATAATTGATGACGGTGATGGATGTCGTCTTTTTAAAGCTCTTTTACATTGATTTTTAAAGTTGGGTACACTGTGGTCGGCAAATTTTCAAAAGTGAACATCTCCATCGGCACGCCAGAGATCGCACTTCTGGTTGTATAATCAATGAATGGATCGCTCTATTCACGGAACCACACCGGTAAATGCACAATTCATAATTTTCTTTCATAGAGAGGCTGGTCTCGTTTTCTGCAGCAAGCTGCTCCTCGAAAAGCATTTATTATAATAGTCAATTGATCAGCCCATGCTCAGGATAGTTACAAAACACTTCAAGAGAGTAGAAACGAAATCAATAAAATTTATTGTACACAAAGACAGAAGAAAACAAGTTTATTTATTATTGCTTGCAAATGGCCGGCTTGTATATGAATCCTTCGTTCCTCAAAGGAGAGGTTGCTCTCCCTTGGTCTCCCCAAGCCTCAGTTCCAAAGGAACCTACACCTCCCAATAACAAATCACTACAAATAGAAGAAGATGGGTGAGAGTAGTTTGTCAAGGGGGGAATTACGTGTATACTTACTTTGTGAGTGCACTGCGGTAAAGAACTTTACGGCTTGTAGTGCGCTCACCTACACCTCCCAATAACAAATCACTACAAATAGAAGAAGATGGGTGAGAGTAGTTTGTCAAGGGGGAAATACGTGTATACTTACTTTGTGAGTGCACTGCGGTAAAGAACTTACGGCTTGTAGTGCGCTCACGGATAGGGCTCGCTGCAATAGCGACTCGTGCACTGCGTCACAAAGATCCTAATGAAAGTCGCAAATGTACGCCGAAAACAATAACGAATACTGAATCTGCACGTACACCCACTCGGACCCAAGTAGTAGAAGACAGCCCTCAAATAGAAGAAGATGGGTGAGAGTAGTTTGTCAAGGGGGGAATTACGTGTATACTTACTTTGTGAGTGCACTGCGGTAAAGAACTTACGGCTTGTAGTGCGCTCACGGATAGGGCTCGCTGCAATAGCGACTCGTGCACTGCGTCACAAAGATCCTAATGAAAGTCGCAAATGTACGCCGAAAACAATAACGAATACTGATTCTGCACGTACACCCACTCGGACCCAAGTAGTAGAAGACAGCCCTCAAATAGAAGAAGATGGGTGAGAGTAGTTTGTCAAGGGGGGAATTACGTGTATACTTACTTTGTGAGTGCACTGCGGTAAAGAACTTACGGCTTGTAGTGCGCTCACGGATAGGGCTCGCTGCAATAGCGACTCGTGCACTGCGTCACAAAGATCCTAATGAAAGTCGCAAATGTACGCCGAAAACAATAACGAATACTGATTCTGCACGTACACCCACTCGGATCAAGTAACAGAAGGCAACCCTTCAATAAAGAAGCTGAAAAGTGGTTTTTATTGGTATCGTTCAATGAAGTGGAAAAGGTGGAAAAGATCTTTCGACAGTGAGGAAGAAGGAAATGCGCAGTCGAGTCCAGTTCTTTTGTAGGCGTCACAGTTTGACCTGTTTGACCATCCGATGTTGCACAAGGATCGCGAGCAATGGATGGCAATCTCTCAAGGGCCATGCTTCACACAAATAACACCTGCACATTGTAGACGCTCTAGGCTCCATGTACACACTCGTCTCATCTCGCTACTTGGCAATCACGATGAGTTTCGCTCTTTTTCTGTTCACTTAAGCTTGCCTCTTATCGGTGTACCATATGCAAAGGGGCAAGAGTCGAGTGGGAACTCTTCAGAAGTGTGTGTAACACCAAGAATTTTTCCAGGGCACCAATTCAGATACCATGGAAATCGCTACAAGTTCACTCCAAGTAAGTCAAAATATGCCACAGCGGCCGATTCAAAGAAAGAAGTGGCATTGACGGTCAAGGGACACAGCCGCAACAACCAGGATGTCGATGAACAGAAGGAGTAGAAAGAAGAGCAGCAGCACCGCCAGGGAGCGACAACCTGTCGATGTGACGTTAAAAGAAATTATAGAGCGCGTCGTCATGAGTTGTTCCTTACATCCACTACTCGAAATATGTAATTAGCAAGCATGACTTTGGCTTTTGTTTGAAATGTGAAGATAGCAGTCAGGGTATACAGGATGATTGGCAGCACATATGTAGGCAGTAGCAGGGACGGCAAAATAGTTTTATGTCTACTGTGACTCGTATTACGTCGTATGCTTAAGATCGTAACCTGATGTTTTTTGAAGCCTTCGAAAGCCTTGGAAAGCTTTCCAGAGCATTTAAAGATTTCAGAAAGTGAACATGAATTTCTGGCGTATGGCTACCAATGAACGTGCGTCAGACCTCCAACATCTGGTCTTTATCGTAGGCGGTCGAGTAGCTGTACTGTACCAGCCAATGTCCTTAACAAAGATGTCCTCGCTTTGCGCGCTCCATGAAACCCCTTCTTTGGTAAGGCTTATGAGTTTGCTTTATTGACAACCAATTGCTGTTGCTGCTGTTGTCGGCTGCGGAGACATTTTGGTATAATGAATGGTGTCGTAGCATTTTTCCGCCCGAGGAATCCCGGTATCCTTATACCACTCTACTACTGAGCGTTGAATTTTGCAGTTGGTGGCATTCCATACGTAGTAGTGGTATTAAACGCGTCTCCTCGTTCATTTTTTGATTTATCCTGAGCGTCGTAAGATGTAAATCCAATGTGGAAAGCACGGCAACAAGCCTTGTGCATCTTAGCCATGACATTCGGAATGATTTCTCGAGTAATGCATCTACTACTGGCCGCGACGAGGCCAAACCAACGAATATACGCGATAATCCCTTGTATCCATCGGACACTCCAACGGTCTTCACCACCAATGAATGCTTTAGTCAGCACGTCACAACAGTTGGGAAGCGACTTTAGCGTCTAATAATCATATCCTGTGCCTGAGTCCCCATAGTTCTCGTGGGCCCGTTCGCATGCCTGATGACTAAAGTTACTGAAAAACACACTCAAAAACACACACACGGGTACGTAACAGCAGAAATACGGCGACGTATCTTTTGATTTTATACAGCGCAATGCTGCCTTTTTTTTTAAAAAAAAATATGCTTTTATTAATCTACATACTGCTACTACTACATACCGCTGTCACTGCCACTGCCACTGCTGCTACTGCTGCCACTGCTGCTACTGCTGCCACTGCTGCCACTGCTGCCACTGCTACTGCTGCTGCCACTGCCACTGTCACTGCTACTGCCACTGCTTCTGCTGCTACGGGTAGTCCTGGCTGAAACGACGAACTTTTGGACGCGGCCATCCCGGTTCATCGTTATGCTCGTCGACACTGTGCACGGGTACTTTTTTGCATTCGAAATCTTGGTCACAATTTCCATGATTCAAAAGAAAAGAAAGAGAGAGAGAGAGAGGAGCAAAGTAGCAAAAATTATCTCCATGATGTAGTGCTTTTATATCTTCTTTTTTTTAAATTGAGGGCTCTGAGCCCCAATAAAATATGTTGCTTATTCTGTTATGGGTGCTATGGAGGGGTAACGTGCCTTTAGGTCCTGCAAATACTGTAATGCAATCGTTTGATTCCATGGCGACTCATCTAAGACTGCGCGCCAATGCATTGTCCAAACAGTTTGTAAAACCAGACCGTGCTTTTATATCTTATCTGTTCGCTTGGTCAACTGATCCAAAAAAGGAAAAAAAGAAAATTGACAGCGTCACTTGCCAGCCCAGGTGATGCCATGTTACACCGACAAGCACACTCTGGACACACCGTACTATGGGTCTGTCGTGTCCCGAGGCATTCGGAATGCAACCTCTCTGACATTCCCCTTTGCAATGTGCTCACTTCAGGCTACACGTACACACTAGTCTTGTCTTTCTACATGGCTCTCACAAAGTGTCTCCACTTGTTAAAGTATGATGACGCGCTTTTCTTCTACTCAACACTGAGGTTACACAAGGCCTAGACTATCGATAATGGCGCATGACAGGGGCATTGTCTTTTGGGAAGCATATTGGCGATCCGTGATTCCAAGTGGCAATCGGAACAATGCTTACAGAAGCCCCACTACGCTTTGTTTCTTCGCGCGTTTGAAAGTACAGGCGCGTGTGACATCCAGGAGATTAGCAGACTCTCGCTGTCTATGTCCTGCGTTTTTGTACTCTGGCGGTGCATCTGCATTGTCTCTAGGATGATCGTCCAAAAAGAACTCTTCATTCTTGTCGCTGTTGCGGCTGCTGCTGTTGACGCTACGGCCATCGTTCTGGTGGTGTTGTTGGTACATTGCTTATCTACAGGTCACCTTCGTTACGCGTCTGCTAGTGCTTGTCGTTACCTTTGTTGGTGACGTTCGTTCCCTAAAAGAGAAGTGGGAGTGAGAAAGAAGTGCTTTATGTGGACGAGGAGAAGAGACGGAAGAGAGTGGTTTTGATCGGGAAGCAATATAAATCAAGTCTCTCTTTTCTTGTTTAAATAGCACAGAGCAGCTCGCATTAAAACATCGATGCTCGACCGGGTTGCACGCAGTCCGTAAGGTCTCATAATGCATGTGCACACACCAGGAACATCAAGATGGCCATCATAGAGGAAAGCGGATGTGCGTTTAGCGTCATTGATAGTGGCGTCTATGTATTAGTTTTCTCTCTGTCTCTCAACGACATATACCTACATTTTAATATTGTACAGCCAATCTAAATTTGAAATCCGCATTAAAATACTATATTAGCTACCAAGGCCAGGCCCGCATATATTACTGCCACACATAGGGTTGCATTGCTAGCCATGAGCTGTTGGATCTATGATAATGTTTCCCACGAGAGTCACATTCATGCTAAGCGTCATATGTAATTCCAGGTTGATCCTTTTACTGAGCCCTTGGTGGGGTGATTTTCTATACTGCAAAACACCAAGTACCTTATTCTACAACTACGTGGACGTCATCACTCCTTGCCTGCATTCGTTCACGTCGATCATGATGTTTTTCGACCCTCGCTCGGGAAACTGATGACTCTAATAAATGCACATATAGGTCAAACTCTTTATTTAAGATCCTCGACATTTGCAATACTTGTGGTGAACCACATTAATACACTGCTTAAGATATCAACAATAAGATATTCGGTTAAACATTATAGCACACACGTATGAACACTACGGCATTCCGGCTAAACACTATTGAATAAAATCTCTTACTCGGATGATTCACCTTACGTGAACAGGACAATGAACCTATCAACAGGTACCTCGGCCATTACATCAGCTAACGCCGGTTTCAAAGATGTGCCCGATTGACATAACGACTTCAGGAGAAGTTCTGATACGTCCTTGATCCATCCTCTATCACATAGTTTATCCATCAGTCGGATGAATTGATATCGCCGTCTTAATAGCTAGAATATAAAAGAGCTTTATCTTTTGTTGGAATAAAACATCATCTCAAAGATACTTAATCTTGTCCCTTATTATCTTTATTAAAGCTCTATCATCACAATACTCATATGCTCTCTCTTCTTTTTAGATGCAACGCTAAATTGCGGTACAACTACTATATTCTATTCAGAGATGTTCTTGATCCTAGGATGGAACGCCACTTCTCCAGTTTCCATGTCATGCCGTTGCATTGAGAGTATGCCGATCTTCGCGCACAGATAGACACTCACATAGAGGGAGAAAGGAAGGTATGAGAGAATTACAAAGAGCATCTCCACTAGACATTCATCAGTAAAGTTCGGGTGAATCTTGGCGCTGTGCTCCTCCGCCAAGCTCTTTTATCATTCGTGTGGAATATACGATAGACGGTGCTACCTATATCAAATCAGACTTCAAAGGTGTTTTTAAATCATGTGCATGTATATACAATGTGTACTATCAAATGAAGCATTTACGTCTTGCTGTGCCATTAATCAAAAGCAAGGTTCTCATAGGTATAGCGTATATCATCACAGTTTAGGACCATGCCTTAAGTATCAACGCCGTTACTATTACAGTTGCATATGAGCAACAGTGACACATGCATTTGCAGATATTGGCACTCGTCGAACAGCTTTTTTACTATGATACGTTCTTCGATAATTGATGATGATGATGGATGGCGCCTTCTTAAAGCTCTTTTACATTGAAACAGAATAAAGTTGGATGCACTGTGGTCGGCAAATTTTCAAAAGTGAACATCTCCATCGGCACGCCAAAGATCGCACTTCTGGTTGTATAATCACTGTATGGATCGCTCTATTCACGGAACCACACCGGTAAATGCACAATTCATAATTTTCTTTCATAGAGAGGCTGGTCTCGTTTTCTGCAGCAAGCTGCTCCTCGAAAAGCATTTATTATAATAGTCAATTGATCAGCCCATGCTCAGGATAATTACAAACACTTCTTCAAGAGAGTAGAAACGAAATTAATAAACTTATTGTACACAAAGACAGAAGAAGACACATTTATTTATTGTTGCTTGCAAATGACCGGCTTGTCTATGAATCCTTCGTTCCTCAAAGGAGAGGTTGCTCTCCCTTGGTCTCCCCAAGCCTCAGTTCCAAAGGAACCTACACCTCCCAATAACAAATCACTACAAATAGAAGAAGATGGGTGAGAGTAGTTTGTCAAGGGGGGAATTACGTGTATACTTACTTTGTGAGTGCACTGCGGTAAAGAACTTTACGGCTTGTAGTGCGCTCACCTACACCTCCCAATAACAAATCACTACAAATAGAAGAAGATGGGTGAGAGTAGTTTGTCAAGGGGGGAATTACGTGTATACTTACTTTGTGAGTGCACTGCGGTAAAGAACTTTACGGCTTGTAGTGCGCTCACGGATAGGGCTCGCTGCAATAGCGACTCGTGCACTGCGTCACAAAGATCCTAATGAAAATCGCAAATGTACGCCGAAAACAATAACGAATACTGATTCTGCACGTACACCCACTCGGATCAAGTAGCAGAAGGCAGCCCTCAAATAGAAGAAGATGGGTGAGAGTAGTTTGTCAAGGGGGGAATTACGTGTATACTTACTTTGTGAGTGCACTGCGGTAAAGAACTTACGGCTTGTAGTGCGCTCACGGATAGGGCTCGCTGCAATAGCGACTCGTGCACTGCGTCACAAAGATCCTAATGAAAATCGCAAATGTACGCCGAAAACAATAACGAATACTGATTCTGCACGTACACCCACTCGGATCAAGTAGCAGAAGGCAGCCCTCAAATAAAGAAGCTGGTGAAAAGTGGTTTTTATTGGTATCGTTCAATGAAGTGGAAAAGGTGGAAAAGATCTTTCGACAGTGAGGAAGAAGAAAGAGAAAGGGAAATGCGCAGTCGAGTCCAGTTCTTTTGTAGGCGTCACAGTTTGACCTGTTTGACCATCCGATGTTGCACAAGGATCGCGAGCAATGGATGGCAATCTCTCAAGGGCCATGCTTCACACAAATAACACCTGCACATTGTAGACGCTCTAGGCTCCATGTACACACTCGTCTCATCTCGCTACTTGGCAATCACGATGAGTTTCGCTCTTTTTCTGTTCACTTAAGCTTGCCTCTTATCGGTGTACCATATGCGTAAGGGGCTAGAGTCGAGTGGGAACTCTTCAGAAGTGTGTGTAACACCAAGAATTTTTCCAGGGCACCAATTCAAATACCATGGAAATCGCTACAAGTTCACTCCAAGTAAGTCAAAATATGCCACAATGGCCGATTCAAAAAAAGAAGTGGCAGTGACAGCCAAGGGACATAGCCGCAACAACCAGGATGTTGATGAGCAGAACTTGCAAACTGTCGAATCTATTATATCGTTGGCTCATTATCATTGATGCTATGTACTACTTACTACTACTGACTGCTGATACAAATCTATCAGATATTCCAATGAGACTAAAAACCTAAATGACCCTTAATTTTAGAAATGATTGGGAGACTAAATCACAAAAGTGTGGAACTGCGAATTGGTTCATAAAGACCAAAGGATCAATTTCAACACATAACTAAAGCATTGCTTATTGACAGATTTATCCAAAGTACGATACAGCAAAACTATAGAATAGAAACACGGTTTATGATGCCATCTATGTGTATCGCGAACAGCATCGGGCGAGCCTTGACACTTTGAAATAAACAGTTCCTGTCCGTCAAAAAAAAATAACTTTACTGTACTGTAGAACGGATTTTGGAAGAGAGTAAAAGAACCGATAAGTGCTCGTATCCAAATGTGTGTCACTTGGTCAGTGACATGAAAAAGATCAACTTTCCATTCCCGGTGTAACACCGTGTATCATGCTGTTAGGCAACCACGGTTCTTGTGCAGGTTGCCATCATCGTCCATCATTGGAATCCAAAAACGTATTAAAGTAAATGTGTATGTGTTTTTGAAAAGAAACAAGGGGCTCGTCGTCTATTTGCACCGTATGTTTGCCATCGAACTTGGCAGAAAGAGGGGAGGAAGAAACATCTACCCATCGTTTGACACCTTTCGACGAGATAAGCCAATAATCCCCACCACTCAATCGAAAAGACCCTTCAGCGTCAATATGGGGGAACAACTGTTTGTATTTAGACTGATGACCACTTTTCGAATGAAATAAAACGGTTTTGTCAGCCTCTTGCAGTTCCACAATAAACAACAACAATTGAAAAGATGAGAAACAAACCGCTTATGTAGTTACCGTGCCACAAGGCTTCCAACTTATGTAGCTGTGCATAAAAAAAGGCGGCTGCGGAGTCTTATTGACACAATCCTATGATGTTACTAATACTAATACAACCGTATTATACTACCATCACCACTACTAAAGTAATACTAGATTAGGTATAGATATGGATATATATCGGCATACAAAGAGGGAAAGCTCTACGTAGTAACGAATAGACTTAACGTCGCCAGTAACGGTCTTCCTGGTAGTTGACAGCACAGGAACCCAAGGGTGACTAATTTACAGACGTTAATTGAAATTGATTCCCTCTTCTGATTTATTCTTTTCCTTTTTTTTCATGCTAAATCATCAATTGTATTACCCAACAATAGCGGCAGCCAAAACAGATACATTCGTTGGTCATATTTTTGTTGCGCCAATCCTAATCCGTCCTTGTCCATATCAGATGCTCGTGCATTGATCCTGTTGTTGTTGTTGTTGTTGTTGTTGTCCTGGACGTTGTTGTCGTTATTGTTGGATAAAAGAAGCGTTGAGAACGAAGATAAAGTATCATGTTGAAAACTGTGGTATCGTCGTAAATGTCCGTTCATCTGTTTGCTAGTCTGTTTTAGGTGCGAATATCTTGCCGTTGTTGCTGTTGTGGCAGAGGTGCATTGTAGATCGTTTAAATTTAGGCAGCTTTGGCTGGTAGATAGCGCAGAAGTAGCAGTAGTAGCAGCAGCTAGAGTGCTCGGTCGGCTGATACAATTACTGCTCAAGACATTGTTATCACTGCTACTACTGCTTCCGAGCAGAACCTGTGCCATGCTTTTGTCCCCTTTCCAAAAAGCCATATTAAGTGGCGACATGCCGTTTCGGTCTTGAGCTCCATTAACATCGCAGGAATTCTTGGTAGCCAGTAATCGTGCAAGACGCTTGTACCCACAGAGCACCGCAAGATGCAGAAGCGTATGGCCTTGGGTGTTCATAAGTGACACATCATCTACTTGTACTGCTTCCAATGCATTGATGATGCGTTGTTCCATACTGATCATGCTTGCTTCTTGTTGTTGTTGTTGGTGATTAGGCGCTGATGATGCGGGTGTTGGCGACGACGATCCATTATTTGTTTGTTGCTTGTTACCGTGTACAATACCCATCGCAACCTGTTTCGCATCCTGCAGCTTGCCTGTCATCTGAAGCCCCACGACCTGGAGAGCAAGTTCCATCAACGCTCGGTCGTTCGTATCGTAGTATGTAAACAGCGAAACATCGTGGCCATCAATTACGAGTGGATGCTCTTTGAATGACACTACCACAGGTCCTGGTTGTGGTGATACTGGCAAAACACAAACAAGTGTGCTTGGACTCCAGCATAATGTAGTAGCTGGCCGGTCGCCAAATAGACATGTCAACCCTTGGGTGAAATTCGAGCCGAGAATTGTGATTTCAATAGCACCATGCGTTGGTCCTTGTGCTGGCACCAGACGACCGATGCGCGGAGTAGAAGAAGGAGCGTGACTTAATAGTGATACTATATGGTTTTGTTGCGAATTACATGGAGTTACTGGTGAAGGAGTTGAAGGTGTGGCACTAGTAGGGGCGACGTTCATTGAAGAAGTGGAGGTGGTACTTCTATGAGAAGGAACTAAGTTGGACTGGTTCAGAGTAGTAGTGGTGCTGGTGGGTATCATTGCTGAAATACTGCTAGGATGGTGGCCAAATAATGCTCCCGGTGTTTGTGGTAACATGTGATCTGTTCCTGCTGTTGTCAAGTCGAGAGTGTTGTTCATCGTGCTAGACGAGCCCGATGCATACAAATGCTGTGGTATACTCCATGATGATGCTGTCGTAGCGATTGCCGTTGTTGTCGATGAAGTCGTTGATGTGGTATCGGTTCCAAAGATAGAAGACACACGTTCTTCTGCTGGAGTTGGTAATGGACTGATTTGATCGAGCGAGAGCTGCTGATCGCTTGTCAATGGGTGAGGGAATAGATTGATAATAGATTGTCGGGGTGTGCTGTAAGAAGATGATGAATCAGCGGTGGATATGGAGCCACGTCTCGAAGATGCCGGCGTCGCTGGTGCATATTCTGTGCGTTGCCGTTTTCGGCCCGCTGCTGCTGGTGTGATACTGTTACTCGGCGGGGGAGGTGGCTGTTTAGTACTTTTATGATCGTCGGTAATCATGATAGATGGTGTCTCGCCCGTAGCAACCACGTTCCCATTGCAATCATGCAAGGAAAATCGTATTCTACGTTCAGTTTTTCATTTATTTAGACCAATTTTGCATAGACGTGCGTGATACCAAGTAAAATAAAAGAAGACTTACCGGAACCCTACCCGCTCATTGTGATGTCGACAATAGCAAGTGATTCGTGTAGGCAAGATCGTATCACCCGAGTTAAAGTCCACCAGTGGTTCACAGTTAAACAGTAGAATCCGGTCGCGCTCTTTTTCGAATGCATCTTCCGACATGGTCGCCGAAAGAGCCGCATCTGTTGAATGACTGTCCTTTTTGCGTTCTGCACGTTTACGCTAGTAAATCAGCCAACAAGGTTATTTTTCACAGCTAGAAGACGAGCTTATTTCGGATTTTGCTTCGCTTTGAATTTCTCTAGACACTACCTCTCGACGAACACAACCGGCACACATTCGTAACTTTTTGGCAGGATCACTGGCGCAAATGACTTTGGCAGTAAGTTCAAGGACTTTGGATTCATCACATTCGATGGCATAGTGCTTGGCCGAGAGTTTGCGTTGTTGTGTTTTGCGTAACTTGGATCGTGCCAACATGAATTCGGGAAGTCGAATGAACGACCAGTGAGGTACTTTGGTGCCTTGACTCGACACTAGTTGAACACATAATTTGATCTGTGTTTCTACTCGGGTTTTAGCTCCATTCTCCGAAATGCCAAGTATGCGGATCTGCATGTTCTCGTCACTGCTGTTACTATTGTTGTTCTTATTGTTGCTATACATTGATTTTTAAAAACATTGATCGAGTTAGAATGTGTGACGTGATGAGAATGATGCACGGATTGCTTTGCTCCTGTAATAGTGCCATGTAATTCTCTATTTTCTCGTGTCAATCAAAAAGATACCTTGAGGAAGAAGATGATGGTGATGATGATTGTAGTAATGATTGTGTGGTTGCTGTTGTTGCTGTTGGTAATCTAATAATAGCAATTGTTAAAAAAAAAAGGTCAATTGACGACTTGTCTATACCAAGCTTTTGATTCTCTATCTCTCTCTTTTCTGATTAGAGACTGGATATTGCACGTTCCGACAGGAAAGGCAGAATAAGGACTATATAGTGGGAGAAACAATGATGAATGGGTCATGCAGAAATAAAGCCCACTTACATGCCGGCAGTTGGGTATGATATTTGATGTGATGCTGATAAACTGAATGGATGCTGCTGTTCTTGTTCGACAAAGGCGTCTTGTTTTGGTAGTAGCTGCTCGGATGCTACTAGGTATTGATGGTAGTCCTGATTTGCATTCGATAATAGTAGCAGTAATTACACAAATTAGTATTTTCTGTGCAAAATTCACAGGTGTCTTTAATGGAAATAGCAGCAGCAATAGCAGTACTACCGCCATAAGTGTAACTTGGCAAAAAAGGATTTAAAGCATACCGATCCTTCTCCACATCCGATTTCATCCGACAGCCCGGTTGCGCCGCATGGCGGAAGAGGCGAGGGCATTGTAAACGAGTTGGGTGAAGAGTTGCTGGTCGGTAAAGACGTGGGCGAGGTCTCTTCCAATAACATTGTGTTTTGATGAAAAGACGCGGACGAGACATAATCGATGGTCCTTGTGGCATATGCTGCTGTATTTACGGTCGTGTTCGCAGACGCGGTAGTCGCACCATTCAGGTTATTGAATTCGTCTTTTTCTCGTTGTCCTTGTTGTTGCTGTTCGTCATCGTACAGAAATGAGCAAGAGGATTGTGATGGACGATGCAAAGTGTTCATTTGTTTTATAGTAAGAGTGGGGATAAGTATTGGAGGGGAGCGGGTAGAAGAGAGTTAGACGATCAGCAGCTTTTTAGAAAGAGAGGAAAAGGGAAAAGAGAAAAGGTACGGTTGAATATGTAGAGAGAGAAAGTATATATGTGTGTGTGTGTAGGGAGCGCGGCAAAAGATAGAGAAAACGCGGGACAACAACTTTATAGTCGGAGACTAGATGGTTACTGATCTCTCGCTCCAATGCGAATCCCGCAAATTCTGGGGAATAAAATGAATGTGCTGATGTACTTGGCTGACCATCCGTTATTAACGTATCCATAAGCCTTTCCTGCTGTCGCTGACTTGCTCTTGCAATTGCTCAGGTCTATCACCCGTGATATAGAGCGTCATTAACTTTCCTCCTGCTGATGATGGACGGTTTGCAGTTCGCTAGTGAGCAATAGTGAAGGGCAGCTGGGGATTTGTGAACTTTGATGATATTATCAAAAGTCATCACAGTGCGTTGTCTAGTACTCCCGGAAGCCCTAGCCTTTATTTGCAGCTGTACAATCGGCAGTAGTGATAGATTTATGGAATTTGCTGGATCTGCGTCTTTGATGAACCGGTTTCCCTAATATTATTTGCTTTACCATAAGCCTGGACAAATACTTGATTTACGTTGCACGAATTCTCATATGAGTAAAATCCTATCATGAAACAGCAAATAGCTGTTCGATAAATACAGACATCATCCAAAGACATCGAAAAATACAGCTGGTTTTTATTGGCACCTTTGTATGTGGTCACTGCGTCCAATTGACAAGAATACGCATTTATCTCGCCGATAAAAATGGTCTCTATCGATTTAAACGGAATATTAACTCTAACTACAATAGCGTGTTAACCATATAGGAAGCTTCTCCGGTGTCACTTTCAGTTGATTTCTTACAAGACTTGCAACGTGGTTTAAACATGGACAAATCGTCGTTGTCTAAGTAGAATGCAGGAGTATAACGGACTGATTAAAGACGGCTTGGTATAAAAACAGTCCATAAGAGTATAACTTTTCCCTCGATGTATATAAACAGCAGTATTACTACGGGCATGCACCACATAAATATCACGTGGAACTTCTATACATGTGCAACAGACTTTTGGCTCACTCTCTACAGTGTCTTTGATTTCCCACTACTGCTCCTGCTGCTACATGCTGCTGCTACATACTGCACCTGATCAACAATGAAATTTAAGAATATATAACCTCTATGAACACAGTATAAGCAGAGTGACTGTCGTCGTTTCGTAAATCATGTACCCAATAGTGAGAGCGGTAAGTGCTTTTGCATTGTGAACAGTTTCGCGGCACATGCATAGTAGCACTTGCAGCTTCTTCACTGCCTGTATATCAATGTTTCTGCTGGTGAGTTCAGTTTAGTAGCTAGTAATGATAATACAGAAAGTAAACAACGATACACCATCATTGTCACGAATGCATATTATCAAAGCAACTATGCAGTTACAGGTTATCTTTACGCGCCTTTTTTAGAGTATATAAACTCTGCATAGCCGACAAGGTCCTGCTACTAGTTACTCCCCTTGTTATTGCCAAGAGAGGGAAGAGATAGAGACGGCGCGTATAACTGCCACAGTGTAATTTTTTAACCGCCGCCAAGCTTTAGGTGTCTGTGGTATGAGGCATGCAGAGTACAACTCTCCCAGCTCTCTCTTTTCTACTTTTTAAGACTATCACTCTTTTTTTTGGCAGTGCAAAAACCTTGTATACCTTTGAAATTATGAATGACGATTACGAAAACGTAGAATGGAATGTTCATGCCACTTCGGATGCTTATACCCCTCAAGTCGAAGGTGACGATCCGCTCTCCGCCTTCAGCAACGGCTACGAAAGCAATAATAACAACAACAAAAATATCAACAGTAATAATAACGAGTTCAGCCAAGAGGTAGAAAACAAAAATAACGTTCGGGTCCTTTTTCGCTATATGGAAACTAATGCCATTCTACTGTTAAAAGAGAAGTTCTGTTTCTACAAACGGATACCATGACGATTCGCCATCCTCACCACCAACGCCATCTTTTATGCCGACCCTCAACGGATCAACGAACGGAATGAAAAGAGACTTTATTGCTACTAATAACGGTGGTTCTAGCAGTAATAGTGTCATTACGTCTCCCATGGCTACTCAAACAACAACGGCAACACCGTCATCGTCATCCATGCCCGATAATCGTACCCGTTTCGCACAAAGTAAAAGCACTTTTTCCAGTGAGCCCTATGTAGCAAAACCAATGGTGATTAGCATTGCCGATCCACAAAAGCACACAGAAGGTGCTCAGGGAACTTTTATTACCTACCTTATCACTACTACAGTATGTTTGATTTTCTTGCATTCAATCAATTTCTCTCGTGCCCAAAAAGAGGTGCCTTGTAGCATATCCTCAGATTCACTCATATGCATTCTCTTCGTGTGGTCGCACAAATATCACACCCGCAATTGACACTCTTACTTCTCTTTACATAGACCACACTCGATACCTTTGCTTCGTCTCACCCCAGATCTGTGCGGCGGAGATTTCAAGACTTTGTATGGCTGCATAATGCTCTGTTACTGGAGTTTCCAGCATGCATCGTGCCACCTTTGCCTGAAAAACATCGTCTAGGTAATTACGCTGGTCTACTGCTATCAATAATCTTAATGCACTGTATTGTGATAATTTAATGCTGGTAGCATGCAATAGAATATATCAAGGGTGATCGGTTCGGCTCCGAGTTTATTGACAGACGGAAAATAAGGTATAAATCGCACCGGGATAATAAGGAGAGAGATACAATTGCTCTGCCTACAAAAATTTCTAATGCATATTTTCTTTTTCAAGTCTACAATGGTTTTTGAATCGGATAGCTCGCCATCCAGAAGTACAACGATCCCAATTTGTTCGCATATTTCTTGAATCAGGAGATTTTGTATGTGTTTTAGAAGATAGAATGAGAGAAACTGTGAGGTTGAAGTCATGGATCTAATCGCTTGGTTACTACTCTTTGAACAAAATGCAGAGAAATGACAAGCGGATGCAATCTCGACGAATACCACCTGCCGCATCCGTTTTGGAATCATTGAGTGATACGTTACTCAATGCATTCACAAAGATCAAAAAACCTGATGAACGATTTGTAAATATGAAGGATACGGTTGATAAATTGGAAGACAATCTCAACACAGTAGAACGCCTTTATTCAAGGATTGGCAAGCGGCAGAGTGGTGAGCAATTAGACAGCTATTCTTAGGAAGATGGTTTTGGGGAAATGAAGATGATGAAAAGGATTTGAGGTGCTGAACAGGTGCTGAACAAACATATATCAAGATTTACAGCAAGATTACAGTGGTTTTGCAGAAAGCATTCAAGGGCTTTCAACATTGGAAACCAGTATATCAAAGCAACTACGAGGATTTGCTGATACTACCAAGGCATATGAAAAGGCGATGAACGAGATGGTAACTATTTTGCATATAAATATGAAGATAGAATGAAGAATTGAAGGAGCTACCCGCTTTTGCAGGCCATTAACTTTTCTTGCATTTAGATACATGATGAAGATCTTTTGTTTCTGAACGACGTACATGAATTGCTAGCGTATTGTCATGCAGCCAAGGTACACAACGTTTCAGCCTAATATTGCCTCAAGTCAAGAACTTCGTGACTAAAGAACCCCCCCCCCATCAACTCCCTTAACCTGTAATGACTAGGCTACACTGAGAGCAAGGGATCAAAAACAGGTGGATTTTGAAGAACTATCAGCGTACCTTCACCGAACGATCCAGGAGTGCGAACGAACAAAATATCCTGGACGCAATACGGATGGTGGCTTGAATATCAGTGAGATCGTGACTGATAAGATCAATGAAGTTCGAGGCATCGATATGCAGCGTTCCAGAAGAGAAAAATTGGCTCGGTTGGAGCGAAAAGTTAAAGAGGTACATGTGGCTGCTTTAGGTAGAGATATTTCCCTGACTGAATTGTGCCAAGATCTAAACGCAGATATATTTGTGTGTACATAAATAGTTGGAAACAGAAGTTGCACGGGCAAATGATGTCTCGAACGCCTTTAATGATCAAGTCATCAAGGAATATGAAGTGTTCCAACAAACCAAAACGGAAGAACTGAAGCAAGGCCTCGCTGCTTATGCTGACTCTCATATAAAGTTTTTTGCAACGGTAAGCAAGAAGATGGTGGGAGTGATTCAAGGAGGATCAAAGACTAATGCTACATAAACACTCCCTTTTCGGCATAATTAGGGTGTCTCTATATGGGAAAGCATTCTACCAACATTGGAGAGTATACACATAGAGGAGGACACGTCAGCAGATGATGACGAACCAGAAGGGTCGAATTAGCTCTCTCTTATTCCGCATCCACTCTCAATATATCTTTTTTTGTTCTTGTAAAGATCGTTACACGGACACACAATCTCTGTCACCTGTTGTATTGTTTGTCTTTTCTCTGGACTTTTGAAATGATATCAACTGTGCAAAGTAAATACTTACTTAAGCACAACACATGATGTTCATTACCCGCCATTACCACTACTAGCACTACCACTGTTACTGCATACCACGACCACTGGATGATAATCTCTCCGGTTCTTTTTGAATCTCAACCACGAATAAAAGAGTAGTTTCTCTATACATAGTACACTGATACTGAAAAACTTCAAAAATGTACGAAATGTTTAAGTCATCAAATAAAGATAAAAAAGAAGGCATTAGTGATAAAAAACCAAAGCAAAGAAGAAACCACTGGTCACACAGGTAGATTTTTTGGTTTTGATAAAATCAACGGACTGGGTCGGGCTCAAGGGGCTCATGGAGATGGAGTAGATAGAGTTGATGGGGCTTAGATGGCTTGATAAAGTAATGAGGTAACCTACGGTACTGTAGTATACATTGCAGGATGGTAGGGTTGATTATCGCCGTGTTTCCGTCACGATGTGGCGGCAGTAGTATCTCTTCGCTATGACGATATGTGACAGAGCAAGGGATCATTTGGGTCCCGTCGAAGGAAGACGACGCAGTGGATAATGGCTGGTTTTATTGGCATAGGTGCGTATCTGTATCGTACAATAATCATCAGGTCAATACATGTTGCTAGATGGTTGTTTGCCTTAGATAGATTTGATTAACGCATTCACCAGCTTGTACAGTAATACAAAGTCGAACGAGCATTCTTACTCCTAGGTTCGTTGCCACTGAGATGCTGTCGACGCTTATTTCATGTTCGGTCTCTTCTGCGTGCTGCACTGTCCTGTATATATTTTACTCCAAACATTATTTAAATTGACCACAGTACAGCACGTACTGTGGCCACACGGACGTCGCATTTATTATGCGCTTGCCGTTTGAGCAGCCGCAACGAGTCCTGCACGCTTTGCAAGAACGACAACGAGCAGCTGCTGATACTCTTGAGACTACAAGCAGATAAATCGATGCGCCTTATCGGAATCCGATAGAACGGTTCCGGTGATCTGTTCAGCTAAATATTGATCTATCGAGTAACGGTTTATCGAGCATGTACTGTATTGATGGAGAAACAAAAAATAGACGGCAATGGATGCACACACAGGTGACCGAACCATCCATGCTTGCAGAAACCGAGCCAGCCGCTAGAATTTACTCTAGATAACTATAATAGCGTTATTACACTGCATCATGATGTTCTCACAACAATAGGTTAAAATCTATGTTTTTATTGTAGAAGACTAAATGAACCGGCGCCGATGGACATGTGGTCGCTTCCTTGAGGTACAGGATGATGTGAGATATATTACATATGTATGTAATATGAGGGGTTGCAATAGCTGAAAAAGTCCCTTTGGGGAAAAAGTTGTGCTAGTCAAGGGAATATGGATAATGGTATATGTGGTGGACGCGGGGGAAGGAAGGGTATAGAGGTATACACGATAGACGTGAAGTACAAATATGAGAGTTATTGTATTTGTGTTCTTGGGTGTGAGTAGCCAGTGGAGGAGATTTAAATGCAGCTCCTGGAGCTGGTTCGTCATCGTCGTTATAGGTGTTTTCAGGATGACTTGACGGGTCTATTTCCCTGAGGACATGAATTAGTGCAGGCCAGGATTTTTTCCAAACGCCACGGGATAGCCCGGTGTCAGAGCGAGGGTGACTATTCATAATGTGATCTATTGTCTGGTTGTTGATACTGTAAATAGCGCTGGTATCGGGCCGAATGATTCAGTGAGCTCCTTCAAATTTAATTGTACATAGCAGAAAGCAGCTAGCGAAATGTTCACGTTTGGCTTCCGTTACCCCACTTCAAGTGGATATGATGGAAGCCGATGCATACGCCACTTGACTAGGCGGTGGCGAATTTGAGAGTAAGTAGCCAGATATGATAGAGGATGGGGTCAATTCTGCGTATGATATCTCACGGCAATATATTGCTATGTACTTTTCATTCTTCGTAGCATGATGGCATTAATGAATCAGCTTTAGTCTTCTAAATCGATTTGAGATATCTCACTTTCTTGTTATGCTATATCATATTTAGCACAGCTTTTTTCTCGCATCGTTGCTACATTACGAATAGATCCTCGTCCGTACCCCAACAACTACAGAAAGTTAAGAATTGAAGAGTGGTGGTACTGTGTTGATAACAATATATTGAGATATATTCATGGATTTGCAAGTATGTAATGTGTGTGAAAAAAAAGTATCACAAGATGAGGGTGTAAGGGATGGTTTTCTTCCGATTTGCTGAAATATTGTACTTAAAGAAAGGTTACTACAGTACATATTGATGCTACTTTGAGGGGAGGAATTTGTGTCGGGTTTAAGCTAAAGAAAAGATATATATATCATATACTACCTATACGATAAGTCAGATAGCGATTTGTTTTGGTATTTGTAAAGGTGACGATAGAGCTGCTACGTTTGAATCAAAGAGAGAGGTGGAAAAAAGAGAGTGTGTGTAAGAAATTGAAAGAAAGAGGAAGGTAGCAGGCAAGCTACAAGCCGTAGGAGGAAGTATCTAAAGGATATAGTTTCAAATTATGCGTTAAAAAACCTTTCCTCTACTGCGCTGCATAACACCAGGACGTCAATGCTTATGTGGCAGATTGCATAATTACACATACCTCGTGTGCTTGGCATTGAAGCCAATGAGCCCAGGTTGACGTATCCTTCTTCGTTGCGCAGATGGCTAGTGCTAATGTATGCTGTGTCAGATTTCTTTGTGCCGTGCCACTCTGCCCGACAGTAAACGCAAGTGGTTTTGGACCGTCCTGTTGAGCTCCACGCTTCAAAGCACGCCTATATTTTTTGTTAAACGAGAATCAGGAGTAAAATACTGTTAGCTCTGTGATATGTACATCCACCAAAGATGCTTAGATTGTATTACTTTATGAATGTTGTTGCCGCAGGATCTGCAGTACGTGATCTTGTCGCGTTCTTGTTCTGTAAATTCTTCGAAACAAACAGGACAATCGGATGTACTAAGTGGACGCTGTTGTACTCCAACACTAATGTGCATAGAGAGATCAATCCCATCATCATTGTAAGAATCAATAAAAAAAAACAAGCTTAATACGACAATCAAACAGAATCAAGACAGGAAGGGTAACATACTCTTCTTTTTGCGGCTTCTTTCCGTAAAGTTCCGACTCCAATAAGCTTTGCAATTGCTCACTTGCCTATAAAGAAAAAAGATCCAAGTATGTAAAAGGGATGATAGTTAGAATAAATGCTAGTGCAGACAGACGACGAGTACGAAGATTCCGTAGCAAACAAAGTCGGCAGCAGTATCTTACAATAACACTAGCGTCTGGTGTACAGTTCTGAAACACTTCTTCAAGGTCCTAGACGAAGGAACAAACACAATTAATCACAGCAGTTATTTTCCCAAGAAGGTAGAAAAGATATTGCCATACCGCTGAAGATAAATGCATACTCTGGCAAGCCGGTGAACTCGAATTTACATGGAAAACTTTAATCAATACGAGGAGGATGTGTTTGCAATGTGTTCGACGGTAGCGGAAATCGTGGCAAGCGCAGCTCAAGTCAGGACCAATGGTAACAGTGTAGATCTACAGTATAGTCAACAAGCAAATAAATAGATGACCTTCCATGTGTTGTGTATATTATATAGAGTCCATTATTCCTTCGTCCCTTTATGCTATACGACAGCACCCACTTACGTTTCCGGTACTGCCAAGAACTAAAAAGAAAGGTTTAATGTCAGTAAGATATGCCGATGTCATCGATTACTATCATTTACCAACTGCGACTATCAACCATACAAGAATAAGAATTAGCTTTACCATCAAACGTTTGTTTACGCGCACTAACCACGGTGCGTTGAACCACAAGCATTTTCTGAGTCTCCATTCGGTACAAACGGCCTTGCATTTCCTAAAGTCCAATTCCAGTGGAGAAATCAATGCATGTTGCCATTGCAAATTGTCTTTTTCTTTTAATATTTGCACGAGTGGGAAAAATGATTACCCTCAAATCAGGAGGGAAACGCTGCAACGCTTCCTCGATAAGGGCCTTTTTTGACATTTTCTTCTTTTTCGCTGGTGGGGGAGTATCGGCATTGGCAGACGAGCTACCTGCTGCGGCTTGTGTTGATGCTGCATCTTCATTCTTTCTCTTGCGATATGTTCTTTTTTGCTTGACGGGTTGATCCTTGACATTGTCGTCAGACGCCGCAGCCTTCTTTCGTTTATTGATGGTAGTTGTACGCGTCGTCTTTGCTGTTGCTTTTTTCTTTTTGGGTGAGGAAATTCCTTGTCCTTCCTGCATTGGTAAGGGTGGTGGTTCCGAAGAAGTGGAAGCAACAGGAGTATTTTCCGCCACGGGGGTATCTTGCGACTTTTGGGGACGCGATTGCGATCGTGTCACGGCCATCGTTGGTTGTTTGAAAAAAGACGAAAATCGGCGTCAGCCTTTTTATGCGTGCACATCCAAAAATTTACCGCTTTTGCAACATGACGTAACCTTAATGGAGCTACATTGGTACAACTCCACTACTACGACGCCACTTTTAATACCGTGTTGCTCATTATGAAACAACCATCGTACAGACAGATTAAAATAGCCATAGGCATATAAAAAACATGGTTGATTTTTTAAATGGTAAGTATAGAAAGCAAGTGAATCTCATAGTAAAATACGGTTTTTTTTATTTCATCACTATGTACACTCCAGAAACAGGACCCGGAATTTACAGAATTGTATGTCATATATGTACAAGGGTGCGAGGAAAAGGTACCGACAGCATTTGGTGATAATGGCCAATATTGCTGTAGTAGCATTATCGCCATCACTCTTGGGCATGGAGTAACTCTTGAGAGGAAGGCGAATAAGAAAGATGACTGATGGATGAAAGGGATTGACTACTGTTCTGTGGACCCAGTTCATTTACAATTGTTTCCAAGCCTTGCCATATAGTTGAACACCGAACAAGAAAGCCGTAATAGGATAGAAGCTTCAGACCATCGACAGAATCCGAATTCTGGCTGATGCTGATCGTTTGCATAAGCTCTTCTTGTACCAGAGTTGTTCCGTTCATGACGCGCCAATGCAGCGTTGGCCAATCGGGCTCGTCGCTTAGCTTACGCTTTGTATCCTTGAGCATAGCAGCAAGCTTGCGCATGACCCACAGACTGTCTTCAAAGTTTTCCAACAAAGCTTGAGTTGGCGTGGCTCGATCATGAAGTGCGTTTCTTGAATCCTTGGAATCGTTATGGATTTTAATAAGCGGTAAAAGTAGTCGAAACGAAACCAAAGGCCATACAATTCGTTTCATGGCATCAATTGAGTCGCTATACTGTTTCGTTCGGCGAAGATCCTTTCGGCATCTTTCTCTACCACCACCACACACATAGTGTATAGGTACTTGCAGGTGATACTCTTTGGATACGCTGCGCAAACGAGTTGCTTCTGTTTGGAGCCTGGATAGTACTCGGAACGCTTTATCACATAGTTCGTTGATAAGCTCGTGGTTCCAGATTTTCATGTCATGACTGAGCGTCGGTCGCTCTGGTTCCTCAATCTGAATCGTAGTTTGTCGTGGTTGTTGTTGCTTTTCAATATCTTCTGTCGTTTTTGAGATCTCCTGTTCTATATCATCGTCGTCGTCATCGTCGTCATCATCGTCATCGTCGTCGTCAGTGCTGCTGCTGCTATGGTTCCTCAGTAGTGGATTGTGAACCTTTTTTCGCTCGATACTAAGGTTTACTGATATCTCGTCCCTGGATAGATCGAGACAATATATTGCTGCACGCTCGTATAAATCTGCCGCTTCTTCTAATGCTTCTCCAAGGTTTTTTCGCATTGTATTACGCGCCTTTAACGGAAAAATACATAATGATGCCCACCTAGATAAATGCATCATAGAGTAGCTTAGCTATCGTATCCATTTGTTTTGTCATGTTAACGTTATTAAATATTAATCTCTTAAGCTTACATTGCAATAAATATTCCAATAATTAAATCGAACATTCTCCAAAACCCCAACTCGGCACAGCCAGAAATCCTATCATGGATCAGTTCATGATATCCAGAAAGCAGAATAATTACAGTTGTCAACAGACCCTAATACAGATGCAAAGTCATTGTGGGGCAAGTTAGCGTTATGCGTCATACGTCATATAGCGGGGTAGGAGGCCATAGAAAGCAATGACAACGATGATAATGCCCGTCGTCATATTATCCAAATGAGAAGAAAATGGAAGCAGAACAGAAGAGAGAGGAGATATTTACTATTCCACCGGCATAATTCATGTTCGGTCTCAACTTGATCCGCGTAATGGTAAACACCTGACAGAACGTCAGAAAGCATAGAAATACAGTTGCTCCGGGACTCCATGTTGGGAATATAGCTCGTGATACTGTCATGACGATGATCGACATGCCGCCGCCAATAATGGTGCCAATCATTCGTTGGATACTGAGTGCTAGGAAACCGCCTACGGTATTGTCGAGAACAGTTACCACAGAAACACCTAATGTATGTATATGAAAATGTAAGTATAAGAAGTTATAGAGCCTCTTTTTTCTGCGCAGAAGCTACAGAGAAATATTTATAAAAGAGCACATACCGACCCAAAATGCGTTGGGTGCAAATTTGGAGATTGGCTCGACAACAACGAACAAGGTTGCGACTAAGAATGCAACACTCATCTGCAGCGCATATCGATTTTCGTTGCATGCGAGCTGCCGCTGAGTTACTGCCCAGATTCTAGACCCCAGATGCGGCTTTGGTGCTTCATCCGATTTGTAAGACTCGTCTTTACATAAAGGCGAAGATGACGACCATGGTGATGTTACTGGATCTAAATTTAAGACGAACAAGATGGGGTTAGATTGTCACATCACGTGCTGTTTGGTGTGAAATAAGAGTATGTGTAATCTATCATCGGAACACTGAAATAGATAGAAACGAAAGCATAAACATTAATGGTCAACGAACCACTTGAATTTCTCGCGATAGCAGTATCATCGTGGGATCCGCATGCGGTGGATGTACGAGTCTGAGTGGAAGTACGTATCTCCGTAGAGAAAGTTAGATTGTCATCGTTCTTGGGCATTTCTTATATAGGGAATGAATAGCTGTGAAAGTTTCTGAAAGAAAGCTGTGTAAGAAAAGGTAGAATATCGGAACTACCAGGTAATTTATACTTGTCGATTTCTCGGCCCGTCGATCTTGCATTTAAATATGTAGCCTCTTTTACATACTCACTTGGTAACAAGGGTCTATATATTAGCGCTGATTTCTTCTTCCTTCTCTTCTCCTCCACCCCCTCTCCTCCATCCCCTAACCCTCACTTGCTACATCCTGCCCACTCTATACAGTAGTACTAGAGCTTGGTGCTAGTACAGGAGCTATATCGATCATGTTTGATGCAGCATTAAGGTGCTAAACCCGACAAACCTTAATGGCTAGTAAACATGCAGGTGTCCTCATCCGCCTTTCAACAGGTAGAAAGAAAAGGTTTTCCCCTCATTGCAGCATCGAGAGATCCAGCCGGCTAAATTATGCGTTTGATCACCAAAGTTCCTTATATTCAGTCATAAGATATGCTACTAATTAAAACTTGCCGACAAGCGATTAATTTCCTCATATGAAAGCAATTCTTTCCACATTTTCTACTGTACGTTAGTTAAAAAATGCTTTGGGAAGGAATAGTTTATGCTAGTCTTTGCGATTAGCTACAAAGTTATTTCGATATATCGTGAAAAGAAAAATGAAAAATTCTAGGAGAATAAGTATGCCTAATAGTTTTATATTTGGTCTACTAGCGCTATTCTGTTGCTATTGCGATCATCATTTATCAGCAGTATGAAATAGATCATATACTAGGATCCTGCATATATATTCATGAAGCGGCAACGACAATCACCGTATCCCCTTTAGGTTATGATACAATTTAAAGTACAGGTTGCATGAATGATGGCATTCTATTTTTAAACCTTATCTAGAGACAAAAAGAGTGATAAACGTGTTGTACATCGTGTATTTATAATCGATGAAATCATTTATTCTGCATCAGCATACTGCTCGGTGATGGAGGTACAATTAGTAGTTGTGGCAGCAGTAGCAGTTGCTGTTTCAGTGGCAGAAGAAGGTAATGTCTGTCTGAACACACGATAGTGGTGATTCAGACTTGAGTGCGAATGAATTTTGTACAAGGTGCCCAAGCAACCAGTCTGCGTGGGTATGCTGTAAAATACACGACCAATTCTGGAATGTACAAGTGCCATAGCACACCTAATATGTGTATGTGTCATTTTCTTATATCAGCTGCTATGAAATGTGTACCGACGATCTGAGGTCCTCCAAGTTCTCTCTCTCTCTCTACCTTCCCGATCCTTTCTCTTACTCGTTTTACGTACATCGCGCATGGCTCATGTGTAATAAACATATCGTAACCTGTGCAGAGATAGGCCGTCTTCACTTGTCCGCCTTCTACGGGACCCTCTGTGATTTCTGCAGCTTTACGTTTAGGTCGACCACCTGCTGTTGTTTCAGCACCACGCTGTTCCTTTTCAACAGCAGCCACAGCATCAACGCAGTTCATGACAGCATGATGGAGTGGATGAAGTGACGTAAGGCGTGTATCGGCTCCTTCTGCAATGACGCGGTTGTTGTCGGCTGGATCAACGACTCTTGCATATGCCGATCCCGAACCCAAAGCAGCAATTTCTTGCAAATGGCTTTCGATGGCGGCGATATCCGCTTGTCTAAATTTGGGATCCTGCCGGGTGTCTTCTCGAAAAATAAGCGGCCACAGGTGCTTCCATGCTTCAAATTGTTTTCGATTCAGTGGTGCATAACGCGGTATTGCTAATATTTGTATTTGTATCCTGTTGTCTAATCCCTGCTCTGCTGCCCGTTTGTGTATTTCTTCCGAAGATAATGCGCTCTCTTGACATAATAAAAGCGTTAATTCAAAATCTATAAGCAAAAAAGGCTGCGGTTAATATAATGCCACTGAAAAGTAACGATAATGAAATAAGAGAACTTGCTTGAATCTGATAGAGTTGTCCTTCGAACTCGTCGGCAATGCTCGAGATTTTTTAATGGTGGAAGATGCTTTTGAACAAACCTAAAGGATAAAGTAACGCGATTAGTGAACGATCGTATTAAATTATAAAGTAAATAAACTTTGATCGATTCATGAACTTGTACCCCAAGATTTGTTTAGTTTCTTTTGGCTCAACCTTAGTTGCATAGACGTTGACGGTTTCTAAGCCTCGTGTGTGTTCGTCAGAAAGCACTTCGACAAAGGGCCATTTTAAACGTGGTACGATCTCATTGTTGCTCATGGTTCGAATCGGTTGTGTCGTGGCTTGGGTAATGCACTGGACGGTGGTGCGGGACTGATTTTGACAGCTTATTGTTTAAATACGATCCGCCTAAAAAGTTGCCACAATACTGGTGCACGATCATTGCGTATCTTAGCACAGAGACGTGACATGGGCAACAAACGTCGTAAGGATGTATGCAGAAGAGGATAATCGAGGGAAAGTTTTATATATAATGAAAAAGCAGATGGTATCTTATAATGTAGATAGTAGCAGAAGTTTACAGTTGGGGCCATCATGATAAATAAGAGGACAATAGTACAGGCACAGCCAGTAAGTTGGCCCAATAAAGTATATTATAATTAAATAAGAGATATTTAGATGATTATGAGTATTAAACTTTTTCGAATATGTAGAATGCATGGAGAGGAGACAGTTTGGTAAACGAGGAAAGGAGTAATATTTAAGTAGAAGTAACACCAGCCTTCTCTTCTTGCTCCTTCTTAACGGTTTCTTCTGTCTTGCGACCAGCAAGATCACGGTTATCAAATTGATTGTGCTTGTCGTCCAACTTGATATCAGTGAGGAAGAAATAGGCGACGATAGGTGGGAAGATGGCGACAATGGTAGCACCGATACAGAGGTTCTTCATGACCTCTCCGTAAGCTGTAATGGCACCAATGCGGATTGGATCGTCTGCAGGATAGTCCATGATCTTGGTAATGGCGCCAAAGAGCTCAGCGTTAAGTGTAGCGTTGTTGCCAGGCACATGAACTGAGAGCTGATGGGGCATTTGGGTGCCCCACACAGCCGTGGCGATAGCGGAGCCAATAGAGTTACCGACTTCAGCGAACAAAAGCACCAATGCAGTGACGACAGCCATATCAGTATGGGGCACCATGGCTTGCGCCATGACACTGGAAATCGTGGAAGCAAAACCGCCACCAAGACCTTGCAAAAGCTGGCACCAGACAAGTTCAACGTCCGGACCGAGGGCACCACGTGCGTGAATCATGAGGCCAGCACCAAGCAAACGGACCAAAAGACCAGCAATCATCAGGAACTTGGGTCGCTTCCAGTACAACAGAATAGTACCGGAGATGATACCAGCGGAGCACAAACCAATGGTTTGGACGTTATTGAACAAGAACATTTCGTACCAGGACCACTCTGTCTTGGTCACCATAACGAACGAGGATTGATATGTGTATTGGAGGTAGAATGAAACAAAGTCGAGGAAGTTGACAAGGATGGAACCGGCAATGTTACCGTTCTTGAAAAAGCGGAGAGGAGCGATGGGAACGTAGCCAAATCTCTCTGCGAAATAAAGTTCCCAGCCGGCAAAGATGAACAGGATCACACCACCAACGGTTATCATGGCAATGAATGAGGGTGTTTGCCAGCCGTTGACGGCTGCAGGAGCAAGAGTAAATGGAAGAAGAATAAGTGCGAGGGCTAAACCAACAAAAATCAAGCCAGGGAACTGCATAGATACATAAGTTAATTAATCGATCGCACATTTCATGAACAAGTAGGGTAATTAGGGTTGTAAGGTATGAGGATCACTTACATCCATTTCTTTGTTGGCGGTGATTGTTGCTTTGATAGGGTTTCTGAAGAAATCCTTGTCAGGGTTTGGAATAATCTCCAAGATACCCTCCTTCTTGGCCTTCCACTGACCCCAAAGTAGCGATGCGACAACTGGAGCCAAGCAGACAGGGAACATGATAATAAACATACCATAGCCCCATCGCCACTGGTTTGCGTCGAGAATGCCTTGGTAGATAAAGCCGCCGATGAATGTGTTGAGGACCCAAGGCAAGTTCATAACACCGGCAGCGAAGGCACGGTACTTCAGAGTGGTTACATCAGCCAGAACAACAGAGGTGACCATCTACATACACACATCCGGTTATTAGTAAGTCATGTATATATGCACTTTATATTTAACATGTGCCAAATTATTGTTGCTGACGAGTACCTGCAAACCAGTATAGCCAAAGGAATACATGACCTGACCACCAGCGATAGCTCCGACATTTTGTGACGAAGCATAAAGAATGTAGCCAATAATGTACATAATACATGTAATTATACTATAAAGCACAGCAATATAAGGTTAGCGACGGACAATCGAGTGACAACAGCATCATAAGCAGCGCCAAGCTTGAAAGTAATACGAACTAAATTTCTGCACGACCGAGATAATCCGAGAGTTTAGCGTAGAATGGTTTGCCGATAGAGATGATAATGCCGCTTGCAGTTTGTACAGTTCCCAACATAGAATGCTGACCAAAAGACGAGGTTGCAATTGCCAAGTACTGGAAAGTAGTTACACCATCAAGGGAGTAAATGAAATAAACGAGGAACACACCACCGAGCAAGGCGAGGTAACCCTTTCTGCCCCAGACAGCTTGAGCAGCCTATTGACGTTTTTTTTCGTTTGTTACTAATTTGATCGTCGAATACTTCTTAATTTAATATCAAAAACACTGTGAAAAAAGCCATACTTCGACTTTGGCGACACCGGCGGACAGCTGTGCATCGTGGACTTCCGTTGTAAGCTTATCAGCGGTATGAGGATCGACTTGACCAACAACTAGCTTGTGGCCAATCCCTTGCTCTTCCTTAGAGATGTCACCTGTGGTTTTCTCATCGGTGTACGAGACCTTCTCGGACACCTCCTCTTTAAAAGTATAAGAGTCGGGCATCTTTTTTTTTATTCAACAGACGTCAAATGTAAATCAGTAACAGAACATTAGGTGAAAGAAGTGGTTTACAGTATACTCTATCAAAGAACAATAAATCGACGTGTTACCTTAGCTAGTAGAGAAGATTTGGTTTTTGGAAACGTGCGCAACAAGAAAAAAGACGCAAGTCGTTTTTATAGCTTTTTTTTTTGTTCGATTGGTTTTTGCGCCGTTTCAATTACCGGTTTTATCAGATCCTTTTTTTTTTTATCATCGGTGCTGCTCACGCGTAACATTGATACCAGAAAAGGACAATTGTGCAAGGTCCACAGAATAAACAGAAAGAAGAATTTTGTATTTACAATTTCGCGGTCGTCATCGTCCATCACACTGTCAATTATAAATCTATTGCGGTCGATACACCACCATATCTTCTTGGTCTGCTAGACAACTTGAGTGACAAAAAGAAACATACAAAGCAGCAATTATGTTTGCTACCCAATCCAGTTTATACGTTATCAGTCGTCGCTAGTCTCCTTTCTCTGCCTGTGGCTCGCTAAGCTACGATGCTAGATTGTGGGACCTACTGCTTGATCAGGCTCTAAAATTTTTTTTGTTGTGCAACCCAAAATACTGTACAAATCGGGGGAGATGCGATTCTTTTACACACAGTGCCGCGGCGACGTTTAATGTAATGCTCTTTGCTCTTCTATTGCTGGATAAATATAGACCCTGAAAGTGCCTCCCTCTACCTATTTTGTTCAGAGTAAACAATATGACAAAGCTAATACAAGAGAACATTCGTGTATCGATGGATTGAGTTTCCTGCATTGTTCTACGGTAGTTCGGACCACGATTTGGCACGAGTTTTCGGATAAGTCATACGAAAAGAACGCATCTTATCTGGAAGTTCTTTTGTCATACGTGGTTTGATGCTACGTCTTTTCCGACCGCTGACTACTAGTGTCTTTAGCAGTATGGAACAGCTCGCGCGATTTATCCTTGTGTCATTATATGTATTATACAGCATTAGTATCACTCCATTTGCCTGTCACACATACCTGAGCGACTACTCACACACAACATAAAAACCCATAATGTATTGTAAATGATGGCTTATTAATGCCTTTCTTTCAACTGTAACAAACATTGGCCGATAGTTTTACGCTCCATTTCATTGTCAGCAGGGACGAATGTGTGGTGTTACCCAGGTATATACACCAGATCACTCGCTGCTGGCCATCGCTATTAGCTAATATGATCGGTGGATTATTTTTCCTCTTAATACCGCTGGCTGGGTGGTTCTGAAGGTTACGCAAGACGGCTGGAGGTCTCTTTAAATCAAAAGGATCTGATAAAGGCTGGTATTTATTTTAAAGTAACGCTTTAAATATATATAAAAAAAGGAAACCAGGGAGATACTCCCATTCGTCTATACTATACTTACCGCAATTTCTTTTTTTGTTCTGTTCTAGTATAATCCATGACCTGATTATCTTATTCACACTATTCATGCAGGCACGCCATCCCTCTTGTGACTCTCATATGCATGATAAAAAGCAGAAATATCAAAACGGGAAGAGAGTGCTTCTGTCTCTTGTTACCGTAAGATGCAATGGCAAATATCTGGCGATGCCACTACAAAAAGAAGTCCATGCGTTCTTTCCTTTCTCTCCTCATCTTCATAATATTTAGAAAAAAAGGACCGCACCTCGTCGCTGGATACATAGACTGCTTTTTTACCGATACTCTCCGGTGGCTGAATGTTGATATCGACCGGTGCGACCGAGAATTGCCGATGACTTGGAGCGACAGTAAACTGTTGTGTATCCCTGTGTAATAGAAATTCTTATAAGGCAAGAGTGCAAGTGATCAGCGACCCTGTGGGATAACTTTAAAGTTTCGCTGCAATGTTAAGTGCGGTACAATACAAAAAAGGATCCAGCATCGTCAACAGAACGATTGGTACACTTTTTTTTCCTAGAAGTCTAGGCTCTCCGTTGGTGAAATCCACTCAGTCGAACTGGGTGAGCGGCATTTACTAGCGCGCTGCTATTTTACCTGAAAGTTTGTAAGCAACGATAATAAACCTAAAACGATTCCATTGTCCATTTTGAAGTTGTCCCTGTAATAAATAGATGTGTCCTTTACGATATATACATATAGTGTAGCTGTGGATTGATCAAAGTATTTGCTGTCAACAACAAAATAGCAGCTTCTTCCTACAAAGCGTATTAAGCAAAGTGGCTTTGAATTTCATCCAATCTTGAAAACGAGGCGGAAAAAACGCGGAGAGGGAGAGTAAGCAAGAAGTGAAGAATGACCTTCGTTAAGTTCCTTCCGGGTGGGATCTCACTTCCACGATTAGCTTTTACAACTCGACTTTTTTCACTATCACAACAACAACAACTGCAACGCAAGACTTTACACGCTACACGATTCTATTCCTCCAAAGTCGAATGCTATGTTTCAACCATTAACGACCCTTACGTTAACCTTGGCATTGAAGAATGGTTGCTCCGCGACACCGATCCAGAAAAATTCATTTTGTATCTATGGAGGAATAAGCCCTGTGTCGTGATTGGCAGAAACCAAAATCCATTCCTTGAATGCGATTTAAAATACATGCGGGACCATAACATTCCTCTTGTTCGCAGGCGGTCGGGAGGAGGCGCGGTTTACCATGTGAGAAAATAAGGAAAATGCAGGGGCGAGATATTACTAGACAGACAGAGATATGAAGTAGATAAGGCAGAATGCAAAAGACAAGAAAAAATACCAGAACCTCGTCTAACCAATAACAACCATGCATCGAATTTCATTGTTCTCGAATACAGGATATGGGAAATTCAATATACACCATTTTCATGCCAAGGGAGGCGTTCTCGCGTAAAGTAAATGCTGAGCTGGTCTCGAGGGCGCTCCTTGAACTCGATGTTCCCGCCTACGTCAACGAGCGCCACGATATTGCTGTTGATGGGTTCAAGGTCTCTGGCAGTGCATACAAGATCATCAACAAACGAGCTTATCACCATGGAACTATGCTTATTGATGCGGATACAGCCATGCTCAAGGGCTGTTTGTCGAAAAGGAACAAAAATTCCAATATTGTGTCCAAAGGTGTTGAGTCTGTGCCTTCTCCAGTCACCAATCTGCGCAATTATTCTTATACGATCGATCATCAGCAATTTTGTGAATCCGTTTTAAACGAGTTTGTCCGTGACTACAATGATGGTCAGGATATCCAGGTAAATAACAATATGAAAAAATAGGGGCGAATGGCGGCGATGATCAGACATGAATGGGTCGTTGATAGAAAATGTACTTTTGGGACGAGTGAAGCCCGTAGTGTTCGATGAATCTCATGTTCTCCCTCAACGTGCACGAGAAATGTCAGAGGAGCTGCAAACGTGGGATTGGATCTACGGACAGACACCCGAATTTACCAATAAGATTGAGCAAGAATTCGACTGGGGACATGTGGTAAGCAAGAAGGACGAAAAGAAGATCAGAAGAGGGAAAAGCAACAATAACAACAACAGTGTGATTAAGAATAACAATCCATGCAAATGAGCGCTGACCCCTTTTTCTCACCAATATAAAGAACGGTCTCATTCGTTCGAGACATGGAGTAATAACAGAAGCCGATTTTACTTCTCCAGATGCCAGTGGCGCGCACGAAGTCATCATTATGTCTGCAATATCGAACGCACTAAGAGGTACGGTAACAGCGGATGGGTGCCAAGCCGGACAAGCCGGATGACGTGTTTAGTGACCGATATTTGTTTAATAGGCTGCCAATATTCTGAAAAGGCAACCGAGACAGCGTTGAAAAAGATCAAGACAAATATACCGGGACTCTTAAACCCTGAAAATGAGACAATTGTGCAGCAGCTTACTCAATGGATCAATGCTCGATTAATTTGATGGAAAGCAGCGCGCCATTTATGTAGCATATGACTTAATAATCATATGATCAAAGTCCCCACTTTCTCTCTCTCACTCTCGTTGTCTCCCTCCTTGCTCTCTGCTGTGTGGATTGCATAGAAATTATTCATGTCATTGGCCCATTTAATAAAACCTGTCATCTGAAGAATGGGAACTGCTTGCTGTGTATAAAAGCAACCTGAACTCTTCCCTTCTATCTAATTTCCGCTTCTTCAACAACTTCTTTCGCACTTATCCACAAGACAAGCATACACAGCTACAACCATGGGTAGTTATCCAAGCCATTTCGACTACGTTACTTCCACCTTTGCTACAAGTGGTGTTCCGCTAGCTCATACGCGTCACCACGGCCAATGGGCTCCGTATAATGAAGCCTCAAACGCTTATTATCAGCATGGAAACAGCAATTGGTTCAATAACCAAATGTATTTGAACCAGCAGCATCAGCAACTCCATCATCAGCGCCAATATCCAGGCAACTTCTCCGCATCCTCACCGGCATTGTCCAATTCATATGGAATGACCCATTCACCATATGCTTCTATGCGAGGCCAGTACATGTACAATAGTTATCCGTCCACTAGGTACGTATTGCTGCGAAGCACGAGCTATAACTAAGCCTCTCCCTCTGCGTGCTCATTTGAGATGTGTGGAATAGACATAAGTTAACTTTTTTCTTCCACTTGTGTAGCTATTACAACAATAGCCATGGTCAGCCATTGTACTACGGCTTTCGATAAGAAGAGTACACATAGCGGGCTCAGCGACATCTGCCATTGTTCCCCACATATGATTTACAACCACAAGTCCCTAAAGAAGGATCATGACCATTGACCACCCTTTTTATTTTATTATACTTGGCATCTTTTATCATACCTTTTCATGTTGTAGTAGATATTACGCACATTCTTTTCTCTTTTCACATGTAACTAGTATTTTCATTGTTGTATCCCAACTATCTACTCCTTATTATACCTGCATATTGTTTCTCTTTATTTGCGAGATACTGATTTTCATCTCTCTTTATCCTAAATAATCAATGAAACTATATAATACGTTAAATTTACCAGATTACATTTTGTCATCATCGCTATAAAGTCAATGTGTTATGTGTGCAAATGAATGGATTGACAATCCTCCGCTGTCTTGAGTACGTTCAACAGCAGCAGCTGTTACCACGAGAATGTCAAAGGGCGATGATGGTAACCATAGTAGCACATATAACGTTTTTGGACCTCATTTATTCAATTCTCTGTACCCTCTCTATCTTATTGGTGTAGATAGTCAGAAGGTGTACTGTAGTTGTTTTCTGCTACCAGTATTTGTTCGCAAACACAAAGCTGGCTGAAGTGACGGGAAGGGAACCGGTCCAGAAAAAGCATACCATGGAGACTTTCTATATTTCATATCGATGTACAACCTTCGGATATGGTTTGTTTGTGCTCTATTCAGATGCTTACTTGTCAATTGTATTGGGCTGTCAACGTGCATGAGCGGGGAACAGTTACAATAGTCTGATGACACAAACAGTGGATCGGGGTCAAAAAAGCGCACGCAGACTCCCTCCCTCCCTATCATACCATTCCCGTTGTGAGCGAACTATTGGCGTCATCACATGCTCATTCTTTATTAGTTTGGCAGTATCCGATCTAAATTTGGTGGAATTGTGTTTGATTTCCTCTCGCTCGTTTACTCGGGTAACCGTGACATTATTATGGTCGCCCTGCTACTGCTGCCAACAAAAGAGCATCATTGTTGTTTCAAGAAAGGATGATCCTTCTTTTTTTTTGAAGATTAAGTCCGCGAGGAAAAGACAGCAGTAACCATTTACTTTGCATTGTCCGAGTATCTGTCATACGCTAAATGCGTTCGTAATTCAATTCACAGTATGCTTAATATCATTGGAGCGCTTAGCTTGGTCATCCCCTCACTTTTCTAAAGAACAACAACAACGCATGTTCGGACAGCAGCGGAAAAAATAACCCGACAACCAATCTGTTACACGCATCCACATCATTTTCGATCATTAAAGTGTAATACCACCATACTGAATACCCACACCCATAAGTCAATGGTATGCTAGCTCAGTCATTTGCAGCTAGAAGAAACATGCTAATTAGAAAATGGAATTATGAAGGCAGTACTAATAACATAATTCACAGAAGTTCGGAATAATGTTATCACACCTGATAATGAAATGATACATTCCACCTCAGAGCATCATTGAGTGCTATTATCATATATATGTTGCTGTAATTGCTCACGACCAAGCTGTGCTTTTACATATTCTGCAGCCAAACAATCATAGACCAAAAGATATACTTGTTCAACATAACACATTGTTATTGTATTTGCTATGATACAGTAGTAAAGAAACAGGTGCTGTTTCTCCCAGCCAAAAAAATAGACGCACCACTGCTTAAAATGACTGAGTACATAGCTGCGGCAGCTGCTGCCAGCTAGAACCTTAGTGGATACATCAGCGCCCGTTCTGTTCATTGAGATTTGCAATATACTAAAGCCGCAAGGATGCTGTATGATTGAAGTTATTAACAGTTTATGCACTACTAGTCATTGCTATGAGCTGATAGACATTCTTGAAAAAATCTCTAAAGATAAATTTACCTTTGACCTAGAGTGTCATCTTGTCCAATTTTGTATTCTTGCCGTTCGAATATACAGTTTTGTAACAGGTGGTTTTTAGGCTTCTTCGGCGTAGTGTCATACTATCGCTTACTGCATTTTCAAATGCGAAATTAAATGGTAATTGTGAGTGCAAGTTGTTTGAGGTAGCTTTAATTCTACTAGCCCCTACTCTAATGATAACAATCATGCTCCCTATATTTGTACCAAGTAGACATAAACAGTCTGAATAAGCAACTAATCGAAGTAACGATAATGGAATGAGTGATTATGAAGAATGGAAACTTCTCTTCTCCATAAGCGCATTAAGCTTCTCCTTAATACTAGGTATCTCAACATCAGGACCTACCCCGCCATAGTTTTCCGTTCACTGTACGTTTAGAAAATGCAGGATTAGGCGATATTGGAACCGATACTGAATTCGCTGAGTACCAAAGTACCTCATCCTAAGAAATTCTATGATAGGCACAAATGCAATTTTGATATTTAGACGCTCAACTGTCTTCCATGTTGTCTCGCACTGCAAGATTTAGTTAGATCGCAGCTGACTAAGGTGCCTAGCAACGTAATGTAACCACGTAATTTGCAAAGTTCATACTTCCACACACTTAAAGACTTGGCAGCGGAGCACGATACCTTCATGGCCACCGTACCTGCTCGGTCGTCCATGATGTGTCCTGGGCTCTCTGTGCACCTCCGACAGTAACACAGATTGACTTGTAGAACGTTGTTGCCAGGAAAGACGCGAACACATACAAAGTTGACATCGCTTTCGACAAACATGTTTTGTTATTGTTACTGCAACTTATTGCACCAATTTATAAACAGAAAAGTGTTTGTAAGCACTTCTTTGGCATCATATTTAGAGCTGCATAACATATGAGCACCAGCAGCTATCTATACAGCAGTTTTGCTGCCAGGAATTAATTAAATGCTGCTGACGAAGGTTCAAGATTTAGTATGAGTCCATTATAGTATATTTGAATAAGCCGATTACCGATAATATAATCATTCGAGGGCACTATAAAAGCAATTTTACACCCTGTTACCAAAGCTCATATTTGCTTAGTAACCAACAATAGCAGAAAACTAATTGAATATTCTTTCAGGATGGTAGATGGACAATCAAGTACTAGCTTGTAAGCGAGGTATTCAGCTCTGGTAGTAGAAGGTGTGTTGCCCGCGCAACGCGTGCACGCACAGACACTGAAATGTGATCGGTTCCGAGGGTATGCCACAATACATTAATACTTTTTCGTGTTGTGTTTTCCAGGAAGAAGTCAAATGGTAGCCAGACAGACAGGACACATCAGCCAAGTCATGATCCTATTTGTTTTTACCTATCACACGACATTACAAAGGACAGCTGTTTCACATGGGCGCATCGTTGCCTGCATCATGCCATTCACGGACTTGGTATCTCGAAATTGCGAACGCTCCTATTATGGATCTCTTGTGTGTGACAAGAAAGCAGAGCTTGCACCATGTGATGGGTAAAGCAAGCTCAAAGGGCCAGGGCTCGCTTGTTTGCTTGCCTCTTTCCCCTCGCTTTCTCCAACCTATTCAGTGCAGAAAATGTTTGACCCACAGGAGGTTTTCGTAGTCTTCGTGCTAGGTACCCATCACCTTCCCTTTTTCCTTCCGAGTTGTCTGTGCGATAGTAATGAGCAGCGCCACGCTCCTTCATTCATTTCATTCCCATGGTTTTCATGCAAACTAACCAACTGACCGAAAAAACCAACCAACCAACCAGGTGGTCCGGGATCTGGCAAGGGCACGCAAAGCGAGTATATTATTAAGGATTACGGCTTTGTTCATCTGTCTGGTAATGTAGCGGAACGTGTGTTCCTCTGTGTATGTTAAATTCGACACTCACACGCGTATTATATCGTGCTGGTTACAAGCTGGCGACCTGCTTCGCGAAGAACAGAAACGCGAAGGTTCCCAGTACAAGGAACTAATTCAAGATTGCATTCGTGAAGGCAAAATTGTGCCCATGGAGGTGACGATTGCTTTGCTTGAAAACGCAATGAAAGAGGCTATTGACAAAGAAGGCAAGAAACGGTTCCTGATTGACGGATTCCCTCGAAAAATGGACCAGGCACTCAAGTTTGAAGAAGTGGTAAAGTAAATTTCCCTGGAAACCCAGGTTGGGGGTGGGGTTGTCAGTCAAGATACATACTGACAGGTTATCGTGTTTGAAAGGTGGTGGAGTCCCAGTTCACGCTTTATTTCGAATGTTCCGAGGATACTTTGGTGACGCGACTGTTGAAGCGAGGTGAAAGCTCTGGACGTATCGACGATAATATTGAGTCCATCAAAAAACGCTTCCAGACTTTCAAAGAAACTAGCTTTCCAGTTATCGAATACTATGAAGGAAAGGACAAAGTTCGCAAGGTAACAAACAAGGGTTTCCAGTCAAGCAAAGATTACGATGATAAAAAATAGCAGTGTAGAGTGACCAGTTGTTCTATTGCATTTATACATAGGTTAATGCGGAGCGAGATATTGAAAAAGTTTACGCCGATGTAAAAAAGGTCATTGAAGCCGCTTTAGAGCAAACCAAGGCATAGTGTTACGTGTTCATAATAATAAAATAAACTTGTGTTAGTAGTTCTATCAGTTCTTCGTTTCTTTGTCGGTGTGGCCATATGTAGCTAGACTGCATCTGCTGCAAAAGCTCCGTCAGGTTTGGCCAATCATCTACGCGCTTGTTTGCCAACCGTACCTGGGACCAATATTTAAACAGGTGCGGGTGGATAAAAAAATTTTTTCTTCGTTTCTCTCTGTCCTTCTGTTATGTTTTAGAAAAGGTGAGTGGTCGCTCAAGTATAGTCTTTGGTGGGATTATGGAAATAGCATTTCTTGCACGGTAGACAAAGGATGATGGTTAAGGACTCGGAGAGGGAACAAGACGTTCTCTCGATGAATGTTTATTCTGAATTTGCTCACTGAAGTCTACACGTACTGCAAGAATTGGGGAAGCATTCAAACGAGTGGTGGTTGTACTTTTTGACACGAATACTCATCCTATCGATGCTGCTTGTTTGTTTCTAGTAGGTAATACCAAGCAAATGGAGACGCGTCCACAACCGGAGCCGTCTTTTGCCTTAGTTTAGTGTAATATAGTTAGCTCGTAGAAGAGGCAGTAGGCTGCTGTATGTGCCTCTCGTACTCCTTTCTATTACCTTCAAATAAACTTTTCATGCCAAATCAGGCAAGGTTCATGTTTCGAATTATAGAATTGCAATATCATTTAGTGTGTCCCTTATTACATTGTGCGTTTCTCCTCTCGCTCTCGCCCTCCCTCTTCCCTCATCACGAACGAGCATCGCTCTTGTGTGTTAAAAAAAAGAATTTCCAGTATGGCTGATCCTTACGCGCACCAATACCCTGCTCCCGCAGCGGGTCACCAACCTCAATATCCTCCATCGCCATTTGGCCCACAGCAGCATCAGCAAGCTTACGATCAGACATACTTTGCGAGCCAGACCCCAATGCAGCATCAGCAGCCCATGTTAGCGGATCAGCCTGTTCCTTTACAAAACCGTACACACGACCCGTACGAACACGTAAACAACAAGCCCAATGGATATAGTGATCCACAAGCAGTGTCACTGTCGGATTATGCCCAGGCCGAACGAGAAGAACAAGTGTACAAGAACAATAATCACTACTACCAAGACGCTGGATACGGTGGAGGGGCAGGAGGAGGATATCCTGACTATGATTATAACAATCAATATGGAGCTCACAACCAACAACACGGAGCCTATGGTGTATATCATGATGATCCGAGCGATATACCCATGGTGCAGCAAAATTATAGTAAACAGAACACCAGCAGACCGCGTCCGGCAGGACCCACACTTGCTCCTGACGATGAGGCAGATGCATACCATCCAAAAACATACCAGCGACATGAAGACGGTGGAGGCTGTAACTGCTGCTGCTACAATCCTGAATGTACTTGCTGTGGCTGCTATTGTATGATTCTCAGCCTGGCGTTTCTGGCTGCAGGGATCGCCCTGATCGTCGCCGCGTCGGTGATTCAAGACAAGTGTGACAACCAATGTGGAAACATTCCGGATCAGCTGGATAGTACGGTATCGGCGTGCGGCACAGTCTGTGAAAAGGTGGTTCATGATGGACTCTTCTACGGAGGCATAGGTGTAACTGCGTTAGCCGGCATAGCCGTGCTATGGCGACTCATAATGTGCATGTGCGCTGCTGGATCCAGACACTGAAAATAGTACATTATTATCATTATTTTTTACTGGTCATATATTTGTATAAAAATTCACGACATTAAATATCGCATCATTGGTTTTTCTTCTACATCGTTTATCATCGTTTATTTATCTACGAATTGTGTTACTTCATCAACGCTATATAGCCCTTATATCAATGAACAAACTTGTCTATCAGCAGATAAGTCCCTGCATATATGGCACAGACAGACAATATAACTTTCAATTTCGAAGAAGTCTAGAACTAGTAAATTAGAACGCTATTTGGCCTAGTAACTATTAACATCAATATATTATATACACATCATATAGCTGACAATGTTCTTAGGTCTGCTCACCATACCAAGTTAAAATACAATCAAAGTAAGCACTTTCACTTTGGTAAACTAGCTTGACACCATTTTCCCTCAAGGATACCAACGAATATATAAATTTGCTACGTAGAAAAAGATACAAGTGTCAATATACTTGCTTGATACCATACGTACATACATTTTGCGTGAACCTTATTTGCAACCGGGATATTCTTTAGCTCATACCTGCTGGGCATAGTTCCGAAAGAACGTTCAAGTTGTAGGTACATATAATGGTCGTGCTGCGTCAATTAGATTGAGGGAACGTATAGAAATGATAAAGGAATTGAGAAGGAAGAAAAAACTGCGTGATTTTCTAACGGACGCTTTACATTGTAGCTAATTTTTACTTTTTGAAGCATGTTTGTGAAAACGAACCAAGTAATGTTCTGCGTTGCTGTGGAGGCAAATGCTGGTGTGGCGGTCTCGAGATGGGACCCGCATGATCTGTGCTACCACTACCAAATTCAAGCACAACATCGATGTTTCTGAGTTTGTTTGCATCTTCTTAACACTCCACTTATATCATATGAGATTACGCGTTCGTCATCCTAACGGTGCCAGTACTTTGGACTCCGTGACACCTGAGCAGACAATTGCTACCCTAAAAGAAATCATTGCAACAGAGATCGGCGTGCCATGGCAACAGATTGAAGGTAAATCAAGTTCCCAATTGATGTCGCTCGATCATCAAACTGCTGTAATATCTGATCGTGTGTATACACGTAAATGTACGGGATCTCATAGTTGCTGGTGGCTATCCGCCCCGTAAATATACAAATGATGCGGATACGCTTAAGGTCGCCGGTATTCGCAACGGCGATGCCCTTAACGTGAAAGTAACGGACGCGCCTGCGCAACCAGCACCCAGTACTTCCCTAAACCAATCGCAGCAGCAGCAGCAACCACCTCAACAAAGGACATTACAGCAGCCTACAGAATCGCTAGGATCTGCCGATGTGGGAGAAGCTGTAGAAACGTCTGGTGGATATTTGGCATTGAGGGTATAGTAATTGCTGGAGCGTGTTGTTACGTATGCGTCTAGCTTTTGTTAAACACATTTGTCATCTAGACTGTCCCTGATGATAATTCTTGTTTATTCCGTGCTTTAGGTATATCGTATGGCAATATTATTTTAAAAAGAACTGTGATACTAAAATGACTATTATAGGGTACGTTGTCGCTTTTCGTTCTTTTTAATTTGGGACGCCACAAGCTAATACCTTCAATTTAGCTACGTACTCAGTCGCGATACGTCAATGTCACAGGAATTGAGAAGTGGTAGGTTTTCTACATATCTCTTAAATGGTTAAGAGATAATAGTATGCTAATGTTCTTCTCTGATAGTAATTGCTGCTACTATACAGGAAGATCCAGTCGTATATTCAGACGCGACATTGGGACAAAGTCGTGGTAAGATGGTGCTCATAAAAAGAAACGTGCCAAAGATTGCGGAGCATGACTTTATTGTTGACGCACTTCTGTATAATTCCAGAACAATATATTGATTGGATCCGAAAAAACTCTTCTTGGGGTGGTGCTATCGGTAAGATGCCGTGAACGAACTATGTTTAAAAACACTTAACTAATCAAATATACAACATTTTTGTGTATATAGAAATTTCGATCTTTTCAAAGCATTTCGACATTGGTAACACTCGTGGCTATAAACGTAGTCAGTACCTTTTTATATTAACAATGTATGGAAAAATTATAGAAATCGATAGCATTGATGTTCAAACTGGTCGAATCGATCGATTCGGTAAGCTTCATACACTGTACAACTGCCAACTTAAATCTAATAAGTCACTGATATACGTACATACTTTGCACAATCTTTTAGGTGAAGGGTCTTACTCGGAGCGTGTGTTGATAATATATAGCGGTATCCGTAAGTACAATATATACACTGATGACACAAACATATTATGTGGATCCGTGTTTATATTTATATAATATGATTGTTGTACCCGTAAAGATTATGATGCACTTGCCTTGGCACCTATGGCAGACGCACCCGCTGACTTTGATCAGACACGATTCCCTGTCGATGATGATCACAATTCGCTGTTAGAAGCTGCCAAAAAACTCGCCGGAATCTTACGTCAGGTACAGTAAAAATTACTTAGGAAAAAGAATGAAAGAAAGTTTCCTCACTGTCTGCGTTGCTCCTATAGAAACGAAAATTTACGGATGTTGCTAATTTCACGTTGAAGTGCAATCAGTGTCTGCAGGGTCTTGTTGGCGAAAAAGGTAGAACATCCTGCATAGTAGATATGACTTTTTCTTTGTACTATCATCCACTAACACTATCGAAATCTAGATGCACGAGAGCATGCAACAGTATGTTATATGCTAGTTAAGTAGTACTTCGATATAAAAAAGCTGTTATTAACATTGTAAATTTATATTAGGCAACGGGGCATACGCACTTTGTGGAGTATTGAATGAGGAAGATGAATCGGGATTATCCTTCAATGATGTGAACGACGCTCACTATTAATATCTAGATCACTAGCGATAATGTCTATATTTACAGTATTTAGACACAACTACTGTCATTGTATTTGATAAAACCTTTTTTATCAGTATCGGCTACTACTCTTGCTGCTATCGTTGTGAGTCCTATCAAAAATTTCAAGGTTTGTATGCATACAGTATCCCGTCAAGTTATTGATGTTTCTTATCTACAATAGCTTTCAACGGCGCCAAACTTGCCAAGTTTCTAGAAGCGCATTGTTTTGTGCTGCTATTGATGAGTCAAAATAATAATGTTGTGCTTACCTTTTATCTATTACATTTCAAGTAAAAGCCATTTCAGTTTACCCCCTTCCCTTCTTTTGTCTTTCAATGATCGCTGGCGGTACTACTATATCAAACTACACCAATATCCGTATCCGGCAAGCCAGTATTTTAAAAGACATCCAGAAATGTGTTGACGTCCATATAATTTTTTTGTGAGCGTCCAAGCCTCGAGTACATAAATACATTACATGGAGCTATACTACTGAGATTCTTCATGCAATCTAACGAAGCCACTTTGAAATTTTTGATTTGCTTGACGCTACTTTTGATATCAACACTAGCGAAAGTATCAAATGTAGGGGATGATGATAAGGGAAACCCGATCGGATATATACGTTAACAGTAGTTTGATCCAAAGATGATAGCAGTGTGGACACACTCAGTCGATTACCAAGTAAGTCTATCACAAGCTCGGTGCAACGGCGTTTGGTCGCAAGTTTGTGCAGGCACTCGAAGCAGCTGCAAAGACGGAGGGGCATCACGCTCTGAAAAAAAACGTCGATATTATGACTCACTAGGCTATGTATTACAAGATCCCACTTATTAAACGCGCGTTCAAAGTCCTCATCAGCAACTATGGAAGAGGGGACTTCTAACAGATGCAATCCCTGATATTGTTGTACATATTGCGTTAATTTCAGGTTCGAAATTGTGTCTACCTTTTTTACAATACAAAACTTATGACTGCAATTTCCATTGATCGGCGAGAAGCATCACAAGAGTATATATATATATATACAGTTGTACCCCGGTTTTTGCAACCCCTGGTTTTGCAATTCCTCGTATATCTGCAACTTTTTTTGAAAAATCCAAAAAAAACTTAGTAGTTTCGCAAATTTGCAACTTGCAAATGAGTTTATACGATTTGCACGTTATCGGGGTAAAAACAGCTTCAATTTTTGCAATATCAACTGAAAGAAGCATCTGTTGCGAATTATGAGGAATAAAATGATGCGGTTACTGCAAGATAAATATGTAAATATGAAGATGTATTTATTGTCGAAATACATAAAAAGTATTATTTGGTAGTTGAGCCAGTAGAATCGGGACACATATATAGCACTGATTGGATTGAATCCACTAAAGAAATGATGAAGATATAAGAAAAAGGGAACACACTACATATAGATATAGAAATAAAATGTTTGCTCAAAGGAACTTTTAACTACATATCGAAGAAGTCATCAAGGGATGATTGTCGGGAGATTGATTGCTGCCTGAGACTCTCTGGAATCCTACGCAAAGACTTTTTTAAGTCGTAGTTATCGATATTATCCAAAAAGCTCAAAACTCCTGCAATTGCAACCTGTTTTTCCTTCGACGTTGGCCCTGGAATAGGCGAATCAGCGCTTTGGTCCACCGCCCGCTCAAGTGCTCGTCGTACGTTCGATCCTCTTGCTTGGATGTGAACTTGCGGAACGATTTTGTCATGCTTAAAAGAGCTAATAATTATCAAACCACTAGACAGCTTCAATGAAAGGACGGTCTTATATATGCAAGTAGTAACATTTAGAGCTGTATGAATATTCCCAAAGAACGTATCATCTCTGACAGATAAACAATGGGCTAGTGTTAATAGGATGACTTATCCAGTGTATACTTAAAGCAGAATTGTTTACCCCGTTACTTGCAAATCCTCACTTTTTGCAAAAAAAAATCGGAAAACCCTCGGTTGCAAAAACCGGGGTACAACTGTATATTCATGTAAACCGGTGACGTATGCCAAAATATAATAAAAAAGAAGGGCCTGCTTCTACACGATAAAAATATTGCTACATAATCAAAAGACCAGTGCATAGAAAAACTTTGTCTACGTATAAAATTAAATTTGGCTCGTGTTATTGCGATGGACACGTTATGGATGATGCTGTTGCTGCATTGTTGGCGAGGTATAATAGCTGTTGTTGTTTTCTCCTTTAGTAGTGGCGACAGGGTTATCGTCACTGGACATGGCAGCATGGTCCTCCAAAGTCCAAGCATCTTCTTGAATAGGTGGTAAGCTTCACTTATAAAAATCATCACGATCCCCACGTTTCATAAAAGAGATTGTCAAACCGTTATAAATTGCGCTGATGAAATTGGCAGCGGCCGTTTCTTGATCGTCAGCTAAGAAAAGAAGGTCATATCGAGTATCAATAGTATTGCTGGGTACGCTTCACATATAAAAAATCATCATGATCCCCAGGTTTCATACTCTTTTTATATCGCCGGTTCTTTGTTCCATTAAAGCGCACAGACCCGTCGCCGACAATTGTTGGATCAGAGCGGAGCACGGCAAGCGGAGCCGCATAGTGAAACAAACATATACGCACCATAAGAAAAAGACACTAGCATGACAGTCGTCAGACTACAACGATAATTATGATCAAGGCACTTCTTCACATTGCTGCAGTTCACTGGCTCCTTAGGGCAGTAGTGACAACAAAATTTCTAAGCTCCGTCATTTTGTTTATCGCGCTCATAAAAAAAAAAGAATCGACTGCGCGTTTTGCCCTTTATTCTTTTCTTTAGTCTTCATATTCATCTTTGTACATTTGCAGTGTTTCTTTCATTATCACTTTTTACCTTTCTTTTTTTTCATCCCGCTCGAGTGTCCCTGTGGGTGTGCATAGTTGAAGGGAGCTAGTCGTGCACGGCTGGCTCTTGCTCATCTTTTGTACATTTGCAGTGTTTCTTTCATTATCACTTTTTACCTTTCTTTTTTTTTTCCTCCCGCTCGAGTGTCCCTGTGGGTGTGCATAGTTGAAGGGAGCTAGTCGTGCACGACTGGCTCTTGCTCATCTTTTGTACATTAGCAGTGTTTCTTTCATTATCACTTTTTACCTTTCTTTTTTTTCATCCCGCTCGAGTGTCCCTGTGGGTGTGCATAGTTGAAGGGAGCTAGTCGTGCACGGCTGGCTCTTGCTCATCTTTTGTACATTTGCAGTGTTTCTTTCATTATCACTTTTTACCTTTCTTTTTTTTTCCTCCCGCTCGAGTGTCCCTGTGGGTGTGCATAGTTGAAGGGAGCTAGTCGTGCACGACTGGCTCTTGCTCATCTTTTGTACATTTGCAGTGTTTCTTTCATTATCACTTTTTACCTTTCTTTTTTTTCATCCCGCTCGAGTGTCCCTGTGGGTGTGCATAGTTGAAGGGAGCTAGTCGTGCACGACTGGCTCTTGCTCATCTTTTGTACATTTGCAAAGTTCTTTATTTCATCTTGGTTTTTGATCTTCCTCAAAAACTGAAAGCGAGAGTGTGTGCAAAGAGGTACGTATATGTTCGCCGCTGACAGACCTTTGTGCTATCATATTTCTTTTATTTGTAGGAACTGTGGAGGAGTAGGTTCTGTCGGGAACTGAGGCTTGTGGACAAGAAAGGGAGAGGTGTAGGTTCCGACGGGAATTGAGGCTTGCGGAAAACAAGGGAGGGCAACCTCCCTTGTGGGTACGTATATGTTCGCCGCTGACAGACCTTTGTGCTATCATATTTCTTTTATTTGTAGGAACTGTGGAGGAGTAGGTTCTGTCGGGAACTGAGGCTTGTGGACAAGAAAGGGAGAGGTGTAGGTTCCGACGGGAATTGAGGCTTGCGGAAAACAAGGGAGGGCAACCTCCCTTGTGGGTACGTATATGTTCGCCGCTGACAGACCTTTGTGCTATCATATTTCTTTTATTTGTAGGAACTGTGGAGGAGTAGGTTCTGTCGGGAACTGAGGCTTGTGGACAAGAAAGGGAGAGGTGTAGGTTCCGACGGGAACTGAGGCTTGCGGAAAACAAGGGAGGGCAACCTCCCTTGTGGGTACGTATATGTTCGCCGCTGACAGACCTTTGTGCTATCATATTTCTTTTATTTGTAGGAACTGTGGAGGAGTAGGTTCTGTCGGGAACTGAGGCTTGTGGACAAGAAAGGGAGAGGTGTAGGTTCTGCCGGGAACTGAGGCTTGCGGGGAACAAGGGAGGGCAACCTCCCTTGAGGAACGAAGGATTCATAAAAGTCGGTCGACTTGTCAGGCAACATCAAATAAACTTGGTTTCTCATTGTACTTTCTTAAATAATGTAAGAGTGACGATTGTAATAAACGCGATCTTTATTTTTACATCTTCCTACTGCCATTGCGCTTGGTACTTGTTGGTGCTTTCTCTGGAGCAGTTATGTAGTTGCAAATGAGCCTTTTTGTGCTTGAGTCGTCGAGAAAACCGTAGGCTGTGCATTCGCATGTGTGCTCTCAAAAACAATACAGCTGGTTTACCTTCACGACTATACCAACAATGATTGCAAATTGCTGGTGGCAAAATAAAAAACCGTATCGCAAAGCAAACAGACCATCCCCATATTCACATATACACGAACCAGATCGCCAACCCAAACTAAATGATGTTTGCCTTGATTTCTTTGCAGTATAAAAGGCCCAGTACATAAGCTCATTAGGGAAGTTACATAATCCAACTTGTTGGGTCTTGCCACCAATCTCTCATGCTACTGTCTCTCAACATTACTGCTACTGATACACGTATACTAGTAATACTCATAGATAGATTGAATATGGAATGTATCATCACTGCTTAAGATTATAACAAGTTACAGGTCACCCCGCAGAGATGAGTAAAATAAGTGGCAGGCGATGAGAGTAGAAAATAGGATGCACTAATCCCATGGGACAATAATGAGTGAAGTAATGATGTGATGGTATTATAAGGTCAATATGATAATGTATGCTAATGGGGTATCATACTAATGGTAGTAAATACAGACAGAGTAATGATGGCCGTGATTTTGACAAGGGCAAGTGAATGTTGGTCATTTTCTCGTTTTTCCTTTCTCAGCTAGATTTGGTACGAATGTCGTTAATGTGGGAGGGAAGACTGACTTTTGTGTTACTGGATGTTATCATATTGTCGAAATGAGTATGGGTTGGCCCCGAGGTTTCTTATATATAAATCTATAACATCAATAACATCATTGACGACAGTTTATTATGGTACCATTCTGAGCGGGAAATAGTCCACTTTGAAAGCCTGTAACATACTGTCTATCATGAACCTGTTGTGTTTAAATGCAGCCAATATAAGCAGACAATACGTACTGCTGAATTATTTGTTTTTGATGCTGATTGCTTGAAAGTAGTATCCCAGTGCTTGATGATGCACCTGCACGAGAAGGAGGAGATAATGCTGCTACGATTTCGTTATGGTGCCTTTTTTCAAAGAGTCTATTAGGATGTCGCTGTTTTGACTTATTTCGCTTGTAGAATGTTCAATCTACACACATATTTGATGCATGGAGTTGCAGTCGTAGAAGATGGATTAAGGACACTTGTTTTGAGTGTTGCTCGAGGAAGGAAGACTTGATATAATTTTGTAGACGTAAAAGCTAATACGATATGTACAAGCTTCTATAGATCTTTATCTATACTGATACCGACGTAAATACATATCTCATCGCATGGTTGAATATGGCAGCGTTGATGATAGGTAACAACGTAGTGAATGGTATTTCCAATTAATTTTGTTAGCATTAGGTTGACAGTGATAACGATGAACTGCACAATAATTGTGATTGAAGCGGGTGACTGGTGCTCTATATAGTCATCGATCCCACCGGGCAATCAGAGCTGTCCTCTACCAACCACTGCGATGCAGATTTCGAGGAACAAATACTTCTCAATTCCAGTAAATTTCATAGCGTATAATTACCAGTGGATTTACATATGTAAATCCACTTATAGTACGTTGGATTAGGAATGTCTTTGTATTATTTTAAATATGTTGGTAGACTACTGTACGCCGTGTAGTTATGAGAACAAGAGATTTTACCTTGCGTCACCAAGACTTTTACAATGTGGTCTCTATGATATTGTACTTGTAGAATAGATATGATTTCTTTTTTGTCGATGTATATCAAGGCAAGCGAGCATGTAATGTGTGACATTTTGTCAAAGTTGATATATGTCGGCACCGACCGTTGGCTTTGGTATATTAGCTTCGTATATCTACTATTACTATGCTTAAAATTACAGTATCCCTAATTGCTGCTTCGTTTGCATAGCGACCCCGTCAAGTTGAAAAGTCGGTCGCCATTTGCCCCACTCGTGTTTCACCTTGACTGCATGGGTGTGCTTTTGTAAAGAAGCCCTAGTTAAAACGCTAATACCGCCAGGAAGATTCCTCCTGATATATTAATCACATTGACGTGGTACAGTATCCCAATAAAAGGATGTGAGGTAAGGCGGTTAAAGAGTAAGCTAAAATGCATTCAACGGTCTATAAGCTTGAAAATGATAATTATCTAGCTACATAGGACAAGAACCTGTAGTCAGGGGGCTGCTTTCATATACAGTGATAGTAGTGATATTCCAGCAAACGTGGGATTATGGCGGTGTGCTACACTTATTTTATTTCGCACTTTTGTCTCACCAGCACTCTGCTGTTTTGATGGTCAAACAAAAAGAAACCTTTATATATAACACAGCATGATCATTGTACTCTGTTACTCGTCACAGCTGTAAGCTATGCATACAATCATCATAAAGGTAGGGTAGAAATTCAACGTGTACCTGTTTCTATGCACGTGCTGTTGTCATCATCTTGCACTGGGCTAAACGCGTGTCCCAAACAGGCCTTCTAAAACAGTTGCCACCGACAACAAAGCGTTTCCATCCGTTAGGAGGATCGGGAATTCAAACTTGCCAAACGAAGTAGTGGTGGACCGGGGAAAGAGAGAGCACACAGCTCTTCTCTTTTTCGCTCCTTCTTGTTTCGATTCTTTCGCACCCCGTCTCATTAACGAGAGGAAACGATCGACGTTGCCACATAAATTCACATAAAGATCGCCCGAATATCGAAGCCAGTCACCACCATCCATTGTCCCACGATTGTTATCAAATCCACCTAGATAACTCTACATCACTGCACGCGTTCACCAACACAAGGGCTCTCTCTCTCTCTCTATATATATATATACACTACCTCTTACTGATTGACGAACGCTGCCGATATGCGACGTGACGTACGCATTCTACTTGTAGGAGACGGTACGTTTCTGTTCTTAAGTTCGACACGGCATAGCCGTTGCAGGCTGTCTAGCACTTTACGCACACATATTCTTCACGCTGCCACTTGTATTCACTTTCATACATATACACCTCCACCTTGAAAAAATCATATCAAAATATAGAGGGCGTTGGCAAGAGTACACTTATTACATCGCTGATCAAGGAGGTGTTTATACCCAATGTAAGCGATCAAGACGACTTTAATCCCGAGCACAAGCTAATGGCATTTTAAAATTCAAGGTACAACATCTCGTTCCCGAGGTGACGATTCCTCCAGAGGTGACACCGGAAAACGTAACAATGCATATCACAGATAGTTCTGCTCGCCCGGAGCATCGCGAGCAGCTGGAGGCCGAGATCCGCAAGGCCCACGTTATCTGCATTGTTTATGCTATCGATGATCCTAATACGTTCAATCGTCTACCGCTTTACTGGTTGCCTTACATTCGCTCGCTCGGCGTCAACGTAAGAATTTCCACTCCAAACCATACACAGTTATTATGATACTTACGACTGGCAACAGGTTCCCGCTGTCCTTGTGGGTAACAAAATCGACCTTCGCGGCGACGATGTAACGAACACAAGTTTGGAGGATGAAGTAATTCCTATTATGGACGACTTCAAGGTATAAACATTATGAGGATGGCTGTTTTAGGACTGTATACATAATGATACAAAAATGATGGCTTACATGTTGAGGTTATAGGAAGTGGAAACGTGTGTAGAATGCTCGGCAAAGCAACTGCTCAACGTATCTGAAGTCTTTTACTTTGCCCAAAAGGCAGTCTTACACCCAACGGCACCATTGTATGATTCAAGGGAGCATGTATGTATGAAATAATGGCGTAACCCTCTGCTAACCTTACTAACTCATCCCCTATGAAGATCCTCAAACCGCAATGTGTCGATGCACTCTCAAGAATTTTTAAATTATGCGACACCGACAAGGACGGCATATTAAACGATAATGAATTAAACGATTTCCAGGTATGATGATACTTTTCTATCTTTCTTTCCAATGGATGTGGTAGATAGCATGTGTCTAATTCTTATACTGTTATTATCCAGCGGAAATGCTTTAATGCGCCATTGCAGCCGCACGAGTTGGACGGTGTCAAAGAGGTTGTCAAGCAGCATGAGCCTAGTGGTGTCAATGACATTGGATTAACGGAAAAGGGTAAAATCCTTGCAGAGAATAGAACTAGACGGTTATTATTGCTCGCTTTTATTTTGGAAGACTAACAGACGGTTGTTGGATAGGTTTTGCGTTCTTGCATTCGCTGTTTATCCAGCGAGGTCGATTGGAAACAACTTGGACGGTATTACGAAAGTTTGGATATGGTGATGATTTGTCCCTGCGAGAAGACTTTTTATTACCACCGTGAGTTCTCTCGTGTTTTACTTTAAAGTGAAAGGCAGGAAATAAATGGGGTGATATTAAATAATTTTAATAATGGTGTATCTTTTAGGTTGGAAGTTCCGCATGAATGTTCTGTTGAATTGAGTCCTCACGGATATCAGTTTTTTGCCGAGCTATTTCAAGTATTTGACAAGGTATATATATACATATGCCTGAATGATTATGTCAATCCATGGGGATACCTCTGCAAAATCTGGCTTTTTCTTATAAGGGTTTTTTAGGACAAGGATGGTGCTTTAAATCGATCCGAATTGGATGCTTTGTTCAGTACCTCTCCTGGAAATCCCTGGGCAGCCACCGCTTTCCCTCATACCACCATCACAACGGAGGCTGGATCTGTGACTTTACAAGGATGGCTGGCACAATGGAGGTACGTTGATAGATGAGTGTTTATGAGAACGATTATGTACTTAAAGCACTGATGGTGTGTCTATAGCATGGCGACCTTAATAGAGTATAAGACCACCCTAAAGTACCTTGCTTACCTCGGCTTTGAAGGGAATACCCGAACGGCTCTTAAAGTCACGCGACCAAAGAAAGTAGACCGCAAAAAGGGCAAGATACAGCGGAATGTCTTCCTGTGTCATGTCTTTGGCGCACCAAGCTCTGGAAAAACATCATTGTTAAAAGCATTCGTCAACAAGCCGTTTTCAGAAAAATACCAGCCGACAATCGAGCCTTTCAACGTGGTTAACTCTGTGGAAATGAAGGGCGTAGAAAAATACCTTGTGGTATGTGTCGGAAACAAGTCTCTGAAAGAACATGTGATTGTGTTTTCTTTTAGCTGTTCTCTTTATGTCTAACACCTAGCGCGCGGAACAATAATTGATAGATGGAGGAAATTGGAGCAAGCCGAGAAGCAGAAATTCTGTCAAACAAGCAACGTCTTGAGGCTTGCGATTTGCTCTGTTTCGTATATGACACGAGTGACGTGAACTCATTCGGATACGTGGCTTCCCTAAGGGTAAGAGTGCCAACAAAGCGTAGCCTTTAGACACCACGGATAGCTAATATAGTATGTAACGTATAGGAAAAAAATAAGATCGATAATGTACCAACGGTTTTCGTCGCAACCAAATGTGAGCTCGATTTGGTAACGCAGCGGTACGAAGTCCAACCCGATGTATACTGTAGAAATCTAGGATTGGCTGTACCTTTAAGTGTATCTGTGAAGCAACACCAGATGGCAGATCTGTATCACATACTGACAGGCATTGCTATGAATCCGTAAGTTTGGGCAAGGGAGTGTTTGGAAGCACATAATACTTTTCGAACAAATTTAAACTTACTAATGATCTCCTAAATCATTCACTAGGACGATCGCAACTCCCGGCTCTTTGAAAGATAAAAAACAAGAATCATGGTTCCCAAGGCACTATATTACCATATCACTAGTGGCAGGTGCTGTAATTTTAACGGGTTTTGCCGCATACAAATTCTTAAAGCAGCATCCTACACTGATAGGTAGTGGTGCACAAACCATGGCCACTGCAGCGGCAAAGAAACGCGATTATCTATGACAAAGACGGGTTTGAAAAATGTACTTGTATTTTGTAACTCCTGTAATTAATGCCGAATGGGAAAGAAAAAAAAAAGATAAAAAAGTGTGTGTATCCAATTCCCTTCTTTTGTTTATCCCCCTCTATAATTTCTGGCCGGCGGCACTGTACATCCAATAGAATTTACGGCATTTTGTAAGGCCAAGGAGCACTTCTTCGCCATGTTGCTGTTGCTCGATGGGATCATTAAGTCCCAGGTTTGGGCCGAGGATGGGCATCATGCTTTTCAGTACACGTTGCCAGTTCCACAGGAACTTTTTCGCAGCTGCTGTGTTGTTTGCTTGATAGTGTAGAAAGAATACCGCGTTTCATTGTTAATAAGGCGTTCTAATGCAGTTACTGCTACGCTACTTTAATACTCGCATCTACTTACACATGTCTATTGGACGGTTATCGACTTGAATCACCTTACACCCCGCCTCTGTCAAATAACGAGGTTGCTTCGGTCCAATATAGGGATCTTGTCCGCGCGTTCCCATGGTGTCGATAACTGTTGGTGTAAGTCAAATTTGGTTTGCTTTAATACGGCTGCTCTCGCTCAATTATCAAAGTGCTAGTGACCTTACTTGCGTTGGCCGTTTTTCCTACAGCCGGATGGTCATCGAAGTCTGGCTATATAGTTATGGCAACATCAGTGTATGAAGAATGAGTATGATAAATGTACATTAATGTATAGCTACAATACAAAGCTCTTCTTCGCTTTGAAAGTATAGGAAAAAATGACACACTGTGAAATAGTACTCGAGTAATTGAATAACTCCTCCAGGCTTAGTGATTCGGACAGCTTCGCGAATGGCATGCTCCCATTCATCCTCACGAAGCGCTAGAACGAAGAGACGCATGTGTACAAAGTCAAAGGTGTTATCTGGGTAGTCAAGTACGTCGGTGACATCGCTGTAGATAATGTTTAAACGGTCCGACAAGGCTTCGCTTTGTGTCACTTCTACCATGTCCACACCATCAAAGGTGCATTTTGGGTATTCCAATGCCATATCCTACACGGGAGTGCATAAGATGAGCAGCTCATCGTTGCGGCATTCCCGGTATATGTAACTTTTGCTGCAACCTACCATGAGCCACGCGCCGGCGCCACATCCTATATCACAAATACGAGCTCCAGTTTCAAACGAGACGTATTTTGGGACTTCAGAAAGAAAGTTCCTGAGAAGAGGCTATGAGTTATCCATCAGTTTATGAGTGTCAAGGAAAAATGTCAAAAGCATTATTTACCCTTCGTATATTTCTTTGATGGCAAAATGTTGCTACACATAAAAAGTAATCAGTGCAATGCCGTTGCAGATCGGAGAATCTCCGACTCTTCTTTTTCCCTTCCCTTACCCCAATGAGTCGGTCTTGCTCCTCCTCGTCCTTTGGAAGCCAATAAGCCGAGCTTTCATTGCTGTGGAAATCCCTTCCGGAGATAACCGCCGTTACCCCAGCCGACGATTTCTTAAGAAGCGGAGGAATCGCTTTGGATTTCCTCAAAGCTGTGTTTCGTCCCCATCCCGCTATCATGATGCTGGCGTGTGTTTTTTTCACTGTTGGTGGCGGAATGACCCATGGTAGAAGCTGATAACTGGTGCTTGTGCTGGCGTTTCTTTTTCCTTGATCTCACTAGAGAGGACATGTGCAAGTCCCGGGATAGATGGCTACCCATGTATTTATACAATTCCTCTTGGGGACGCGGACGAGGAAGAGAAAGGTGGGCAGTTACGCGGGATATTAGAGGAGAACAAGAAGAAAATGGTACGAAAAGGCCCAGACAGAGAAGAAAGTATTTGGGTCGTGCAAGCTGTACCACTTTGATGAATAGTCCCAATTTTTCGTTGGTTACCTTTTTTTTTGGTTGCCATGCATGTTGTGTACCGCGAACGGTTTCCGAACAAACAGCAGAATTTAATTTCTAAAGTGTACATTATAAAAATCTTCTCAATACCAAAGTAATCCTACATAGCCATCCCTTTCAAACTTCCAGTTGTTTTAATCTATATTAAACGATGGGGTGATTTATTTAGACTCGCCTGGCACATTTTCTCGCTCGTTTTGAATAAAATTATTATCTTGCGATGCAAAACAGAAGTAAAAAGTAGAAAATACCTTCATGGTGCTGTTGAAATGTAACATTGGATACAGGTAGTACAAGAAGATTAGAATTTGCGGGCTCTCGCGACAGGGGAACGTCAATGCAAATGCCGTTTTGTCTCTGTATCTCGTTTTTATTCCCCTTTTGTTTCACAGGTTATTTTAGGTGCTCTTATTAAGTGTTCTTGATACCATTGTACGGAAAAGCCTAGCAAAGTGGCATGATACGGCTGCGAAATACCATTAGCGCTGGTGAACAAAAGGTTGCGATGATCAACATCCTTTGCAACCTACCCCAAGTATCTATACTTCAAAACATACAAAGTGACGAAGGGCTCATCTAGCAACGACGAAGAACAACAAGAGCGAAAAAAGAGACACAATTTCCGGAATATGACGGGTAGTTAATCACATAAGTAAACCGTTTATTTGATGAACGTAGTAATTCTGCTGAAAATGATCTGATATGGGCTCTTGCTACATAGCTAACATCGATCGGAAAAAGCTAGAATTGGCAGTATCTCTTGTTTCCCTGTTGCTCATTTAAAAGACGTTAATAAGACGTTAGAGCGAGACTATTGATTGCAGCAAATGAGTGATATAGTAAGCAACGATGGCTATTAGATATGCTAATAGTTACAACTAGATAGTCTGTTGATGTTCTGCCAACAAAAAAGGACGTGCTCGGTCATGAGCTTTAGTAACCAAGCTACTAGAAGATAATACATTCTATATCTAACGCATTACATTAGCTTCCAACAAACACACAAAACTAGAGATTTCACAGGATAGTTTTAATTCCTTTATTGAGGTGCCTTGGCAACGCACATTGACTACCAAAAAAGGAAACTCTGATGTGTGGAGGGGCCACAAACTGAAGGTGGCTTGTTGGGCACTTTTGCTTGAGCTTTTTTGACACACACGCTATATATTATATTCATAAGCAACAATGAGATTGATCACACATAACATGCTGCAGTGCCATGTCAAGAACTGCAACACAAACAACTTCCCTTTGAACTTTCAAGATGCCCAACTTGAACTCATTGAGGCTGATTTCAATCCGGAGTTTCTGGTCAACATGTTACCAAAGCTTGAATGGGAAGCATTGGTGAACACTACCGTACAGGTATATTATACAATTACCTGATATCTTCCGTATTACCAACGGATGAATTAACTCTCGAATCTAACGCGTTTATTTCAAAAGCTTGGAATTTCGACCTTACCAGCACAGCTCCCAGAGAATGCAGCAGAAAACGAAGAGTTCTTAAAGTTACTTCATAACACGATCCTCGAGGTATGACTGGGATACATACAATCTGCAGTAGCATACTCTTACTAACGAGCTTATTTTGAATAGACTCATGTGCAGCAGGGAAAAATGATTTGTCCCAACTGTAAACACGAATACAAAATCAAGGATGGTATCCCCAACATGCTGCTTGCCGAACACGAAATTTGAAGCATACTACAGACGGACCTTGCATACCAATTGCTTTGCACTCGAGAAGCATGAATCACACAAACACTTACTCCCGCGCCACACATCCACACATTCTTTCCCAAACACGTTATCTACGCATTTTTTAGACACTTTAACAGGCATTAAAAAGCTTATTAGCTACATAGTAGTGGATCATTGTAATCATCTACTTGATCTTTGTCAACGATCTATCAATTGGTTGCAACCTTAATCAAAAGTATTCTTCTTTGTTCAATACCGCTTCAAATTCAATAGCATGCCAACGCAGACGTGACGACGATCGATTCCGAGCACCAGCTTGCTACGAAGATGTCAGAGACAGCCAGTCTCATGGTCTTTACTTTCGCCAATTTCTCATTCAACAAAGTATTGCGGCAGCGTCTCGAACTGTTGATTGGACTTATAGAGCTTGAACACCTGGCCATCAAAAGGCAGTGTATGGTATAATATGAGAAAAGAGGACATATTTGGCTACAAGTCGTCATGTACTTTATGTCAAATAGTTTGATGGTTTAGCACGTAATGGTATGGATCACGAACTCTGAACAATGTACCTTGTAGAGATGCTCCACGGATCATAGCCACAATGCTGTCTGGATCACCAATCATTTTCAAGTTATGCCACCAAGGCAGTTTTGTTACTTCTACCCTCTGTTAGAATGGTCATCTGAAGAACACCCGAATAACAATGCTTTTTACACACACTTTTTGATTAAAGTCATATGCATACATCAATCGGATATCACGACGTCCAGTTATCTTTGCGCAATCGATGTATGTTTCTGACTAACTGATTGCTTATCATGATTAACTCGCAGGATCAATTCTTCGATAAATCTGATTGTGAATGATCTGTGTCCATTATCTGTAAGTACAGCCGTCTCGATTTTAAGCTTTGTGAACAAGTTTGACATTCGTTTTGAAACGCGCCTGCACAGTGATATTTAAACAGCACAACGAGCAGCTGATCGTGAGACTCGTATCACGTATTGCTTTTACTTATCGAAAAACCACGTTACTGATGGAATTACGTTGATCTGAATAGTATTTTAGTATGTATATTATGTGTATTTGACGGTTCGGAAATAGATCAAGCAGATTATGTACCCATCAACTCGGCTCAGCTCGACTCGACTTATCATCATGGCGATGGCACTAAGCGACTACGCTGATTCCGATGGTATTCCACGTATTACAAGTATGGTTGTAGAAGTCTACGGATGTAGCTTTTCCCAGGAACGGATGTCGAAGAAAATTTTCCTGTACTACAATGATGCCATTTTTCGAAGGTTTTGACGTGAATAGTTAGTTGGTCGTATACCTTTGTACGTACAGACAACCAAATATGTTTCAGATTCGGTGAGTAGAGAGACCGTTGATCCTTATGATAGGTCTTACTGAGACGTTAGGTTTTGATATCATCATGCAGTATGTTGTAATATTTACTGATGCTGTAGTGAAAGCCATCAACAATAAACTGGGTAATAGGAAAGAGGTTCAATGCTGCTACTGGCAATGAAAATGATTCTTGATCAGGCTGGTTTAGCATCAGTATCTAATATGCATATAGCAATATAAATAGAGCATGACCGCATGACGACGGCATAAAACCCCTGATGTTTTTGTTTTTGATCTCTTTACTTTAGTTGCCCAGCTTCACTTTATATACGCTTCGAAAACAGACATTCGCTTGGGTTTTCTTACCAAGTCAAACATTGTAAAGCAGCGTAATAGTGAATGCAACCCGGTTGAGCTTATTGGCATCGTGATCGGGTTCCAAATTAGAGCATTGCCACAAAATCAGGATAAGTTGTTAGATGCAGTGAGTGATGACAACCACCCAGCCGTGGTGGCTATTGAAGTGTTTCTTTTGCCGGTCAATGTTTAAGCGGGTTTCTTTTCCTGCTTACGGCATGCGAACTTCCCACCACCGAAACTTGACCCGCCGGGCCAAATCTTTTCTTTCTCAGTCATCCACAAATAGGGAAAATGGGCTGTCACACGCGGTTGACGGAATAAAAGCTCTTGAGTCAGCATTTTCATTTGCCTTGCTTTGCTCTTCTTGTTGCAGATAGACTCCTCCCTCCCTTCCCCCCCCCTTCACACTTGCAACACACATACGCTTAGCATGGCTATCATATCAAAAGAGACCCTGCCACCGTTTGGCCATGCTGTGGCCGGATCAGCTGGCGCCATGTTCGCCTTGTCTCTGGTCTACCCTCTCGATATGTAGGTTTCAGCTCTGTGTCCTTTTTGATGCTTTATCAGCATAATTCTCCTATTCCCTGTCATCATTTTTTTAACACAATCAGAAAACACACAGCATCAAAACTCGTATTCAAGTCCAAGCAAAACACGAAGGTCTGGATGATAAGGAACAGGAACACTACACCTCAGCGCTCGACGGTATCACACAGATCATGCAGAAGGAGGGCCTTGCTGGCTTATATGCCGGTTTGGGCTCTTCGTTGATTGGAACAGCCTCGACCAACTTTACATACTTTTACTGCTACTCGTTGGTTCGCGACCTCTACAACAAAAACTACAATCCTGGCGGTGGCACCCTTTCAGCTGCCTTGGAGCTTCTTCTTGGTGCAGCAGCCGGTGCTATGACGACACTCGTGACGACGCCGATTGCCGTTTTAACCACTCGCCAACAGACTTTGCCTAGCGACGAACGTCAGGGCGTCTTCGCCACCTGTGCGACAATCTTGTCCGAGGAAGGCATTGCTGGCCTGTGGAAGGGTATCCGTCCCTCCTTGATTTTGTGCGTCAACCCGGCTATCACTTACGGCAGTTTCGAAAAGATTAAGCAGTTTGTACTTGATGTCCTCCAAAGAAAGATGACACCTGCCACTGCTTTCCTTGTCGGTGCTATCAGCAAGACGCTCGCCACTGTCGTCACGTACCCATACATCATGGCCAAGGTTCGCCTACAGTGGAAGCCATCAAAGGAAATTCAGGATAAGGTGGAACCCTACAAGGGTGCAGGTGATGTGTTGGCACGAGTGCTCAAGAGTGATGGTTTCTTTGGCTGGTACAAGGTAAATTTTGAATGCTGCTTACGTGAACGCTTTTTGTGTGTGCTATGCGCCAATCTAGTGCCGTTATCTAACATATGTCTGTTCTTTTGCAGGGCATGAGCACTCAGATCTTCAAGGCTGTTCTCTCGCAAGCCTTGCTGTTCATGATGAAGGACGTTTTCACCAACTACACCGTTATGGCATATGTTTTATTACTCAAACTCGCCCGACGAAAGCTTGCAGCATAGATGTAGAAAGCTACTACTATACATTTCATTCCCCGCTTCTGGCCGTTCTTTCGGCTATGTTGTTATATAGACTTGGCTTACCTTCCCTTACTACTCCACAAACCCTCTTCCTTTGTCATACATACACATACCGCTCCCAAAATTTGCTATGTTCGTTTTATTCAATATTACACGTTGATCTGTTCTTGTTTTAGGAGTGGGTCGGATTTAAGCTATACATATGATGTACACGTTTTTATGGCTGAGAGATGATTACTCGTGTGGTGAAATGACAACAACGGTTAAATTAATCGCGGTCTGGGGTGTATTAAATGACGTTTCCTAAAATCATGTGGATCGGCAGAACCGTGACCCCCAGATACTGCTCATTGTATGCCGATAGATTGACTCCCAGATTGGTATGATGTTGCGAGGCACTAAAACAGTGCTGAATTTGATTTGATTTGCTTGCAGTCAATTATATGCGCTCGTTGGATAAGCTAAGAATGTTCACCTCAGCGTACTACAGCACGACGTTTACGCAAATACAAAAGGTTGTCTCGGAGCAAGCGCGAAAAGCAGCAATTGCGCGTCATCATAAGATAGTAGAAGCGATCCTTTTTCATATTCGAGTATTATATGCCAAACAGCAGCTATTAGCATTACACGATACCCCACGTTCCTTTTCCTTTCTCTAGATCAAGCACATCTATAGTTACCCTTGCTGATCGATTTTCATCGAAAAGCAGCGGTTGCAGTATCAGATGAATCAAGGAAGTTAGTGCTTTCGAAGCGGAAGCGCAAAACTGGTAAACTAATTGACTACGTACGTGATTCGGATCAGCTGTGAGTCAGTACGGGCTTTAGCCGCCGTGTAGCCGCAATGCCGCACATTGGATATGCAGAAGGATCGAGAATGACGCTTCTAGTCATGCCCCGAACACCGCCAGAAACCAAAATACTGAATTTTAAAAGCTAGAGACAACAGTTAGCGAATGTGCATCACTTTGATTTAAACATGACGCGCTCCCCTTCTTCCAACCTACTTCAGTAAGTATCAACACCACCGTCACAACACAACAACACAGACGAATAAGTATCATACGACATCCGTTTAAATATTATACAGTGATCCATTATTGATGTTTAGACTGGCTTCTTAGACTGACGAACCGGCTGGACCAGAAGCGTAAGCTATCAAATTTATTTGTTCGCACGCGGAAGCTTGCAGCCGCCTAGGTTTGAATGATAAGAACGCAGCAGATCATGAGATCGAAGTGGAAAACGAAATGGCTAGGGCAATTGGAACAGCTAAGAACGACTACAATACCAAAGACACTCCCAAAAAGCTTCTTGATGACTTGCAGCTCATCTTTATCAGGGCGTCAAGGTAAAACAATCCATTCTTTTTGATTAAAAACTTTAACTTTTACTAATTGAAACGGTTCTTTCAATATCATAGGTCGGTGACTATGATACTGTAGCCACGACAAAACCGTGCGTCGTAGCATTGAGGATATCACGAAATACAGTAGATCGCAGCATGCGCAATGCAGCAGCGAACGAACTTGATTACCTACAAAAAAAATGGATCCTTCGCAATAGCCAAACCAAGCGGCTGAAGATGCTAGCTATCCAATTAATAAAGAGCATGGTTACTCTCTTTACTACAAGTCTCAAGGAAGAAATGCAATGGGTGCGCCAAGTTCAATCCAGTTAGTATACCAAATCGTCAGAGCCGGCCCCATTATTGGAGCAGACTCCTTTGAACTGCTCACCACATTCGATGTATGTATAGTACTAGAATTATGTATAGGAAAGACAGCGCCATTCCAGTTTCATCTTAGGATGCTTCTACACAGCAAAGGGGTCTGGCCACGCAACTTTAAAAGGGGCAAGCGGTTTTCCAAAAGTATGGGGGGGGGTGAAGCAATCCATGTTAATTACTGAACTACGAGTTTCCTTTTCATCTTGTTTTGTTTCTTGCTCTGTTACCTCGTTTTATTTGTTTTATTATATAATCATTGTATCGGCCAACAAATAAGCAGTAACAGAGATATCTCGCAGTAAAGCATAGCTTGTAAGGCCTTTTGCTTTCTTTCAGTGAAACAGACATAATGGTCTTAAATGTACCGCTTAACTATCAGCGATATCTTCGTCGTGGTACAGTCATACGATAATATGTTTTGTACAAGGAGTGCTATACATAGTCACCTTATACTTCACAAAAAAGTATAAAATGACATTTGCCGCAACGACCAGGAAGATGACTTACTGCGTTTCCTATTAAACAGGAACCGCGGCACACAATAAATAGAACATACCTTGTTACACATCAACTCATTTGTGAAAGGTATCGAGCGCGCTCTCGTTGCATTTCCACCTTGACATTATATGAACTAACGATGTTTGTATCGTTTACACCATTACACTACCAAAGTATCATAATTATTTGTGTTTAAATACCGGAAACGCCTCTTCCGGATGAAAATAATCTAATAGATACTATGGGAATATCAGATGTTGACAGGTGCAGTGCTCGGAGGACCCTGGATCTATATTTGTGCGTCGAAGCAACATTAACCGCGTCAATTGTTCAACAGCAATAAACGGGACTGTTGCTTAGCACGCATGTGTACCTATTTTTTTTATTTGGCATGCCGCTTTGTCTCCCCCAAGACCATCGCTGGGTTATTCGTCATACTTTATTTTTAGTTCTCCATTTGTAATTACAATTGTGGCTGGAACAATAGGCGGACACGCCACAACCTAGGAAGTGCCTATATTAAGTTGGAATCATAAACGTAAGTAACTGTGGACTTGGTGATATTATAGTGAGGGCCACTCCAGACGGAAACATAGTTTGTGGTTGATGAGTGGAGCACTTACTTTGGGAACGCCATATTGTAAATCTAGCGGAAGTCATCTGCATGTTGCTGCAGCTATCAATAGCTTTAAGCTTTCCATTTTAAGAAACGATTACGGGCGTCTTTTTATTGTACCGCATTTACAGTAAGCTAAAACAGTAGTATACAAATACTACAAAGAGAAATCAGCAGAATCTAATGTAATATCACTATATTTACAACATGGCACGGCGAAAAACAAAGAAAGGAGAACGAGCAGTCAGATGTGGATGGGCTAGTTTATACTTCCATTGTTCGCTGTTGCATAGTCAAGTTTGGCGAATGTCCATGTGGAAACTCTATTTACGTCAAACGTACTAAAAACAGCGTCAAAAAGAAAGAAACGGAATGGCTCCACTTGATAGAGAGAAATGCCTATGCTTAATACGAAGCTTACTATCTTCAGCCACCTCTCAATTAACACCAGAAGTGTGTGAGAAACCCTGATCGCAAAGAAAGTTTGTGTGTGCTTCGGATAGCGGACTCTTAAAGCGCTCTCGCTTCACCGGTCGATGCTTGCTGCCTTTTTCTTTTGGTGCCCCTAAAAACTCACGCTCACAGCTTGTCTGGACCGGCTTTAATCGTGGATTACAGAAAAGAGCTTCTTTTTCTTAATACTTTTCGTCAATGTCTGACGTCAAATATACCAGCCGATCATTCGATGCATTTCCAAGCCAACAAGTTCCCACCAGTCCACCGCCACCACCTCCCGAGCACCGTTACTTTACATCTTCGCCACCCTCATTAAACTCTCCCAGCACTAGCGATTCCTACGATACCGAGAATCCTGCGTCTACGAACACCACCCCTGACTCGCGTAGCACCTCAGTCTTCACACAACAACAACCAAACGATCATCACCATGGCAACGCACCTACAGCCGACGAGACCGCCTCAGGTGTCAACTCTTCACCCAATCTACCTCGAGCGTTCTCTTTGTCTTCATTGATTAGAGATGAGGAGCAACCAGAGGACCCGGAACACCCCCAAGTCATTAGCATATCAACCTCGAACCCCTCACATCTTTTCTGGTATATACTTTGCTTCAAAAGAAAGCAAATGGATATAATTCATATAAATAATCGCTGCTAATACTTTGCATTTCCGAAATAGGGTTCCTGCAACACAGCATCCAGAACTAGCACCCAATGAATTCGAAAAATTCTTACATACGAACTCACATGCGAAACGAGAGCGAGCGAGTCTTAGAAGACGAAGCTCGATTCTGTCTGTTTCGTTCACAGCAAGCGATGCACTAAAGCAAGATGATGACGAGGGCATGACGGAAGGGGATAGCAGAAAGGATACATTGGAAGCCTTGGAACGGGGAAAATCACAACAGTCATCGGAATACAGCGAACAGTATCATCAGCAGAAGCAGCATAATAGCAGTAGATCAGGGGATGCCGAGGGGCTACCACGCAAGACTAGACTACGACGAAGCATTAGTTTGGATATGGCCACAGCAGCAGGTTGGTTGGTTTTTTATGTTCTGGGGAAATACTTCTGCGTACTATATATATATTGGATGCTGATTGGTAGGAACTTTTATAGAGAATCAACTGCGAGTGCCTGATTTCTTGGTGTTTGATCGCAATTCCTCACCGTTAGATCAGTCTAGGGTTCTTGTACCCAGAGCAGATCGACCATCTTTACTGCGGCGAGGTGCGCGCACCAAATTTCAGCGAAATTCATCATTTACGCCTCCCTCCGCACGACAAGTCGATCGACATCGCCAAACAGAGTCAATGCCTCCAGGTACATACACTGAGCGCCTCGACCATTCCACACTTGGAGAAGGAGGCATCACTTTGTCCGACAGCCCACTTGCCGAACCACCGCTCAATATGTCATTGTCCATTGCCGAACCGTCACCACCACCGCTACCACAATCAACGTCTGCACACGCGATGTTTTCTCCGCGTCCCATGGAAAGAAGGGCCAGTGCCGAAGAAGTACCACGGCTACAGAATAGCAGCACCCCTTCCAAAGACCACGAAGTCCAGGGATTGGAAATAGGTCAGAACGTGGTTACACAAGAACTTGAGCCTCTGGAGCACCAGTCGCATGAACAACAACAACAACAACAGCAGCACCAGTTGGACCCACCAGCACGAGCGTCATCTGAACGGAAGTCATCATGGTCTTGGGGCTTTAAGCGGTCAAAATCAGAGCAGGTGCGAAGCGACGTTATTTCAGATAAAGTTCATTTGCAAGCAGAATTGATGCCTCGACCAAGGCCATCTGTTTCCTCAGAATCTAGCGGCTCGGCTGCTACGCCCTCCGGCTCTGGTAATGGTGTTGCTCCTCTCGCCCCTAACAGCAACAGCAGTGGTGGCAAAGATAGCAGCGGTAAACGGTCCTTTGGATTATCTTCACTCTTCTCTCGCAAATCATCGTCCAACAAGGCCCAAGCTACTGCCGAACCTGCTGCCCAAAACACTGCACCCATTCCTCCAAAGGACTTCCAGCTGAACAGGATCAACCAAAACCGACTACCCATCCATATCGAACGAGCCATTTACCGTCTTTCCCATTCCAAACTTGCCAACCCACGCCGGCCGCTCCATCAACAAGTAATTATCAGCAATCTAATGTTTGCTTATCTCGCTCTGGTCAGCGCTTCACAACAAGCACATCAACAAAATTCATCCAACGGAGCAACCCCTGATAACAGAGCAAGGAAATTTGTCAATGCAGGAAAAAAAGGAAAACGACGGCCACCCTCAAATTCATCCTCACCACGCCCACCATCGTCCCAACAACAACAACAACAACAACAACACCATCAACACCATCAACACCAACAGCAGCACTCACAATTACATACTCAACAACAGCAACAATCACAGCATGGTCGACCTCCTTCTCCGTCTAACGGGTCTGCAGATCAGCGTTCTTCCTATCAGCAAAAGGCTCGATCGAACTCAAAACAAGAAGACAATGGCAATGGTGTGCTACACCAATTTATGGGACCATCGACAGGATTCGTTGTCCCTGAAAACTATCTGAAACCCCGGCAACAGGGTTTTAAAGGGATGGCCGGTGTTGGTAGGAGGAGTAGTCTCAGTGATTCGGACGAAGACGACGACGACGACGCTTTGAGCGATAGCAGCTCAGACGATGAACCTTCCAACAGCAGTGTGACCATGAAAGCCAGAGCTGCAGCTGCTACCAAACATCGAGCCTCGAATGACATGATTCCAAACCATACCCGTGTTGCCAAGCAAAGAGGCGATGATGATGTCCCTCTGGCAATGTATAGAAAAGGAAAAGTCTAAACATAAACCCAAGCTATATTACATATCTTTCTTTATCTATTTTTCTATTCTTCTTAATAAAACCAGTTGCAACCTGCCCTCCCCTCCCTCACACACACAATACACCCAAACCATCGCACAGGAGGTCGCAGCTGATGCACTCACCCCCTACTATTACTTCAAAAGATACACCTTGGCTTTCTGTTTTGTGGTTTTGACTTAAATGGGTGATTGCAAAGCTGACTAGTACGAGCAAGGATAAACCATAGCAATGCTATTTAGCTGCCATAATGAATTTCAATCAAGCATAATTTCATCGCGCAGTGTAGTAGAAAATGCGGGAAATCCCAGCCGAGGGAAGCGCGCCAGACTTGTCAATGAACAACTCAAAGGCAAATCTTAAAGCAGCTCGGGAAGCAATCGGCGCGAAAAAATTCGACGATGCAGTAAAAGCATGCAATCGTATTCTTTTATGGGAGTCTGGCAACTATAATGCGTAAGCTTTAAGCTGTCTTTGTTATCCAATTACACCCCAACAAGAGGCACGCTTAATTTAACAACTAACGATCATGAATGGTGGCGTGCCATAGTTGGGTGTTCCTCGGCGTTGCCTACACGGGATTAGAAAATGACGAAGAGGCCGAAAAATCGTACAGACGAGCTATCGAGATCAACTCTGATCAACTGCTTGCTTGGCACGGTTTGGTCAGTTTCTACGAAAAACGAGGACGTAAAGAAGATATGGCTCAGATCATACATGATATATTACCCAAAGTCATAGAGAGGTACATAGTATATAATAAGGAGAGGATAACTAAGCTCAGCCCATTTGAAAATATGATGAAGATAGATAGTTAGCTGATTCTTATGTGTGTACACATATTTATGATAGTAATGATGCCAATCGGCTTGTGGAATATTTGAATAAGCTCGTCGATGTATACGAGAGCACTGATCAGGACAAGGTAAAATGAAAAAGAACGAGGCAACAAATATATCACTGAAGTTCACAGAATCACTTCCACCCTATGTATATAAAAAGTATATTGTTACTCTCAAGTTGTTCCTGCCAGGTAGTCCTTACTACGATCTAATCAAGGATACAAAGTCGATGCGACGACCCATTGATATTTGGACAACAATCACAAACCTTACTGAAGCTGATCAGTCGCGTATGGTGGAGAGCCGTGTTCAGTCGCGACGTATGGGTATCCATGCCGGACCACCAGAAGAGATGCGAGCTCAAGTAGAAGCTGAAGTTTACTCCAAGTCACAATTAGGCGATATGTACGAGAACTTACTCAAATTGTCGGATTCGCCCGATACAATCCAAGCATTGCAGCTCAAGCTACTCAGTTTCTGGTTCAAGCGATTACCGGCTATCGTTGAGAAATCAAAAGTAATGGATCTATCTGGAGTGTAGCTGATAACCAGAAGAGACGTTTTTTAATTTGCTCATTTATTCTCCACAGGTGTACAAAGATATCACTGATCTCGCTAATAAGCTAGTCCAAACAGACGTAAATGATGCCCTTCCCTACGAGATTCTTATTGAAACGACAGACGCTCAAAAGATTGGTGAGTTGAATACTGGAAAAAGTTAATTGATAAAGTAATGATGGTAAACTTACCTAGAAAATAAATCTAGGTCAATATGATAAGGATCTTCTGAGCACCGTCGAATCCAAGTTTCCAGAAACAGGTCTTGCCAAGCTGATTCAAGGCTACAATCTCTACCAAGCAGGCGAAATAGATTCGGCCTTTGATATGTTCGCGGTAAAACAAAATTAAGTTACAAGAGATTGTCCAAATTACTCACTTGTAGATAATTCTACAGGTAGGTATGGAGCTAATCCCAGGAAGCCTTTTCGGTTATCAATGTCTGTCTTGGATCTACTATGAATGCAAGGAATACGAAACTGGTTTAGAATATGCCACCAAGGGCCGTGATATAGTGCGCAAAAAAGGCCGTGAAAGTGGGAAAGCACTGGAAAAGTATGTACTTTTTATCGTTCATTCGAGGGGTGGGACAATGCAATTATACTAACCTTAGACTTCATTAGAGTACTCATCTCAATGGAACTTTGTATGGCACACTGCTATCGTCATCTCAATACAAAATACTATCCTGATGCCACAGCTTTGTATAAAAAGGTTCTGGCACTTGATCCAAATGAAATTAGTGCTCTGGAGGTAAAACTGATTTGAATCAACTTAAATGTTACGATAGAATTAAGACTCACCAACTGTTCATGAAACAACCTAGGGTGTCGGTTTAATCCTGCGCGAAGAGAACCACTTTGACCAAGCGCTCAAGAACTTTGAAAAAGTGTATAGCCTTGACCGTACTCGACACATTTCATTAGCAGAAATTGGTTGGATCTACTGTGAAAAAGAGGACTATGACAAGGCAATCCAATATATTTGCCAAGCTATCGATCTTGCTGAAGAGGATGTGGCTGATTACTACTATCGTCTTGGCCGTGTCTATTGGGCTATTGGAGGTATAGGAAAGAGAAATTAATGTGCGATTTGCAATGAGTATAACTTGCTAATAGCTTTGAATATATCAGGTGAAAATACTTCCCAGGGATTCAAATATTTCATGCAAGCTGTCAAGCTTGATCCTGAGTTTGCAAGTGGATTTACATATATTGGACACTATTATCGCGAGGTCAAAAATGACCATATGCGTGCGAAAAAGTGCTACCAAAAAGCATTCATGCTTGATACCCTGGATACGGATGCTGCATTCCACTTGAGCAATTACTATATCAAAGACACTGAAGCGAATGAGGCCGAAGCTGTATTCAAGCAGATCACCGAACTCGTACCCAAAACAGGATGGGCTTGGAGAAGATTGGGATATTCCATGATTGTAAGTTTATTCAAAGACATGCTTATAATGTTTTTTTCTTCTTACTAAGGTCACAATTGTTTACGTTGGTAGATATCAAACCAGTACGCAGAAGCTATTACATGTTTCCAAAAGGCACTGAGATGCGACACCAGTGATTTACGATGCTGGGAGGGCTTGGCCGAAGCATACGCTCATGAAGGCCGATTTGTGGCTGCGATCAAGGCATTTGGACGGGCTACTGATCTTGATCCTTCCTCGGTTCATGCAAACTACGAAAAGGCACTGGTCAAACAAAAGATTGGGCTGCTAGATGAAGCAGTTGAAGGATTCAACACAACACTGGAACTCGCCGAGCAACAAAACCAGCCAAATTATCTTCCTGCAATTAAGGGGCTCGCGGACACATACATCGAGCAAGCAAAGGAGGAGATACAAAAAGGGTTCTTTGGACGTGCTGCTGATAGTTGCGGCAAGGTGATCAAAACATCGTTGGTCGGATTGGAGCAGGATCCCTCAATTGTCGGCTTCTGGAAACTTATTGGTGATGCGTGTACAATATATCGGATCGTGCCTACCAATCTGCATTTGTGCGCTTATACTGAGCTGCAGCAGGCAATGGTGTTGCTTATGGATGGTGGTAAATCTCCTCATCAGCGCCTCGGATTCCCCGAAAACGACATGAGTGCAGAACTTTTGAATGACTTTGTGGGCCTTGATGTCACGGTGGATGACTTTTATCTGCCTCCGAAAACTGTGCTTGGCGTTGTTCTGGCCTGCGCTATGTTTGCATACAAACAGGCGCTGGTACTGTGTAAAGGCCATCGAATGATTGCACCAGCACTGTGGCATGATCTCGCGCTTTTATACCATTGGATGGCTGAAGAAAACCGGACTGAGGAAGGACGGGACAACGGACTTGTAGAAACGGCCATGCGTTGTATCCGCACAGCATTGAAACAAGAACCATCCCAATATCTCTACTGGAACACGCTGGGTGTTGTTGCAATCCGCGATTCGCCCAAGATTAGTCACTATGCATTTATCAAAGCCATGGAGTTAAATAGCAGGGTAAGCGCGAAATTCATGCTTAAAAAAAGTGCTACGCTAATGACTCGCTGTGCTGTGAATCAAACAATGAATTAGAGTGCGGTCCCATGGACAAACTATGGTTTCCTGTGTTTGTCACGTCAAGATTATGAGCTGGCAAACCAGGCTTTTGACATGGCGCACGCGTTGGATCCTGAATGGATCTCGGCATGGGTTGGACAAGCGTATGTGGCGTCTCTTTGGGGAACATCGGATGCTGGTGGAATATTCCAACACGCTTTTGAATCGAGCTATGGAGCAGCGGTAAGACCGAGCAACAACTCTAAGATAGGATCTTCAAGCAACGCTAATCCATTTTCGGATAGACGGAGTCCAGTTATGGCTATGCCGAAACAGCCTATACGCAGTTGTCGAGCTTGCCAAGTGTGGACGAAAACGGCGTGAATATTATTATATCACCCGCTTTTGCACTCCAAAAACTCACGGAACAAAAGCTCGATGACGCACTTGCGCTAAACCTTTTGGGATTATTACTGGAGAGAATGGGACAATACGACCGTGCGTCAGAGGCCCTTGCAGGTGCCATCTTGGCACTCGAGGCACAATGCGAGCAAGGCCGGATCACACAAGAAGAAATGAACCAGCGAGTAGCCAAGGTTCACTGCAACCTCGGACGAACTCTATGCGCGAATGAAAACTTTGAAGGAGCGATTTCCAGCTACCAAAGCGCGCTAGAACATTGTGCCGGATCTTCACGTGTTTACTGCCAGTTAGGGGCAGGCATTGCCTATTACTTTACAGATCAGCTAGAGGACTCCTTGAATATGTTTGAGACGGCACTCAATGAAACACAGACTGATGTGGACCTGCGCATGGATGTCACTGTGCTTTTGAGCAAGGTGTTGTGGGCCCTCGACGGAGATGAACAGCGTGCAGTTGCAAAGGATCAGATGTTTTCCAGGTAAATTGGAACGTGAACGAGCCAAGTACAAAACGGCAAATAGGCTAACGTTTGAGAAAAACAAAAACAAAATAGCATTGCCGATAATCCGAACTACCTTCCTGCAATCTTTTCACTTTGTGTAATGGGCATTCTTGAGGATGATGATACATTAACAGATGCGGCTTTGCAGGAACTAGCTAAAATACCTGTTGATGTGGCATGTGAGTTGACAGAAACGCAAAGAAATTTGAGAGAAGATAGTAAAAAAAGGGGGAAGAAGATGTGCAGTATACTCATGCTTCTTGCTCCTATATCACTAGTTGATACAGACAAGGATCAGAAGATTTCGTGGCTGTTTTCACGATACTTCCGATTAAAGGTGGGTAGTTACATATAAATAGCATACCTGCTGACATCCTGTTGCTCCATGACCTTAAACTGATCGTTTTGCATACACGCATCACAGAACGACCCAGAGCAGGCGATCAGATCACTTGCGAAAAGCGTTCATCGACTACCGTGGCTGGCAGGACTGTGGAGTCATTTAGCATCGGATGTCTTGGAGTATCGTGACACATCTGTAACATCATGTGCTTCTGCTCGAACAAAGAATGCCGTCAGTCTTTCTGCCTTGACTATGACCAGCAACTCCAAGACCGCCACAGCTGATTCCAAGGCTGAAGCTTATGAACATGCTTCACAAGCGTCATTAGCCGATCAAGACGAAACTAGCGCGAAGCAACACGCAAACCGCGCTGTCATGATTGCTCCTTGGCGGGTTAATGCATGGAAAACCATGGCAGCAGTTCATAAAAGTCCCGAAAAAGCCCCTGTGTAACTATAGTATGATGTCATGGTGATCGTTTTTGTTCTATCCCCCCCCCTCCTTTTTCTAATTTTGGTACCCGCACAAGAGATTTGTTACCGTCATTTTTCCATCAATAAAAAAAAAGTATATATAGGCCCGCTTTACAAGCCTTTTTCACCGTTTTTTTTTTCATCTGCTCCTTTACATACACAAAAAATGCCTCTTACTTGCTCGTAAGTAACAAGAGAATTGTTGCATCCCACCTGTTTCTATAGCTCTGACAAACTGATCTGATTGTTTTTTTTGCGCTCAAATAGTGACTTTTGCAAAATCCTTTTCGGTTCGTATCATTAACATTTGTGCTATCACTAAACAGTTTTATAATGGAGTTATAAGCTTAATGTTGTATAATTGTTATAGCCATCCTCTTGCCACCTCTTGGTGTCTTCTTTGAGCGAGGTATGTCAATTGCGCACGAGATATGTTATTGGAAGAGGACCAGGGTATGATGCTAAGTGTTAAAATGGCTTGTTCTCATATAGGATGCACTTGCGACCTTCTCATCAACGTTGCTCTCACATGTCTCGGCTACATTCCTGGAATCAGTACGTATATGGCTTCAAAAAAAAGAACAGGCGGGTCGTGATAATTGGTGTTGGTTAAGGAGGATAATACGAAGGGAGGATTATGTATCGTATTAACCTGTCCATTGTTTCTGCTGTTATAGTTCACGCGCTATACATTATAGTAAAATACTAGCACGAACTAAAGAACCGGTTTCCGTTGCCCGTTCTGACCACATACACTCATTCCCCATCACCACTACATATTTTGCTATCCCCTACACACAATCATCCTTTAAGTAAAGAGTCGACTGACTCTTATTTTGTATATGTAACGTCCGCTCATCTATTATCCTTTATCGCATAAAGTATATTCTTTCTCATTTATCCCGGCCCTTTTAGCCGCTCCAATGGTTGTACGTGTGTGTTCCCAACAAATGTAGCTAGTGGATGCTATATATTTTCGGTTTATGTCTTGGCGTGTTTAACTTGGTATTTGCTAGTAGAAACTCTAGAGATAATTATGCTTAAACTGGGAGCGTGGGATTGGGGGAAAGGTGGAAGAGCGTGAAAGATATAGTTTAAAGCAAGGCATTGTTTTTTATTTCCTGTCAGGATTTTTAACCCGTAATAAATTTAAGATACAGAATTGATCTTTATTCGACATGTGAGAAGCTAAGTAGAACTAGATATATGACTTGATAAAGTATACTCACCAGTATTACAGACTGGTCAGCGGGATGAATGTACGGATAGAAGCTAAGAATAGAGAAAAAGGGTAGGGATGTTTGAATAATTGAAAAGTGGGTTACTAAAGTAGAAGCTAGGTGCATTGTTGATATGCAAAGTCACTCGAAAAAAGGTAAACCTAATTTCATTCCGTTACACTTCATTATGAACATTGAAGCCTCGCGTGTTGCAGCTTACATATTCCGATCCCCTCGGATAGCCTCGACCATATTTTACACAGGCGCGTATTTGGGCTTTCGCTCTAAAAGATACGGTGTATAAGAGGATTGCTGCGCTCCATTTGTTTTTCTAGGTCTGATAGAGCATCTCCAACGGTCGTTTCAAAATGGAACGCCGCTATCATAGCAGGACCATAGAACTGGCATTGTTTTTCCAACGGTTGCGCTATTCTAAAACTGGCTATTGAATTTACTGCTCTGCTCTTTTTATTTCAACCACTCATTTCACAATGTCAAGCCAAAATATTCGCAGACTAAAACAAACGTTCGTGGAAGACATTGAGGAAGAACGCCAACGTCAGCGCAGAGTCGAGCGTCTTCAGAGCAGCTGATGACGAAGACGACGATCAACTCAGAAATCGCGGAAAAGGCTCTGTTCCTGGTCATCTCGTCATTAACCGCGTTCGCGTTGCAGGTCATTGGCGTTTATACAATGACTATTTTGGTGACAACCCTGTTTACCCGAAATTCAAGTTCCGTACTCGTTTTCGCATGATCCGTCGGCTTTTTGAACGGATTATAAGCGAACTGGAGCAGAAAGTTGCCTTCTTTCCGCATGCTTTAATCCATGTCTAGCCGACTAACTGAGTCATGCCAATTACAGCTTTGCGAGGAATTTAATAGTACAGAAGAAGCAGAAACATCTCTTTAACTCCCAAACCGTGGATTCCACAAACCGAAATCTAAAGAATGAGCACCAGTTGTTGAGATTAGTGTATGTACAATATCAAATCCATGCAACTACATAGCTAATGACACGGTCTTGTTCGTAATAAATAGGGCACAGCGGAAGTTCCTGGGCTTACATTTTGCCCAATCAGAAGACTGTATAAGAATCCTTAAAGCAGCCAATGATAGCACTGAATAAGCTTTTACGTGTAACACTTCAAAATACTGGTGCATGACATTGCTGTAATTTTAACTTGATCGAGTAATATGCCATAGTAGTGCCTTTAGTTGAAAGAACCAGAATGGATAATATCAACGACAATAAATGCAGGGGCTACAAAGGGTCATAGGTGCAAGGACATTACTTATATGCAATGCCATTTGTTTATACAAGGTCCTTTATTTTAAAATGCGTAATGAATGTGCGCATAACTGATACACGATTTATCACTTACGTTTTGTTTGATCACTGATAGAATGTTTGGATGGCAGACTAAGTAGTAGTATGCTCTGTCAAAAGAAGCAGCGTTAAAGACAAAGTGATCCCTTAGTGCGCGATAAAAAGGAGTCCATTCTCTATTTACCAGTGGTCATTGATGAAACATGCTGCTGACGACACTAGTGAAACCTTGTGATTGATAAGATCAAAGAGATTATAAAAGTAGCATACTTCACGACTTATCAAGACGTTGGCTTTTCTTCCTGCTTTTCTTCGAGCTAGCCCCGCATCATTTCCTTTTTTTTGGCCTTTTGTACGTATGCATTCATTAACAATCTGTCATCATTGCAGTTGCTGTTTGATCGTCACGATTGGTGATTTTTTATTTGCAACCTGGTCTAACATTCTTTTCAATTTTTTCTTTAAATTTCTGTCTCTCCCGCTCTATCTCTCTCTTTCTCTCGGGCACTGACCTGCACAGGGTAGCGTCATGTGAGTTGTGCTTTTAACAAAGCACAAAATTGGACAAGAGAAAGAGAGGGGTGTCATATCAACCATCCGCACTAGTCACGTCATCAACGCACCCCTGGATCAAGTGTGTTAAGTTTCCCACCACCCATACCCACCGAAGTAGACAATGCAGTCGATGATGGAGCAACTACTAGAACTACTATAGCAACGATTGCAGGCCCAAGATCTGGTACAGCATATTCCACTATGCCTCCGTATGCCAGTAATCATAACCACCGAGCCTAGTGGTCTCACTATACGTGAAGGGGAAGATCAGCAAGTCGTACAATAGTGAAACCGCGATTGCACCCACGCGTATCCCCTTCGTCAACATAAGATTATCAGATTGGGCTTAGCAGAAGCAGCAGTACGAGCAGCGAAGAGGAGGCTAAGACAATAGTGACCAATAAGCTTGATCACGGAGCGATTCCGGCAGTGGAGGCAAATCAGCTCGTGTCCCAAGGTACGATTGAAGCAAGCACGCAGCAGCGCAACAATAAAGAGCAGTGAACAGTGATGGCACGACACAACAGGCGGAAAGATCCTCAACAAAAGAATTGCTAGTCGAGTAGTGGAGCATCACCATGCTTAGACGCTCATACCAGGTTTGAAACTGCTGGTTGAACAGTAGAAATAAGCTGCACTCCAACTGAATCACTAAGTCGAGAAACGTTCTGAATGCTCGTACGACAACAGCAAGCCGCAAGAGTCCAAGAGCATCGTGCAAATCAAAAGCCAACCCAAAACACATGAGTGTTTTTAGGATACCCTAGGGCTGTTGTGCCTGACACATGATATAGTGTAAAACTGACGATAATGCTCTTGACTTTTTGTTATTAACCGCCCCACCCCAGCTCGTCACTGAGTTCTAAGCTTGCATGAGAAACATAGGCCCGGACGCAATGAATGCGGATTAAAATAAGACGAGTATATACCTTCATAATCATCACCAACTACACCAGCAGCAACAGAACGACTACTACTCATTACTTGCAACAGCAACAGCCGCAGCTAGATCCAGCATGTGCCTTCAGCAAAACGAGTGCTGGCGAAGGTGCTGCTGTTGATAAGAGCAGTGACAGCAACCAGAAACTGGTCAACAAATACTCAAAAGTCGATTAGTAGTGTTGAAGTACGACTAAGCAACAGGGCGCCCGCAGCTTTGTGCATAAAAATGGGCTGGCATACCAAGATCTTTGAAGAAGACCAAAATAAGATGTAGTGATACAAAGTTTTAAACTGGCTGGACCTGCATGAAGTTTGTATCTCTTCGGATATAACTTAATTAGAAAGAGGCAGTACTAGCAGTAGTGAGTAAAGAAAGTATTGTAAAAAGGAACAAAGTAGATACCAATAGCAATAAATTTTGCAATTGTAGGCTTCACCAATATGATGTAATAAGCCTTCCTTGAAACATTGCTGCAGAAGACGTTCTGATCTTTCTTACACTGACATCTGATCTACTGTACGAAAAATGGTTTTGAACGAATATGATCGTGTTTTATTCATATGTTAAAACAAGGCATCATACTGATTGCATATAATAGTTATAATTTGATGTTTAATTCCACACTATAATGTTAATTCCACACTATAGTGCAAATTTTCTTCTTCCACCGCGTCATTCTATGTATTTAAGCAAGTCTGTGTCCACCCCGTGCAGACCCCTGACAAATCATGAATGATGACAATCCCAGATAACACAGCATATATCGCCACTGCTCTAGTGAGGGATCGTGTGGAGCATGCAAAGAACACTGCATATACAATCAATGCGTGATTCACTGTATGACAGAACAGTATAGAATGGAGTATACTTATAACAAACCAAGTAAAGCCGATTATGGTAAAGGCGTGAGGCCTTCCTGCCTCCTAACAAAACGTCAAGGCCAAGATCATCTTTTACTTTCCCGGGAAAAAGCAGTAGCTATTGCAAGTCTGACCCCAAACATATTCTGTACGATCTAACATATCGAAAAGGATCTTCCTTTGAAGCGTGCAAGTTTAGCAGGGTTTTTACAGGAGGTTGGCGAAGCCCGTGACCTTGCTGTTTTATCACTTGGCAACATTGACAATTATTAACATTATCCATGGTTGTACATATGCTCTTACGAAGTATAGCTCACACATCATCCGCACAAGTATATTTTTTTTTGGTAAACAACGAGTAAACCCAAGAACAGGACCATGCATCTTTTCCTTTTGGCAGTTGTTGAAGCTTCGTTCTGTAAACATTGCATAGTAAAGAAGCAAATTCCCTACTCCCCAACCCCCTCCTTTCATCCTGGAGCCGGTCGTCGCTCAGTGAAGGCCACGGTGCGGACCTTTACCTTTTTTTCTCTTTTCTTTATAACAAAACCAAGTTCTTATTTCTGGAATCAATGCCGTCCAAAAGTAACCAAGACGGGTCAGTCAAGAAACGATCCAAATCTAAAGAATCTCAAGGCAGTCGTTATGAACGCAAAATAAAAAGAGTTAAAACCAAGGCTAGATCTGGTAAATCTCGGGTTTATTCTGTCTGTCTTTTCATTTCCTTTCTCAATCAACAGCAAAAAAAAAGAGCTCAAATCGATTTGCTTGCCAAGTATAGAACTCGATCTGTTTGCTTGGGGCAAGTGGAAATTTCATTGTCAAGATTACTGGATCAATCCCTATGTCGACACCGTACCACGGATTGATGTGCGATCGACTTCTAAAGCCAAGTTCATTGAAGAATACGAGGCACAGAATCGACCCGTTGTCCTTACTCATGTGACAGATCAGTGGCCTGCGCATAAACTATGGAATGAAAAGGTGTGTATAGCAATATATATGTTGGCATAGTAAAATAATCATCGAAACAGGGGAAGATCAAATAAGGAAAAAGAAAGAAAGAAAGAGAACTAAACGGAAAAGGGGTTGGTGGATGAAATGTAACAGTATTTTCTCGAAAATTATGGCTCGCACATGTTTAAAATCGGCGAAGACGACGATGATAACAACGTCTACTTGAAAATGAAGCACTTTGTACGATACTCTGAAACGGATGCTCAACATGACGATTCGCCACTGTACATTTTTGATAGTGGGTTTTACAAGGATCGACGAAAGAAGAAAAAGGAGGGACAGTCAAACACTCTTCTCGGTGACTATCAGGTTCCGGGATACTTTTCGGATGACTTGTTTCGTTTGACGGGCGAACGTCGTCGGCCACCGTACCGCTGGTTGGTTATTGGGGGCGCTCGAAGTGGCACAGGGTAAGCAATAGGGAGAATAAGGCCATTGGATAACGTCAAGTCTAATTCGACGGCTCTCGAAAACTTTTTATTACAAGTATCCACACGGATCCATTGGGCACTTCTGCATGGAATGCTTTACTGAAGGGACACAAGCGTTGGTGCATGTTTCCCCCAGGCACACCAAAGAACCTGGTGGATCCTCCTATGAAGCCGTATGATCATGAGGCAGTGGCATGGTTTAGCACTGTGTTTCCAAAGTTCCAAGTACGCGATGACCCGTATGACAATCGAACACTGGGCGAGAAATTGGGCATGGTGCAGGTGCTGCAGCGTCCCGGAGAAACGATTTTTGTTCCTGGCGGCTGGGCGCATGTTGTCATGAATCTAGGTATGTTTTTTGGGGGAGCTGCGCACTCGTTTCCTAGTAATAAACGTATGAGCGACATTTAGAAAGGAGAAAGAGAAAGGCTCACTCTTATTGATGGCAATGCTAGACATGACATTTGCTGTAACACAGAACTTCTGCTCGCCCACAAATGCTGAATTCGTCTACCTCAATACACGACACAGTCGACCCAAACTGGGGGCCAAGCTCTATCGCAAAGTACACGAACTCGCAGCCAAAGATCCCAAAGCGTACGGCGATCTTGCCAAGCGTCTAGAATGTTTACAATATGTGCCACAGATTCCTCCAAGCAGCAGTGATGATAGTAGTAGCAGCACAAGCAGTAGCAGTAGCAGCAGTAACAGTGATGGTGGATCATCTGACGCGTACAGTGGAAAAAGAAAGTTCCAGGTGAGCTCGACCGAGTCTGAAACTGATCTGAGCGACGGAACATGCATGTGCCAAAAGTGTAAGCTTAAACGGAAACGTGACGAGCGTGAGCGTGTAATGCAAAAAAGAACAGCAACAGGATGATATACCCTCCCTCCTCCTCCTCCTCCTCCTCCTTCAATAGCATAAAGAGCGCATTTCTTTCAAGAATTATTTCTATTATCATCAAGAGATTTTATACAAAGTAAATAATGCTGTGAAACGGCCAATTTGTCTATATGCGTTCAAGGGGGTCGATGCCAATAAGTTTTAGACCATTTGCCAATGTTGTCCTTGCTGACGAGAACAGAAGCATCCGTGCTTCTGCTAGCTCTGGATCCGCATCCTTGATCCGCAGAGTCGAGTTTGCTTGTCCTATAACATGCGCCAGTCTGAAAAGATAGTGTACAACGACGCACGGCTCCATGGACTGATAGGCGGATCTGACAATGTCTGGGAACTGGGATACCGTTAGTGCCAACTCGAAGGCCTCATTTTCCTTCAACAAATCAAAGTCGCAGTCGGTGGTGATCTTTGTGTTTGCTTTGCGCTCAATGCTATATAACCTCACACACAAATATTTAGTCCTAGGCTTTTCTCTTTGGTTCTCCGTCTCATTGTTTATCACTTACGCGCACATGCGAGCATGTGTGTATTGCAAGTAAACGCCAGTATATCCACGTGCAGCCGTCATTCGTTCATATGAAAATGTGTAGTTTTTGACTCGCTTGGCAATCAGGTCCTGAACAATCACAGCCGAGGTTCCCAGCTGGTCGGCGACCTCCTCGACAGCCTGTTGGCCGACCAACCGCCGACCGTCTTTCTGGATACCCATAGCCATCAACTCTTGATATTTAACGGGATTCTCCTTGAGGTTCTTGAGCATCTGTTCCTGCGCTGTATCGAGGATATCTTGCAAGAACACCACAGTTCCTTTCCGTGTCGACATGCCCTGCACGCGTCCAAAACCAACGTGATGCAAGTTGCTTGCCAAGGAAGCCAGCTCGGCAATCTTGAACATCTGCTGCAAATACAGAGACTGTTCAGTGCCAACAATGTACATGGATTTTTGTGGTGATTGCCGCAAGATCAAGTTGGAAAGGTCGCGTGTGAGGTACAAGCTTGTGCCGTCCGCTCTGCGGACAATGGGCGCGCCCAGACCGTATGCGGACAAGTCTACAGTCCACGCACCGTCGTCTGCTGCTGTTTTGCTGATAAGGTTCTTGGATTGCAGGATATCGTACACAGACTGGATGAACGGCTCGGTCTCTGATTCACCCGAATACCGTTCGAACTCGATGCCTAGGCGCTTGTAGATCGACTTGTAGCTACTGATGCTGAGTTCCCGGAACCTTTTCCATTGCTCCAAGGCAGCGGTATCCCCCTCTTCCATGCGCTTGAAATATGCATTGGCTTGTCGGTCCAAATCCTCGGTGAGCTCCTTGTTGATTTTTACGTAGACGTCGTACAAATGGTGGATAGGATCCTTCTCCAATAGTGCTTCATTGCCATATTTTTCAAATCCAACTGCCAGCAGTCCTGTTTTGCGCAGCTTAATTGCCGGTTCTCCTTTTCTTTTTTGTCCTTTTATTTCCAGAGAGAAACTAACTGAATTTGTTACCATATTGTTTGCCCCAGTCGCCGAGGTAATTGATACCGACGACATTGTAACCCATTGCTTGATGGATACGTTTCACAAAGTTGCCGAGGATCGTGCTTCGCAGATGGCCCGCATGAAACGGTTTGGCGATATTAGGCGAGCTATAATCCAAAACGACGGTTTGTGGCGCATCGGCTTTGTGACATCCAAATCTAGATTGTTCGTCGTGTACCTGAAGCAAGGTTTGCTTGATATATTCTATCGGTCGTACGCTAAAATGTAAGAATGGGCCCTTTGCTGTAGCTTGTTGAATCAAGTTATCTGGTTCAAACTATATCATATACATAAAAAGACAATTCCCGCCAATAAAAGGTTCAAGTGGTTCAAGTAGTGAGTATGGTTGTATAGTTAAGCTTTAAAAACGGTTGAATTGAGTTTGACATGCCGGGGGTGGGGTGAAAGAGAGTTAATGAACCTTGTGAGCAAGTTCGTTACACCATTGAACAGGATCGCGTTGTGGCTGTAAACGGGGTATAGGTATGCCGAATTGTTGTTGCTGTGCTGATTTGGGTGTACCAAGAAGTCCAATCAGTTGCGGTTCTGGACATGAGGTAATGCGCGATAGTTGACGAGCAATTGCTTTGCGGAACTGTGTGGCACTCATGAGTGCAGCTCTGGGCCGGCGGAGCCGAGGCCCTACAAAACAAAAAAAAAATATTCATGAGGTACGCTGCATATGTTGTGTGCTGTATTCCGTTATCAGCTTTGTCCTGCCCCGCCTCTGCCGCTTCCCCCCCACTATACTCTGATATCCATGGGTAATCGACATTCACGGGTTTGATTAAGGTATTTTTAATGTTTAAACTAACTTTTTTTTATATGAACATGAATGTTAAGAAACAAGAGGGGAGGGAGGAGAGACAATATTATAAGACTAACTGTAAACTGCAGTGGTTGTGGACATGTAGAATCTCTTGTTCGTGTGTAATGATGGCCACCGGTTTTTTTGGGGTGCTGCATATTATGGTGCAGGTACAATACGTAAACTTCCACCTTGCTGCATGTCATACTAACAGTTTACGTTGTATATAGCATGCCCATGAGGAGCAACACCAAAGAGAATGAAAACAGTCATTTTATATATTTGTAATCGTAATGGTAGTAGTACTGTTTACTTATGTAGTGAGTAGCAGTAAAGCTTCGGATGTTGGTGAGTAAATGTGCATGTCTTCCATTCCGCCGTAATAAACACACACAAACAGACCAAAAGGTCAAGGGCATCACCATCACTAAATAAAAACACTTCGGTTGTTTGGGGTACATCTGCATCGATGTCGGATTTGACGTGTGGTGTGCGCGACATCGGAAAGCGTATTTTAGTGCTAGTTTCCGCTGCAGCAAAACAGATCCCGCGTCTACTACGTTGTTAGTACGTGTTGACCCATCGATATACATACACACACACACACACACACACACACACACACACACCACGCTGCGGATATTATGTATGTACAAACGGCTGCTGCTCGTCGTATAGTAGCTCCACATGTGGGAAAATGTATATGACACCTTTCTTGCTTGCTCCCCCTGATGTTTCAATCAGACATTAGAACAATCCATCCTTTCTACTATTACATATCAAGAGCAGAGATCATCAGTAATCCATACTCTTATCGCTTGAAGAAAATTTTGTTGCCATGGATTTTGTTGTATGTTTGTGCTCAATGTTTTTTATGTTTTTATTGGAGGGCGGATCTATACACAGGTATCACCTCGCTTGCTCCCCGATTGAAAAAAAAAAGAACCAACAACAGAAGCCATGTGTGTATATACGAGAGAAAGAAATATAAACAAATAAAAGAAGAGGACCAACAAAATCAAGAACAGCATGTCTGTTTATACAAGTACAATTAATCCTACAGATATACATATAGCGTCCTCTTTTTTTCTACTTTGCATCTCTTTCTTCCACCTTTCCCTTTTACTCTCCCTTTCTCATATTTAATTGCATTATTTCACAAATGTTTGTATATATTCTCTTCTGGTGTTGTTCATACGGGTATATCGTCAAAGAAATAGGCAGATAGGAAGATTAACAGAAACCACAAATAAAATAGGAAAGAAGATCAGCACTACAACAGCGACTGCAGCAGTAACTCAACGAAAAGTTTGTTCTTTTCAATAAAGAGCGCCTTTGACAACGACTCCTCAGACACGCTCTTACCTAGCAGTGTTCCAGGCACACCAACCACGGTAGTGGCTGTTGGTGGCGATTACGGGGCGATTGCGAGCGTAGATGCATTACAAGCGGATCGACCCGGGTATGGTACATCTTCCACCACAGGCTCATGCATGAACTTGGTCAACGCCATGATGGGATCAGGCATCATTGGCCTACCGCTCGCTCTACATATGTGTGGATTATGGATGGGGTTGCTATGCTCAGTGGGTGTGGCGATATTAACGGGCATCGCCATGCACTTGCTGGTCCTATGTGGGATCCGATCCAGACAATATACAATGGCCGATTTGGCTCGCGTAAGCTTACTGGGCACCTGGGGCTCGCATCTGGTCAATTTCCTAATGGTGTTTCATACAGCAGGAACAGCTGTTTCCTATTATATCTGTAAGTCCTTAAACAAGTTTACACCACAAACACTATGCCCATACAACAAGAGATGGCGGTATTGACAGCTTGTGTAATATAACATGTGGATGATAGTACTTGGTGATATGCTGCCGGAATTATTCGATAATTATGGTCTCCATTGGCTAGCTGATCGACGACTTTCGGTAGTTTCGTTTGGATTGTTCTGTGTAAGTGTTTGCTGTTTGTTGTTGTTAATATTAGCATGATGGCGAGGGTTGAGGTGTGTACGTCTGAAATTTGATGTTTGATGATGACGATAATAGTGGGTATTGGGAATAGAAGAACGTCAAAGCGAAAACCCCTCACACAGTGCACGCTCACTCAGTACTTTTTTTTGCATGTAACGTGTATAACATATTTATACACTATATTAGAGTCTGCCTCTTTCGTTACCCCGGTCAATTGCACCGCTCGCAAAATGGTCCACGTTCAATGTGATGCTACTGCCTCTTGTTTTATTGGGCGTGTTCATTCGTATGCCAAAATACGCAACTGAGCCACCTGTACTTGACTGGACCTGGCCCGCCAACCACGAATTATTCAAAGGATTGGCTATTTTAGGCTTATCGTTTGGCTGTTCGCAAAATGTATTTGGCGTGTATCTCAGTCAGCGCGATCAACGGCCATCGCAGTTTCTGTTGGCGGATACATCCTCGCTTTTAATAGGCTATACAATCAATATGCTCTTTGGTATCATGGGGTTTTTATGCTTTGGCAACAAGATCCAAGCCAATGTTCTGCTCAATTTCCCCAATGATGATCCAGTTATCAACATAGTGCGTTTGTTATTCGGTGTCTTTATGGTGTTTACTATCCCGTAGGTACCCTCTTTTACTTTTGTTTTTACAAGGTTTATCTTTCTTTTCTGTATGTAGTAGACACTATTGGCTCACATCAAATCATGATCTGTTTATGTATGCACATGATATATAGCATGTCGATCTATCCTTGTCGGGAATCATTGCAGAAACTACTCGGTTACAACACAGATGGTCGGATCCCTACCAACAAGGAGCACTACGGAACAACCGCAGCTGTTTTTACCATTGTGCTTTCGCTAGGTGCTACCTTGACTGAGTTGGGTAAAGTATTTGCTGTCATTGGCGGGTTTTCTACCACGGCTCTTGGTAAGTTTTATGGTTCGACAAAGTTTTTATATATGTTTTCTCAGCAGTGAACAAAGGAGAGAGTACTAAGCAACTTTTTTTTCCCAGGACTCTTACTGCCAGGTGCAGCTTATGCCGCACTGTTTTTACCAGAGTTGATAATGCCTGATAAGAATGGAAATCATGATGAATCGATTGCTGTTACTACTACTCCTATTGTAGAGTCATCACATGATCATAATAGCTGCTCAAAGTTTGCTGGGGCCGTACAATATCCAGTTTCTGCATCTTGGGCATTGATGATATCATCTTTTATTTTAATTCTTGTTAGTTTTCCAATCATGTACTTTGCCATATTAGAAGCACTGTAAATAATATTGTTCTTTTTTGTTATGTTGTTGTTGTTGTGTAAAGCCGTCGTGGAGCTATTTTTGATTAAATATGCAAGAATCATCAAATGCTTTCGATTGCTACTAAAAATACAAGGTATACATTGCATACATAAAAAGTATTAAAGTTTCTCTGCATCACTTTCTTCCTCAACAGCCCCTATGCAAACAACACGCCATCGCTATTTACACTCTGTATTGTCTTATAATATCAGCAGATCCAAAAGTCTATATTAAAAGTTATTAGTGGAGTATTGTGGTTCTGCGTATATGTGTCGTTTTACCTACTGCTGGCGTCTAAAAGCGTTTTGCTCACGGGATTTTTCATATCATGATTGAACGATAAATTATCCCATTTCTGCAAGGATGTACTTTTTATATATGCACGGAAGTGTGTCTTATAGCTACTACATAACCTCTTCACGGGATTCGTTGTTGTCGAGCAATTTATCACTCGTTATGCATAAAACTCAAGGAAAGGTGATCAAGACCAACAATGAAAGTCCTATCAAATACCGACCAGAGGATTCAGTCCCACATGCTGTGATGGCGACTGCTTCTATATGCCATACGAAAACACGAAACCATGTGGGTATTTCAAAGTTTAACACGTTTTGCATTATAAAATAAGCACGGAGCATACATAAATGTTGATCTCGGAAGAGCTTTATATTTAACAATCTCCTATGTCAGAAATTGTTGGGCAGTTGACAGAAAGTCGTTGTGCGTGTTGGCGGTGGTATGTAAAACATGAGTAAATGGTGTGGTAGGCATTCAAGTGAGCACGAGAGATGCCAGTACCTACTTATTCGTATAGAGTAGCATCAATGATGATCAGAAAGTGAGTCGCATTCGCTGCAGTGAACCATTTCCTTGCATGATTCTATAGATCTAGCACGTCGATTATGGTTTGGAAGAACAGGGTGTTATGTGTACATAGCGTTGTATCCCCCCTCCCCTTTGCTTTAAAAAAGTATCCGCAGACACAAAGAACAGCAACAACTGCATTTTTATAATTGAATCCTACTGTCTACAAAGTAAGTTTGATAGGAAACATGTATGTAACTTATGTGGCAGATCGATGTATTTTATAACATGCATAATAGGTTCCCGCTTTCGAGTTATGATTCATTAAAAGCTCATATGCATTTTCAGGGCCATGGAAATGGACAGATTCCATGGAAAGGGTTAGATAACGATACCCTCGTATAAAAAACCCTATTTCTTTTGCCATATGCAGTAACTACACTACTGCAAGATATAGGTTCCTTTCCAAGGGAACAGGAAGGAGTGAAGAGACCCTGTTGACACCTCGAGTTTTTCTGATTATTTATTTGTTATTGTTGCCTTGGGGTTGTTGCTGCTTTAAAGGCGCTCAACAGGCTGAATATAAAGCACATGTCGCTCCTTAAAGCGACTCTATACCATTATCGGCGAAGGTGCCGAGTATTACAAATAGTGAGCATGGCAAAATAAAAGGAAACCGGCCGACAAGATTTACGGTGGCAAATATGTTCTTCCATTTCCACTTTTGTGGATTATTGGAATAAGGTTCTATAAAGTATTTGAGAAATGAAATAATATAGCATTGATACTATGTCGACTGTGATAGTTCGAGAAAGTGCGGGGGTGGGGGACGGTACCGTATTATTATTATTATTATTATTATTATGATGGCAAAAAGCCATCCACCCAATCATTTCGTTTTTTGGACAAACCGATCGAAACTAGGGCATAAGTGCTGTTACACCAAGAATTGCTCGCCAGAGCAGATCAAAAGAGCGCCACAACCGGCAACAGATCATGCGCGTACAAATCATGGCGGTGTAACTCGATAATAATAATAATAACAACAGAGCGTGCAGCTTGTTGCTGGCTCTGGTGACGTAAAGGGAATGAGTGAGATACAGTATCATAGCAGTAGCTTTTACTTGTGCAGCATGTACTCTCTAGTTATTAGAAGTAGTAGTAGTAGTAGTAATAGGGAGGTGCTTTCGCACTTTGTAGAAAAAAAAAGCTGCTGTTGTGTATGCCTGTCATTCTAGCACGCCTGTTCTAGTTGAAACATAGTTTATACTCTATCGAGCAAAGATCTGCATCCGATTGGATAGATGTGAGAGAGTTCAAATGATGATTTTTAGGAGAGCAAGGAGAGGAGAGAGAGCGAAAGGAGGGCACACACCCAGCTGAGCCCTTTGCACAAAAAAGTCAAAGGCAAGGGCTGCTGCTGTTGTGTGGGTGCGTTGTGCGTGCACACCTAATGCACTAGAATAAAAAAAAATGTTGCTTTTTTCTGTTTCCTTTTATAAGACTGGACTTGCTGCTTTCTCTCTTTCGTCTCTTCTCCTTTCTTCGCTTTCTTCCTCCCTTCCCGTTTTAACGCTTCTTCTTCTCACTCACTCACTCACTCACACACACACACACTCTCTCTCTCTCTCTGCTTCTACGCACGCCTTCTTTCTCTCGCCCTCCTCCTCTTCTTCTCCGCCGTCCCCCTTACTCTATTTTATATACACTCGGCCTCGTATTCTTGTTTCTTTTTTTTGCGTTTATTCTTTCTCTTCGCCTGTCGTCGTCCTCGTCTCGTCGTGCTCTCCTCCTCCCTTCATTTCGGAAACGCTCTCTCTCTTTCTCTCGCTTCTTTTTACTGAAAGACGCATACACACAAGTGCCTCATGGGTGCATTACCACCACCACCGCCGCCGCCGCCGCTACCACCACAACCGCAGCCTTTTATGACAAACGCGAATAGTCTGTATAACGTTTTGCTGACCAACGGCGGCAGCACCCCGACGACCGACTACGCTCCCAACGGCGAGGATATTTCGACCCTCTTTGTTGTCGGGTTTCCTGACGATATGCAAGAACGCGAGTTTCAGAACATGTTTATCTTTTCACCCGGCTTTGAGGCTGCCACGCTCAAGATTCCCAGCAAAGACTACGAGGACGACTTGTCGCCCACAAACAGCAACAGCAACAACAACTACAGCAACTACAATAGCAGCAACGGTCGAAAGCAAATCGTAAGTGGGTCAGGCAACATCCAGGGAAAGGAAACAAAGCGGGGGAAGGGTGGAAGAGAGGGAGAGGGTTTGCGTGTGCTGTTGTACTCTATGGGAAGAGAGCTAGTGTATGCTGATTTATAATTATTGTCCATGGCTGTAGATCGGCTTTGCAAAGTTTCGTACGCGGCTCGAAGCTTTAGAGGCAAGGGATGTTCTGAGCGGTCGCAAAGTTGATGCGGAAAAGGGCTCAGTACTGAAGGCAGAAATGGCAAAAAAGAACCTGCATACAAAACGGGGTCTCTCTAGTGAACAGCAAAAGCAACAACAGCAACAGCAGCAGCAGCAGCAGCAACAACACGCAGGAGTGCCCACACCAGCAGCAGTGCCAGGAGCAGGAGGAATTGTACCGGTGCCAACGCAGTCGTATCCTCAGCAACAACAAAAGCGATATCCGAGCACACCCTACGAGGCGTTTTACTCGGTTCCTTTGCCTGTCGCTTCGCCAGAGCACCATCCACTGGACTTTAGTTTCCCGGACCCGCGTCCGTCTCTGACCGAAAGGGCTGGATCGATGAGTGACATTTACAGTCTCACCACCGCCAACGGCAACAACAACAACAACAACAACAACAGCAATAACACAAACGGTAACAACAATAGACCCAGCTTGTTTGGTCACCGGTACAGTCTGTTTGAGATCGACACTGCTACAAGCGCGGGTATTGCTGCTGCTGACGCCATGAGCAAGCCTGTGTCTGTACAACCTAATTCAGCAGCAGCAGCAGCAGCAGTGCCACAGCAACCGCTGTCGAGTATGTTTGAGGACATGTATCAGCAACAGCCATCGCCACCCTTGCCACAGCCGTCACTGTCAACGTCAACGTCGTCGCATCACCACCATCATCCGGATTTGTCGGCGGCATTAAATGCCAGGTTGAACGGACTTTCGATCAACACCACGTCGCCAGTCGTGAGCAACGGCGGGCTTCCCTCGCCGCCCGGTGTCACCTCACCCAACTACCGCAGTCTCTTTGGGGCAATCGGATCCATGGATCAGAACAACCCGCCCTGCAACACGCTCTATGTTGGCAATCTGCCGCCGCACACCCATGAGGATGAGCTCAGGGCCATGTTCGCCAAGTGTGTTGGCTTCAAGCGCTTGTCGTTCAAGAGCAAGGCGAACAACGGGCCCATGTGCTTTGTCGAGTTCGACGACGTGGCATGTGCGACCCAGGCGCTTCACGAGTTGTACGGGAACCCACTAAGCAATTCGGTGAAAGGCGGAATCCGGCTCTCGTTTAGCAAGAACCCACTTGTAAGTTTTTTTGTTGCTTATTTGGACATCTTTCCACTAAACTTTAAAAACTGCTGTGCTGTTTATAGGGCGTCCGTCAACCGTCGTTCCCGACAACCTACAGACGTGAGAGCGTGTCAATGTTCGACCCTTAAACGCAACACAGCAAGAAATAACACCGCCATCAACAACAATCAACATCTACTCATTTGCATTATCTCCATTTCACACATTTCCTGCACGCACGAAAAAGAGTACATGGTATTTCTATATACAACATATCGCTCATACACACTCACAATACGCAACACTCAACAACATAAACAATAACAATAACAATACCAGCAAAACATCCACACTACTATCAACCTACTTCAACTCTCCATCAACAATACAACAACACACTTCACTTGCACACTTAGTAAAATACATCCCACAACAAACACTTTCATATCAAACACACGCTCACACGACATACTTATTGGGAGGATTTCCACTACTGGTTCTTTCTTTCTATCTCTCTCTCTTTCTTTCTTTCGTTTGCATGTACAGCTTGATCAGATTTCCTCCTCAAATCTTACCCATTTTCTTTATATTCCATCTTACATATGTTATAGTAGTTCCCTCATCCTATCTTATACATTTATCAATACATATTATTATTATTATATTATCATTATTATCATTACTTATTATCGTCATATATATATATATATATATATATATGTGTGTGTGTGTGTGTGTGTGTGTGTGTGTGTGTACATGCAACGGGTCATTGTTGCATGTATGTACCTATACCAAGTACATGCGCGCGCAATGATCCATTTGATCGACATGCCTATTCGTTTATTAACTTTTCGACAAAAATGACCAAGTGGGATTAAAAAAACAGAGCCGCTCGAGCGACCAAGTTTTTCCTTGCGTAGACCAAACTTTTAGTTTAATCATCCGTTACACATGCCCCCTCTGCTATCTTCACTCCTTCGGTAGAAGACCAACCTTCTCCCCAGACCAGTTACAGATTTCCCTTACATTCTGTTATTCCTTGCGTAGACCAAAACAAAAAGGAAGTGTAATTCTTTGTGTAGACCAACTTCTATTATGTTGCATTCTAGTGACGCTCTGTAAGTGAGATATAATATCCAGTGATAGCCATTTACTATGCAGGTTTGACATTCTTTTCTAAACATTATTGTTTTTCTTTTTTGATTAGAAGAATAGAGAAAGAGAAATATTTGTGAGGTTTAAGTGAAAGTGTATAGAGATATGTTGGAGAAGATAATGTATGGTTCTGCTTTTTAATATAGTATAGGATGCTCTTGGTCGCCCTAATCTTCACTGTCTGAGTCATCGTCATGTGGTTATATAAACAGCCGTAGTCAACACTACGCTCCATGCGGAGAAGCGCCGTAGTGCTGACAGGACTGTATTCTTCTGCTAGGCTAGTGGTGCAATCGCAATCTTCTTCTGTCTCATCGGCCGGCTCAAGATCTTCCCCAATAAGACGCATACCGACCTCTGGAGCAAGAACAAAGTCTATATATTCCGGGGTATCCATCGGTTGGATGTGCTCATTCGCAGCATCGATCTCGTGTACCGGCATGTCTTGGAGTGTTTTTGCGATGATTTTCTTGCCTTTGAAACCACAGTATCCAGGCTATAAAGTATAAAGTATTAATATCAGGTCCAATTGCTAGAATAATCGATAGTTATCAATTCTATATTCACTCCCTGTTTTTATTTACACCTATCAAAAGCTTGCATAGTCCGATCTACTATCGATTACCATGAGTCACCTTATTGGAAGAACCTACGACACCGTAAATCGAATAAATTTCCTTTGGTCGAATTCGGGGCCTTGCCGGAACAGATCGCAAAATGGAAAGACCAGCTCAAGGATTTGATAGTGGATAAGCCGATTCAAAGTTATATCAAGAAGAGGAGCAGAGAATACTCAAAAATGCACCTAGCATCAGAGCTGCCAAAAATCCAATGTTAAAGGTGACTATATGGTAGATCCTTTGATATCTTTTTTGTTACTCAATACCATATACGAGCCAAGTACGTATCTCGTACAAGAGATGACAAAGCACATTGCATGGTCAAATGCTGCGGCATAGTGAGTCTAATCACTGTACTGAACGCCCAGCAACGACAAACAGCACGGTAAGTAGATATCTCAGCAAATAGAAGTGAACAACTTTGACAATGGTGTTACAGTATAATTTCGGACAGCTCTTGTAAAGAAGTAGCTGGCGCAGCAATGTTTTGAGTGTTTGTGTCTGCGCAATGATATGTTTGCTATCACTGTCTAGAGCTTGTTTTTTTTTTTGGTCTACACAGAGAATTACACTTCCCCTTTGTTTTGGTCTACGCAAGGAATAACAGAATGTAAGGGAAATCTGAAATTGGTGTGGGGAGAAGGTTGGTCTGCCGAAGGAGTGAAGATAGCAGAGGGGGCATGTGTAATGTGTAACGGATGATTAAACTAAAAGTTTGGTCTACGCAAGGAAAAACTTGGTCGCTCGAGCGGCTCTGGTTTTTTTAATCCCACTTGGTCATACTCATTGATATGCGTGTGAGTAAAAAAAAAAAATTCCAAAAGGAGTTATGTTGGATGAAGCCAACCTTGTACATTTAGTAGCGACAAGAAGCATGTATAGATATGCTGAACAAGGTTTTATCTGTATGCTATGTGTGCATCGTCGGTTAGTGTTGCTGTGTGCTTCGTTACATACTGCAGAAATAGATTCACTCTTTGAGAGAGAAGGTATACCAGCAAGATGCACCCTACTTATCTGAAAGACGATGCAGTGGCCTGTAGCGTGGTACCACGTGCAATAAGAAGAGTATGCCTTTGCTTCATCTCCGATCACTGTTGATGCGATGGTACGGCCAACCAGAACGAGACTGTACCGTTACGGAAGAGAAGAGGGAGGGTATGTGGCACAAGTCCAATCTTTATACGCGCATAGTCCGGATACGCACATAGTTTTGTATGATAGCATTCTATTAGCGTCATGAAGCGGTTTATCAAACCTCCATATTACCGATGTAATACGTTTTTATATACAAACGGAACGGAAGAGCAATAAAAGCATTGTCGTCAAGTTTGGCGGGATGTTAGAGAAAGGGGGAGAGAGAGAGAGGTGGGGCAGGCGTTGCAACATGGCTGGGGTGTTACGGATTTTGGCACACCGGTGAAAGTCCATGCCGCGGTCTAGCGAAAATTTTCCTAACAAGTCATATGCGGGGAGAAATGATTATGATCAACCCCAGGCAAGCAGCCAGGGAGGGCTACTAAGACTGCTGTGATGCCAAGCCTGTAAAAGGGACCTGTCAAATATGTTTGAAAAGAAACGCGAGTCGTGGCTGCAAAGGTAAAATGGATTATGCGTTGTCCTTGGTTCTCGGTTGTTGTTTTTTTGGGGGAGGGGGGCACTTTAAAAACAGCCAGCTTCAAGAGAGAGAGAGTTAAAGCAGCGACTCTTGCTTGTGAGACGAAGCGGAACGGAAAAACAAGCACCCCCCTGAGACTCTGTCATTTGGTCCGGCCATTCAAAAAAAAAAAAAAAACCTCACTGAATATAAATGGCCACGGGCTTCGGCGCTTTTCCATCCACTTTCTTTTTTCTAACAACCAACACAACTCACCTTCGAGGCGCGAATTGCTAGTAGATCGCCCCTCAGTATCCCAAGAGAGTAACAAAACGGTAGGTCACATGCACACGCGTACACATCACAGATATATGCATACTCATTCGTTTTCTGTAACCGATATGTCATCCATCTAGTTTGCCAATCTCTTATCTTCCAACCATAACCCGCACAGAGGACACCGGCGTTGCAGTGACAGACCTAAAAAAGACAATTAAGAACGACACCATGGCTCCTCCCCACGCTGAAGATTTCACTGCTACTCCCAATGCCTCTGCAAGCGCTCCCAAGCCTTTGTTCAAGGTTAACTCGGATCTTGTCGAGTACACTGACGAGCACATCCTGGCCAAGTATGCCTACTCCAACACTATCGTGAACAAGCAAGCCGACGGCTCCATGGTCGTCGAGCCTGTTGACCAAGTCTACCACTTCAAGACTGATCGCACAGTCCCTCGCGTTGGGTAAGTTTCTGTTTTTGTTTTAGCTGCTGCTGCTGTTGTAGCTTGGTGGCGAGGAAAAGAATCGCGAGTGAATGACTGATGGCTAATCATTTCTTTATGATTAGTTTGATGATGGTTGGTTGGGGTGGTAACAATGGCACCACATTGACTGCCTCGATCCTTGCCCACAAGCATGACTTGACGTGGCGCACCAAGAGCGGCGAGCACAAGGCCAACTACTGGGGCTCTGTGACTCAGGCTTCGACTGTCCGTTTGGGTGTCACGCCCGAAGGCGAAGACGTGTACGTGCCCTTGCACAAGATGCTTCCTATGGTCAACCCCACCGACTTGGTCATTGGCGGCTGGGATATTTCTGGCAAGGACTTGGGCGAATCGATGGAACGGGCTCAGGTGCTCGATTATGACCTCCAGCGCCAAGTCCGTGACGAGATGAGCAAGATGACTCCCTTGCCTTCCATCTACTACCCGGACTTCATCGCTGCCAACCAGTCCGACCGTGCCGATAACCTGATCCCCGGCCAAGACAAGCGCAAGCACTGCGACCAAATCCGCAAGGACATCCGTGACTTCAAGGCCGCCAACTCGCTTGACAAGGTCGTCGTTGTCTGGACCGCCAACACCGAGCGCTATGCTGACATTTTGCCCGGCGTCAACGACACTGCCGACAACTTTTTGAAGGCCGTCACGGGATCGCACGATGAGGTTGCCCCGTCGTCCGTCTTTGCCTTGGCCTGTATCGAGGAAGGTGTCCCCTTCATCAACGGCTCGCCCCAGAACACGTTTGTCCCCGGCCTGATTGAATTGGCCGAGCGTGAGCGTGCCTTTATCGGTGGCGATGACTTCAAGTCTGGCCAGACCAAGTTCAAGTCTGCCATCGTCGACTTTTTGGTCAATGCCGGCATCAAGCCCGTCGCTATCACCTCGTACAACCATCTTGGTAACAACGATGGCAAGAACTTGTCCTCCCACAAGCAGTTCCGTAGCAAGGAGATTTCCAAGTCCACGGTCGTCGACGACATGGTCGCTGCTAACGAAGTCCTCTACAAAAAGGGCGAACACCCGGACCACACCGTTGTCATCAAGTACGTCCCCTCCGTCGGCGACTCGAAGCGTGCCTTGGATGAGTACGAGTGCGATATCTTTATGGGTGGCCGTCAATCCATTTCGGTCTACAACATCTGTGAAGACTCGTTCTTGGCCTCGCCCTTGATCATTGATCTTGTCGTTCTTGGTGAATTGCTCACTCGTATCCAATACAAGACCGGTGAAATGACAAAGTTCAGCTCGTTCCACAGCGTCATGTCCTTGTTGAGCTACATGTTGAAGGCTCCCATGGTCTCGCCCGGCACTCCTGTTGTTAACGCTCTTGGCAGACAGCGCTCGGCTATTGAGAACATCATGAGAGCCTGTATTGGTTTGGCTCCCAACAACGAGATGGGTCTTGAGCACAAGATCTGGAAACAGTAAAAAGGCCTCCATTTTCCCATCAAATTGATATTCAATAAAGGAAGAAAAAAAAGCAGAGTACAATACTATCTGTTTGTTTAATTATAAAAAAACCGTCTTAATCTAATTCCATTCCTCCCTGCCTTGAAGCAGTGATTTGTTGACGCTGTTGTTGCGGCGGACCACCAGCAAACAGACTGCTCATCAAATCCTGAAGCATATTGCCTTGCTTTCTTGGTCGCGGGATGTTGAAGAATACCTCACCAATATCGTCCAATAGTTCATCAAAACCTTTTTGCTCCTGACACATTGGCTTGTACGATTCTCTCAGCTGTCGGAATAGATCAACCGCATCGCGCTGCACCGTCAACAATACCAGACGCGCAAAGTTGAGCCAGCTATCTGAGTATACGGGTTCCGTTTCAGGTTCATCTGCAGGTGCGCGACGCACCTTGGCCTCCGTGCCTGTTGTTGCTGGATTTGCTTCCTCAATGAACTGTGTGTATGCCAGAGTCGCATGATGGACATTCTTCATTGCCAACAGCCTGCATGTAGAAAAGGTTATAACCTGTTAACAAGTATAACCCAGCTTCGTCAATGTCATCTCCTCGTTTTTCACACTTAACTGGAAAACAACGCGCGCAATGAAAAGACCAGGAGATGTCGCATTTTCAACTTGTGCCCAGCTAGCTGCTACTTTACCCAAAGTCTCTGCACTGTGATCTGTACCAACTAGCAAGTGCTCCTCTGCTGGTGCATAGCGTTCCTCTAACATCATACGCGTCGACTGGTTCAATATTTCCATCCTTCTTGCCCGTCTATATGTACATTAAATCAAAAGACTATAATCACACATACCATGGAAAAACATGGTTCCAACATAGTCATGTAATTCCGGATCGCCTTCTCGGTACTCGCCATGCTTTTGGGTCCAACTTCATAGAGCAATGACGCACGCATATGCATATACACATTATTAAGCACCATGATCTCCATTAACTGCGTTTTTCTTTATATAAGGATGGGCGTAAAAAACATACCTGAACGCATTATGGATATACATCTTGCGACCTGGCTCGTCCGATGGATACAGGCTGAGAAGTTCCACCACGCGGTCTATAATTAAGTTCAGTATATACGATGAGCACAAGAATGAGTAAGGCTGTTTATTAAAAAAGCGAAAATACACTTCTTAACGTGTACGTTTTCGTCCTTCTTTTCTTTTCCGTTGCTCACCCAAAGATTTCTCATCGACAGTAACGGCACCAAGGTTGTAAGTGTCCAACATGTAGTTGGCCAAGTCTGATCCCGAAGCAAATTGCTCATGTTGCATCAAAGAAACGGCACCATCGTGTAAAAGGTGAATAGCTTTGGTATACTTTTGTTGCTTGTTATATCTAAAAAAATAAAATAAAAGAGAGCGAATGTGTGTGTAAGTTAACATGTTTGTGGGGTATGGTGATTTGTAAAATGGCAGTAACAACTAACACGCGTCAGTTATCTCTCTCTCGCTCCATGCATTTTTCTGAATGCGATCAAATAAAAATAGATAATACTGCACCTGCGAGCAACGGTTCTGTACATTTGATGTGCTTCATAATAGTTTCCATTGCTTACAGAATCTTTAAGTTTTTGCAATGTTTTTTCAGTGCCTTTATGCGCCATGATGTAAGTTTTACAAAGAAGAAAGAGAAGAAAAGCTTGGGCCCAAAAGAGAGGAGAAAACTCAACCCAAGAAAATGCACGTGCTATTTAACGCCGATGTTATCGTGCATAGACTATGCAAGATGTCGGTCGCCTTTCAATTGTGCTCTACGACTAATAAATGCCTGGACGTCTTGTTCATAATATATACACTGTGCAAACAGCACCATCAAGGGCTAGGGCTGAATGATTCAGGTTTTCAATGAGAACTATAATACAAACAACCATTTGCTATAATGAAGGGCTTTCCGTGTTATATCCAAGACAACAAAGTTGATGGCAGCAGTGCTGATCACATATGTAGTGCGTGTGTGTGTTTGAAGGAGTAGAGGCAGGAGAAAAGGAATGTGGCTGATGCTGTTGCTGTAAGAAGGGATACCGTATGACATTTAGTAGGTATACCATTGGCTTCCATACGGAAGTCTGAGCAACGGTTACATAATACATCTAGTATGGCGCAATTGACGTTTATTCAATGATGCTATTTCGGCTTCCCGCTTCCTCCTCGTACTTTATTTCAGCAGTATTATTAACACATTAACCATCATCATTTATATAATGAAAAGTCGTAGTACCTGTCCTGAGCATACGAAAGCAACATACGAACCTATCTAGACCAGTAATAATCCTATGAAAGCTATCGTAGCAGCCCTTGTTTGCGTACAATTGAATGACCTTATAAAAAAGAAAGGCAGATGACCCTAGAATGATGTCGTTTGTTGTTGTTGCCACAGATATTGCCCAAAACAATACATCTGTGTGAAACATATTAGAATCTCCCCCCCCCAATCTTGCTCCGCTTAGCCATATGACACTCGGTAAATTCCGGCTGTCCCGAGATATACTTTTTTGCCCCGTCCCTTCCTTTTGTTGATAGGTCTATTAGGCATACTTCTACTTAACAATGCCAGTATGGCGCGCGCGCGCGTGTTCATTTCGTCATTATCCTGTGCACGATCCAGCCGCCCTCTCGCCTCTTTGCCATTAATGCTATCCTTTAGATTTTGCGCCGCGCCAAGAGAGCAGTTACAAGAGTGCGTAGCATGGACCGCATTGATAAAGTACATTTCAACACTAGCTATTCTTTATATACAGCTGCACAAGTTAAGATGGGTTACACCTTGCATTCAGCATAAAGACGTAGGTTATATTGACTACATACGTCCCCCAAGAATGCAGCACTTGTGTACCGAAAAGTGAGAGTGTGTGTTTTAAAGCAAAACAATTAGAGAACTAATAAGCATTGGTAAGCACCCACTTGGGGACCTTGCTTGTGTATACTGGCAGCGTACATACTTTCACAGACGTGCGCATGAATCTCTTCTATTAGCCAAACCTCCCTGGAAAGATGAGGTGTTAGTAAATGTAGTTCATTTTGGCGGTATTAGCCATATCATGTATCCCATACACTGTATAGTACATCTCATTATGAGGATAGTAGGTAACAGCTTTACTCTCAAGGCAAAGATACGGTAGAGGAACAATTGTATATACAAAGACGACAAGGTCATGGACTTATATATAATACATCGTGCATGAAAAAAAAGGTATACCTACAGGATACGTTGGGGATGACGTTAGCACAAAGGAAGGTATAAACCAACGCGAGTCTTTGGCGACTTCGCACGAGCCCTTCCGCTTCGCTTCGTGTCCATCCCGTTTCGGCTCGGCGGCTAGTTAAAATGACTTTTAAGAACTTGACCGGTACTGTAATTATGGATAAATAAGCGAGAGAACAAAAATCAAACACTGTTGACTCAAGTGAGCATGGATGGCCTCTTCAATTTTCACAAGATCCGTTCCCAACCGCCCACGATTCGATGCTTCTGAACCTTCGACTTGTGTATTCCACATCTCTTATATAGCAATATCGGCAATCATCTTCAATTACGTATATATTTAGTATTGCTAACAACAGCATTGCCTTTTATTAATTGGAAAGCATCTCGAACGCTTGCATCCACAAATATCTGCTATTCCAGTTCCTGGATACTTCTGCTGCCTCATCTTCAACAATACATCCGCTTTCCCGTCATTAATTGCCTAGCTGACAGCGGCATAATACGAAATCCGGTTTTGCAACCGAGATTTGCACAAACCCGCTATTTGTATATTTTTCTATTCCGGAAAATTATGCACAATTGGTGAAAGCCATTTGCAAGTTGCGAATGTGCGGATCTAGCATTTCCAACACATTGGGTTGCAAAAACTTTAAAATCGTCCGTATCTGCATATGCATAGATACATACTATGAGTAACATGCTCTAGAAAATACAGAAGTACGCCTCAAGATACGGGTACATGCATTCACATATATTAATATATCACGTTCTAAAACCGTGGATGTGTGCCGGACAGTCGCAATCACGTATAACGATCGTCGTTTGCACATACCACGTAGAATTATGAGAAGGCATTAGCTGTGCTCTTCACAAAATTTACTAGCTTTTAGCACATTAAAAAGTTATAGTATTCATGCTCAACATCTGTGTTAAATGACTTGGTAAACCAATAGGTAGTATGTGGTGCTACTTTTTTTGCGGACTCACTGTATGCTGCACAATTAAATCTCCATGTGTGGCGCAATAAAGATGGGGTGGGCTTGCCTAATACGTTTCTTCATCAGAAAGGAATCCCATCGCCACATGCTCTGCAGACGGCGTTACAGTTTCTGGCTGCTTTGCATTTCGAAGGTGGATCCACATAGTCAGTCTTTTATTATAAAAGAATTTCTCTTCTACAAAATGTCGTTGCTGTACATCGCCATTTCTTTATTTCGCTACAGGGTTTATGCACTTTTGATTTATATGCGCTTATAGTGAACCGGATGAACATGGTTTGAATTTCCTCTTTCCAACGCCTTTTCCTTTCCGTGGTTTTTGCCTCGATGTTGATTTCGTGCCGGTTTCTACTGCTGACACTTGCGTTGAGCTTGGGGACTCTTGTGTGTTGATGACTCATCTTGCTGCTACGGATATGTCTGCGAGAAAACTCTGGCTGGTTGCGATACTCTTTATTGAATAGCCGTGAATGAAATGAATGTTTTGTGCGTTCCAAACTTTTTTGTACGCAGCTCTGATATATATAATGGTCGTAGACAGTGTCAAATTCGACTCACACTCATTAAATTACTTGACATCTTTCCTTTTGAACTTGTTAGCAGTGAATAACATACAACAACAGATTCTGTCACGCAAAATACGCAAATAAGAGTTTTCTCTTTATAAGGCCAGGGAAGCCACAGGCTCACGACAAGTTATCTTCGCAGCGCCCCTGTAAGAGAAAACATTTCTTTTCTTCAAATATGATACATAGTATATCTAAACATGGAAACGCATGTACTTTTTGGTATATTGATATGTTGAATAAATGAACTGTGATTTAAGTTTTCGGTACAGGATTATGCTAATTTGGTATTTTGGTCGGTATTGCAGCGAATGGACCGAATAAGGTTTCTGATCTGCATTGCATTAATTAGGAAAAATGAATAACCGTTTACATTCGAACAACACGTAAATCAGCCTTCGTATCTTCTATTTTGCTTAGACGCTTGTGCTGGTTTATTGAGAAGGTGTCTGTTTTGGCATTTTTTGATCCTCCATGGTATTCAGGTAAAGAATTGCCCCCAAAGGACTGTCAAGCAGCGTTTCAAGTATCTAAGGACGCTTTCATGATTTTTCAAAACACTTATGATCAACATGGTCGGCTCTTGTTATTGAGACATTCTTCAGTTACAGCATCGACAATAGCATTTGGCTGGTGAGTTCCCGCAATGGACAGCGGAACAGAGACAAAGCAATAGCTTTTTCAGGAAAAAAAACAGTTGTAAACAATATTGGTGATAGGGACGGTTCAACTGAATTTGTTCAGATAATTTATGCGAATTGAGTAGCTAAAGAATAGCACTACACGTTTGTAAAAAAGACCAAAAGAAGGCGGCTATACACTATCTTTACATTATGCTTTTGAGTAACTAATGGAGTCAATTGATTATATTTAACTGCTGTTTACCGTGAACAATACATGTAGTTCGAACCGTAGAAAAAAACTGAAATACTTTATTATTGCTGTTATTAAAGGAAACAGTCTAATAGCATATAGAGATTGATGAAAAAGTAAAAAAAAATGATGATGATGAAAGTAAAAGATGTATACATGTACTCTGAAAATGTAGAAAAATGTCTATGTACGATTTCTGGAGATACGTGCAGTGTTTAATGTTATGTTCTTAGTGATGATCGCGCGACTCGATATCGGTGGTTGTGTCTTGCTTAGTTGCTCCTTGGTGTTGTCATATCTCCATTGTATCAAGTGTCATCATCATTGATGTAGCATAGGTCAAATCAGGCTTTTATAAGGTTTGAGACTTTTCCGGTAAGTTTTTTAGCAGCCCGTTCTTCGAATAACGGTATTGACACCATTGGCGGTAAAACGCATAAACAACCTGGATGGATCTACATAAGCGTGGTAGCGGCCATATAGAACGATGTGACCACAGCGAGAATTGTAAAAGAGCTGCTCGACCATAGCGCTGCTAGCGGAATCAAAGGGCGACCATTCGGTTCCTGATTGATAAACCCAGTAAGCCATGATGTGTGTGGTGTAGTGTGGTAAGGTGTGTGCGTATATGAGTAGTGTCTGTTGTAATGAATGATCCTTCAACACTGCAAGTATACTTGCCACTCTTATATACCCACAAGTACTTCTCTTGCCGCGGCGCAAATATCTAGTAAAATAAGTGGCTGGATCGCTAACCTGCGCGCCATCGTACCTATCCATTGTTATCGCTACGTATATTGAAAGGTTCAGCAACAAAGTCAAAGAAAAAGATGAAGTGGCGAGCAATGACATATTTCGGGAAAGCCGGAATTTCCATCGAATTCTCGGCTAAGCAAAACTGGGGTGAACTCATTGTACCACGTTTGACTCAGGCACTGTTTGCTTAATTGTTTAAACGACATCATTTTAGGGTCATGTGTCTTCCCCCCCCACTTTACTTTTGTATAGAGTACTGTATATGCACGCATGTCATCTTGAGTCTGTTTATGTGGTACATTTTCCATAGACACAGTGATCATTACAAGGATTGCTATAATAGCTTTCATATTATAAAATTACTGGTCCATAATAAGTTCATTTTTTAAAATCGTATGCATGGGAAAGGAATATGAGATTTAGCAATGCTGAGGAGTGTCGGAACAATTAGATGGGAATATTGATTGACACCCATGCCAAAGTTATTCCAAGGAGCTGAAAGTCGGTATTCACTTCATCATAGATTAAACGCCAGCCGTCATATACTAAAGGTACCTTTTATGTAAACATTACTCACATTTTCCACATTTAAATCGGCGGTATAGTAGCATGGGGACATACGGTATCCCATCTTACAATATCAGCCACATTTCTTTTCTTCTTCTTGCCCCCACTTCAAACACGCATCTTTAAAGTCCCAATTTCCGTTTGCAGCCTTTTGGACGCATAAAACGACATCCAAGGTACTAGACGGTTCCCCAAAGGACCGAAAGGTATTTTCAGGCTTTAAATTTTGCTGTATCTAATCTTGAGCATTATAGGGCAACAAAAGGAATATATACTGCTAGCTTTGTTGAATTTATTGTTAATCGACGGACGAAGTGTCATAATCTTGCGTATATTAGCACGCTCGCATTTCAAGACATCTCCAGTGGTTGAGCAATTACGTTTGCAATAGATATATGATAGCTAGTCATAGAGCCCCATAGTTAAGGGTGGGTTATGTAATGCAGCGTCTTCACCCCAAAATGCGCAGTATGCTTCTGTTACACATTGCGCCACATAAAGGCCAAAGATGCCACAGTAAAAGACTCAATATGCCCCCAATTTTTGGAAAAGCTCAAAATCTCAATTTTCATAGTAGCTTCTCCTCCGAAACCGACTATCTGGGATTTGGAGTGGGGGGTGCTGGAGGAAGAAAGATACATGCATGCATGCTTTAGAAACTGCGTTTACAGTATTACTCCAGCACTTGGTTGAAATCAGGCCACCACTTTTCCATTAGTCGCTCGCCACCAAAAAACTAGCGCTGAGCAACGAAACTATGTAGTACTTTAGTATACTACCGATTAAAACGGTCTCTAGTAGAGCCACGCTACCTGTATGTAGCACCCGCTATGTTCACATTTTGTTGAAGCTGTTAGGCCCAAAGAGAAAAAGCTACTTAAGACGCATAGTGCGCTGTTCCGCTTTATATTAAGCAATTTTGTATGAGCGCATTGCGATGGTGACAGAGTGCGATAACTTACTATACAGATTCAAGAAAGTTTTACTGTTTTTCTGTTGGTGAGCAGCAATGAGAGGGATCTTGTATTGCGATACTGACGGTTGCAAACGGGGTTGTCAAGCCACGCCGTATCTACCCTCAATGTTAATTATTAGATTCAATGCTTACAAAATGTGATGTCCTTATGCGGATTAATATGACGCTAAAGATAATTGTTGACCAGCAGCTTTGCGTCTGCTATAACATCATTGTGAAGAAGAAAGAAAAAGCTTTTGGAGTCATCGGAGCGTAGTATGTCGTACGATATAGCTTCTTCGGAAACTAAAATGTTGTACAAAGATCTTGGCGGGCTAGACCTCGGACCTAGATCTAAAGTGCTAGTTTAGACAGCACCATCAAGTAGCCCTTCTTGTTGTCCTTATAGGCTGCTGGCCAGCGACGTTCTCTACTTTCTTATTTTCCCTTTATTTTTTGCGGCTTTCTCCTTCAAATTATATGAGTTAATAAAATCAAGAGCAAACAAGATATAGATGCAGGTAAACGTCTATAGTTCCGATGAGTTATATCGACATTATCATTCTTCGTGCTATGGAATATTTTGCATCAACTACTGTAGAACAAGCTTGATCAAGCACTTGAACTACTGAGCAATACTGTCCCGGCCTAGTTTGCAAACCCATAACCCCACAAAGGTTGAGATCGATATGCTCATCGAAGTGCAACAATGGAAGTTTGGAATTTTCCATGCTAGTTAACAAGGACCAGAGCGAGAGCCACCGGCCCAAAATGATTATGGCGCATGCTAATGCGCCACAAACCAACATACTTCCCCACCAAAACCACGAAATGCAGTTGCGCCTTGCTGAGATGAACATAGAGTGGCATTTCACGGTAGTGGCACTTTCACGTGTTTCCTTTCAAAACCCTTTTTTTGTTGCGTGCTATTCTTCCGGAATACTCGAGCTTTGTCTAATGCATCAGAGTATGATTTATTGACCTGTCATCGTAATATAGGGTAAAGAAATAAAGAAATGGCAAAACGTCCTAAAACTATTATCGGCATAAGGATTATAATCGTAATGCAACAATGGTGTATTTCTTTTTTTTGAGAGCTTTTTTTTAAAGATGTGTACATGACGTGATGGTGGTCACATAATAGCCGGATTAGGAATTTGTGTAATCTTTTCGGCAGAGAAAACGACCCAAAACCCCTATGCGTAGCTTCATCACCTTCTTTAAGACATAAAGATGGCGCTCATTATATCCAAGCTATTCAGTGGCAAGGTAAGTTATATATCTTTCATGAAGCGTTGGCGTACTACTGCGGCGCACATAAGTTGTCAAATATATAAAAAGACAAGCATTAGCAGCTGTTGGAGATCATTATCGATCTACATCACCGAGTAGCAGCAACAACTACTACAACTAGACCTTTTCTCCTCCATCACAAGCAATCCAATCAACAGGAACATGGTGTGGGTATATCAAGCTGGAAACCAATGGATACCCCTCGACGACAGCAGCAGTGCCATGATTGATCGGTACTTCTCTCTGCATCGACCTGGCGAAATCCTTGTCCACAGACTCTACCGTGCCTGGGTCGACCCCTCTGCGTTATATCTGCGTTTCCTTTCAAATGGTGTTCATGCCCAAATTGCCAGAGTCGGGTATTAAACCAACAAGAGCCGTCTTTGCGACGAACTCAGGCTATCCTCATTTCATTATCATCAAGCACCCGCCGATCATGTAATATCGTATATCAAGAAAATCTGCTCAATACCAACAGCAATGACAACAATCTCGAACTTTTGTTTATAAAAAACTACCTACAAGTTGTAGCCACTATAGCATACATGCTGATCATGTATAACAGTAGATAGCACCCACCACACTATCATTCTTTTTCTTCTCTTCGACCTTAACATTTGACTGTCTCCCCTATCGTACAATACGCATGACATTCATTTAAAAATCACTTTATTTACCCTCGTTCCTTTCACATACTTCACCACAACTTCTATTATACCTACTGTATCAGCTGTTTCCATCGTCCCCTACCACAAAAAACTCTAACGACAGTTTCTCCTCCAATATGCAAAAAGACAATAAACGACTTTTTATGAAATGTACTGATCTATCTTTTTATCAGAGTTATCTACATAATGCATATGTAGTGATTTGTAATCAGTGTGTCAAATAGAAAATTATGTCCTATAAATGTGATCGCTTATTTATTAGTTATCGTAGAGTGCAAATTATTGCTGTCTCACTGAATCGGGCACATCAGCTATAGCATTGATAACCAGCGTAGTAAGGTTGATGAGCCTGAGAGACTCTTCGCCTAACGTGCAGATATATATATATATATATATATATAACAGAAGCCACCGTCCACCCGGAAATTCCTTTCATTGTCTTAGCGCAAAGAGTCTATACTTTTTATGTGAAAATATCTTTGCTAGATGCATATCTGAGTGAGAAAATCCACTTGTCTGTACATGCTCTCAAATTCAGATTAGCCCTAATACGAGAAGTCTATACGCTGGAAAGAAAGTGATAGATCTATCATGCAATCTTTTATATTTTTCTGACATCAAATAGTTTATACATATAATAAGAGGCTCTACTGTATGAAAAATACTGTAGCAGCCAAGAGGTGGAGCTGCTATTGTAGGTACAACTCTTGGATGATGAGACTCTACTTTATACCAGAAAGAGTACTTCTGCCGATGGATCAACAACCATAGCGAAGATCACACACCATTATCATTTTAGCTTTAATGGTGATACCAGAGGAAGTTATAATTGTACGTTTCAGGTTGGGTGCTTCATCCATCGGTAGTTGATAAGTCACAAAGACAGCAGAAGAAGCATGCGAAAAAGCATGCGAAAAAGCAGTATCTGGATCAATGACATAAGTGGCTATTGAATTTTCCTCGATAACATTGGCAGACGTATCTGTTGCTATGAGCTCCAGAGAGTGGCGCATATAATCAAATGGGCCGCAATAGAAGAGAATGTGGCTCCGTGTGGCTTTCCAGATAACAGGAAGGTATTCTTTCATGGTTGTGTATGTTGTCTGAAAGTAGCACAAAACAAAGCATCCACACTTAATATGTTGTATCATAAATAATCAATTATGATAGGAGACTGTTGTGTGCTCTTATTGGGCAATGGGATACCCTCGGTCACGCTCAGCTTCTAGCTATATGTTAATAGGCTAATGTTAACCACGATAATGGTGTAAGAGTACAGTAGCATCCTATTATTTCTGTCCTCTTTCTGCTTTTGATATTCAAGTGCATGTGGCAAATAAAAAGCACAAGTGGCTTCCTGCTACTGAACATCGTTGAACATGACTCGCACAACGTGACAGAATGATGCTCTGCTTGACTCGATATCGCGGGAAGGCTCCGACGAGGACACCTATGACGTGATCTGCACTAAATCAGGGTCTTTTGTGTAATCTTTCAATCTTTCCGACCGCTTCCGATGCTGATCACACAAACGACCCAAGACTCCTATGCGTAGCCTCGACAAGATGTTATGGCGCGCAATTCATACATCTGCATGGCATAATATCCCTTGGCAAGGAGGCGCACGTATAAACAGCGTGAGCATTGATGTGGCGCTTGACATGATGCAAGAATTATGATATCAGCTATCGTCTACGCGCAGAAATAACAACAAATGGTCTAGGTTTATCAAGCCGGAAACTCTTGGGCACTCCTCGACGCCAGCAGCAGCGCCAGAATCGATCAGTTGTTCTATTAACAGATACGGTAAATCATTATTCATGGCCGCTATCGTGCTTGGGTTGACCCCAGGACTTTACTGGCGTTTTCTTTCCTATAGTGTGTGCGCCACAAATTACAAAAACTGTACTCTAGGCGATGAAGAAACGCTGGACATAATTATCCTAGAGCAGAAATCACCCCCGAACACACACAAAACATGCACAAAAGAAGGTCTAAAATTATATTTTTTCCCATGATCATATCGCTCAAATTCCTGTCATTTATTTTACCAATTCTTGTACTAATTACGTCGTTATGTACCAATGCTGTAACCTACTATTTAAGTCTATAAATGTATCATCCACCAATCAAACCAATATCTTAGAAACCATTATAATATATGCATAGCATCTATAAGTGAATGGGTTTGAAATCGTCGATATTATCGTAGTATTTAATGGAAAGCAAACATTCGCTATATTATGAAAGATCCAACATAGTACGACAAGAATTGCAAGAACTTCACCGTGTCTACTATTAGAACGTAATACTAGCATATACTGAACCGATGAGCCCATTTTAAAAGATGGATTTTACCTGAATCATCCATGACCAGGCTTACAAACAACAACTGCTGCGCCAACGCCGCATAATTTCAGCAGTATGATGGAGATTCTCATCAGGGCCTCATTGGCACTTTATAATAGCATTATCACGCGTACACTCTCGAAAACGCTAATTGTGACGTTATGCGTGTAGCGGCAAAATTGTGATGAGTAAATTTTTGTCGTCAAGACACACATTCCTTGGTCAGCAGTGACCTGGTAAATGGCAGATTGTGTCGATGCCACAATACTTCTGTCATATAGTCACATATACTTATAAAGCATTCACTGAAAGTAAATCAACTCAATATAACTCCGTTTCATATTGATTAAACATATCCAGCAGCAGATTATTGCTGATATTATACATATCCATCAAAAACTTAACGTAAAGCACACATCAGTGAGACATCGTCTCGTGCTTTAACAATTCGAGGTTTCCCTGATGATCTGCTGGACCAATATATTTGCTCTGCTGAAAACAACGAGGTTTGAGCTACACTAATGGGAAATCGTTAAAGGATTTAAGAGATACGGAAGAATCCCACGTGTGTGTTTTTTTACTCCCGCCATTGTGCCGCCGCCGCCACTACTCCCCCACTGCCGATACTTCCAGAGTGTACTGCCACTTGAAAATTTTTGAAGTTTTAATGGCCAATGGAAAAAAGCAATAGAAGAGGATACTTTACTGGAAATGTTGTTGCTGAGTGTCTTCTTTACAGCGCGGCACCCTGTGGATTATTCATTTTAACAATCATTACAACGGCAATATTCTTTGGCACATACGCCACCTGAAAAGGATGTATGTATATAAATGATGCAGTGAAATGATTTGATACCTGATCCAGTACGATATGGCTCAGTGGTTTTTCCAAGCAGGAAGTTCGTGGCGAGCATTCGAGCCACATACTAACGGGATCGTTGAAGGTTTATGGAGAGCTGGTGCAAGAGGAATGGTGTATATCGACGGGTTTACAGCGATTGTTGACGCGCTATCCTTGACTATGGACATCAACAACATGCGCTTAGTAATTGCTCGACAGTAGCAGCAATAGCAGCCTCATACAATACATACAAGTCTCGTTTTCTTCCTTCCAACATATTCCAGCCTTACGAAAAATTTGTGCTATTGCATTCCTTCTTTTCGGCTTATATGATCATTTGCCTGACTTACTCTACTCTTCCTTTCTGCTATGTAATTGTATCTGCATCTAGAGACTCTTTTAATTGTTATCATATGACTATGATACCTCCTTTATTCATACTTCTTTTGTATATTTTCATCGTTTGTAATTTTAGTTTTATGAGCAATATCCATTATTTTCGTAAATAAACTAGAGGCTTATTTTAATTCATACTGTAGTTACTGAAATCTCGTAAAGCATTTTTGTTTCGATTACTTAACTTGATGATAATGTGGGTAAAAAAGCAATCACTTTACTCTATCAAAACCTTGTTCACAAAAGTTTTAAAGGTGCAATAAGCTGATAAAGTAGGGCATCGACCATAAACTATAGATGGTCAGAAAGTAAATAGTAAGGTATATACAATAAGTGCGGGTACAAAATGTTAAAGGTTCATTATCAACCGTCCGTTCCGTTTACTAAGCGATTTTTCGACGAGGCCAATGTCACCAAGGTATTCGCATCCCAGAATATGTAGCACGGTGATACCCTTGACTTGTTCTACTAATTCCAACATATCTTTACTTGTAACATGGGTACAATGAACAAACTTTACATATTTTAGCTGCTGTAGTAAGGACAAGCCTATAATCCAACGCTTCGTGGTAGCAGTGTTTGTATGTGTTTTCTGTTGTTGTTCAAGCCCCTCTTCTTGCATCACCCTTCCGTTAAGGTCCTTGAAGTCGAGTCGTACAAAATAAACCTCTTCAAGCATGCACATCATGGTCCGGAAAAGATAACCTAAACCCATGTGGTTAGAATCCAGATTACTAATCAGAATAAGCACAGTCAATATCTAGACGTTACTCAGATCTTCCATCCAGCTGCAATCAGCCATCCATCGACTGTTTTGGATAGTAAGCTTTGTCAGCTTGCAGCAGCTATGTTTCGCCAAAATTGAAGATATCGTATGTATATACGAGCCTTGAAGTATGAGATGGCGTAACGAAGGGAGGCTTGTGACAGCAGGAAAAAAAAATTCGGCAGGGCGATAGTTGTGTTTGCCCGAAATCCCTGATAGGTCTACTGTAGTCAAGCATGGGCGATCGCTTAAGAACTTACGCACAGATCCAAGCGTAAAGGGGAAACCCCGATATCCGACACGAGCAACGTCAGTGTCAACTGCAATGGAGAGCATGGTCCATGATCTGTTCTTCATCTGTGGCGGGGGACATCCGACATAATACTCCAACGTCGCGTATTTTCGTTTAATAATAGCATTATTTTCCACCGACGATACATCCGGGTGCCGTATCATCTGCCTCTTTGTACCTGTATGTTTCTCGTGAACATCGGCTGATAATGCAAAAACATTTTGCAAGGATGCCGGTGACCTGTGTGTGATGTGGGAATGCTCTGCTATTGTCCAATACGGAATGCAGACGAAGGTAAATGATTCAAGTACTGTGCATGATTGTTGTACAGCGTCATATATGGCGTCAAATATGATTTCTGGCGGCGGTCGATCAATGGCGTCTCTGACGATCCAGTCAACTTGGCTGTTAAGCGTAAGCGTTTTCAGCTGCGGACAGTTCCGTAATAGTCGACCTAGATATTCGGATCCAATGGTCTCATCCACCACAATTTGCAAAGTTACTAGATGGCGAGACGGCATGTCGGTCGCAACTGGCTGTAGCGAAAACGTGCTGCTTGCGTACGGAATGCAGTCTTGGAACTCTAGACTGCTGAGATTTGGACATGCGTTGAGTATCGCACCGACCATGCGGGGATCAATATAGGAGTTGCTGATATCGAGGTTTCGTAATCGCTCCCCAATAAAGCTTATGTACTTGACAAATCCCATATGAGAAAGAGGACAATCGTAAATCTCTAGTAGCAGATCATATTGTGGTCAACTTATCATTGTCCTTGTTACTTAAAAAAACACCGATCAGCGAGATATCAGCAACATATAATACCGAGATGTTCAAGGTAGCTGCAGTCAGTCTCGATGAGTTGGTTGAACACGGTAGCCATCTCGTTTTCCTTTATATTTGTGTAGGGTCCACGGATTTGTGAATGATCAAAGGAAAACGAGCGGATATGCTTCGCTCTCCAATCTTTCGGTTCTCCAATGAATGCTGGGCACCCGAAAAACTGTTTGATACTGCGAAACAATAGCTTTTTCCATAAAATCTGCGGATTGTCGTTAAAGAACGAGCGCCAGCGCTGACAAACGGACGCACAAACAACCAGCTCGTTGGCAGTAAGCGGCGAGAATATCACTGCAATGAGGTCGTACGGCATGAAGAGTAGGAAGTCTTGTCGACAAAGTGGGCCATGTTGAATAGCTGCTGATCGGTTTTCAGGTGAGCATGAACCCATGGCGACAATTATGCATTAGTGGTAGGAAGCGAGGGAAATAGAAACGAAAGAAAATAGAAAAGTAGCAGCATGGTCCTATGACCTTCTTCAATTTTCTCGAAGCATAGATATCGTCATCAACATAAAAAAACAGTTTTCTCGGTATCCTGGAAAAGCGTGTGGTTGTACATTGTAATTTTGAAAAGACAACAAAGAATAATTGTTCGTGGACAACTTGGTGCGGAACATACAAAAGTGTTGTTTTAAAATAAAGACGTACCTCTTTTCCCCTTTAAACTAGCGTTGTTGCTTCGCGGACACTGAATCAAGGCGTTAAACGCGCAATTTTCGGGTGTAGTTCTTTGTTCTTTCAATACCTGGCCCGAGCATTTCTTGACACATCACCACCCAGTTCACCCTACAACACCGCCGCCTTTTATCTTTTTAGCTGGCAAAGGAGCTTGCTGCATTGTATTCTTATTGGGTAATCGAAATGACAGCTCCAAACTTCACGGCGGGTGGCCAATCTGCAGTTGACAGCACCGATCCTTACACACCTTACCCTTCACGATCGTCTTATGCAACGCTTGCCGAATACCTATGGAAAACGCCCTTCATTTTTAACGGGCGATTTGACGATGATACCCGAGCAGCAATTATTGCCGAATGTTATCAATCCTTATGGCAGTATAATCCGACGTTAATGCATCAATATTTTTTCAAGAACCAAAACGATTTACAAGATGCGATTCGCGCTCAATTACACGACATGACTGGCAGGGAGTACTCCAAAATGGCTATGGATGACCCCTCTTCCTTGATTTGGCACACAAATGGTTTAGTTCCATCCCCTGACCTTTCAAGTGAGCGCGGACGACAGTGTGGACATGTTTTTCGAAAGGGAGAACCCGTATATCGCTGCAGGAAAGGATCTTGAGGAATTAGACTATGAGAAAGAGAGTGTCGGGCAGTGCGGTTAAGTGGGGAACGGTTCAACTGATACAGTGTGTTATGGGTCTAACAGGACATGCGGCTTGGATGATACATGTGTTTTTTGCTCTCGCTGTTTTCATGCAACGGACCATGACGGCCATGATGTTCTATTTTCGGTGAGCCCTGGCTCAGGCGGCTGCTGTGATTGCGGTGACCGGGAAGCATGGAAGGTCCCGTTGCAATGCAAGATTCATGCAACTCCCAGCGACCATAATGAAAGTGATGAAACTGAGCAGGTACCGAAAAAAGTGGTCGACGCTATACGCACAAGTGTATCTTCTGCTCTTGATTTCATTTTGGGTACGTTTGCATTGGGTCCCGAAGAATTGTCTCTATCAGCATCACCAAACGAGTTTGTCAAGGATGATGGGAGCAATAAGATATCAGTGAAGTCGGAAGATCTGTTGCTCGACCGCGACGACGATGTGGATATGGATCAAGTAGACACAGATTCAATGTTCGGCAGCCAAGCTCGTTCCCCATCTCAGCCATCGGATGTTGGGGAAAGGGACACGGTGGAGGAATACGTCTGCATTGCATGGAATGATGAAGGTCATGCCTTTTCACATGTTGTTGAGTGTATAATGGCTGCCACAGGATGTGATTGGGAACAAGGCAAAGAGACGGTAGATGCCATACATATACATGTTAGTATCAAGGTTTATTGTTTTTTCGCTGAAATCGTTGTCCAAAGAACTGGTTGTTTAATGCATGAATTTCTAGGGCCGCAAAGTAATCGCTTCCTCAACAAACGTCGAACAGCTACGAAAAATTGCAGCGCCACTTGCAGCCATCAATCTGGGAGTAACGATCAGAACTGCACGTGATGTGTACCGTGAAAATGTGTGCAGCTTGCTTGTATTCTGGCTGAAAGAGCTGGTTCACGGACGCACTCGCTTTTTTGCAGACATCCCAAATGGTGATACAGTTGTACGAACAATCGTGCGCGAGGAATTATGCGCTGACTGGGGGCTACAGTCGTCTGCACAGGATGGTACCTTCGGTGAAGATTATGATGTGAATGGTGGATTCTCGGGAACGGAAACTACCTTAGGATCCGCTACAACAGACGTGCCCGAGGAAGACATCGAGATGCTCGATCCAGATGCAAGTTTCAAGGAGCCAGATCAAGTGCAAACCAGAGTGAAGCCAGATATTGCAGACATCGATTGGCAACCAGCAGATATGATTGACGAGTTCCAAATGCTAAGAATTGAAGAACTTTTTCTGTGGGAAAAGTTAATGTCCCACGCCAGCGTAAAAGGAAAGAGTTTGGATGAATCAGCCAGGAATAATTTCGCCGAGGAAATGGCATCATCTGCAATTCAACGAGAATTCGAAAGGAGGCTTCGACTGGATTATTTACTGATTTCTGACTTAAAACTGTGGAAAGAAATTCGTGTCGCATTACGTGAATTGTATATTACCTCCCTCATCTCTGATAATACGTTTCGAAAAATACTAGGTATTACCCACGACGCAGACGCATTGGAAGATGATCCTCTACTTACTTGCAACGACATTTATCACTAGGGAAACGGCTGGCTAGAAACTATGCTAGACTGGCAGAATCGTTTCTTCTCAAAGACCGAGAACCAGAGAGTTCCATCATCCTCTTTTCTGTTCAGCTTCTCACAGTCCCATCCGTCGCCGACCTCCTTGTCAACCAGTATGACTTCTTCGGCCTCATCTGCTCGTCCCTGACTGCCTTCTTTTTGACCGATCGCTTATACCTTGTTTTGCCTTCTGAACGCGAACGATATCCCGCGCGAGTCAATTGCGAATCACGAGCATTCCGTACCCGACGCTATTTCAACGCTTTTCATGATTTACGCTACATAATGAACGTCGATATGATTAAGAGTGTTCTCGCTCAAGATCCACTTTATTTGCGCCAATTTCTCGATCTAGTCGGCATGTTCCAGTGTATGAATGCCCAAGTTTGCCAGAAAGACGCCCATGTGGAATACGAGTCCGAAATTTGGGTCAACGCCTTTAATGTGACCTTACAGATAGGAAAATGTTGTCGGCAATTTGCGGCGTGCTTCGGAAAGCTGCCATTCTGGGACCCGTCGGGCCGTGCGTCAGCTACTCGGACACTTGTACGCGCCATAACACGCATCCTCAGAATGATCAATGACTGGGGCTCTGAACCAGACGATATGCGGTCCGTAGATGACAACTCCTCAGCACGGAAATTACGCCCTGCCACGCAACAACCAGGTGTGTCCGGACCCAGAGATCAAGAATATCATACTATTCAACTCCCTTATATTGACCAGCCGATTAAAGTACTCAAATACGACATCACATCTCAGCCGGTATCGTTCCACCAACCCTTGCATTGGCTTCTTGCGTTCGTTCTCGAACACACTGCGTCGCTTAGTGAAGATATGCTTGCAGAAGCTGGTTTCCAAAACGGTTTTGAGCAAGTGCTTAACTTGTTCAGTGCAGAAAATCAGGAGAATATCTCTCCAGCGGTACTACTACCCATCATCGAGTATCCCATCCGCACGGTAGCATTCTCTGCCCAGATTCGAGCAGGCGTTTGGGTGCGCAATGGATACGGAATACGCAATCAGGTATGATGGCTAACATCAGCATACATGACTTAACGCTAATATTGCGCTTACTATTTTCTCCAAAAAAAGGCTTTGCATTACCGTGATGTATCGTTACGCGAAAACACGTACGACGCGGATTTGTTTCTGTTGCAACTCGGTATCTCTACCGTAGAACCCAATTTACTACTCGCAACACTACTGGATCGCTTCGGACTGGTGAACTGGTTTTTGGGTGATCGTGAGCACGCACAATATGATGCTGGTCAGTCAACCTTTATGGTGGAAGAACTATTGAATGTTTTGGTTTTATGTGCTTGCGAACGCGCGAACGTCACGGGCATGAGCATAGAATCGAGGATCCGACGGGAAATTGTACACAACCTTTGCCTAAATCCTATCACATATTCGGAGCTCACCAAGCGGATACCCGATCGTCTGCATGAACATGTCGCGTTCGACCATCTACTATCCGAGATTGGTCAGTTCAAGCCGCCTGTAGGTGTGAATGACACAGGCACATACATCCTCAAAAACGAACACTTTGACGAGGTCGACCCGTATTTTTACCATTACAGTCGCAACAACCGAGAGGAAGCCGTCGAAATGTTGAAGAAACGCTGGAAAGAGATTAATCCATCCGCCGATCCAAAGAGCTTCTTCATATTGCCAAAGTGTACACAAATTACAAACGGTGCTTTCCGATATCTAGGCGATTTCTTGCACTGTACTGTATTTACTCAGATGATGGCGTACGTCTTTTGGAACGTACGGATCAGTGACAGCCACAAGAGTGACACGAACCTCGAGCAAGCTCTGTACCTTATCTTACTAGCATTGACGGACGAGAACAATCGACACAGTGCAGCAAACCTGGATACTGCTATTGACGACGATGACAGCGATAACCCCGAGCTAGCCGGTTTTTATAAATTCGTGTGCGACCACTACTTCGCCTTTACAAACGACGACCACTCCCAAGACTTGTCTTTATTCGACATAATGTCTATATTCCGTGATGATGACAAGTACAAAGAAATACACGCTCAGTTGGATTGGATCTTTGAAAAACTCCTGTCCCATGGCCCTGGAAGGACACGCCGCAAGGTTCAAAAATGGAAGGACGGTAGGGCACTGAAAATGGAGGACAACGAGTCTACCGTGTCCGAACAACAGGCCAAGAAGCTGGCTGCCAAGGACCGCCAGATGAAGATCATGGCCCAGTTCGCACAGGCACAGTCCCAGTTTATCGAGCAGAACGAGGAGCTTTATGATGAAGAAGACCAGGACGAAGAAGAACAGTCGCAGAGCAAAAGCAAGGAAGATGAAAATACCGCCGATAATACCCCAACAAACGATGGTTCAGTTAGTCGACTGTGCGGCTATCCTACTGGGACATGCATTGTTTGCCAAGAGGAAGTTAGTGATAAGTCTGCACCGTATGGTCTGCTTGCATTGATCCAGACTTCCAATATCATTCGAGAAAGCCATCCATCTCAAGCAAATGAAGTGCTTGCCAAATTCAAGGCCAATGATGGAAGTTTGGACACGGATTGGCCAGATGAACAGGGCCTTCCAGAAGATGCGAGCGATATACCCGGACTTCCAGCGCAAATGAACAAAACAGGGCTGTACGTATCAACATGTAGCCATCTGATGCATATCCGGTGCTTTGAGGTCTACTGCTCGTCGATCGATTCCAGACACTCAACTCAGCTGACACGCAATCATCCAGAGAACCGTGCACGGAACGAGTTTATGTGCCCGTTATGCAAATCGCTGGGCAATGTCTTACTGCCCATTTACTGGAAAGGGCGCAAGGAAATATTTCCAGGGCCTGTTTTGCACAACGAGACTTTCAAGTACTACAATTTTTTACGGAGCAACGTGCAGCAAGGGGTTGACCGTCTCAAACAAGCCATCATCAATCGCTCACAGCGACGACGCAGTAACGGAAGCAAACTAAAGGAGGCATTCTCCACATTTGTTCCTTCGCTTCGGAATGCACCGTCCGGATCAACATCGGCAAGCACCGGCAACGCGATTGGCACGGCCACTAGAAATGAATACGAATGGCAAAACATTCGACGGCCGCAGGCTACCAGTCTTGAGCTATTGTCTCCACAAGAAGAAGCAAGCGCCTCAACCCCACTCATCTCCTCGTCTCCAATGGCAACGGCGTCAACTGGGCCAGGAAGCATATACAACGATCGTCGCTTCGGACCATTTGATAGTGACATTATGCATCCATCTACGTCTGCCAACCTACCTAGTGTGTCGAAAATGTACGTGCGGATTTCTGAGGTGATTTCCACAATATACCAAGAAATATGCAGCGACGACGCAACACGTGAAACGTCGACAAATGCAAAGAACATTGACCTTTTATGGGGATTGCTTGGTTACACCGTCGCTGGCGTCGAAATAGCAGCAAGGGGTCAGCAAAAGCCCATGGGGCAAATAGAAGACGAGGAACTTACTGGCTCGCTGTTTGACCAAATCCCGCAACAGACACGATTGCTTCTGCGCATCATTTGCGACAGCATACTGGCGTACACGTGTATTATGTGTCACCACGAACCTGGCGGAGGTCTTCCCACCCCAACTCATGCAAATCCCGGACACACACTGATACGCGTTCATCTGCTTGCACTCGCTCGTCTGCGACAAGTGTTTGCTGATGTTCAAGTTGGAGACTTTCTTCACCTGCAAGGGCTCAGCTACGAGCGCATGGTCGTGTATGACAATCTTCCGTTGTTGCAGGATGATCCATTTATGATCCTTACCGAGCTAACGTTTCATGGAATACCCTTTGCCAAAATGAGCGTTCATATTATGATGCGTGTTCTCCTGCTCGCCGAGCTGACCAAGACAATGGCTGCTGTAACACAGGAGCAGTTGAAAGTGGTTTCGTCAACTCACGAACGATTTGTGCCAAGTAACGATGACTGCAACACTAAGGAAATCTCGGAGGAGCAGACAGCAGCTGTCAGGGCATTTGCAATCTTTGTTATGGAAAGTCTCCAGTTCTCTCAACAAGAAGCGGATACTGTGTATGAATCCATCGGGCCTGCGAGACTGTACGAACTGTTGCAATCATTTGGCTTGCCATACCTACGACGATCGATGATCCTGATGATAGTCCGCTATGGTTACATCCCAAGTGCGCGGCAACAACGACCTGAGGCGAACGAGTTTGACCGCTTGTTGGATTTGCTATGGCTTCCGGAAATGACCGAACTTGTAGAACTGAAAGACGAAAACAAGCAGCTTATATCTGCATGGTGCAGCGATCACCTATCCGAATCCGAGCGTGCAACGCGACTACAGAGCCTCTCGTGGCGGTTGCTGGACATTACACTGGACTCGCCGACTCCTTTGTATTTGATCCCCTTGCCAAGCAAACTTGAAGACTTGATTGATGAAAGCATGAGACGCGTGTGTACGAAATGCGGCTCCCTACCAAGCGATCCAGCTGTTTGTCTACTGTGTGGAACATTTGTGTGTACCCAAAGCTTTTGTTGTGCAGAAGACGAAGAGGGCGAGTGTAATTTGCACAGTCAAGAGTAAGTGTAACGTGAAATTGCCGGTTTTTTTCTTCTCAAAAGGAATAGATGCTAAGAAGTTCATGTGCATAGATGTGGCGGTGAGATTGGACTGTTCCTGTCTGTCAAGCGATGTGTAGCTATCTTACTACACAATGGAAACGGCTGGTTCGTAAACGCGCCGTATCTAGACCCACATGGTGAAGTGGACCAAGGATTGAGGTAATTCCGCGCGATTTACAGTTACGGAAAAAGAAATCTTGGTAACTTAAAAAATCCCCTTTTTAGGCGAGGACAACCACAATATCTTAATCGTAAACGATATGCCGATATTAGAAAGCTGTGGCTCCAGCATAATATCCCTGTGTATATTGCGCGCCAGATTGAGGCGAATTACGATATAGGAGGATGGACAACGTTATAATACTACTTTTCGCTGTATCGATAGAATTGAGAAGGAAAGAAAAAAGCTACGCACAGATCCAAATTTAAATTGGTTGCATGGCAACATTCCGACATTCGGTGTAACAGAGTGTTAGGGGGAAATCATCCAGGGGTAAATTTACATTTGAGATGGTTTTTCCTGCAAGGTATTACGTCGTCATCGATTTGCTAATGAAAAATCTTTCTGGGAGGAACACAATTGTTTGTATGTCTTTTGCAGGGGTGGAGGAGAAGCATTTGGCTTGCATGTTGCTGTCAAGTCTATTGTAGAAATTAGAGTTTTCATGGAACTCGCGTTGTCAGCGACCAAGCCACTTCTACTGTAGCATGCACGTACCTGCAATGAGCTTTAGCGTTACACGGCAGCAGATAACTCAGCAATGCCCATTTTATACAGCGTGAAACAGAAGATGCAGGCCTCGAACCATCTCTTTTCCTTCGAACTTCCATTTACTTATTCGGCCTGTTTCTCCTAAAGGCGCTTCAGGATAAAAGATGGTGAACGCTGGTTTCATCATCAGCAGTGCCCTTGGTTTCATTACCACCGTCATCGTGATAGCTCAAGCTATTCGGAACCCCAAGAAGCTCAGATACTTCATTGTGTGCTACGCAGTATGCACCTTACCAGCAAGCATTGTCAACACCCTCGCAGCTGAAAACGTCCTCCGAGATCGATGGAACACGCTCTGCTATCTTTTATCGACTGTACTAATGCTTACTCTGAACTACTACATGACACTCGACATTGGGTTCAGGATGCAAGTCCGGCAATCCTGGCTCCGGTATCTTGCCTATATCAGCATCTTTTTTCTGGTCACCGTCTTCGTCTTTCTCATAGTCCAGATTGTCATACTGTTGATACATGAGGAAAGGGATTACTCGATTTGGTGGATGTTTGTACTGGGCGTCTGCCTAGCAATTGCTGGTCAATTTGCTGCGTATTCCTATGCGTTTATGCCTTTGATTCGATGGAAAAAGAACAAAAGGACCCAAGAAGCACATTCACGAACAACGGCCTATGGCGTAAGTAGAAGACAGTTCTTGGTGCACGTGCAATGGATCAAGATGCATGGGGGTGGGGTCGAATGTCATTGTATAATATAGATTGATAACGTATCATGAATTTTTCACGTCGTACTAGATTTGGTTTTTGAGCATTCAAAGTCTGTGGTACTCCCTGTACGGTGTGCTGTACTTTTGGTTCTTCGGCGTCAATACGTGGGACCAATTCACGAACATGCTGGCGGTTGATTACCCCATGCGTTTTCTCCTGTGCCTCATTTTCACGTTCTCTCCCCCGTCATGGATTATTGACTGCATGTCATCACACTTGTCGTCTCACAATCAAGCCAACCTCAATACCACACCAGGCACACTCAGTCAGAACATTCCCGATACTTATATGCCAACATTACTAAACGACGAACGATACAACGTCTTTGGCGAAGACGAGGAGGCCAAAACGAGCAGCAGGATTGCTATGATTACGACCGCCTCCACCCCAAAACCAGAGCCTTCATACAGCCCATCCTCTTAGAAAAACATCATCCTAGCTATAGTAAACGGCAAAACAAATCACATCCGAAAGCATCGCTCCTTATTGCTATCATTCCCCATCCACGTTATCCTTCCTTCTTTCTCTATTGTATTTGTTCTTTCTACATATGTAAATATTTATCGGCAATCAATTGCTGTTGACATCAAATTTTACACAGAATGTGTTTATGCCACAAACTTCCCGTAGAAATGAGCCTGATGATAAAGCACCATTGTGAGTTATGTTTGAATCAGATGGTGAAGGTTAATGTCTAAAAAAAGAAATCACCTACACAAGTGTTGCATCAAAAGCAGATATGCATAGGAGAACACGTCCAATGATCATGCACTCTCTCTATGTGGTGCTGAATTTTGCTTGCTTTGGCAGATCAGCAAATGTTCTCTCTACAATAGCTTAAAGCCCTATGCGAAAAGAAAGTTACTCTGCTCTTTAATTATTCTTTTAACGCTGCCCTTATCTGGTGTTAATCAAGAACAAAATAGAGTAAGATGCGCCGATTCCCACGAAGCCATTGTTGTAGCCTCTTGGTTGAACAAAAGCGCATCAGTGCCTTTTTAGGCAAATGCTATGTGACATAAAATTCTTAATTGCAATTAGATGTACGCCCTAACATCATACGTTTGTTGCCTAACGGATATTTCATCCTTAGCGTAGGATACCCGTTACTGCGATAACGTTAGTGCCTGTGACTACCAAGCTGCTCTTGTCGAGAAATTTTGACAAAAAACACCTCCTTCGTCTTAATGAAGAGAGTAAATGCGACTGATGCTATGAAGATAGTATTTTCATTCTAAACACTGCTGTTATTGCTGTACATAAACTAACACTGTCAAGAAGAAATTTAGTTGCACAATGAGCAGCTGCGCATATTACGCTCTGTTATTCAAAATTTTCCCACCATCGAGTCCTTCATAATTTTGCACACGTTCTTGGTCTCTCATTTCACTCATACTGCATACTGAAGATGCTATCAAAATCTCAGAATGCCGCCTGGGCCTTTTTGAGACCTGACAGGGTCTTGGAAGGCCGTTTTAGGTATCCGAAAATAATGTGTTAAAAAGAGATATAAAGTTGTATCAGTTTAGCCTTTCATGCAATTACATCACACGCATTAGAATACTGTCATAGTCATTCAAGCCTTTTAATGCATATCCATAAATATGCTTCACGTCACTTGTACAGCTCGGAGGCAGACTCAAAGCCCTTATTTTAAAAATTCTAAGAAAAGCCGGCTTGCAGGATTATTCCGCTCCGTGGCAATACCATGCTCGTGGCTCGGATAAACATTTTACACCGTCTCATCTGATCAAATCACGACAAACCAGCCGACATCGAGCCTGTCATCGCAACAATAGTACGTAATACTACTATTTATGTAAAAATCACAAATGTATATCGCTTCAAAGTTACCAATAAGCGACAGCCGATTTAAATGTTTAAATTTATAATTATCTATCGACTGTCAACTGCCGGAAAATTGGTTTGGCTCAATAATCAACTCGTCGGGAAAGAAACTCTAATATTGCTGAATGTACTATACAAACTAATACTAGCATTTTATTTGATTTGCTCCATTCGTCTTGAGTCATCCATCGCAGAAACAGTATTGTTTAATTGTCTAAGCTACCTTTGGCGGAATCCCGAAGGTTTTGGGGCAGATCATTCTCTAGGACAACCATCAAAAGTTTGTTGGTTATGACGGTGTTTAAGGAGTCGTGTAGGTTGACAGCTAAATAGATAACGCATATCCATCGATCCACATACACTATAACACAGGGCTACGTGTCTGTAGGAAACCCCAAATGCTAGTGCAATAATAGGGATACAAGAAAAGCCCCTGTAGTGAACCTCGAAGCTCTATTTTATATGTTTTAAGAGATCAAAGTAAAGAAAGTGCCAAAAAAGAAAAGCGGCATAGTATGCTGTGTTCTCTGACTCAGTCAAATTCCTGCTTTATTCATCACTGTAGTTCCTATGAATTGTCAGTTCAGGTGCCTGAACGGGCAGAGGAGACCTTGGTACAGTACAGTCGGGATACAGTGGACCCCCCGGTTTTGCAACTCTCGGCAAATACCGTCTCTAAACTTTTTGCAACGAGTTTCTGGGAATGTCAAAAAACATACGAAGCTCGCAACTTTCAACTTGCAAAATCTGTTTGGCAGGGTTGTATCTTATCAGAGGAGAAATATTCTCGTGATTTGCAGCAAACATACGCCTTGGCGCTTGTTGCATCTTATCAAGGGTAGTTTAAATCAATAAAGACATGGTTCTAGCATCCATAAGTATATCGCTTCTTCTACATACAGTATAACCTAAACAGAAAATGTCAGTATGCATTAATTCATAGCACCTAATAAGATACTGATAATACAGATGGTGAATTTGGAATCATGAATCGGTTCATAACAGGTTGCAGAATGTTTTTGTTCACGCCGCTCTGAAGTTTTCTCTTCAGAAGGTGACCGTTCGTTAATTAAGTAGAGTCGATACTTTTTTCTGTGTAAAAGACGAGAAAAATGGAACGTGATAGCACTTTTAATCCAGGACATTTGCTCTGGAATAAGCTGTTCAGCTCCTTCAGCGATTTAGCACCACTATTCCTCCCAGATACAATTTTCCTGCTCGGCTATGAGCTCTGTGAAAGAAGGTTTCCCTATAGAAGATCAATGGTAGGAATGATTATAAATAGAACACAGAAAAACGACAAAGTCAAAGCCAGTGAGCTGCTTATATAGACATGCTCCAGTTATGTTGAGGATAACTATACATATTTATCTTGCTACTTGGACACAACTACGATCACAGATGATAGCAATGCATGCGAGAGACCAAAATATAATATAATCTTATCTGCGCTTAGCAGTATATTGCTAACATCCGTTCGTTGTAAGTTCACAATTTCTGCAACAGAAATTTGAAACTGTCACTGTTGCGAGAGGCGGGGTCCACTGTAGTGTACATCTTCATCAATGAGTGGATACTGATGCTGGATCCGTTTTCTTCGATTCAAACAATACGTGCTTCGTCGCATTACAGCTCCAACCACGTTCTCTACATCTTCTGTTGCTTTTCTCTTAGCCAAACTCTCGAATACAATAGCTATTGCTGTTATTACTCACTATCTGATCAGTCAAGTACGGGAGAAGCTCCTAATACTTTTAATTCTGCGCTGAATACACAACTACGGACACGCTTTATAACATCACGCTTTCACACACTACGTACTAAACACCCAGTACGACGCATCCACAACCAAAGAAAAATGCAGTGTTTTAAAGCACTTGACCAAACTTTCATAATCAATATCAGACATCGACGAAAGAAACACGCATGTCAAGCCCAGCGGATATCCGAAAGGAACATGGTCTTCTAGGCTTGTAGGATCTTGATACTTAGTCCATGGTTCTATCCAGCCGTCTGGCACAATTTAATACTGTATCATGTGTGATGGTAGCTGTTTCTGAAGAAGGTTGAAACATACTTCTAGCTGTGTGAGTGCAATTAAAAAAGTTTAAGCTTTACTCGTGATACGCTTCTTCCAACTACACAACTTGCAAGCATATGAGTGATGCAGTTGTCAACTTTTAACCATGTTTATACAATGCTATACATCAGAGAGCATTGCCAGCAGAAACACCAGATGCCGTAGAGGGATGATCTCACCATTTTACATTAGATACACCAGAGAAGGTGTGCGGCATTATACTCAGCAGTATAAGGCTATGATCGAAAAGTAATGTAAGTACAAAAACCAAAAATAGTAAAGCGACCAATCTACCGCAGGGCTATTTATCTGTTTATGGGGGATGAGTAAATTGTCTGTCGCTAAAACTAAGACAATTGGGTGAGTCCTACGACTCGAACCTGAATCCATAGAGTGCTGTGATCATCTCTCAGCGATTTATTGCAGCGAAACAAAACCAATAAAAATTTTTTTTTCTCTAAAACTTTGTAAACCTCCAAGTGAACCAACTCGATCATCGGCGAGCCGGGCAAGAAAGAAGAAGGGAGGGAGAAAGGGTGGGTCCTCTTTGGGTTCAGGTTCGGTTAGTCCTGCGGACTAACCTCACAATTCGGTAATGTCCGTGCGCCACCCCCTTCCCAGCAGAGATTTGTCGGTAAAAGTGGGAGGTACTTGCATGCATGCATCAGGCTTCTTTATGCAAAACCCAAAAACAACTCAATGCTTATCGACTATCGACTATTCCGAGCACATGTACACCAGATTTGCTTTACCATGCTAACTAATGTATAAAAACCTATATTAGGTATGATTGTTACACACGGGCGATCCCACGTCTTATGCCTGCACGCTCATCAGTCCGCTCGAATATGATAAAGCATGGCTGCCACACCACGTTCTTTTTTGCCTATATATTGCAAAGTGACCGGATTGGGATCACCAATTCTAATGCAGCGCCGCTGCTCTACTAAGCTCTTCTGCCCACTAGCTTTATTTGAGCTATCTGACAGAATGCTACTTGATTTTCATCATGGAAGAGGTTAAAATGAAATGAAAGAGTTTTATAAAAAAAAGAGCGGACTTTTTCCTGTTGATGAAAAAAAAAAAAGAGATTATTTAGAAAAGATGGGGACTGCCGAAAAGAAAAAATCATGTGGGTCGTGCCTGGGAACTAAAGAGCTTTACTTTTCTTCATAAAAAAAATACCTCTCGAGGCCAGAATCTCGTCTTTTCTTGGCCTACTACAATAAAATGCGTCGATCGCTGAATGTCTGGGCAGCACTTGCCTTCTTAACGGCAGTAACCGCCCAGAACCCTGATTTCGACACCTCAGTCGACCAATACAGCAATGTCTCATTCAGTGTTGCAAACGGTAAATATATGCAAAGATCAGTTCACGGAAGGAAAGAGGGAGAAACAAGGAAGGCCGAGAAAAGTGTGGCGGCTCTCTCGATTCGACAAGTTAGTTAACTTGCTCGTTTACACTAGACGAAGCCAACGGCTTCTCTGTCGAATATCACAACTGGTATAAGATTGTTACGAACCACCGAGTAAACGAACAATATGCCCTTGTTTGCTGTGGTCAACCTACAACCAATTTCACTCAATATCAGGCGGCAGTGAACACGCCAGTGACCAGCGTTGGTGTTACCACTGTGCGCGATGTTCTGCCGTATATGGAGGTAATTGAGAAACTCATGATAGGCCCACACTTTTCTTTAGGATATACTAAGAAGCAGGATTGGATGCTTTTTTTGTTTTACCTTAGCTTCTTGGATTGAGTGATCGTGTTCAGTCGATCGAAGGATATCAGAATGTTACCTCACCTTGCTATGGCGATGTTACAGACACTCCTGGTAACGGCACGGTCGATATCGTCTTTACGGATCACAGCATCTCCAACATGCCCGATACACACTACATTGGATTTTCACCCGATAATGAAGAGCTGACGCCACTTCAGGTGAGATACAATCTTTAAAGGAAATGAAACCATGCATCAATATGCTCATTCTTTGCGTGGAACCTATTATCTGTGATTGTTTAGCAAGCGTCTTGGCTTGTATATATTGCTCTTTTCTTTGATATGGAGGGTGAAGCAACGACAACATTCGGCAACATCGAGTCATCATATACCTGCCACAAAGATAATATGGCCGATGTACCTGATAAGAAAGACTTGGCTTGGACGTACTACGAACCCACTAATAAAACATGGACTTTGGTAAACACACCCTTTTACAAATTGCTGGCGGAGGATTCCGGTATGTATCGGAGGAAGAATAATGGAGAAAGTAAAGAGAGATTTGGAGCGAAATAGCAGTGTTATTGACCTTGTAATATTAATATTATACAGGTTCCAAACTGGTGGAACCGAATACCGCACAGTCCACTGTGTACACACAAATAAACGAATTCCACACTGCTATTCGATATGCCGATTTCGCCATTGATGTCACACCGCTGAGCAATCTTGGTAATCAATCGTACGAGGATTGGTTATCCCTGGGTGGCTTCACTACAGATCTTGATATCTATTCAGAGGCTTTCATTGATGACAAAAATGTGTTCCGTACGGATGGTCTTGTCAATAGCAACGGTTACTCAGGTACGGCATAGCGAAAAGTTCGCTTTGGCTATAAGAAGAGTATAAACTCGAGATTATTGATCCGCATATGTTGGTCGATGTCATAGATTGGTCGCAACGCTCGCCTGCCCGGCCGGATCTGGCACTTCGAGGTTTGTACAGGATAATGTTGCAAACGTGACCTCTGTATTACTGTCGGCTTATTCGTATTGCAATTTTACTTAGATATAATCCATATGATGTATCCAACATACCAAGCCAACTACAGCTCCACTTGGCTGCGAAACTTTGCAAAACAAGACAGACCTCGACAAATTGCCGATATCAGCTATGCATGCGATGCAACTGATATAATCAGCGAGTTACAATGCGCTCCCGAAAAGTTTGGTGTAAATCAACGACAAGACAGTGGGGATGGTGGTCATGCCCATACCCTTAGTGCTGGTGGTAAGGCTGGTATTTCCGTAGGCGTCATTGTGGCTGCAGTTCTTGCAGGACTTGCTGCGTTCTTCCTTTGGCGCCGCCACCGACAAGTGAAAGCAAGTCGAACGTTCTATCGTATGAACGACGTTAATCATTCTAATCCATAAGTTGTAGAACAACTCTAGCATGCTTTATTTATTTAACTCATTAGTATATTCTTTATAATAAATATTTATTTTTTGATCTTGAGGGAAAAAACAATCCGTCGATATTCCCGAATAAGTGGGCAAATCTACAGTTGACAGTAGTATTTTTCTCACACTCTAACATAGTGTATCATGCATGATCCCGCTTGGGTATAACATTCATCTTCCTCATCCCCACTGCCGTGTGACAAATCCTCTGATAATTTTTCTACGAACTTCGTAACAACACAGGAGTTGGAAGACTCTTAAAAGTCTTTTCAACATCGCCCGTCATCCTGTATAATGTGAAAGTACATAGTATATGTCGCCGGACCTAGTGTACGAGCCTGTGGTAATTATACTAAATACATTCGGTATCCGAACGATCAATTAGAGGAATTGATACCATATGGTACATTTTGAGCTAAACCCGACCACGGGCGTGGCCTCGATTTTCCTTTTGCGTCACGTAACTGGTGTTCCCAAGCATTAGAAATGAAGGCAGCTAATTTCAGCCAATCGCCTACCTTATTGAAGTTTGTTTCCAAAAAGGGAATCAAAGACCAGCTTGCTTTCGTTAAAGAAGTACCTTCGAGAGGTAGTCTCAAGAAGTACTTTTCACGATCTACTCATTCAATAAGCCTATAAACACCGTTATTCTTCACTCGAGAGTCTAGATAAAGCACGAGGAGGTCTTAGATAGGGTTTTATCGGCGGGAAATAGGTTACTAACTCTTTTATTTTTCAGATGCGTTGTCTGCTAACCTCAGACCAGCAACATTTATAACAAGGAATGGTGCACCCAACACATGACGAAAACCAGCGGCTCCAGCCCAAAAGATATATAAGACCAAGCCTTCCGGTAGTTTTCTTTACTTTCTTTTCGTTTAGTTTTCTTTTTCCCTGCTTTTGAGCGAAAACTGCACGAAATTCACTCTTAATATCACCGTTCTATCACATCTATCATCCGCTATCTCACCTCAACCTACCCATGTACCGACCTGAAAATAACATAATGAATACTCAACATGAAAGATCTTCCACCGCACGCTCTTACTCACGTGAAGAGGAGCCATCGTCACCTCTCTTCATACCCTCTGTGGACGACCCAAGGGTAGCTCGGCCGGTGATTTTGACGGCTTTTGACCCATCACCGTCCCCTTTGGCACCTACCCCACCAAGCAGCTGCGACTCGCCCACATCTATGTACATAAGATTTCCTGACGAACACGCCCAGAACAGTGGCGAAAAGAGGAAACGAGAAGAAACCAACGACCCAAACTTTGACAATAACTCCAGTAAACTTACCAGTACGTTAAACGTCTACTAATATATAACTGTCTTATTGCATCGTTTGTTTTGACACTAATACCCCGTTATTACCTTCACAGGTGTCGACTATGGCTCACTCCTCGATGGAGGTATGCGTCAACACACTAACACTAACTGAAGCTATTACATAGGAATTGACTAACTTGGCAATTGTATAAATAGATATGAGTGATGACTCAAGCATCTATGGCCAAAAGCCTGGTAGGAAGCCAATGTCTGATAGCGATGACATATCAACTGACGTATGTTACCATCTAGTTTAAACACGGCATCAACTTAACGGAAAATGTACTTTTTACTAACTACTATTCCACTGTAATTGCAAAACACATAGGTCGATACTGAAGACCCAAAAGTCAAACGAAAAGTGCAGAACCGTGCTGCCCAGCGTGCCTTTCGAGAACGGAAAGAACGCTATGTCAAGGAACTAGAGTCCAAAATCAAGCAAGTCCAAGACAATCATCTACACGCAACAACTCAACTGGTCCAAGAAAACCAGCATCTACGTTCGATCGTATATCGACTCGAAGCCGAAAACTTTGCATTGAAAGGCATCCATATTCAATTTCCCATCCATCCTAGCCCTTATACCCCATGTTCACCGTCAACACCATCTGCCATCCACTCAAACGCTATCCCACCTTCGCATCATACCATGTTGCCACCTTCATCACTATCTAATGCGTCACGAACGACGCGCGACGTTCAATACACATTTGCCATTAGTACACCAGCCACGCTCCGGCCCAAGATGTTCGGTAACAAAGACAGCCGAGAACAAGAAGCAGAGTTTACGCGGATACTCCAAGAACAAGTCTCAAATGACGCGATCGAGCGTTTGCTATCCGAGCCATTATTTGACACTTGCGGAGGACTGATCGCTCCAGCTGTCACGAGTGAAGGTGAAGAGCAAACGAACAATAAGCTTTTAACCTGCCCAGGTATATGGCAGCGTCTTTGCAAGCACAACAGGTTCTCTTATTTCACGATGGAAGAGCTCTGTCATGAGGTGCGGAAGCGCGCCAAGTGCACCGAGCGAGGGCCGGCGGTAACAGAAACAGACATGGAAGCCATCCTACGCTTCATGGATCCAAAGCATTATAAGAAATAAGCAGGCCAAAAAGGGGCTTGTGATTTTTGCATAGAAAACAAAAATACTGTATATAACATCCCATCATCTTAGCATTTGCACGTTCTAATGAAATTCACCAAAAGACGTTATCAGTCTGGCCGGGGTTGGTCTCGTAATTGGTGTAACAAATTTGTATGAGGGGTGAGTTTAGGATTGTGTTTGGAGTTGCGGATTGGTTGCCTAGGTGTCACAGTGAGACCGTGAGAAGCCGTCGGGGTTCGGGTAGAATGTCCGTCGCCAAGAGACAGTCTGCGGCGGGGAGCCACGGTAGGGTTCTGATCTAATTGGTGGATTGCGGAGAAAGGTTTTGTGGAGAGGGCTTCTTTTTTTGCTGTCGTTGCTTTTTAGGAAACTTGAGGGCGAAAAAAAGCTTCCAAGGGTCCACACGCTGAGATTATGTCATGGAGCTCAGGATTTCAGGGTTCGTCCCTGTTCGGCGAGGTGGTCCCTATTCGTGCAAAAAAAAAAAAGGACGCAGACCTGGTTTCATCTGGGACGAAATATAAAAAAAGGGTCATAAGTGGTGGTTTTGACAGTATAAATACCCCGACCTCTTCTCTTTCGTAGCTACTTTTTCTCCACATTTTATTTCCCCTCCCCCTTAATCATGGACATTCGCAATATACTCTTCAGGAGACTCGCATCCCCACTCGTCCAGGTCGTTCTTTTGGGCTTCGTATGTCTTTGCTGCCCGGGCATGTTCAATGCCCTCAACGGCCTGGGTGCGGGTGGTATGATGGCTTCAGATATCGCTTTGGTGAACTCTGCCAACAGTGCTCTGTACGCTTGTTTTGCCGTCGTCGGCTTTTTCGCTGGTTCTGTCACCAACACATTAGGTGTCAAGACCACATTGACAGTACGTGTATATTCTTTTAAATGTAATTTTTGAAATGTTTGCGACATGGCTACTCATAATCGCTCGATTGTTTCAATAGATCGGTTCCGCTGGTTACGCTGTTTACTCCTCATCATTGTGGGTTTACGACGCGAAACAAGTCTCCGGATATGTCATTGCATCTGGCGCCATCTTGGGTTGTTGTGCAGGCATCTTCTGGTCTGCTCAAGGTGCCATCATGATGGCCTACCCCGAAGAAAAGAACAAGGGCAAGTACGTCGCAATCTTTTGGACCTTATTCAACATTGGTGGTATTCTCGGCTCAGTCATCACCCTCGGAATCAACCTTGAATCGGGAGGCGACGGTGGCGTATCAACTGGAACATACACTGCATTTGTTGTCATCATGATTGTTGGCATTTTCCTCTCCCTGATCCTCGCTCCTCCTTCCATGGTCGTCCGTTCTGACGGTACGCACGTTTCTGTCACCAAATCTGCTCACTGGCTTGAAGAGCTTAAAGGTGTCATTCGAGTCTGGAAGGAATGGCGCATCATTTGTTTGGTAAGATTGCAATTTAGTTCTCCCCTTATTTTTTCCTCCCCCCACATTCTGCTGAGTGAAAAGATTAACTAATTAACACACTCACTGACCTGCAGATACCCGCATTTCTGGCCTCTAACTGGTTCTACGCTTATCAATTCCACGTTAACGCCGTCTATTTCGATGCTACCACTCGTGCATTGAACGGTACCATGTACTGGGGTATGCAAATCATCGCCTCCATCATCTTTGGTTTCATCCTCGATTATCAAGGCTTAAGCCGTCGTGTCAGAGCTCTCTTGGGTGCTGCCATCTTGTTTGTTGTCATGATGGCCATTTGGGCAGGTGGCCTGGTTTTCCAGCTTTCATTTGAAAACGACTACGATGACCCGATCCATTGGACCGACTCGCGGTTCGGCCGGCCTTTCTTGCTTTACATCTTCTACGGTTTCTCTGACGCTTTATACCAGTCGTACTTGTACTGGCTTATGGGTGCAATGTCAAACGATCCAAAATTGCTCGCACGCTACGCCGGCTTCTACAAAGCCATGCAGTCGGCTGGTGCCGCGATTTCGTTCGGTATCGATTCTGCTGGTGTCCGCTTGCGATGGGCATGCGTTGTTTGCTGGGTTATTGTCACTATCTCGTTCCCAGGCATGTTTGTTGTCGCTAACCAGATTTCACAAACGAATGCCCCAGCAGAAGACACAGTTGATAACGATAGCTCGTCAACAGAACACAACATGTCAGTGATGGAAAAGCCATCGCAGCGCAGCATTTCCGATGGAAAGTACGAAGTTTAATACATTTATAAACTCTTCCATATCCTCTTTCCTCCCCTCATACATAATCTCATTTTCCGTTTGTACACTACTCTCCACTTCCATCATCTGTATCCTTTCCTCTTTTACACGCACGCTGCTTTCACGCATCTCCTTGTACTATATACTGTATAGCTCCTCGTATGTTACCATTTCAATAATAACTAAGGCTAAGTTTTCTTCAGCATAAATTTCTCACTGGACCCTGTCGTGGGATAATATAATAGTTGAGAACCCTGACCTCATCTGAAGACCCTTACTTCCCGATACGGAACGCACTAAAAGTTTTCCAGGGTGCAGTCGACCAGCGATACTTTAAACCGATCCGCTGACGTTAGCAACTACATATTTTAAAGAGCGTTAAGCAATGTATGGAAGGTCGCTTCTTTCTTGCTTTTCTCATGAGGAATTACAAGAGCCCGAAGGGGTTCCTTGAGGCTGGAAGCGAAAGCACATGGTTGCCTCGAAAAAGAGTGAAACTCACAAACATGCTGTCTGACGTTAGGTCTCATAACCAAGGATGTTCATTCGGTATCTTCCTAGACCATTTGACTTGACCTCATTTCCAACTCCCAACCCCCAACCCCCAAAGAAAATAAGGTGATTATTAGCTTTTCCCGCTGATGATTTCGGGGATGCCGACTCAGCTATGATGATGCATTATTGAGGGGCTCCGCTTTCCCGTAGCTGGCTGGAGAAAAAGGAACAAGACAGTGGGGGCCAATGAAAAATTTTGATACATTAACCAGCTACGGGAATGCCACTGTGGCCTGCATGTAGATGACAAATGTATTTCTGGCAATTGAACAGTAGCATACATTTGTAATCTTTACAATAACTTTTCGCGAATCGCCGGAAAGACATCGATGTGTTGATCACCGAGTTCTGTCAAAGTTTGTGCGACTTTCTGCATACCAGAAAGAACTCCGTTTTTCAGTGTTGTAGTGGTCTTATCATACCGTTTCATTCACGTATCAATTCAATATGTGGATAAAGTACAAGTCTAAAATGATAAGTTAGCATTGAAATGGTGATAGGACATTGCAGGGATTTGCAAACAAGATGAAGATAACATCCTATGTACTTTTTGTATGTATACGCATTTGATACCTGACTCACGTGGGCACCGTGTGATTCTCAAGTGGAATCAAGTTTTCTATATCATTTATAGTAGCATACCAAATGACTCTTTCCTTTGGTTTTTTCTTATATACTGACTATCATAAGCTTCCCTATAACACTCGACCAAATCCTAGCAGCGATAGCCCCAATCGACGACGATCAAGACCAAAAAAAATAGCATACAAGAACGATTGTGCATCGAACATAGGCAGTCGGTCGAAACGCTCCTTTGCGGCGGAAAAACCAGATTGGCAATCAATGAGACCATATGCTCCTTACTAAGTTTCTTACCATATTGTCGCCGATAGTGCTGCATAGAATCATTGCTGTACACATTCACCAGGAACTGCCTGCATGTAAAAGATTTTATCGGTGTCCCGTCAACTCGAAGTGAAATTCCTTTGATGTGCGCCGATTAATAATGTAGTCTATGCAGTTCTTCTTTAATCAATCATCGGGTGATCTTAGACAAGTATACAGTATTGACGTTAGGATTACAAATTGAGAGGAAAAGATAAACATGATTTTTGCTGAAGAATGCGAAAAAGCGTTTAACTGAAAATATCGGTATGAAGCGGTAATTTCCACAATGGCGACCAGGTAACAAATGTTTCTGGCACTAAGCGTAATGAACCCTGAATCGAACAAAACAAAAATCACACTAACCAAAAATAAACACTTATGTAATAAGACCCGATCCTAACATGACACTCAACAACCGTTTGCTGAAGTTAATCCAACAATAAACTAATAGCAATGCACGGCAATCGCTCTTTCAACCACACAAGGTTGAATTTTTGCAAATCAGAGATTTAGAGCTCTTTTCTTTCCTTTCTTCTTTCTTTGAAGTCAACGTAATATAGTGAGACTGTACCCAGAGTAACAATTTAGCATACAACACTTGAGGCATGCGTAGTATGTAGTTGCTGATACACAATAGGGCTAGGTAATTCATTTTTACGATCAGGAAAATGATATCTATCCTCGTTTTGCCTTAAGGCACCGCATTATTTAACTATTGCTTCTTTAAGCTTGCTATAGCTGCAATCATGACAATGATGTAAGAGTACGCGTTTGGTTGATGTATTTTTCAGCCTCTCCTCTACTTACCCGTGGTGATTTTACGCCTTCCTTTTGCCGATCACATCCTGGCTGCTGGTTCCACATGTCGGTCGGCCATCGTTTATACCATAATCTATATAAGTCGTTTTAATCCCTATTCGGCGGTAATCGTTTGTTCATAGATTGCCAATCAGGAAGTAGCTTAGTCATTTAGCGTCTCGTCAAGTATAATAAGGATTTTATCGGCGTCGGAAATTTGAGATTGTAATCAAATGCCTTTTTAAAGCCTTCGAAAGCCTTTGAAACCTTTCCAGAGTATTTGAAGATTTAAATACATATATAAATTATGAATAGCCGATAAGTGTTTCGTGTAAGTCTACTGGCCACAATAAAAGGCTGGAATGAACTGATCAAAGACGTTGAGACGCGAGTTACCACATTCGATAGTGTCCGCACATTGGGGAAAAAGAGGGTTGGCTACTAGTTTACATCGCATTTCATGGATGTATATTTGGGGAAGAGTTTAAGTATATATTAATATCATAGCGCATACTTTTACTTTGACCATTGAAAAAGACAGTTAATAAATTAGACACTATTCAAAAATAAAAAGGACGAACCGCCAAAAATGTCTGTTAACCAGGCACCCACATCGAAAGGCTCGGCACTATGTTGTGCGAGTTCTACTACCGTGTGATATGCGGGTGTTGTTGTTGCTCTTGCTGCTGCTTGCTCTTCTTGAACCTGTTCTTGGCCACCAGCGTTGCTGCTCCGTTGTTGTTGTTGTTGTTGTTGTTGTTGTGATGGTGATAACGGTGACGTCTATAGTTTTTTGAGTGTCGTGGACACTTTTGTCATACGATTGAGCGACTGGTTGTCGCCTTAGTGGTGACAGAGCTAGTGGAAAATCTCCAATTATCAAATAGCTTCCAGAGAGAGCCATCATTAAGGATACTCGAAAACAACAGTCGCACCATGTTGACAGAGTCCAAGGATAGAGCCACTTGATCGCTTACTGCAGCCACCCGGTGACATCTGACTTCTTTTAACGACTTATGATCCGATAAAACGGTTGCCAAAGCTTTATCAGGCACGTCGAAACACTAATATATTTCCAACGTTTTGAGTCCGTTGAAGCATCACAAACTGCTGATGACTGCATTCGCAAAGTACTGGTGTTGTAAAACCGTGTGTAAGACAAGCACGATTCAGCTCCGAGGAAAACGTGCTTGTCAAACAGATTGCTGAAAATTGTTTTCCATAGCACAGTGTATGTATCCAAAGTTTTTTCTCGTGAGTTTGTCCGCCTTGGTCAATCCGCGCGCGATAACGTCCATGTTTTCTATATACTCGAAATAGACATTGCGTAGGTCTAAACAATTGCTCAGCAACTAAGAATTGTGAACGCGATATGGTGATTGTAATATCAAACAAACCAAAAGAGACGGAATAAGTCAACGAGACCGGATGGGATCTAAAACCGGCTTATCATGATAACAGAAGTTCTCACCAGCATGTGCATTGAACATATTCATTGAGCTCATCAGAGTAAACGTCTCAGATAGTAGCTAATGTGAATTGCATGATCTGTATTATGACAGCTTCTTCCTGAGCATAGCTGATTCGTGTAGCATCAATATCTGTCTGGATGAGGAGATGTTGTGAGGTTATAAGGGAAATCACAGCAATCTTTAATGACGGCTCAAAGAATATGATATGTGTTATTTATCATGTTGGATACAACACTCCAAATGCAAACTACTCTCCCATCCGCCTTCCGTAAAGCCTTTTCGTAGTGCTCACACCATGGAAGTGGTCGTCTGTTTTATTTTCCATTGATGTACATAATTTTTATGGCTCATAATATTGCTGCGTGATGAAATTACCTATATGTTGTATAGTGTACGCTTCACCCAACGACATCTACTTCCTTAATCCTAATCCATGTAGGAGAAGAAGACATGCCGTACTTGGCAAAGAATTCTTACGACTCCTTCAGAGAGACGATGTCGTGTGCTGGCGGCAGGATATCGTGTTCGCGTGGCTAGTATAAGTATACACTTTCATTGAGACGATTTAGAAAACTAACTTAAAGACATCATTATGATACGAGGATGACTCTTGGTCTTTTATTTTGTATGAATATATCATCAGGTAATAGAACATCCCGTCAATATATAGTTGGTACAAGCATTATTTGCAGACAAGCCAAAGGACTATCAAAGAAAGAAGTTAGAGAAAGCCATACTTGGAGTATATAGTAAAAGCAAACAACAATTGAATCAATCACTCACCACGTATTTCCAGAACAGATCGTCGCGGCCCCTACCCTACCCTCCCATTGCTGGGAGAACCTCCACTTTCGTCTGGGCTCCAGAACCTATCATAGATGCAATTATCCCCTCGCTCGCTCTTCAGACGTTTTCTTGTGTATATTTTGCCACTAACCGTTCTCTGTGACGCCTCCTCTTATCCGTGTACGTGACCTCACCATACTGCCCAATCCCGTATGGCTGCCTGCTACGGCGGCATGACCCTGACAGTCATCGCGTTTAGTTGTGGCCGCGCTCCACTGCATAGTCTCTACGTGTTGCCGACCCGTGCCCCGAACCTAACGTCTATGCGCGGCCGGTGGTCAGTTTATCGAGTCATTTCCAGGACTCAGCAAGCGGTCACAGGGAGTACAGGATCAAGAGGTGGGCGCAGGTCACGATTTACTGGAGAGGTGCATGCGCAATCGAACTTACCATGCTTTCGCTCTTCCACTCGCAAGGTAAACCAAAATTTCTTTCAGGCCTTCCGACAAAAGAGAAAAAGGTTAGGCATCGCCCAATCCGCGAACCAATCCTGATAAATCTTAACAACTACAGCAACGAAGGCACGTAGAAAATCAAGTTATTAAGACGTAAATACCAGAAGAATGCTACCCTAGTTGAAGAAGTACAGAAAAAGAATAGTTACCCTGTAGTCGTCACGCATATCCGTCCGCCGCCGCTACTACTACTACTACACACGCAAAATCAACGA